CATTGCAGAGTCGCCGTTGGGCTGAGAGTCCACATCAGCCGGTCTGTTGAACGGAAGGGGGAGGATCTAAGGCCAAATGGTGGTGCCTTATCTACATGGTACGAACCTTCCCAAAAATGCCAAGCCGGGGCCAGACATGAGGGGAAACAGGCCAAAGCCGCCAGGCATACTTCGTGTCAGCTTTAGAGAGGAGAGCTCAGCATCAGGGACCTAAATTTCCGAGCCATCTTCAAGATTATGGGCTGGTGCGAAAACAGCTCCGGGGGGGGGGGGGGGGGGCCTGGAGGGGTGTGCTGCTGCGTAAGTCGCACAATACGTGCTCCATGCGTCGCGAACCTCCTCCCGACTAAAGTCTCCCAGGCCAGGGATGGGGCTGCAGTTGCCTCGGCTAGGTTCTGCTCCGCTGCCGGAGCGGCCAAGTCCTCGCGTACGGTAGTCTGGAGCCAACTTCAACTCGAGCAGGTGAGTCCGCGGAGTAGGTTTTGTTCCTGTCGGGTCTAAATAATTGCGGGATGCCAGTGCGTTTCGCAGCTCAGCAGAGCGCATTTTGGCTGGACATCGCTCACTGACAGAGACATGGTTGATCGGATATTGATCAGAAACTGGCCGCGATTGTCAAACAATTTGACCGTCAAGGCAGCAAAGCAAAGAGCGTTATGGCTGGACATCGCTCACTGACAGAGACATGGTTGATCGGATATTGATCAGAAACTGGCCGCGATTGTCAAACAATTTGACCGTCACTGCGTCAGCGCAGCAAAGCAAACGGAGCGTTTTGGCTGGACATCGCTCACTGACAGAGACATGGTTGATCGGATATTGATCAGAAACTGGCCGCGATTGTCAAACAATTTGACCGTCACTGCGTCAGCGCAGCAAAGCAAACGGAGCGTTTTGGCTGGACATCGCTCACTGACAGAGACATGGTTGATCGGATATTGATCAGAAACCGGCCGCGATAGTCAAACAATTTGACCGTCAGCGCAGCAAAGCAAAGAGCGTTTTGGCTGGACATCGCTCACTGACAGAGACATGGTTGATCGGATATTGATCAGAAACTGGCCGCGGTAGTCAAACAATTTGACCGTCAGCACAGCAAAGCGAAGAGCAAGAAACAACAGCATGGCGAATTGGAGTAATGCGCATGCTCCGCACAGTCCCGTGCGGAAACGCGGGAATTCGGAGTGCGTGCATGTTATGCATTACAAGTGTTGCTTATGGCAAGGATGTTGGTGTGTTGCTAACTCCACTTACCGTGCCATGCACGGAAACTTATATATACCGCATTTGCTTTGACATCCATGAATGTGCAGTATGACGGTCCTCACAACCTGATTTTTCTCTTGCCATTTGAGTATGTCCGGCATTCATCTCTTCCTTTATTTCTATTCCTGTACTGGTAGTCCATTTTTGTGATTACTCTTTTTGTATTCGAATATGTCCTGTCCTCCTCCATCTTTTTGTATTCGAATATGTCCTGGCCTCCTCCATCGTTCTGCTTATTTCTGTCCGTCTCTCAGTTTCTGCGTCGGCTTTCAATATTTTTGCTTTGGTTTTTACAATCCTTTTTGCTTCGGTCTTCATTGCGTTGGCCATTTATCTATTTTTTTCTCTCATTACCCTTGGTCTCTTTTGGCCCGGTGATGGGGTTCTTACCTCATGTCATGACAACGTGAGTGAAATAAAGCCAACTCCATAATAATGAAGTTGGTTGCTCCAACGAGGAGCACACGCTTCTTGCCGAACTTGACACTTGACTGACTCACGACTGCCATCCGGAGCACACCAGGAGCACGTCGCACCTTCCGCTCGGCAAACCTGAAAGAAAGCACCACTCCCTGCTCAATACACAGTGTTTCGGGGAATTCACCCCTCATCAGTTGAGCTTGAGTAGGCTGAGGAAGATTGTGCCTGAAAAGCACCACTTATATACTGCTCTCCAGGCCAAACCATCACCAGGGATACAAACTTACAGAGACGCTTTGTTTCCAGCGCGACAAACACCTCGTGAAGCCCCAGGTAGCAGCGTGAGTCAGAGTCGCTCATGGAGTTGTGCTAAACAGACGTTGAGAGCCAGTATAGCTATTCACAACGCTGTCACCTCCAACAACTAGTCGCACGTCCGCGTGAGGGACAACAATACGAACTTAGAAGTTGCGACTTCGGCGGTAATGTCATGAAGTTGGTTGCTCCAACGAGGAGCACACGCTTCTTGCCGAACTTGACACTTGACTGACTCACGACTGCCATCCGGAGCACACCAGGAGCACGTCGCACCTTCCGCTCGGCAAACCTGAAAGAAAGCACCACTCCCTGCTCAATACACAGTGTTTCGGGGAATTCACCCCTCATCAGTTGAGCTTGAGTAGGCTGAGGAAGATTGTGCCTGAAAAGCACCACTTATATACTGCTCTCCAGGCCAAACCATCACCAGGGATACAAACTTACAGAGACGCTTTGTGAGTCAGTCAAGTGTCAAGTTCGGCAAGAAGCGTGTGCTCCTCGTTGGAGCAACCAACTTCATGACATTACCGCCGAAGTCGCAACTTCTAAGTTCGTATTGTTGTCCCTCACGCGGACGTGCGACTAGTTGTTGGAGGTGACAGCGTTGTGAATAGCTATACTGGCTCTCAACGTCTGTTTAGCACAACTCCATGAGCGACTCTGACTCACGCTGCTACCTGGGGCTTCACGAGGTGTTTGTCGCGCTGGAAACAAAGCGTCTCTGTAAGTTTGTATCCCTGGTGATGGTTTGGCCTGGAGAGCAGTATATAAGTGGTGCTTTTCAGGCACAATCTTCCTCAGCCTACTCAAGCTCAACTGATGAGGGGTGAATTCCCCGAAACACTGTGTATTGAGCAGGGAGTGGTGCTTTCTTTCAGGTTTGCCGAGCGGAAGGTGCGACGTGCTCCTGGTGTGCTCCGGATGGCAGTCGTGAGTCAGTCAAGTGTCAAGTTCGGCAAGAAGCGTGTGCTCCTCGTTGGAGCAACCAACTTCATGACATTACCGCCGAAGTCGCAACTTCTAAGTTCGTAATAATAATAATAATAATAATAATATGTAAAAAGGCGACGTGGAGACAATAATCTTAATAATGCAATGAATATAACTAAATGCGCACTCATATCACAACCATGGGGACGAATCATGTATTCCAGAACGTTTTCTTGTCACAATTATCAATGGAATTCGTGACTAAAGAGAATGATGAAACTACGATAGGATTTATACACTTGGAGTGGAACAGCGAGGATACAAGCATAGTAAGAAAAATAGCACAAACCTAGGAACAATTTGCACAGGTAATAAACTATAGGTGAGGTGAGAAATGATAGGAAATTCAGCAAGTGCAGTGTGACAATGTGACGATGATGAACCCGGTGGTCAGTTGCTGGGAGAGCCGACGACAGGTGAAGGTGGCAGCGATGATGAAGAGGACGATGACGATGATGGTGCAGATGGTGTGAAGGACGGTGGCGGTCAGAAACCAAGTGAAGGCAGAGGCGGTGAGAAGAAGAAGAATACATCGGCAATTAAATTGCATTTGTTGTCTAACCCCGTGTGTCGTGAAAGTTATGATGATTCTTGGTTCAGTGTTGTTCGTTCTGCAAGTAGTTTCAAGCAGTTGAAAGTTCTAGAAGCAGTCTACGTTCGCATTCGTGATCCAAATCTTTGTAAACAAAAAGATAATGTCACCGCACTTACGCTATTCCAGTAAATTCGCACTCACACACACTTGCACATGCATGTCCATTGTCACACTGCACTTGCTGAATTTCCTATCATTTCTCACCTCACCTATAGTTTATTACCTGTGCAAATTGTTCCTAGGTTTGTGCTATTTTTCTTACTATGCTTGTATCCTCGCTGTTCCACTCCAAGTGTATAAATCCTATTGTAGTTTCATCATTCTCTTTAGTCACGAATTCCATTGATAATTGTGACAAGAAAACGTTCTGGAATACATGATTCGTCCCCATGGTTGTGATATGAGTGCGCATTTAGTTATATTCATTGCAATAATAATAATAATAATAATAATTAACGCAATAAATAGAGCAAGCTTTAGAGTAAGCTTTTTAATAATAATAATAATGTCCTGGTGGTGACAGTCAATTTTTTCTTCAGACTTTTCCCGTTTGTCTCTTTCCCTCGAACCAGTTAATATTTTATGACTTGGGGCTCCCCGCGTGCTAGTTTGTACGTGAAGTGTGTGGGTTACAGTGAGGGCTGCGTCCCACCCGCCTGTGTGGATTCACAGGAAGTGTGAGTTACGAAGTCTGAAGAAAATGTTGAACGGCCTCTGCTGGGATGACGACTACACCATAGCTCAGTGGTTAGAGCATCGCTGGCTACAAGCGAGGGTCCCTGGTTCGAGTCCTGGTAGTGACAGTCAATTTTTTCTTCAGACTTTTCCCGTTTGTCTCTTTCCCTCGAACCAGTTAATATTTTATGACTTGGGGCTCCCCGCGTGCTAGTTTGTGCGTGAAGTGTTTGGGTTACAGTGAGGGCTGCGTCCCACCCGCCTGTGTGGATTCACAGGAAGTGTGAGTTACGAAGTCTGAAGAAAATGTTGAACGGCCTCTGCTGGGATGACGACTACACCATAGCTCAGTGGTTAGAGCATCGCTGGCTACAAGCGAGGGTCCCTGGTTCGAGTCCTGGTGGTGACAGTCAATTTTTTCTTCAGACTTTTCCCGTTTGTCTCTTTCCCTCGAACCAGTTAATAAGAATAATAATAATAATAATGTAGAAAGGAAAAAGACATTATGGATACGAGTTAAGAGCAACTCTCCATCACTGTAACATGATGCTTTATACAGTCAGAAAGTGCAATAACTAGGCACAAAACTGACAGAGTACTGAGATATTCGACATCCTGACACCTAGCTTCAACACAAATAAAAGCACCCCGAAATTTTGTGAAAGTACAGTATGTTGCTGCCTGTTCCCTCTGTATGACCATAGCAGCTGGTGTTGGATTTGGTGTTCTGTTGCAGTCTCTGCCATCACACATGCCACCACCGGTATCACCGCGGAGTGCAGCATCACTTCCCGTGAACCACTCCTCCATACATGGCGGGAGTTCGCCTCTCTTTCCCCGGCAGAGCTACGAAAACACGAATTGTGAGTTCAGTATGTACACATGTATTTGTAGCTCAAGCCGGGTGCATTTTATGGATAGCAGCAGCAAAATTCCATCCCTGGAAATGCCATGACCGAAGGAATCTCCTGCAGAGAGTATGATTTCAATTAGATTTTTAAAAGATCTAGTTTTCAGTGAGAAAATGACAGCTGATGCTATTAAGAACTGGACTTCATGGAGCTTTTGCAGACCCCGCGACCAACCTGCTCACAATCGAGCTTCCTTCACTGCACGACTGCCACTCCGTGTTCTGGCGGACACAGGTGCTGCCTCCATTTTCCATGCAGGCCAGCTCTCTTCTCATCACCGTCTCCTTTATTCTACGCCGAGTCCCCGAGTCCCTACCATCTCTTTGCTGATCGAATGGTCGCTCAATTGAGTAGCCTTCCACCATTTTGACTCCTTGGTTTCAACAAGGCCAATGAGGCCATCGTTGATACTCTCTTCTCTCCTGATGGTAATTGGTCAACCTCCAAGCCACCCAATTTTTCTTGAAAATAGTGCAGCCCTGACCCCAGGGAATACTGGCATCATAGTAGTTCTTGCAGGAAGGTCCATACTTGGTCTTAGATGATTCAGCCTGTGCAGTATATTCTACAGCGCTGCCTTGTTGGCCTTTTCCGTCTTTTCAAGCAGTGTGCGTGTGTGTGTGTGTACATGCTTTCTTTTCCTAAATACAGTGCCATCGCGCTTGAGGTAACGGCGACGGCTTGCTGAATGCTACTACTTTGCTCACTCATGGGTAGTGAATGGTCTTCACTTTGCCCTGGTGCTGGCTAGGTACATGCAAGAAGAGATGAACGCCTTGCTCATTCCGAGCTCAGAGACATTCCAGTCGTGAGTGATAGCTGTGTAAGACACTTCAGCTGGTGCTGATCTTGATTCGCTAACCGTCTCTGAGTTGCAGAGGAGGGTCACTAGGAAGGACTACCGTTTCTGAGATGCCAATGCGTTCAGAGCTGCATTCGTGCTGCTTGCAGTGCAGTGCACATTGCATGCCTTCCATCACCTGCCTCCACTGAGCCTCAAGTATAAATAGACACATATCTATAGCAACTTGACTTCTAATTTTAATATATCAATTGCTACACAAATTTGAATTTGCTGCAGTTTCTTTCTTAGCATTCTCCACACAGATGGCAGCGTATTTTACAGATTGTTATTTTCACTTGAATGCTAGCAGATACTGCCAGCTTGCTTAGTTATTTCTTTCAGGATGTTTACTTTCCTTTTTGTCAATGCAAGACAATGCTAACCTTCAGTCCCGAGGATGTCACGCGACGTGCACCTCGCTATAAGCCTATGACCCAATCTCCCCTCAGTGAAGGATGCCACAGTATGATTTGCACAGCCGGGTACGGTGATCGGGGGCGGCCCGGGAAATGGGGTCATGCGGCTTGAACAAGTGCCAGGATTGTACAGGTACCCGGAGCTCTTCCAAGTAGTTCAAGGACAGACCATCCCCAGTTTCTACAGGCTTAGAAGACTGTATGCACAGACCTCGCCAGTCACGCGGCTTGTCTTTACGGATCGGATAGCGACCGTGTTTGAATTTTTACATACCCAGCAAAGCATTCAGCCAGTCACATCCCGTTTGAATATCACTATACACACAAGTCAGGTCCGAAAGTTAGTTCGTGCCCGAAAGTCAGGACCCGCCCGAAAGTTAGTACGGGTGTGGTCACTAAATTCGAAAGTAAATACCGGTACTTATTTATGGACTTTTACGGTAGTACAGTCAGACCGCGCTTAAACCGCACACATCCGTTTTCAACAAAAAATATCCGGATAGGCGAGGGAACCGGATAATCAAACACACGTACTGTATGTATGCATGGCATATGCTGTAAATCAGTAACCAACGATTTTCTTCCGGATGGCGAGGGATCCAGATAAAAGAGGACCGGATAAGTCGGAGGTCTGACTGTAGCACACAGACCCACTGGGATCACAATTCACCCCTCACTTACAACTCTGGACTGGTTTCCGTGTAATCATTGAATGATTCAAAACGTGGTGGCACGTAGGGTTAACACTGTGATTGCAAATTCACATAAGGGATGTACAAGGTCTCTAAAAAAATTTAAGACTCAATGGCAGTGACATCATCTGGGATAACTAGTCGGACGGCAATATGAAAAAAGGGCGACATGAGACATGTGCAGGAAGTATGAAGTCAAATAGAACAAAGCTCATTGACCAAACAACCATCATCCAGAAAAACTTGAGATCAAGACAAGAACCGAGGCTTCAAATATGGTCAACACCTTTGTCGTCACGGGTCTACACGTGCAACCGCATGTACCAACAAAGAGACACAAGCGCAGCCACATGTACAACACCTTGTCTTGGTCGGGCTAACCGACATTCGTAACAAGAAAGATCGATGATGACAACTTTACAGAAAGGTCTTGATTCTTCATCAGCGACATAGAATGATGGCCATACTGAAGCAGTCCAATCTGGGGCCAGTCGACACTGGCACCACTGAGTAGGTGACAGTTTCTAAAACGGTGCAGTGCCATACATGGTATTTCCAGACTTGTACATCTGTGGCGCCATAGGTATTTCAAACTCCACTGGGGCTGCATGCATGGACAAGAAGTGAGCATAATATAGTCACACCGGCATTCACAGCGCAACCTCGGAATCACATGGCAAAAGCTTCACAGATTAAAACTTGACTGGTACGTACAATACAGACAGTTCCATTGCTCTTTCTCTTGGTTCTATAATTATCATTGGCTCGGCGTTCAAGTACAATATAGTCATTGTAACATTGCAGAGAGCCACATCAGACACAGATCTATTGATATAGAAAACTTGAATAGAATAGAAAGCGTTGACAATGCCTGCTGCATCTACATAAGCAGCTTTGCCCAGGCGGATCAATGACCGTGACTGAATGCATCACCATAACAAGTAAGTTATTGCGAGGTCAGCTGACTTACCAGTAAGGTGGTGCAACCTGTTGAATGGCCTCTGGTGCGTAGATCTGATCGTTTCTTCACTGGGCCGACGGTAGCTACTTTTCATAGTGGTAACCCCACTGTGCATGACAATGCGAACAAATACGAACAGAAGCGATCGGAATAAAAGTAAGTAAGAGATGCAATGCAGGTGGTAGCTAGAATTACCGGACTGAACAGCATGTCACCAGTGTAGTGAGCAACACTATCCTCCACTGTACGTATCCTCCAACTTGCCACACAACCTGCTTAGCACAATACACTAGCTTGTAGCAATGGACTCCGGACCATCCAGCTAACCAGCAATGTACCTACTCTATCAAAGCCATAACTTACAACATATAGAACTAGTGCATTTATATCTTGCCTCGAACACTGAAGAACTGCTACTCACAGGGCCTAGGGTCTGTCCAGAAAAGTACTTCAATGTCAGCATACACCATGTACACCGTTCAGGTAGCTTTCGAGAACCGGGTATTTCCCCTCTGCAATACAAGCTACTTGCATTGCAGTTGGGGAGTTCCCAGGTCACCTTGCATACTGAGCCAGTATGACACCTGAGAATACAAGTACCGTTGTACAGTCATGTATATGTGAATTGCCTAAGGTGCATTGAGCCACAGTATGCAGCATCGCTAGAGCCTGGGTTAGTACTACATAGTGCATAGTGTCACAGTGAGTGCATGATGTGGATGCATGCCGGGTTAGACTACCTGTTCGGTACAGGTGGCAGCATGTAACTTGGCATGATGTTATGGCAGCGATGCTTGAAAGTCATGGAGTCCATCATCTCTAAGCCCCGAGCTTCTGGGACTTGATGTAGGCTCATCGCGCTGCGCACAAGAAAGTTACGACAGAGAAGCAAGATTGGCAAATCGACTCAATTGAGATGACATTGTGGTGTGGTGGCACGCTCATGGAAGCGATGAAGGTGATGTCAAGAAAACATGTTCATGCATGAGATCGAGCGAAGTATTCAGGTATGGCAAATAACGTGTTTTACGTCTGATCAGTGCAGGAAGACTTACGGCTTTTGCGAGCTGTGCCCCCATGCCTTAGGATACTGTTGACAATGGTACACCGTTGCCTGGTCGGGACAAGGCAGCTCAAGTTGCTGCTTCCTGTTACAGAGAATACAATAAGAGCAAGAAGAAACATACATGTCATCAGGGTAGTTACAGGACTTGCATGCAAGTTGTAATGCATTGAAAAGTTGACAGAGTGAAGGTCAGTAAACGCATCTCCAAGCATTGGCTAAAACACCCTGCAGGGGCAGGGGTATGGCTAATCTACATCTAAGCTGTGACTTACACGGACCCTATGTTGTGGAGGCTGCCAACAACAACAACAACAACAACAACAACAATGCATTGGGTTATCATCAGAACATGCCGCTCCACACGGACATTGGTCTGTGCAACTTGCCGCCGACATTGCCCCTACGATGTGCTCGTCAGAGTCAACATGCACTGTACCTTGTGAACTTGTGATGCACCTGTCTGGACGTCGTCATAAACTCTTCACCAGCATTCATTACGCCACCTTCATGTGGCTTGGTCCCCGATGTTATTAATTCGTCCTTGGGCTCCGTCGGATTCATGAGCTGTGAGTAACAAAGGAAAGGAACAAAGGAAAAATAACCGCTCTCATTGGTCTAGGTATCAGCAGTCTCCTCTACATTGTGTCTTTGAACCTAGTACCAAATGACATTCAACTACACGTACTTAAAAAGGCGACGTAGAGGCAATCTTTTAAAATAATGCAATGAATAAAACGTTCTGGAACACTTTATTCATTGCTATGATTGTAATACGAGTGCTCATACAGTTTTATTCATTGAACTACATGTACATTTAGATATACCCATGCATGCATAACGTCGAGGCAAACATGTGACCATAACAGCACCATCTCCACATTCCATGTACCTTCAGTGGGAGATTCCCATGATGATGTGCTAGATTCAGGGGCCGGAGGTCTGTGCCGAATTCGCTGTTGACGAGCGGTTTTGCTCGCTCACCCCGGTACTTGTCCTGTTTCTCAGTTCGCTGGTGCTCAATAGACAAGGGTTCGCGCCATGGCCGGCCTTTCAGCTAAGAGTAAAGTAGAGCACAGAGATTATATGGCACTCAGCCACCACTTTTGAAGAAACTTCCAAGAATTAAATTCTGAGATGAATACACCTGCAAAGATGTGGGAGGAGCAGAATCAATCTGCGGACAGAATGTTTCGCCCTTTGTGGACTCAGCACAGCACAGAGAAAATGAGGCCGAACCTGATAGCAATAAAAATAAAGGAACAGAATCAAAATGTATCCATGTTGCCCTGGCCACTTAGATTCTTTACCCCCCCCCCTCCCCCCTGCCATTGCTGAGTGAGTACTGGCATGACTGTGATGTCGGGTGTGGGTAGCTGGTAAGGAAGATGACCCTGCAGGACCTCCTACAAGTAGTCCATATAACATTAGAAGCACGTATCCATGCAGGCGCTAGAGGAAAGCGCAGTGTACGGCTACCTGCTATGCTTCCCAAGTACTGTAACAATCAAAGGCCACATTTCCAGCGACGATCTCTTCTACTAGCGCGGGCAACTAAAAACCCCTTGCAGTCTACACCGCAATTATGCATCTTTACTTTGAGGGTGTAGTGGCCTGGATCCTGTACAGTTTGGTGAATACTACTGCTGTCACACTCACTCTGTAGGTAAAGCCTTCGTTGTGATGTGTCTTGTAGCACGGCGCTGCGCGGCTGTTCTCCGGGTGAGCCACCACCGTGTCCAGCGGCTGGTACGAGTGATACGTGCCAGTCGTCGTCAAGTACTCCTGGCCTGTCGAGCGACTCTCCTGATCACGCAGCACGGGTGGCAGTGGGAACTGGGTAGTTCGCTACAGTAACCAGCATGAACCGTCCGAACAAAGCATTCCGTGAACTTATACACTGGTGCTGACATTAAAATCATGCACAGCAAACCAACTACCTATGGTCTACAGTCACCAGTATGAGCAGAACAAAGACATGGATTCTGTGAACTGATACACCGGTGCTTAAAGTTGCTATTAAGCTTAGAAAGCACAGCAAACCAACTACAGTGAAACGTCGTTAGGAAGAACACTGATACACTGATACACTGATAAGACAAATGTTTGCTTAAGAAGACCTAGTATTCGAAACTCCATTGGATAAATCACTGTGTATTCACTGGGTATACCATACGGATAAGAAGAACTCCCGTTATTGCGAACAAATATCATCGGTCCCTTGGTGTTCGTCCTAAAGAGGTTTGACTGTACCTACATGTATGGTCTTGAGTAAGACTGGTTTTGCTGCACAGGACTTGATCCTGAACAGTTGGTTAGTCTGTGGTAATCAGGCCATCCCAGCATGCAAGTACAGCATTAAAAACTTCCGGTCTCGTTTTCCCTTCATTGGTATATCATCAGTTTCTGGTGGGTGTCGTCCTTGGCTACTGCCCATATAGCAAATGGGGTACAATATTCGCTTCACTCGATACATGTACATTGCTACGTCACGTGACTGTTACCATGTTGACCGCCAATCACCGACCTTCGAGAGCATGTCAGTGTTGAATATTGGCATAGCCATCACGGAAGTGAATGGCTGGTGTGCGATTAACGGGCTATAGCTGTAATGTTTATGCTGATACCTGCTGGTACCACCCTGCTGGGTCTCGTTCAATATCCCATGCGTTGTTATTGTGGCTAGTGACAGCGCTGCTGATGACAGTCAATATAGCACTCCCCAGAGTGTGTGTAAGACCATGCACCTAGGGGAGGTCTCCCGGCTGTCCACAGCTACCTAGGCCTTATCTGCTGCTGCTAGGATGCGCAATTGCATGTATTATGTAATGTTATGCCCCCCCCCCCCGAGTGTGGGACAGGGCGTGTTGCAGTGGGACGGTCACAGAACTCCTAGACAATAATCAGATACTGATAGTGACACCGATACAGCTACAGTGTACATGTATAGTACACTACGAATCATTCACAACGATTATCATTACGATTTCGTAATGATAATTATTTTAATAGTCAGTGTGGGGAACAAACCCTTTCCTAATGATTATGAATATCATTGTGTGAAGAAATACCGGTTAGTCTACGATATCACAGCGTAGGTCTACTCTGTATTCTGTGGACATTTCTTTCCTTACTTTGATTGCTGTGACATCGCGATCCTGTGCCGCGGTGTAAGCGTGCCCAACACCCGTGCTAGTCAACGCCCAGTCATCTCTCCACTGCGCTGGCTGCAAGGTTTTCGTCTGCCAAATCACACGCTCTATGCTCTCCTCGGCCATGACCACCGCACGGTGCACTCTTGCTACCGCTAACCAATACCTGGTTCAGCGCCTGTGTTTACTTTTTACTGATCGGTCTACGGAACACTACTCCTTTCTCGAGGGAGACAAGTTTTAGTTTGAGACAAGGAATGGGTGGGTCCTCCTGTTTATTCGTCTTATTCGCTGGGGACATACATAGTACACGAGTCACCACGTCACCTGTGCTCTGTCGTCTGCGAGGAAAGTGTGTGCTGGCGCAAACGACCCTGAATAAGTAGCGATCGAGAGGGAGCGCAAAATCCAAATGTAGAGCTAGCTACCAACCATGCATCTATTTTCTCTCAGAAAAGTGAAGGATGTATGAACAGGGGAAGAACGCTTGGTTTGCTGCACAAGTCACTGCACACGAGCCTCACCATGCTCACTGACTGACTGCAGTTACTTGTTGTGCTTGGTGATGGCGTTGCGGCAGCACATGTAGCTTTGGCAACGTGATTCCCCTGTCGACATGTCGACGAGCCGATAGCTGCACGTGACGGCGGAGACTCGACTTGATTTTTGATTTTGTGCTGGTAAGTGGTATGGCTGTTACTACTACCGGTAGTAACAGTTTGTTATAATAATTTTAATTATTATAACAAACTGTTACTACCGGTAAAATATTAATAGTTATTATGGTGTTAGCTAGGCTACAATGCGGGTACGGGTATCATGCCCGGATATGAATGGTAGTAGCCTTCTGAAGTAAGACTAAGTAAGTTGTTGTGTATTTTACTTAGCAGATTCTAACGGGCAAGTAACTAGTTGCCCAATAACAAGAAAGCGAAGGCAAAGAAAGTAATAATACTAATATTACTTTGTACGTGAAGTGTGTGGGTTACAGTGAGGGCTGCGTCCCACCCGCCTGTGTGGATTCACAGGAAGTGTGAGTTACGAAGTCTGAGGAAAATGTTGAACGGCCTCTGCTGGGATGACGACTACACCATAGCTCAGTGGTTAGAGCATCGCTGGCTTCAAGCGAAGGTCCCTGGTTCGAGTCCTGGTGGTGACAGTCAATTTTTTCTTCAGACTTTTCCCGTTTGTCTCTTTCCCTCAAACCAGTTAATACTAATATTACTAATAAAAGAAATAACCGGGGGCAGCAGAAAATTAATAGCTTTAAGAACTCAGATGGTGAGCCAAGGAACAAAGTAATTAGTTCTGTTCTAGAATTCTGTGAATTATCATGGTTATTTATGGGTACCACCAGACTGCCACTTGCCAGCCGCAGGTGTTCAACAGTTACACCACGAACACCAGTGTCAGTCAGTAACAACGCTCGCAACATGTCAACAGGTAGATCTACTAGCTAGCTGTTCATGCTACCACTAGCGCCTCGCACACCTTGCTTCTGGCCGAAAACAAGATTTACAACGACAAAGGACAAAGTGCCTGTTTTGTGATCAACAGCCGATTTCTTCCGTTGGTAGAGGAGAGTGATGACCTTGCAACCGTCTGCTAGCTGCTAGTGCTACCGATATAGCATGCGAAGAGATCAGCCAAATGATTGAAATTTGAATGACCGCAACTAATAATAGAAATGCACAAAAACAAGTCTAATTATTTGTGGGGATAGATTGCTCATTTCCCATCCAAGCTTACATCCGTTGCGTCCGCTTATCAGCTCAGTCAATGTACATAAAATAATATTATGCCTACTCAATCATAACCATGATAACGGTCCTCTTCACATGTACATGTCGAGCTGGCACTGGAGTGGAGCAGTGACTTAGCCCAGCCTTTTGCACAAAACAAAAACGGTACACTGCCTGAACCTAAACTAAGTAAAGTTTGCAACCTTGTGCTCCGTCACACGATCAACACAATGCAAGACACACACAGTCAGTCACTCAATCATAACGACGTGCAGCACATGCACCTGGTGCACAGGCCCCAGTCGTGGCTTCAGCTGGGACTGTTGCTAGTGTTGGACAGTGTTGCATTGCATCCGGCCCTTGGCCTTGCTCACGTGAGCTCTAGGCAAGTGTTGATCGTGTTTTCATGCTTGGAACCTGTTACTAAACGCCGCTGCTACCAATGATCCATCTGCTTTGATTGCATTGGAAGGCCTCCCAATCTCCTATTGCCAATATTGGCATATCCTTGTAGTATCTTATAAGAATGCAGAGGAAACGTTTTGGACAATTTATCTGCTTGGTCTGAAGCGAAGAAAGAAGTGGTTGCTGCTGTCTCGGTATCAGTGCACGAGCTGCCAGTGGCATTCGCTAGTCAAGATTCGTTTCAAACATGTAATGATCAGGCAGCTCTTTACGAGCTGTGTGTTGCGCCGTTTCATGTGCAGAACCTCCAGCAAGTGAGGTTAGGCCAGCATGGCGTCGTGGGCCGCTTGGGCAGGCGGCTGGTTGTGGAAGGGCTTGTCGTCCGGGACCCACTATCTGGTGGCATCGACGCTAAAGCAGATTGTCGTACTAGCCGTTCGCCGGAGCCTGGGGTCCTACATCGATGGACTCGATCCAGACTCATTGGAAATCACAGCTGCAATCCAAGCCGGTATGAATGAGTGGTGCGATTCATTCCACCGTGCATTTTTAATTATGAAGAGTAGAACTGGGGCCTGTTGACCCCGTGCACGCGTGAGGCGTTATTGCCCTTTGCCAATATCGTTTGTCCACAGGTCGAGTCAAGTACGTTTTTCCGGACTGAGAACATTCTATTAGTTTCAACCAGTTTTACTCTTCTTGAGTCGAGATGAATTGGACCAGCTGGTGCACTGTATACAGTCTATGATGCCTGATACCTGGTTCTGGTGTGGCCAGGGACTCAAATACAAACAGCTGCACCATGCTTGGGCCTGGCCGCGTACTGCAGCCAGCCTCATGCGCCGCCATAGCTGCACGGGAAACAGTGGCTATACCAGCGGATGAGCGCATACATCATTGACCATTATTGAAGCATTGTTTGAATATTTTCCAGTACCACGGGCGCTGGTCATCACTATAGTCAGTTGGGCAATGAAACGGCCAAGCCTTTGCTAGAACTAATCCATTTTGATGCGAATTTTTGTCTTTCAACATGATTTGAAGGTTTGTGTTCTCTTAAAAAAAAAATCAGTCACTGGCTTGGCATACGAGTATGTGATCGCTTGATGTTCTCCTAATCATTTGCTAATGACTAGGGTCCAGCTGCCTAGCAGCTTGGATACTTTCTCGATGATCCTACCGAGCAAAGTTGAAAACTCTGTGCCCTTGGCAACTCAGGGGTAAGCGTTGGAGGCCGTTACATGGTGTAGCATACATGCGACTGTTCTGTTTTGCTTGCAGGGTCTCTGCACATGACTGATCTGAAACTGCGGCCTGAGAAACTGGTCAGTGCCAGACTTTAACATGATGCCTTTGTGTGTGTGTGTGTGTGTGTGTGTGTGTGTGTGTGTGTGTCCCATATGCGGCAGTGGTATGTGCAGCGATTTCTAATCGAGAGGTTACGGGTTCGATTCCCGATGATTATGGTCAAACACGTCTTTCTTCTGTTTCTCAGACTTCTCCTGACTTTTCTTTCATTCTCCTGGGTGGTTACCAACAGCCAGTGCATGCCGGAGTATGTGGTGTGATGTGTGCGCCGAAAAAAAATGAAAAAGACCAAAAAGTAGGGATTCACTGGCCAGAAAAAGCCACTTCATAGCTGTGTGGTGTAGACAGGCTGAATAGTGGCGGTCAATTCTTCAGCCTTGCAAGTTGTTGAATGGTGCAATCCCAGCACAAGCTGCTATGGCTTCTGCTGTAGTATTGCTATCATCGCCTTCGGCGATGGGCGTCCAATGGTCCAATGGTGTGTGTGTGTATTTATGGTCCCACACATCTTTCTTCTCTTTCTCATTCGCCTAGCTCTTCTTTCATTCTCCTGGGTGGTTACCAACAGCCAGTGTATGCGGAGTATGTGGTGTGGTGTGTGTGTGTGTCGAAAAAGAGAAAAAGAAAAAATGAAAAAATGAAAAATGAAAACTAGAGATTCACTGGCCAGAAAAAGCCACTTCAATCAGCTGTGTGGTGGATACCAGGCTAAAATTAGTGGCGGTCAATTCATCAGCCTTGCACGCTGTTGAATGGTGTAATCCCAGCACAAGTTGCTATGTCTAACATAGCTGTTCGCTGTCATCACTTCCGCGATGGGCAGGTCTGAGGTGTGTGTGTGTGTGTGTGTGTGTGTGTGTGTGTGTGTGTGTGTGTGTGTGGTGTGCATGTGCCATTCAATGATATTCATGGCCAATTGTTATATTATAATCATGGGCATAATCATGCGGCTAAAAAAAGAAACAGAACTGGTGATCTGGGTATGCCACTTATTCAGGGCCGACCAGTGGTTCAAGCACACCATGTACACTGAACTATCAGCAATACTGCGGCAATTTTACGGTTAGAACTGAGTCGAATCCGAGGGATGGTGATTAATTTGTTTCTTTTCTGGTTTGATCTCATGCGAACAGTGCGAACTACTTGGATTACCCGTGAACATCATCGACGGCAGAGTCGGTAAGCTCACTCCGCTTATTTCATGCTCGGCTTTTAAAGTTGTCAGTTGTTTTCTTCTGTATGGCATGCACAAAACTGAATAACGTTATGACAACATTGTGTGCATTGTGGCCGGTGAAGTGCTTGGACAACTTCACCGTAAGCTACCGGTGCGCCAAGCGCGTCACCGTGACACACACAGTCTTTGGCAGTTCTTCAAACTCATTGTCCGAGTGACGCAGTCACAACTGTATGAGAATCTGCCCGTGCGCGGCGGCTGTTTTCCGTGCCTGCCTGTCTGGTTAGCATGCCAGATGGCCGCGACACACTTGGCTCTCGGCTTCCATGCTTTCAGCACGTTGGCTGTTGCTAGATCTTGCAGAGACATGGTGTACTCGTGTCTGCATCAAGTATGATATCATCAAGTATGATGTCATTAAGTATGATGTAAATCAAGTATGATGTCATCAAGTGTGATGTTATCAAGTATGATGTCATCAAGTATTATTATTATTATTATTATTACACCTTCCAGTGGTTAAAGATGAATCAGTGCCAATCTAGATGAGGAGGGGGCGTTTGCCAGCCACGGCGTAGAAAGAAAGTTATAATTATGATGTCATCAAGTATGATGCAGACGCGCACCTGTCGCTGAACCAAACGTGCCCCAAAATTGACTCTCGCTCTGATGCGGCGATAGCGGAGCCACTATGATCATCGGGTACAATTATTATTTTGTGCTGGTGCACTCCAGTGTATAGGCAAGGGTGAAACTAGTAATAAACACTCGGCATTGCCAATTGCGCGTGCACGTGTGTGCAATACTGCTCATCATGCAAGACTACAATAGCACTCGAGAAGAAAAAGGAGAGAAAAAAGAACCTTAGTAGCTAAAGTCTAGATTTGAACTCAAGAGAGTAGCACCTGTGTCTGGAAAAGTAAAAAAGTCCAAGATCAGGCAAGAAAAAAAGTGTTGTGGAATGGGATTTGAACCCACGCAGGTACTAGTAGTACAGGTACACGTGCACACCGTGATTTGGTCCAGTTGAGAATTTTGAATTATTTCTTGAGACAATGCTAAGTCAATGTAGGGTTGTATAGTAGTTTTGACGTCTCACCTAGTTTCTGCAAAGGAGTTTCCTGGCGAGGTGATGTTTTGCTTAGCCTTATTATGAAATAATAAATGTAGCTGCATGTCATCTAGGCACAGACCTTGCTGTTCTGGCTTGCCTTGCATCAGTGATACTGAGCAGGTAAGTTTGTTTCTTCTCCTTTTTGGGCACACTGGCAAAGAGCTGCTGAAACACTGAGCTGATGCACCCTTAGTTAGACCCCCAGCTCAGCTCATGGGCCTCTGGTCCTGATTACTATGCACACCTTGGGATTTCTAATAGGTTGTTTCCAAGCAGTCTGTGATCTCCTCTCAAATGGTTTCGTGCTGATCGCGTTCCCAGCATGTGTGCTCCGGGAGCTCGGGTGTGCATCCCTGCGGCACAAACTGCCGCACTATGACATTGCACATTTGATCGTTGCTGCTGGACTTGCTTGCTATACTAGACAGTGACCCCCACTCTTGCACAAGCTGTGCAACCCGCTTCACATAGCAACAACTTAATACGTGTCGTCCTTTTGCCGTTGAGCGGACAATATGCTTTCAAGTGGAATGGGGGGGGGGGGGGGGGGGGGCTGGAAAAGGCTATGTTTAGTACACCCATGGTTAATGGCGACAATTATGGATGACCCTGTACTGTGTATGTGGCACACGCTTGCTAACCCTTATTCCGACAGCAGAAATATGCCGCCTACATGTAGTTGTGCAGTTCTACAGTTATGTACTGGATGCAAGTAAAGTACAGCCAGCTAGTTACTTTGCATATAACGACACTCGGCGGGGCATCAGAAAAAGTGTCCTTATTCGCGAAGTGTCCTTATACCCGAAGTCTCATTATATGTATTACAGTTAGATGGGACTTTGCTCTGGGCATGGAAATTCTGTTGTTATTCGCAAATTGTCGTTATATCCGCAGTCGTTATTAGCGAAGTTGACTGTAGTAACATATGTTGGTAAAGTGCCCAATGCGCTTGGCGCGGAGCTTTTACAGTGGCTGCTAGAGCCCTGGCACAGAATCAGTGTTTGCCTGAAGATTACCATACGCATGAGACTCAGAGTTGTAACCTAATTCTTGATACTGACCGAGTGAGTGGTTTTGTCTTCCTTGTGTGTACTGGGTGTAAGGTTGTTATGATTGTGTGTGACTGTGTGATTGTGTGCGATTGCGTGTGGTCGTGTGCGTGCGTGCATGCATGCGCGCGCGCGCGTGTGTGTGTGTGTGTGTGTGTGTGTGTGTGTGTGTGTGTGTGTGTGTGTGTGTGTGACTGTGTGGCTGTGTATGACTGTGCATCGTGCTCCGTGCAGGGTTGCTAAACGTTCACATACCGTGGTTGAATCTATTCCAGGAGCCAATCAGAGTAGAGCTAGAGAACGTTTCGGTACTTGTGGAGACACTAACAGGTATGCAATTGTGTGACTAACAGGTGTGCAATTGTGTGGTGCTGTAAGCAATGTACCGATGTACAGCCCTGTACGTTGTCATCATAAATGCTGATAGTACACGGGTGTCCGAAGGTATTTTAGGATGGTACTGTCAGCAATCTTTGCTTATGACTTTGTATGAATGTCCTTTTTTCTTGTGTGAATATCTGAAGTCATGCATGTGTACGGTGTGTTGCAAGGTTGATCATTCTGCTTGGTGATGTATATCTGTTGTGTTGCAGCCCAGAACTTTGACAAGGATGTCTACGAGGCAACCGTGCAAAGTCGCAAGCAAAGCCAGCTGCAGAAGATTGAGCAGCTTGTTCAAGAATCTCAGAAAGGTTAGTTGAGCTTTGGTGTTGGTTACTTTGCCATGTGTCTGCTACCCTACACTAGATGTGTGATGATTTCTTGATGCTGGCTTTCTCTGATCAAATAAAGAAGCGACAATGTTAGCACGGTGTGTGCACATACATTGGTGCCAGATGAAACTCACCCCTAGATCTCATCTTTGATCCTGTGCAGCCGGGCTTTGGCTATCACCTTGCACCACTGTAGGTGTAGTGCAGTGCAGTGTGGTGGGAACTTAGAGGCATTGCACTGCTGTGAGCAGAGGCGCAGCATTAGCCCTCTGGGGAGTACTCACGACTTGTGATGACTTCTGTTCGTGTTTGTAGTATACGCATATAGACTGTTGCATGCATATTAGCACCTGGTACTATTGTGGAAATACTACAATAGTGTGCAGAGTTTAGAAGACGGCTGTGAAATATCAGCGTAGCTAGTATAAGATTACCCTTGAAGAGGCCTTCCACCTTCTTGATCAGTAGGTCCTATGCCACTGCTGTTGCTGTATGTTTAGCAGCGTGTCTCTGCTCTCTTCCTACTGTGCAGATGAGGCAACGGAGAAGAGTGAGACAACCCTGTGGGATCAGCTCGTCACCAAGGCTGTGGAGTGCATCGAGGTTTGTGCACTTGTCGGCGATTTGTCCAAGCGCGCATGTGTCGTGACTGGATGCAGTCTTAACTAGTTATGTAGAACAGTGCTGACCTTTGGTACTTCGAACAACGCCAGGAATTCTTGGAAGCAGATCATTGTTAGGTCAGGTACTCCGAAGAGTAAGCTGATGGAGAATGGGATAGAACCGATCGTTTCCGCTTCTTTGGCTTCCAGCTACCGGTGGCTGGAACACATTCCATATTGATCCGTTCCTGGACTCCACAAGGGCTCGAGTATGAAGCGCACCCTTTACATATCTTTTATATCTCGTGCATGCACGATGCACCACGCGACTACGTAGATGAGATTCCTGCTCATCACCAGTGTTTTTCAGTCCATGACAGGTGTTACCAGTGTGTTGTTGTGTGCTTGGCTGTTGTTGTTGCTCAGGTCAAGATTGTCAACTTGCATTGTCGCTATGAACATTGCTCCATCAAAGTAAGTTGTTTTGCTTCAGACCTACCAATCTAGCAGTTGTGCTTGAGAGCAATCAATGTACCATCCTTTGAGGCAATATTGTGGATGGAATCACTCCTTTGAGGCAATACTGCGGATGGAATCACTCCTTTGAGGCGATATCGCTGATTCACTTCTTTGCGGCGAAATTTCTGATGGAATTACTAACTGAAGGGCACATGACTTGTGTAAATGCTCTGGCATTTCTTTGTATTTTGCCACTGACGGTGGCTGGACTGTTCACTGTACTAAGAACAGAAATACTGTACTGCATTTATGTGTGTGCATACCTGTGTGTGCGTGTGTGCACGCGTATGCAAGCATATCTGCATGCTTGTGTGTATTTTGCATAGCGTGGCTATCAGGCATTCTTCTCTTTTTATACGCGTACTCTGCAGACTACCTCCGATCACCTCGATTTTGCCTTTGGTGTTACTATTGAGGAGCTGGATACGAAGGTCAGTCGCCGCTATACGAAATATAGCAGGCATGCACTACGCATGTAGTGTGAACAATACTAGACATGATGGTGGGTTCTTCCATCGATACTTGTGTATGATGTGGACATAGCTGCACATAGCCGCAGTGAAATGCACATCACTGCTCGGTACTGCCCGAGTACATGTAGAGCTGCATAGTAAAGGAAAGCTAAGCTACTTTGCCGAGGCTGCACGTGTTGCCATGATACCTGAGTGTCACTGCACGATGAGATTAAAAAAACAAAACAAAGAACAAAACGCATGGCAATCCACCTATCAGTTTTTTCTATTGTTGCATGGTTAAAAAAAATCTTTTTCTTGAAACTTACTCGAATAGTCTAGCCCGGACCTCCAGCAGTTACCTGAGCGGGCAAGGAATCTCTTCGCTACATGTAGTTCGCATCGTTGGATGCTGCCCATGTTGGCCAGTGACCGGTTCTGAGCTTGTCATTTCCAATGTTTCTGGAGGTTTGTGAACTGAGCATTAGTAGCCCAGCCCAGCTGGCACTAGTGTGTCCGTTTCTGTAGTGTAGTGGTTATCACGTGTGCTTCACACGCACAAGGTCCTCGGTTCGAACCCGAGCAGAAACATTTTTTGCCCTTGTCTTCATGGAGCTAATTTTTCTTTTCTTCAACAGGGCTTCGAAGTCCTACGTCACACACCGTTGACGACAACGTAGCAGCGGAGTTTTGGGTACAATCATAGTACCCCCACCAGTTTTTTTGTGGTGAAACTAAACTAAAATTTAGTATAGTTGTAGTTACGTAGTACTTCAGAAAGGTATAATCTTCTCTGTTTCTCGCCGTCGATCGTGTCAGTCTTGTTTCTTGCACGCCCAGTGCGGTCCAGAATGGGGCTGTGCTTTCTTAAAAAAGCTATTCCAATCGCTGTGCTCAGAGCACACAACACTGAGTGGAACCTCCACAACAATAGCTCCTGGCCTTGTCTGGGGGGGGGGGGGGGTCTCAATCTATCCTGATACGTGGGTGTCAGTTGTTACAGTGACAGATTGAGGGGAAGCCATGTTGAGAGCACTGGTGACGCATGTCATTGTAAACAGTTTCCGCATTCTTCTTCTTTCTCCTTTGCTGCTCGAAGGAGTAGCGTGCCTTCTGTACTCTGCCGTACACATCTTTCTGCTTTCCATCCTTGACAGTTATTTTGCTTCCCCCGATTTTCTTGAAAAAGCTGTTCCAATGCCAATGTGTTCCTCTCACGAATCGATGGAGATACCTCCAGATATTGCTGCCAGAACAGTACAGTAGAACATCGATTATCCGCACATCGACTATCCGACCATTCGATTATCTGAAGTGAGAAACTTCGCACGAACTTTCGCAACTTTGGACGCGAAACTTGCAGGGAACGCGAAATGAACTTTCGTAGGAAGTTTCGTGAGATTGGGTCATGTTGTACGTGCACTTGGCGTTTGTAAACTTAGAAAATGTGCAGAACACAAAGTTCGTGCGAAAATTCGTACACACTTTCGCAAGGCCTGTCGCGAAACTTCGTTCGAACTTTCGTTGTGCAGAACCTCTCTAATAACCACTTCGACAGTTTTGGACATTCTCCCCGTTTCGACAGTTTGGGATATTCTTGACTATGGCTGCTCCACCATTAAAGCGGAAGCGGATTGTTCTGTCGATTGATGAGAAGTTGAAGGTTTTGGACAGTCTGGCTGATGGAGCTTCACTTGCTGCTATCGCCCAAAAGTTTGGTGTTGGTCGCAGCACTGTTTCCGACATCAAAAAGCAGGCAACAGATCTTCGTGCTCACAAGGAGCAAATCGTTGAGATGGGAATGAAGCGGGATTCCAAAGTCATCCGGTTAGGTAATTTCCATGAGTTGGAGAAGGCGCTTTTATTTATTTATTTATTTATTTATTCAACATCTCCTGGCCCGTCCGAAGACTGCCAATAAACATGAGAGGTCAGGTGATAGCCAACCACGGCAAGCTAAAAAGGGAAAAAAAGAAAGATGCTGTCAGAGAGGGAAAGGAGATAGGGAGAGAAAAAGAAAGGGAGGCACATTAATAATACATGGGATCACTTCGGATGAGACAGTGTGGAAAGCTGGACTGTGAATTTCCTGATATCCTGGCATGTCTTAATGCTAGTAGGCAGGTTAGACCAAAGGGAGTATGCTGAGAAGAAAGGGGATTTCAAAAACAGAGAGGAACTAGCTCGGGGCAGTGATAAGGCATTGCGTGTTGGTCTAGTGGTAACAAACCAGTTGTACTTGGCAATATGTTTCGGGACTTGGGCTAGGAAGATTTTTTGCACAAGGATACAAAGATGCTGCTGATGTCGGGCAAGAAGAGGGTGCGTGGAAGCAAGTTTATAAAGACAAAGGGAGGCAAATGTTTGGTCTTTTCGAAACAGAATTTTCAGAAGCAAGCGTTGATGTACCTCCAGTCTGTGGAGTAAAGTCTGAGACAACCCGCACCAAGCTATATCGCAATAGTCAAATATAGGCAAAATGTACGACTTAAAGAACAATTCTCTGCAGTTATCATTCAAGTGTTGGCAGTGGGGTTGTAGCATACCTAAGGACGCACTCGCACGCTTGCACACAGACCGGACTTGTGGAGACCAGGAGAGTTGGCGGTCGAGAATAACGCCCAGGTGCTTGTGCTCGTTAACAACTTTAATAGGTGTACTATTTAGACCAGGAAAATACAGAAGTTGAGTGGGGGGCGAGGGAGAGAAGAACATGGCCTCGGTTTTGGCGAGGTTAGGCTTCAGTTTCCAGGTTTCCATCCATGTTACTGTAGCGTTGACCCCGGACTGCATGGAGGCCGTGAGGTTGTCGGCCGAGCTGTCGGAGCACATCAGAGCAGTGTCGTCAGCAAAAAGACTTACATTTGGTACAAGGGCTGGCAAGTCATTAACGTACAGTAGAAATAGGAGCGGCCCAAGTATGGACCCCTGGGGTACCCCAGACACGACTAGTAATGGGTCTGATAGGGAGGTAGATACTCTGACAGTCTGGTGGCGGCAGGAAAGATAGGATGAGAGCCATTGCAGGGCTGGACCGTGTACCAAGAAGACGGACTCTAGCTTTGCAAGCAGACCACGATGCCAGACGGTGTCGAAAGCTTTCGCTAGGTCAAAGAACACGATGCCAACATGCCGCCTGAGGTTCCGCTGGGTGTAGATGTCTTGTACTAGACGTGTTAGTTGGAAAGTTGTGGAGTCTCCACGGCAGAAACCGGATTGAGATGGTGAAAGCGCTGGGGTGACGTGGCAGTACAGAGACTCAAAGAAAATACGTTCACAGACCTTGGACACAGCGGGAAGGAGAGAGATTGGTCTGTAGTTGCCAGCCTGAGAGCGTTGGCCTTTCTTATAGATCGGGACGATAACAGCAGATTTCCAGACGGACGGAAATACTCCTGTACGATATGACATGTTAAAGAGCAGGCACAAGGGATAGGACAGAGATGGCGCAAGCCATTTGAGAACCTCATTGGGTATGCCATCTTCGCCAGGGGACTTACAATTCTTCAGGAGTTTGAGGTGCTTACAGACGGTAGCAGTCGTGGTAACGACGCGTGTGAGTGGTGCGCTAAGTTCAGGGGCTGGGGACAGCGATGGAATGACCCAATTCGGATCTTCCGGAATGCCGGATGAAACAAACTGCTTGTTCAGTGTGTCTGCAATCACCTTCACATCGTGCTGGCGGTTGCCATTGGAGTCCGTCAGGTACTGGATTGGCGCGCGGGAGGTCCCGCGGCACTGGTTGCGAATGAATTGGTGGAGTGATGGGCGATCGGGGGAGGAGAGTGTTGCAGAAAGAGAGTTTAGAAAGGAGCGGTGTGAGGTACGAGAAAGGTGCTTGACGAAGTTGCGTTGAACTCGGTAAGCCTCCCGGTTAACCGGCGTTGGGAATTTCTTGTAGATGCTGAAAAGATCACGCTTGCGCTTCACTTCAGATACGAGGGACCGTGTCACCCATGGGGGACTAGATGTCGAGGATGTTGGGTTGGAATGTTTCCGGTTGTTGTAGCCGATAGCAAAGTTAGAGAGGTGCTGTTGGAACCCTCGTTCAAGGACGGCTGCAAAGTGATCTACCGCGGCGTCAACAGTTGGAGAGCCTTCTGGTTGCAGAAACGACCAGTCGTGGCAGGAGAAATCAGCGTTCATAGAGTCCCAGCACTGAGAGGGAACTCGACGGAAGCGATATGGGAACGGTTTGCGAGAAGGAAGTGGCAGGTCTGGATCCGAGGGCAATGAGACGGCGAACTGGCATGAAACCATGAGATGGTCCGAGGAGCCAAGAGCGCAAGCTGTGTGAACGTCCGTCGCCAGCAGGGGTTGGTTCGTGAAGACAAGGTCTAGACATGACTGTGTTCCGGAAGATGTTGTGTGCGTTGGACTCTGCACCAGCTGATCCAAACCGAAGCAGGTAAGGGTGCGAAAAAGTGCCGCCCCAGCAGGACACGTTAAATCCGATGGGCACCACCGTTTGTGCTTACTGTTGAAGTCCCCAGCCATTATGACATGGTACGATGACATGGGAACGGTTACCAAAGCACTAGCTAGCATATCACAGAAGTGGTCTATTTCCGTGGTTTTGACTGAGGGCGGACGGTAGGTACAGCAGACGAGGATGGGTGTCGGGGAGCCTAAGATTGGGTGAAGCTCAACCCATACGGATTCACAGGTCGGACGAGCAAGGTCGTCGCGAACTTGGACTCTTCCGAAGCGATTTTGCCGGACAAGAATCGCAACTCCACCATATCCTCTGGTTGCTTTACATCTGGTTTTGCCAGAAGCGCTCCGAAGGTATTCAGGTGTCCGGTCCGGTGCTCTGCGAGAAAGCAAACTATCTTGCAAAACTTATTTACGGTGATGGATCGACGTTTGTCGCGAAGGATGGCTGGAAATGGCGCTTCACTCAACGATATGGCATCCATTGTTTGGTAGAGCATGGAGAGAAGCAGGCGGCGGATCGCCCAGCAGCTGACGAGTTTGTGACGACTTTCCGCCAGTTTGTAGAGGATGAAAACATTACTAGCGAGATGCTCTTCAACTGCGATGAGACTGGCCTCAACTTTCGGCTTCTTCCCCGGAAAACACTCGCCACTGCTGCTGAGAAAACTGTGGATGGGAGTAAGTTGTCCAAGGAACGTGTAACAGGCAACTCAGCACAGGACTCAGAGTCAGAGGATGAAGTGGAGCTTGTTCGTCAGCCAGCAGTGTCACACTCCTCAGCTGCAGAGATGCTGGACAAGTCCATCTTGTGGCTTGAGGAGCAACCGGAGGCGACTGCAACGCAACTTGCTGTTCTCCGTGAGCTCCGAGCTATGGCGTGCAAAAAGCGCATGTCTTCTCTTCAGCAGCGCACTATCACTGACTTCTTTCATCAGTGAGATTCGGACATGAACTGGAAATTGGTTTGCTTTGGGCATTGTTGCAATTACGCAATGCACACATACAGAGCTGTGATAGTGATCTCCGTTGTTCTGCATGCATTGATATGAGATAGATGAAAGTGTGTGAGTGACAGTTTTTTTCTTATCCGGAACATTTGCCTTATCTTAACACCGCCTGACTGCCGTCTGCCCAGAGGTGGTCGGATAATCGATGTTCTACTGTATTCAGCAAAGAAACTGAGGTTACGCTAAGTTTGTATGTACCCAATAATTTCGTTGTCATGCGTCGTCAAATGTGACATAAGCACTATGAAGCCCTGTGGCTTCTTCTTGTTTTCTCACTCAGACTTCCTTGCAATCGATCAAGTCAAGTCGTGACTTAGGCAAAACGGTGGAGCTGAAGAATGTTGCACTCTACTGGAACACGAATGCTCAGTCATTTGTTGGCAATATGGCCGAGGTGAGTTTCAGCCGTGATCTGTGCAGAGCATGTGCATGCGGAGTAATGCATAGGAGTAGAACATTCATTGGTATGAGTGTGTGTGCGCATTTGCATGTGTCCAATGCACGGTGTGCCAGATAAATGTGTGTGCATGTGTCCAATGCATGGTGTGCCAGATGAATGTGTGTGCATGTGTCCAATGCACGGTGTGCCAGATGAATGTGTGTGCATGCATGCAATGCACTATGTGCCAGATGAATGTGTGTGCATGCATGCGTGCAATGCACTATGTGCCAGATGAATGTGTGTGCATGCATGCGTGCAATGCACTATGTGCCAGATGAATGTGTGTGCATGCATGCGTGCAATGCACTGTGTACCAGATGATGTGTGTGCATGCGTGCGATCCACGGTGTGCCAGTAGTACCACTCTACACACCACTGTACATACCTAGTATTTACCGTGTCCAGTGAGGGGAGAAAAGTTTATCCCCGCTGGCGTTCACATTGTTGGTGGTGTGAATGCCAACTTTCTCAAACCGCACAGACGCTTCATCACATATGATCCTCTCAAGGCGTATTATTATTATTATTATTATTAGACACAATCTCATAGCATGTGACAAGCATAGCTAATGCAGGGACAGAATCCCCTGAGACAAGGGCGTTGAGCCAGCCACGGCAATAGTAAGCTAGGAAAACAAAAGCAAATATTCATTAACCCTTTGAGGCCCATATTACGAATATATCCGTACCAGTGTACAGTGCATACTTTTCAAAGCGCAACCTGGCGTAACTTGGCTGTCCCTTCACCGAATCGGACGATCAAAAGGTCTATCGACATTAGAATTGTCTCAGCTATCGGCTCGAAAAAACCCGAAGGCGATCCGAGGTCGGAGAGCGGAGTTATGAGACTCGAACTAAATTCGGTCAGCAGAGTCAACTCGGGCACGTGCATTTTGAACTCATGCATCACCCAGGTATTCGAGAATGTTCTTCGATAATAATCATTGCGTCTAGTTCAGTTGTGATAGTAGATCTTTAAACTGACCAATAGAAGAACAAGTTTTCAGACCGTATGGTAATGATAATAATAATAATAATAATGACAGTTCGCATTTCACTCATTGCATGAGGTCAACGCATCTGTTAACAATTTCGAGCCAAGCAGCTCTATCAGAAGCAGATTGCACAGCATCCAGAAGCGACAGATTAATGCATTGTAAGTCTTTCTTGACAACGTCGATCCATCTCAGACGTGGCCGTCCTCGGGGTCGTCGTATGTCTGTTGTGTTGATCGACATTAGGAGGGCTTGGAAAGAGGACGTGGTAATGATAACCAATGAGAGTAACCGGAAAACAAGGGGGACTTTAGATACCGGGCTGACTTAAGTGAACAAGAGGCAGGATGAGCGCGTTACGGGTTGAGCTTGTCGAAAACCAATTGTACTTCATCATGTGTGAAGGGGTTTTATGAAGAAATATTTTATGAACCAGTGTACAGAGATGGTGCTTATGACGAAAGGAGAGATGTGTGCTAGTCGATAAAGGGCATCTGAAGGAAAACATCGATCCTTGTTGTAAAGCATTTTAACCCTTTAAGAGCCGCCCCATACTTAAATGCGTCGTAAACGACGCATTCAAATGCAAAACTTCAAAAGATCGTAACTCAGACCAATCTCCCTCAAATCCATCGATCGAAATATCCAGGGCGAAGAGAAAACTCTCACCTGTCGGGAGAAACAATCTGCGATGCGCTGCGAGCAACGGTTCCTGAGATAAATCACTCGTAAGTTGAGCCGCGATCGCGGCAATTTCAAAAGCGCGCAGTGCAACTTTAGTATTGAGAATTTTGAGACTTTTCGTCACTCTGGTTTACTCGAATTTGCACGGGTTTCACTGTTGATATTGTCAAGAGTACACAGCAAAAAAATTGGAACTCCATGATCGAGTAAAAATTAATGAAATATCTGGAGCGGGACGCAATTGGACGCATTTGGGCCATTTTTCGTACTGTCGCTGCGATCTAGCGCTGGATAGATGGTGTGCTGGCTATCATGATCGACCTCATTCTCTTCCTCTCGCGGAGACCGTTCCAGGAAGCCCTAGATTGTGAGGATTGAGTGAGTAGAACTGAAGCTATGATCCGAGGAACACGAAAAATGCAGAATTTTGAAAATTTCCTGTGGCTCTTAAAGGGTTAAGTATAAATCTATGGTGGACTTCTAATTGGTTCCGAGTTGTGTCAGAAAGGCCACACCAAGCGGTATCGCAATAGTTGAATATAGGGAGAATATAGCACTGATAAAATAATAGTTTACACTGGATGGGCAAATGAGTGCAATGTGGTTGGAGCACCCCTAATGCTGAACTGGTTCGCTTGCATACACAGTTGACATGTGCGGCCCAAGAGAGGTTGCAGTCAAACATCACACTGAGATGTTTGTGCTGAGTAACAACACGGATAGGCATAGACGAGTCAGGGAAGTATAATGGTTGATCAGGAGGGGATGAAGAAATATACGTGGCTTCTGTCTTGTCTAAATTGGACTGGAGTTTCCACGTGTGCATCCACAAGACAGTGCTGTTGAATTGATGCGATGCTGCATGGTAAGGAGTAATTGTGCAGGGGAGGAATCAGAACAGACAAGGCCAGTGTCATCCGCATACAAACTAACATCGGGGACAACTGAAGGTAGCAAGAATAACAAAGGACCCAGAATGGAACCTTGGGGCACTCCAGACGTTACAGGGAGGGGATCAGACAAGAAATAGGACAAGCGAACAGCCTGAGAACGAGCAGACAGATACGATGATATCCAACGCAAGGCAGCATCCTCCACCCGGAAGGTAACCTCCAACTTGACAAGTAAGCCACGATGCCATACGGTGTCGAATGCTTTAGCGCTGGGCACGCCATCAGTTAGAATTCTCGGTGACAGGAGAGGCTCCATCTGACGCAAAACGCCATTCACGAATTGTAATTTTGTTGGGTCAGAAATCTGTGGCCAATACACGGGATGATTGGTCCTGGGGTAATACCAAGTGTGCGTTCGCTGTCCCGAAGTAGCGAGACTCCGAGATGTTGCAAGACAGTACCTCAAGTCAACCCCTTTCTCTGAGCACCACTTGACTATGCCTGTTGCAGTACTTGGTCCGACTTATTAAAATGTGCGCTTCGCTTCGAAACTCAAGCCTATGTCCAAAGGAGCACCTGTACTAAAAAATGGACCAAGAGACGATAGATAGGTAACTACTGTGTCGTTTCTTGGCCTGACCTTCTAGTTTTCATCTCTGCTGGTGTCTCAGGGCGCTTCTTCAAGTGCGTCAACCTGCAAAACGTCGACATTTTTTCATCTCCTCCAAGCTACACTGCGCTTCCTTGATTTTTTCACTCCATACGCACGATTTAGACAATCGACTTCCCCTCCTCCTCGTGCAGTACGACTGCCAGAATGGTGGCTGTAGGTGTTTTCGCCTGACGCTCCCACGACACTTTCAAATGAGGCGAACAAGTAAACCACCACGCATAAAAAAATCACTTCTCATCACCGTGGGCCGCGCGCGTAGAACTACAGAGTCTGATCTGTGTCGACATGACTGTCACACAGTCAGCTGCATCAGACCATGATTGTGTGCTCTTCCCTGCCTGTTTCACGAATCCACTGGCCCCGGAGACTGGCGATCTTGTGACGCATCGTGATCGCGGTTCCGAGGAGTCGGCGAGGACTCCGCACCATTCACCATGTTCACGCACCGTATTCACCCTTTCTGCGCTTCAGATTTCCAGCCAGGTTGTCGCCTGAAAGTCGACCTCAAGGGCGGTTGTTTATATCGATCAACTCAGTCTCGACGATCTCTTCTGTGATCTTGATTCGTCGGCCGCCACATCGTGAATGAATGCGAGAGAGATCAGCACAAACTGGACGGAGCGATGCAGGTGCTTTCTGAACGAGTTTCTGGATGACGCGTTTGCTGAACTTGATTCTTCCAAGGAAACAGCGACTGCAGCGATTTCAATCCGCCAGGAAGCACTCGAGAACGATCGCCCAGGAGTTTCTGGTACTCCGTGACAATTCCCCATCGCAGTGGGGTGTTTATTTCAGCACCTGGCCTTCTCTGTGTTTCGCGAGAAGCAACAGGAGTCCTATGACGACAAAATTTTCACGCAAAATGCTCGAGTCGACTAGGATCCTGAGGCGCTGCCTCCTTTGGGGTTGGAGCCATTTCTTCTTCAACATCACAAATCGACAACTGAAGGATAGTGTTAGGTAGCTGGAAAGTTTGTTCCGTCCTGAGATTATTTGAATTTGTTTGGCTGACGTTCGAAGCGAAACGCACATTTTAATAAGTCGGACCAAGTACATTGTGGGTCAACCTGGCCTAAATAGAACACCTTACGCTTAACCCTCTCAGCACCCTTCAGATCTGCAGTCTTACCGGTACATACTGGCTTCCAGTACTCCGAGGTGGTGATACGGGCCAGGGGGTCGCTTGCAACTTGACCCTGTACCATGACTGCTGGGGCGGAAGCGGTGTCGTCTGCCAGGCTGTTCCCACGTGGCCTGGTCACGTACGGACTCTACAGAGTGGATGATGTCGGCAGCGGGCTGGGGCACACTGGCAGTGGCACCACGAGGAGCTGGGGATCCAGAGGATGCGTATGACGATGACGCAGCTGGTATGTGGTTTCCCGCCTGTGAGTACAATGCAGAGTGCTGTTGGGGATGAGCGGGATTGGCTGGCACGGTGGTGAACGTCGTACGTGATCCTCGGGCAAGTTTGTCCTCCAAGGCAAGGACCTTCTTTTCCAGGGCTTCAATGGCGGAATTCTTTGCCGTCGTCTGACTAACCACCGCTACTTTCAGCTCCTCTACCTGGTTTGTCAGTACTTTCACCGTGTCCACAAGAATGGCTAAAAGCGAAAGAGTACTGACAGGCTCGTGCGGGTCGCCAGATGCGGTCCCAGTCCCACTCGTGGCTGATAATCGACAATCTAATTCTCGCACAATTTCGGATCTACTCTGCCCGACCCACTGCAGATCGTTTCGCCGGGCCAGCTCCTTTAGATCCTCATTCGTAAGAGAGCTCAAATCTACTTGTTCCGAAGCCATTGGAAGGCTTTCGAAAAGAACACGGGAAGAGCCCCAGAATCCTGAACCTACTGTCAGAATTCAATATCAATACTGGATGCTGACAGCACTGTGTTTGTGTGTGTGTGTGTGTGTGTGTGCGCACGCGCGTACGCACGTGTGCGTATTTGTGTGCATGTGTGTGTATGTGTGTACTTGCGTACGTCACATCGTACTCTCTTGCATGCAGGGTATGGCGGCCTATCTGCCTGGCGGTGACAGTGAAAGAGCTGTGAAGGCTGACCATGGTACGGTATTAACTATGTATGTAGTGTTCAATGTGGTACAGGTATCGCTTATGAGTTGCATGTCTTTGCAACTGCACACCGCACACTGCCATTGTATCACATGTTTCTCTATTTGAGGCGTGTTTTGAATAGTGAGAAAGCAATTTGATGTAGACTTTCCAAGATTTTACTTCTACGAGACAAATACACTTACATAATTATGTGCATGCGTATGGGTGTACATGTATGTGTGCGGGTGTACGCGTGCTTGTTTGTGTTTGTGTCTGTGTCTGTATGCACTTGTGAATGCTGGTCAATAGTTGTACAGCCGGTGTCTGTGGTGGCCAAGCTGGCGCTGAATCTGTCACCGGAGAATAACCCCAATACGCCCAAGGTACAGTGTCTGCCGTGTGCTGTTTTCTGAGATGTAGCGTGTGCTCTGATGTTAAAGGTTGGACAAAATGCTTGGAATAGAGCACGGTGGTTGGGCTGGAGGTCACTGGTGAAACGTGGGGTGGAGGTGATATGTGGGGTGGAGGTGATAAATGGGGTGGAGGTTATACATGGGGTGGAGGTTATACGTGGGGTGGAGGTTATACGTGGGGTGGAGGTGATACATGGGGTGGAGGTGATACATGGGGTGGAGGTTATTTGTATTTGTATTTATTCAACATGTCCTGGCTCGTCAAACGACTGCCAATGACAAATGAATGTGAAAAGAAGGGTGATAGCCAACCACGGCACATTGCATGGGGTGGAGGTGATGCATGGGGTGGAGGTGATGCATGGGGTGGAGGTGATACATGGGGTGGAGGTGATACATGGGGTGGAGGTGATACATGGGGTGGAGGTGATACATGGGGTGGAGGTGATACGTGGGGTGGAGGTGATACATGGGGTGGAGGTGATACGTGGGGTGGCATAATTCCAACATGTGCTAGTAGCCAACCCAGCTGCCTGTAGCATCACAGCCACCCACACGGTCAACGCATGAACACTTTGAATGCTGTGTCGTTCATTAGACTTCATTGCGATCTGTTTGGCCAGTAACTCTGAGCTCTGCTGGTCAGACCTAACTACATTGTTAGTTGAAACAACACCTCTTCCACGCCAAGCTTGTCCACTCAATAGCCATCTTCATGTTTGGCCGAACCTTCGCCACATCACCAGTGTCATCTTACGGCTGCTGCACCAGCCAAGAGTATGGTGCCGACTGAAACCAGCTTTGAATTCCTTGATGATGCCTGCTTCAAGTGGCTTCACCGCAGACGTCGTATCGGGTGGCAAGAAGACAACGACTACGTGCCCAAGGGAGAATCCACGGAGGTGGCCTTTATTCCAGACTGCAGCATCATGGCGCATGGCGTGTGTTGTGGCATTGTCCACCAACATGTAGCCTTTTGCTGATGCAACTTGAGCTTTGGCAGCAACATGAAGGTTAAAGTTGCGAATTGACTGCACAGACACTTTGCTCGGCATCCATGCTGACTTGTTGGAGAAGTACTGGACGCCTGCATCTGATGGGCTTCCACTGGCTGAAACATCTGGGTGTTTTAGCAGTGCCAATGACAACAAGTGAACAGAAATCAGTGCCTGAATCATACACAACAACAAAACACAAGAATAGGGAACTGAAAAACTATGCATTCACATGTAAAGCAGATCCCAACTCACACAAGCTTAGACTGAAATGAGTGAAATCTCCATCAACAAAAATTACATGAGTTCACAAATCACATCACAGAGGATGATGCAGACTTTTCAACACAGCAACACACTCACCTGACGAGTTCACAAAGAGGCCGATAGTGAAGCGGTCTTTAGCGAGCTTCTTCCCTTTCCGTCCCTTCGTGTTCGGTGATGCCAGAGTTCTTGTAGGCAACTGCCGAAAGAACAGACCAGTTTCATCAAATTGTACACCATGTCCCGTTCGACACCAGCGAGAACGTCTGGGAGCTCTTTCCGAGCAATGTCAACGCCAGCCTGGTTCACATCATCACCCTCGCCGTGGCGGACCTGTTGGTTGACAGCATTCCGTCACGTCCAGTCCCATAACCCTATTCGAGCTGAAATTGAAACCATCCGGAACGGTTTCATTCTTACCGATCCGCTTGGCTGCCTCGATGAGAATCGAATCGGTCATCGGTGCTTGCTTGGCTTCCATGTGGAGGAACCAAGTGTAGAGCTCCTGCTCCAAGGTGTCCACGTTGGACGCCCGGAGTTTCTTCTTAGCGCCAGTACGATCAGAGAGAGATGCCTTTCCCTGCTCCAACCACTTTGCTGAGTTCTTCAGGATACCACTGGGTATCCCCTGGGCTATCTCCTTGCCAAACTCTTTCAAGCACCAAACTGGTGTCCCGTTCGACACCAGCGAGAACGTCTGGGAGCTCTTTCCGAGCAATGTCAATGCCAGCCTGGTTCACATCATCACCCTCGCCGCGGCGGACCTGTTGGTTGACAGCATTCCGTCACGTCCAATCCCATAACCCTATTCGAGCTGAAATTGAAACCATCCGGAACGGTTTCATTCTTACCGATCCGCTTGGCTGCCTCGATGAGAATCGAATCGGTCATCGGTGCTCGCTTGGCTTCCATGTGGAGGAACCAAGTGTAGAGCTCCTGCTCCAAGGTGTCCACGTTGGACGCCCGGAGTTTCTTCTTAGCGCCAGTACGATCAGAGAGAGATGCCTTTCCCTGCTCCAACCACTTTGCTGAGTTCTTCAGGATACCACTGGGTATCCCCTGGGCTATTTCCTTGCCAAACTCTTTCAAGCACCAAACTGGAAACTTCTTCTGCGTTGGCTTTGGAACAAACTGGCTATGACGCACAAGCTTCGCCTTTCCGTCCAATGTGAAGCTGACCCGCTTCATGCCACCAGTTCTCATGGAGCCAGACTGCTGGCCTGCTTTCTGCTTACCGGACGCGCTGATAGCAGCTCCGGATGGACAGTCCGTATCACTGTCCAGTTCAACGAGTAGAGAGGGTTCATTCGATGCCATCGCTCTCAAAATACTCCGAAGAAATGAAGGAGAGGAGGGAAGTGGTGATTCGATAAGCAAAATGAAGAAGAAAGGGGATGCGGAACCAGGACGCGAACAGATTAAAAAAATTGAAAGCGCAAGTGCAGACTTGAGACCCTTCTCCGCCCTGCGTGGCTACACAGGTTTCCCTCGCGGACTCAAGGCTGTACGATCGGTGCACGGTTAGCAAAAAAGTGCAAGATGCGCGACCGCAATCGATTCCGCAACACATACGGCAAAATGTTAAGCGTTGCAACATCGATTTGTGAACTCGTTTCAAGTGTGTACCCTACAGGCACTGGGTCAATCACAATGCATGCTTGTAAAAATCATTGAATGTGTACGTGTGCATGGCCTGTGTTGTGATCACAGGAGTGTGATTCCCACCTACTTATACAATGTGACGTCATGCACGTGTATGTGCTGTGTACATTATGCGTCATGGGTCTCTGTTTCTTACATTGGCTGCAAGTGGCCCTGGCTACGGGACAATAACGCATTCCAGCAGGATGCAGCTGCCCACAGTAGCCACATGCTTCACTCAAGCGGTGTGCCGGTGCCAAGTCAACATGAACAGGTGTCGACTTCACTGGTGCTGTAAAAATCCTTTGACTGGACCGATCCACATACGCTACAGTTTCCACCGCGGCACCACTCATCTGTAGTTCGCCTACAGTTTCTGCAGCCAGGGTGACAGCCTGCGCTTTTTCTGCCACCTTCTCGAGGGTCGCCTCGCCCTGTTCCAATATTTTCTGGCGGGTATACACCGACTTCAAACCACGAGCGAAAAGGTGCACAGACACATCCTCCAGAATCTTGTCCACCGACGCCGCCGCTGTCAAATGGCAATCGCGCATCTCCTTTTGAAGGCGATGCCGATACGCGGGGATTGATTCGCCATCTCTCTGTGCCACAGAAAAGAGTGCGGCGAGTGCTCCGTTTGCCTCCGAAATATTGTTGAAATAAATCTACGAGGGCCTGGTACGGATCGTCTCCAGATGTGATGTCAGGGTACCTCTACCACAGGTAGTAGGCAGCTTCTCGCCTAAATTAGACGCGGTAGCAAGATAACGCTCCTTCTTGTCCGCCACTTTGTGGAGCTGGGATTTTATACTTAGCTGGCTCAGCCAAGTTTGGAAGTGGTCCGCGCTCGTGATCGAGATCGAGCTGGACGGACACCTTTATCTTCGCTGCCATCTCGCGAGTCGTCACGACTGCCACGAGCTGAGCTACTAGTATATCCTGTTCACTGCGCCAAAATGTTGGGTTCGGTTAGACAAGACAACATTGGTGCTAGTTTCAGTTCTTGTCCAAAACAAACTCCAATCCAATATCCGAATCCAAAAATCTAAACAGTGTACGAAAACAGTGCCCATGCGCTTGCGCATCAGTAAGCACGCAGAACTAAGCGATCACATGAAAGATCCGCTCACAAAATATGCATAAAACACAGAATAATAAAACAGAGACCCATGACGCATAATGTACACAGCACATACACGTACATGACGTCACATTGTATAAGTAGGTGGGAATCACACTCCTCTGATCACAACAGCCTGCTTCAGCACTGTAGCAAAAAAACCCGATTGTTTTCGATCTCCAAAGCTCGCTGAAGCGGTCATGGAGAGCCTAAGGTCACGGACTCGATATTTTTCAGAGTCAGATATCGTTTTTGATCGAAAAAAAAAGTCAATTGGTCAATGAGTTCGCCATTGTTATAAGGGTAATCGTTATAGTGATATCCTACTTTTACTTACAAGGGTAAGATATTACCGTAGTTCCGCGCATATAAGCCCACGGGCCTATATCCGGATATAAGCCCACCTCCGTTTATAGGCCCATGGGCTAATAAACAGACCCAAACACCGTTACGGACCCGTTTGTCAAGTGTATTTTTCACAATACCGGTACAGAGCTGTTCTTGTTGATGAGCCAGAAAACAAGAAAGTGGAGGGTTAAAAAAGAAAGGAAATTGAAAAAGACAAAACAAGTGCTGAATTTTCAGCAGTGCAGTATACGGTGGGCGGACAACCGCGCACGGACTTGTATTTTTTCGCGTGCCATCTGCCTTCAAAATTCGAATATAGGCCCAGGGCTAAAAAACGAACCATTATTACTGATTTTGTTTCCCGGAAAATGCATTATTTCGTATATTAGCCCATGGGCTTATATGCGCGGAACTACGGTAACCAGAGGGTAAGCAGCAGCATTCGGCCGTTGAAAGTTTCTGCGTTGACATTCACCACCACCATTGCACTCTGTGACCGACCACACACACACACTCACTTGCCCACAACAGCAACAAGAGGTTCTTTCGAGCATTGGAGTTTTATTCCTTCTGACAGCTGTTTTGGTCACTAAGACCACAACAGAGAAGGTTAAATGTTGAATGACTGGAAAAGAAATAATCACCTATTTTATACTGACTCTTGGAATAAGAGATGGCGCGCTAATGAGCGCGCGCTTGATACTCGAAGTGTGAAAACAAGGTTTTAGAAGGTATTGAAATCAAAGAAGCGTCTGCAAAGAGGTGATAGTTACTGCCGGATGCTGTAACCCAGCACGGATACAGCAGTCATGCAAGTAGCCTACCTGTATGTGGTCGGCCACAGAGCGCAATGGTGGTGAATGTTAACGCAGGGTAGGCTAGTGTATATAGAAATCAATGGAGTGATTCCGTCAGCTAGAATTTTATCGCTATATTAAAGGGTTATCGGTATACCTTACCGGTATAAGGGTAGGTGGACTGTAGCTTTTACTGGTGCAGTTGTTTCCATAGACTAAGACCAATGATGTTGGTGCTTACAGTTATATTTCTGTGTGACTATGCTCTGTTTCCTTCACTCCCCGCGCGCGTGCGCGTGCGTGTGTGTGCGTGTGCGTGCGTGCTCGCGTGCGCGTGTGTGGGTGTGTGCACGTGTGTGTGTGCACGTGTGTGTGTGCACGTGTGTGTGTGTGCATGTGTGTGCATGTGTTTGTGTGCGTGCACGTGCACGTGTGTGTGTGTGTGTGTGTGCGTGCATGTGTGCATGCATGTGTGTGCATGTGTGCGTGTGCACGTGTGCATGTGTAAAGGTTCGTGTCAATGTAGCACTGGGCAAGGTCAACGTGTGCGTCAAACGCAGCCAGGTACTGTATTGCATGTTCTCTGCATATTTGCTCTTTTTCTTGGGAGATGACGTATGGTTTGACTTCATTGTTGCATGCACACTGGTGTTACGACACTCTCATGTATATCAATCACACCACCACTCCACAATGCGCTCTCGGCCGACCCATTCAGTTTGAATGATATGTACGTATGGCTGAGCTTGTTGCTTATTGCTCTATGCTCAAGTAGCCATCATCAAATTCATTTCTGCCTTTGGTGGTTGTTTTTGTTGTGGTTGTTGTTCACCTGTCCTCAGCTCCTGTGCATATCTGATCTACTCAGCTATTTGCAACATGCGTACGAGCATCAGGCATCCTGGGTGAATCGTCCGGGCATGCCCGTTTCCAGAGATCGCCGTGCCTGGTCAGTTACGGTTCCAATGCAAGACTCTGTTCTTCTTGGTTGAAATGCTCTCTGTTCTTCTTGGTTGAAATGCTCTCTGTTCTTCTTGGTTGAAATGCTCTCTGTTCTTCTTGGTTGAAATGCTTCAAATTGCTATGGAGTCTCAGTGTGAGTAGGGCTTCTGTCAAAGTCAACCCAGTGTTGGAGGTAATCTCCACAGGAATTGGTCTGAGCGAGCAAAACGTGTGCGCCATATTGATATAACACAAACATGAGTGCCTGTATGTTTCTGCGTTGTCTCTGTTTCTTTCCTCTTAACGTTACTGTGCGCCTCTTGGTTGTTCTCGGTTGCTAGGTTCCAGTATGCCATTTCTTCTGTCGTTAGTGATGTCCGTGCACGAAGCACGGCCACCATCTCCTTTCCAGCTCTACTTGAACGCAAGTATGTGTAGTGCGTGGTCCATGTCTGCTTTACATGCTTGGCAGAGAAAGAGTGGCCCATTGTCAAAACTGACCATAGGGGCAAGGGGTGTCGGAGACCTCTTGTTTCATTGAGCTCGCCGTGTTATTTGTACATCTGCCGACTTTCAGCAACCTGAGATTGAGATAAGCCACCAATGGATGATGGAAGAAGACGTTGCGTGCTTGAATGTGTGAACCTGTTTCTATCAATACTGTATATCATGTAACTTTAGATGTATTTAAATTTCGGTACCAGGGACCTGCCAGGTTTCAGGTGTAATGTAGAATTAGGTGACCAGCCTACCCTTCACATAAAGTGCATACTCTAGTGCCTTTTAGGTGTAATCCAAATTTAGGTGCCTGAATTCTCTACCGAAATTAACGAAATTGAAATTACACCGAAAATAACGTGGTATACAGTAGATTTTGATTGAACCAGTCCCCCTCCCCCTCCGGATCTTGTTGATTCTGACTGACGAACTTGACCTGGAATTGGAGACTGCATGTGAATCTATTCATTACTTTGCAAACTTGTGTGTGCGTGCGTGTGTGTGCACATGTGTGCGTGTGTGTGTGTGTGTGCGTGTGCGTGTGTGTATGCGTGTGTGTGTGTGTACAGGAAGCTTGGGTGTGAATACACTATCCTGTATCAGCTGCACCTGGAGAAGACAAGCCCGGACCTTATGAAGCGTTTAGCAGTAAGACAATACAATTGTGTTCTCGGTGCATGTCCCAGTATTACAAATCTCAGGATACTATTTTCCGGACACCGATAAGCTCCTTATTACTAGTACCGGTAATGTATAGTTGTGTGTTTGTGTTGGGAATACAGTGGAACTCATTCCTTGTTCATTTGATTTTGCCTGAATTTCACTTGACGAGGCTTTGAAAACTTTCAAGATGTTGCCTGAAGTGTGTCCTTCTTCTTCTTCTTCTTCTTCTTCTTCTTCTTAGTATTATCGCATTCTTGTCTGCGAGAAAACTGAACTCATGTAGTATGCATACATACCCGGATTATGTGTACACATGCTTAGTTCTGACATATCTGAGGCACACTTTTCCCTCTATGAGCGGATATGCCGATGCCACAAGAATTTGTGTAAATGCTGTCCAATTTTGCTGGTCTCTTTGCCAGGAGTTTGAGTGTCGCATGGATGTGTCCAACATTGCACATGCACGTCACAAGGCTAGGATAGCGGTGAGGTCTTGTTTTTGTCTACACTGTCCACGGCCCAAAAAAAACCTGCGCCCCGTTTAGGCTGTGTAGATTGTTAGGTGTAGCCAGAAGCACGGTCATAATTGCATTCTGTTGTTCTCTTCACACTCCACATGATTCACCATGCATGAAAATAATTTTCTTGGAGACCCAATGTAATGAGAGTCAGAGTATTATGAGACTAAGGATAGACACAAGCTTGGTGCTCTTTCCACCTGGGTAGAAGGCAATCAAGTGCTTGTGGAAATCTTGAATTGTTGATTGGAAATAGACTGAAGCTTGTGTTACTCCTTTGTCTCATCACAAGAGAATGTTTCTACTTCCTCTTTAGGCTTTAAAACGTTCGTATGTAGCTACTAGTATTTCTTTGTGCACACGCATTGCTGTGCATGTTTCATTTAGACCCGGTGCTCTATGATGAAGTGCAAAGTGTGTGCAGACCTGTATGATGAAGTAGGTGCTGCCCCGTTGTAAAATCCGCAGAGCGCCTGTTTCGTTCAGAAAGTGTGCACGGATGACATCACAATGACGCTCGGCCTTCCGCCGGCACTGTTTGTTTTCATTCATGGCTGCTGTGAGCACTCTATTGGACGGCCTGGAACCTCTCTGTTTTTCATGGCTGTGTGTAGATGCGCAAACGGGACCTTCTGGAAGCTGAACGCGAATCACTGCGGAACAAAGATAGCGCCGAGTCGATTCTTGGCTGGCTGTTATCATGGTGGTATGCAGAGAAGGGCTCCAAAGATACTGGATTTGATGATGACAAAGGTGAGGTGTGAATGCATGCCACTGTGTACCTGGCATGTATCAACAGCTATATTCAATACCTGCATTTGAAAAAGAGAAATCGATGAATGTGTCGGCCCTTTGCCCTCATCAGGATTGGCAAGAAACAAACAACGGTATGGACCTAGTAGAGAAAAAATCTTTGTTCTAGGTTAATTTATAATAAAGAAAAAGGATCAAGGAACTTCAAGTTACGCTATAATGTCCACTAACACCACCAGTTACTTGACAATCAGCGCATGCGATAACATTGCACAAAACTGACCGACAGTACTGACGTTCTATAACTAACTGGCTATCAGCTCTAGCACGTCTTGGGTGCGCACTCCAACTTGGAAGGTTCTAAGTTAAAGCGTAACTTGTAGTTCCCTGATCCTTTTCTTTACTATAAATTAATCATTGGCTCTCCATCCGAGTCTGCTCTAAAATTAGATCTAGATATATCAGTATTCATGCACTGCTAGCATGGCACCTTGAGAATCAGCACCTACTCTAGTACTAACCACTAGGCTACACGCAGCCCTACCCCAGCCACAGAGCACACATTAGTGGAATTTGGCCCTCATCTGGCCACCACAAGGTATCGGGGAGGGGGCTGATTCCAGACAGGGGCGATGTACATAGTTGAGAGACCATTTTGGGTGGTATGGGGAATATTGCCAGTAACAATACTTGAAGTACCCGTAACCCCTTCGTGAATTATTGGTGTGTGTAATGGCTACTAAGGGTAGTCAACTGAGAGCGCATGGAGGAGAAGAGGAGGAGAGATTGTTGCGTTATGGTTGTTGTTTGCACAAAGAAGTGGCTACAGGGGAATTGTAGCATCCTGAGATGAGACTGTTAGTTTTGTTTTTCCTGTTGCTATTTTCTGTGAGCAGAGACACTTTTTCATAAGGTTGCTCGTCTCTCTGAGCACAACCGACAAGAGTTGCATCATGTTCTGGGCTTAGCCGATAGCGCTGTATTCTCGGCAGACCTACCTGGAGAGGTGGGTGATTGGCTCTGTCTTTGACATGTCCTCACTGACATGTTCTTTTAGTTTTCTCAGTCTGTGTGTCTCTCTGATTCTGTCTGTCTGTCTGTCTGTCTGTCTGTCTGTCTGTCTGTCTGTCTGTCTGTCTGTCTGTCTGTCTGTCTGTCTGTCTGTGTCAGACAACAATAGTAGAATGTCTGCCTGTCTCTGTCTCTGTTTATGTTTCTGCCTCTCTTTCCTTGTCTGTCTCTTTCTGTCTCTTTCCTTGTCTGTCTCTTTCTGTCTCTTTCCTTGTCTGTCTGCCTGTCTCTTTCCTTGTCTGTCTGTCTCTCTCTCTCTCTCTCTCTCTCTCTCTCTCTCTCTCTCTCTCTCTCTCTCTCTCTCTCTCTCTCTCTCTCTCTCTCTCTCTCTCTCTCTCTCTCTCTGTCTCTCTCTCTCTCTCTGTCTCTCTCTCTGTCTCTCTCTCTCTCTCTCTCTCTCTCTCTCTCTCTCTCTCTCTCTCTCTCTCTCTCTCTCTCTCTCTCTCTCTCTCTCTCTCTCTCTCTCTCTCTCTCTCACGTACACGTGCGCGTGCGCACACACACGCACACACGCGCGCACACACACACACGCACGCACGCTTACTCACTCTCTCACTCGCTCCAATGATGTTCCTGAGAACGGTACCTGGGTTCTTCCAAGTTGAGCACGCACCTGATAGGAGTGTGATCCGGTTATTATAGGGACTGCTAGCTACTGTAAAAGTAAAAAAATTCAGTGGTGTTTTGTTTTCGGCAACTTTGGTGCCGAAAATTTTACGGAAAATAAAACGCACCGAAATTTCGGTACGGTACTAGTACACTCACCTGGAAAACGGGTTTACCGAAATTTTCCCTCCACCGAACCACCGATTTTGGAGAATACTGAAAATATTGCAGCACCGAAAATTTCTGGTTTTACAGTACTCAATCTCTGTGCAGCTAGCTGTTTAGGTCTGGTTAGGTCTCATCAGTGGAGCTCAGAGTGGCTGGCCAAACTGATCGCAATGAGGTAGAATGAACAACAAAGCAGTTTTAACTTAAAGAGGCCCAAGGCGTCAAAGTCAGAGTACTCTAGTTGCGAGAAACACAGGAAGCTTTGCCTGAGTGACTGGTTGCGATGCACTTCCAAGTATGTGATATAATAATAGTGATATAGCACTGAGTGTATTTGTTCTGTTGCTCTGTCTGTAGCTATGTGCAATCTGCAGGTCGTGTATTACTTAGATTTTCTGTTTACGTTCTATTGCCTCTGTGTGCTACAGTACGGCTGTGAACAATTTGACTTCAAGCTAAAGCAACTTCAGATACGACTGGAAGACCACAGGTAAATAGCTGGTGGTGGTGGTGATGGAGATTGATCTTGTTTGCTAACAACACTCACTCAATTCCAGTAAATTCAACCCTTGCAGCAGAGAGACCGTATGGGAGTGTTTGAACTGAGTAGAGTGCTTTGTAAATGGCCACAATGGAGTTTGCGAATCCTTAGAAAAGTTACAACAGAACAAGCGGAAGTAAGTTGTGTCAGGGGCAGCCCGTTCTTGTCAACAAATGTTCTTTGCGTCCATAGAAGCTGTGCATTAGTCACCTGTGTGTGCCTGTACTTGTGTTGAGTGACTCACAGTCAGCTTGTTTGATCTTTGACCCGTTTCCTCTTCCACTCTCTGACACGCGTGCATGCACTTTATATTTGTATGAATCGGGGTATCGATTGCTTGTACACGTGCATCATTTGTATGCTTGTTCTGTTTCTCACTGTTCATACTTCTGTTGTCGTTGTAGAGTGCACTTTGATGTGTTGTGCGAGTGCCGTGTTGTATTGGCGAGTTGTGTGGGTCTGCACATCCACAGTGGGTCTGCACATCCACAGTGTTGCTGTTCTTGAGTGCAACACTATCCACTTTCATGCGTTTTGGCTTTGCATTCCTGATTTTGGCATTGTGAACCAACCCAAAGATAGATTCATGCAATTGTTTCTCTATTGCACATCTCTTTTGTCTTCCCTACTTCCACTTCCTTAGGAGAGATGTATTGGTTGCGACCATGACAGGTGCTGGTGTCTCGCTATGGCAACGTGCCAGTGCCAAAGCTTGGGGGTGAGTCTATACTCTTAAGAGCACCAGTCTTCTCTGATTCTTGATAAGGAATATTGTAGCAGCCATAGAAGGACGAACAAGTTTTGCTCCCTTGTTGCTCCTGATTGGCGGTGTTCTACACTTCTTGGTAATTACTTCCTGAAATACTCGGCTTTTGTGGGACAAAGTTGTTTTTGTGCTGTTTCATTCTCAGGCTCAAGTACCAGGTGGAAGATGTTCTGGTGATTGGTAGAGCATCTCGCCGCACTGGTGGTGACCCACCCACGCTGTTGTCTGCAAAGATGGCCAGTACCGATGGTAGGGAAATTCCCCTAACGTTAATATCAGTGGTTAGAGCATCGCTGGCCTCAAGCAAAGGTCCCTGCTTCGAGTCCTGGTGGTGACAGTCAGTTTTTTCTCTCCAGACCTTTCCCGTTTGCATCTTTCCCTCAAACCAATGAATACCCTATTTAAAGATTACATGCGCATTTCTATTGCAAAGTGACTTGCTGCTTTACATGTATGTGCTGCTGTGGATGGAAGATGTTGGTGTGTTGGCCTGTTCGTGATAGCAGTGCAATCTGCTTTCCTCAATCACCAGTCTCCCATAGAACTTTAACACAGAAGTCCTTGTTCACTTGTGCCGATCTGCTCTGTGTTTGCGACTGGTGCAGAGGATGGCCTCTTCCAGCTCGTCTTTGAAGCCAATCCACACGACTGTCCTGAAGACTTTCGCTTCCTCGCCTCACTGAAGCCTGTACAGCTCTTTTATGAAGCGGTAAGCTACATTGTCAATCTATAAACATCTAAGCATTCGGGTATAGGTATAATGTCAAATGCACACTCTTCAGCTTTTGGTGTATGTGTCTACCTGGGGTGTATGTGTCTACCTGGGGTGTATGTGTCTACCTGGGGTGTATGTGTCTACCTGGGGTGTATGTGTCTACCTGGGGTGTATGTGTCTACCTGGGGTGTATGTGTCTACCTGGGGTGTATGTGTCTACCTGGGGTGTATGTGTCTACCTGGGGTGTATGTGTCTACCTGGGGTGTATGTGTCTACCTGGGGTGTATGTGTCTACCTGGGGTGTATGTGTCTACCTGGGGTGTATGTGTCTACCTGGGGTGTATGTGTCTACCTGGGGTGTATGTGTCTACCTGGGGTGTATGTGTCTACCTGGGAAGCCACTAGACTGATTGATTCTGTTGTCACAAACCCGCGCCACTGTTGTGACATATGCACGCATAGCAGAGACCAAGCTTTTCCTTTTTTCATGTTTTCCCATTTTCTTCTATGATTTGATTCGTTAGCTGCGATGTGCTCTTGTGTTCAGTACTGAGCAGATCTTTGTTATTTATTTGTGTGTTTTCAGGCAACATGGAAGGGCTTGCTGCAGTTCTTCTCGCTTCCTGACTCCAGAGAGTAAGTGTCAGTGTAGTGCTTACCCCGGAATGGGTACCTTGATGGAATCAGTTGTTTTCAAGTGTCATCACTGTCATGGTTACAGTATCGGTGGATGTATTGTACTGAGCCCCAAGAGACTGAAGGCCGGTGGGACTTCTAGCTTTGAACACAACTCCTATTGGCTATCTGATACTAGTCAGCATAGTTATGTTGTGGATTAACAGCCTGTTTAGCACACTTAGCTGGGCTGTGGTACACATTCACGATCTCATTTCACCTTGCTTAGCCCAGTTGGTGTTTGATTGTATTCACGCTGCAGGTTGAATGAACTGACGACAGACTTGTTGCTGTTGCTGAGTGCCCGCACATCGACAAGCTTCCAGTATCTTGTCAACCACAAAAAGGTATGTGTGCCTTTGCAGTGCCTGAGTCATGAAACGGCTAACTCTTCACCCACCCTTCTTGTTGACTAGAGGACCCATATCACGACGTGTTGAAGTAAATTAGGTCAAATCGAATCTGTGAGCTGAGGATTATATTCTGTATGATCTTGCTTGTCGGCAGTGGACTTTGGGAATCACTGGATCTCCTTCCGTATAGAAGTACAATGTACATTTATAAGTTGTTGAGGCTAATTGAGTGATTGCCATTTCTTCCACTTTGTCCAGACTCTGGCACTGAATGTCAAGCTGCGCTCACCAATCATCGTCATCCCAGACCATGGAAAACTGAACGGGTGAGCCAAGTTTCGTGGCAATTTGTCGTGTGTCATGTGTCATGCGCCATACAACATGCCTGTCTTGATTTTGTTGACTGTTTTAATATTGGAAACCTGGAGCTCCATGCAATTGAGAAACTGTCAAAATGCTTTCCTATTTCCAAGATTGCCACCTTTAATATTGAGAGCTTGTGAGGCATATGAGTAGCACGTCTGTTGCAGATATTTAAGTTAGGAGTATACTTACATGTATTTGAAGATGGGCATAACACGGATGCTAGGTCTTAAACTGCTGAACGCGTTCGTTTTGAGCACGGCGAGAGGAAAAGAGTGATCAACTCCCCTTAACACTTTGGGCTTTCACTTGCCACGGCTAAACATCCGGTATTTGAGTGAGCCGCGGAACATCCTCCATAACATTGAAACCATTGGTATTTGTAGATACAAACCTATTGCCTGATGATCGTAGTAATACGTGAAACACGGAGTTGCGACACAGCTTCCAATCTCTCTTGTGTAAATACAAATCTATATATGAGCCAGCGCAAGCGAAAAACCGGATAACGGAGCTACGTCATGAACTGAGAAAACGGCTTGAGAAGTTTGAATACGGGAAATCCCCATTCAGCGAAGCGTGTCGCGTGTTCAATGCTTTGCTACGTCACAAGTATGTGACGTAGTGTTCTATGGCGCGGACCATCGCGCAGCTGAGTTCCTCAGCTTTCTTGTGCTTTTTATTTGAAGGAAATCCGTCAAGGGACGGCTGAGTTTCGGTCGCTTGACTGAAGTCGATTTTACTCTGGAGGATCGTGCTTGCACTCTTCGCTCTGAAATTTGAAAATAGTTTGGCCTTTGAAGTTAGTCGATGATTCTTTGACAGCATGAGCAGACGAGCTACGTTCACCGTGGACGATGCCCTCGCTGCTCTGCTCCTTGAAGACGAGGAAGAATTTGTACGCTCAGTTGCTCTTGACGGGCCACCTGTCCAAAATGTTTTGGAGGAATCTGACGACGATGATGACAGTAGTGACAGCCATTTCCTCGACAAGGAGCTCGACATCGATATTGCTGCCCATCGGTATGATGAACTGAGCAGCACCGACGACGGTGATGGAGAAGAAGAGACAAGCGATACTGACGATGTATTTGAGGACCTAGATGCTGGTATGGACGTTCCCCAACATGCTGCAACTGCAGCCACAGTTTTGCCAAGATGTGGATGTTCAAAAAATTGTTTGTCACTATTTTCTATTGAAGATGTTGATCAGAATCGGCTGAACATGGCAGAGCTGGAGCGACCTGATTTTGATTTACTGCTGAGTGGTGTGCTGGAGGCTATGCATTGTGGAGACAAGCTCACTGTCCACCAGAAAAAGCGTAAACGTTCAGCTTTCAAGTACGCTTTCCAGAGCAAGCGAGTGTGTGCCGGTGCGTTCCGCTACATCTTTAACATCAAGAAAGATAAACTGTGGAGTTTGTGTAAGCACGTGGAAAGCAACGGTGCAACGGCGCGGCGACACGGCAATGCTGGTCGACGACCATCAAACGCTTTCACGTTTGAGGAAGTCAAATACGCGGTTACTTTCATAAAGTCTCACGGCGAACACTATGGCATCCCACACCCTGCACCACTACATGGTCGAGATGGCGTTCCTCCCGTGTTTTTGCCTGCAAGCCAGACATACAAGGCTGTGCACAAACTGTATGTTACTGCAGGGAACTCGGCTGGCATTCGTGTCATGGGAGAATCTTCCTTCCGCAGCATCTGGCACCAATGTACGCCGCATTTGAAATTTATGTCTCCACGGACTGACGTGTGTGATCTGTGCGAGAAACTACGCCGTCGGGTCATGTCAGCTTTGACTGAGCAGGATAAGGTGGCCGCCTGTTCAGCACTGCAAGATCACATTGCAGCAGCACAACATGAGAGAGACTACTATCGTGGCGCTACTATCTCTGCTGCCGAACAGCTACAAGCCAGTGCCCAGTGTGCGCCACCATGTGCTCCATGCTCGCAAGCCACGTTCAAAACGCATTATACATTTGATTTTGCGCAAAACGTCAGCATACCTCAGGAGTGGCGACAAGTAGGTCCTCTCTACTTTAAAGTTCCAAGGAAAGTGCAGGTGTTTGGGGTGAACAACGAAGCTGTTCCGCACCAAGTGAACTACTTGATTGACGAGACGGACACCATCGGCACAAATGGCTCCAAGAGCCATGGCCCCAACAGCGTTGTAAGTCTCCTCCACCATTTCTTCGCACACCATGGTTATGGCGAAGAACAGTGTATCCTCTCTGCAGATAATTGCTGTGGCCAGAACAAGAATAAAACTGTTGTTTCCTACCTTGCATGGCGCTGTATGTCTGGCTTGCATAAGTGTATTGAGCTGCATTTCATGATCACAGGCCACACCAGATGTTTGGTCGATGGCTGCTTTGGTTTGCTGAAACGCAGCTATAGGCGCAATAATATCTATAGCATGGCCCAGTTAGCTGATGTAGTGAATGGTAGTGCTGCATGCAATCAGGCGCAGCTTATTCCTGGCTCCAATCTGGAGTGGCGTGAGTGGGATAAGTTCTTTATGCAGTTCTTTAAGCCCTTGGTCGGCATTTCCAAGCTTCACTACATGCGCTTTTCCAGTGCTGAGCCTGGTGGAGTGTATTGCAAAGAGAATGTTCATGCTGCTGAGCAGAGGCTTGCCTTGCTGAAAGTGCCTGCAGAAGATTTGCTTCGTGCTGGTCTGCCAAAAGTCCTCAGTCCTGCAGGACTGACTGCAGAGAGGCAGCAGTACCTCTTTTCTCACATTCGCGAGCATGTTCCATCAGAGTTCCAAGATGAAGTTTGCCCGCCACCTACTGCATCTGCAGAGTGAGACAACATCCTCGCCGACCAGCCTGACATAGCACTTTGATCATTTCACATTCGTTTCTATATTCGTGTATATACTTGTGCTATTGCTCAGTTACACACTTGCGTAACATTGCTCTTGATTACGCCTATTTGCGTAGATGCTCTCATGTACTCTAAAGAGTCACTTGATGCTATGATGTATAGAAGACTCAATATCATGTTACCTATATGTACAGTATCTTTCACTTGATTTAATAATACTCTCCATCTGCTTCATTGGGAAAGCTTTGTTTGGGCCATCAATTATTCGTTCAACACCGCTTGATTGTTTGCGTGCGCTTGAACATCATTTTCCGTATGTTTCGCAAGGACATAGGTGCAGACAAATGACTGTATCTATGGTGTTTCTTGAGATTTTTGAGTCTGGTTTTTTTTATTGGTTTCTGCATGAAATTCTGAAAGCTCTCGTATTGAAATCTCAAAATCGCCCTCCAAGTCCATTATCTGGGTTTTCGCTTGTGCTGGCTCATATTTTCTGAAAGGTATGACACTACTGAAGTCAGAAACACTCACATCAAGTCCAACAATATCTGGAAAGTTGCACATTTGACTGTTAGAAAACAAGCGTTCGACAAAATATGCGATAATTTTCTGACTGTCCAGTTCGAGCTGTATTTTCCAACAGCCAAACACATACTCACCTGATTTATGCTGCAAAGTGCCTCTGGTGGTACAGAGAGAAGCAGTCGCAAGCAGAGACATGCAGAAGCTGGTCGCAGGCTGCACAGTAGGTGACGCATCGCCGCTCAGCTTTTTCCAACTCGTAGCAGTTGACACAGTTGCGCTTCAGATCTGGTGAGTGCTTGGGCACATGCATGAGAAACTTGAACTGGAGTAGGTGCCTGTGGAGGTGCAGAGTATCGACGCTTTGGCAGTGGAGCACCAATGTCGAGATTTGCAAGCTGCCGGATCAAGTTCACACGGAAGCTTGTGCGTCGGTGGTGTCGTCGGCGTTCTATTGCACCCGGATGATCGGCATGGTAGAGTTCGAAATGCGGTAGCTGTTGGTGGCTCCAATATCCAACATGTCCAAGAACAGGCTTTTCCAATACTTTCTGCATCGCCTCAGTGTACAGTAAGCTGCCACATGTTGATCGAACAGGTCAACACCCCCCCCCCCCCCCCCCATGCTCTTGTTGTAATCAGCAATGGAGATTGGCTGGGGGATGTTGACCTGCGCATATACCCCATTCACTTTCCTGTTTCGAGTCACCTGGACTTGGTCATGGCCCTTGTGTGCTGTTGACAGCACACTGACACATCGCTTGTCTTTCCACTGCTGATACACCACTGGACCATCTCTCACGTAGCGCAAAGTGCCAGTGGGCGCTTGCCCCTCAAGTTGCTTCGTATCTGTCTTGAATAAATCCGGCACCTCGCGTCGGTTGAGCCGGACTGTGCCTACCAGGTATGTGTGCCGATCCAGGAGACTCTGTGCCAGCTTAGCCGAGGTGTAAAAGTTGTCGGTGAAAAGCACATGGCCCTTATCCAGAACACCGTCCATAAGCCGAAGCACAGTTTTGTAGGCCAATCCCCCAGCATTGTCCATCTGCCCTGCATACACTTCAAAATCGAATAGTATGGCGTTTGCTGCATCCCGTGCAGCAAACACCTTGAAAACCCACTTCACTGGCTTTGCAGGTAGATACTGGATGAAGCTTGCACGGCCCTTGCACTTCACCATCCTCTCGTCTATCGCGATGCATTGCCTTGGCTTGTACAGGGCCCGGCAGCGGTCCTGTACATGGTCATGGAGCTCTCTGATTTTACGGAGATGGTCGGTGGGGTCTTCGGACCGGTGGTGCACCACCTTCAGGAAACACATGAGAGTCTCAAACCCTACACATGTAGAGACCATGGATCGTGTGTAGTTTCCTCTGAAAAGCGACTCCTCGGACCAGAACTGGCGGATTTCCGGCAGACGGTTGAACGCCATGTGGAACAGCAGTGCAAACAGACAGTAAATTTCTTCGTTGGTCGCGTCAACCCATTCTCCCTGTACTGCATATGATTTCTTCTCCCCGATGTGTTCTCTTGCATAACTGTTAGTGTACTCAACGATTCGTGCTACGATGTCTTCTGTGAAATACAATTTGAAAAAATCGAGTTCACAGGTTGGTTGAAAATTCTGGGGGAGCTGCAGGCCAACGTCGTCACCAGGGTTGAAGGCAGGAAACTCACCAGGTCCATCACCATCGATGTCATTGTATCCTGACGCTGGCTGATAATTCTGAGCTGCTCCTCGTCTGCGATTGTGCGCTACACCATGTCCACGTCCAGGAACTGCATTTGGGTGTGCAGCGATAGGAGCGACTCCGCGACCTCGTCCTCCACAGCCACGTCCTGCAGGTCTCCCTCTGCCTCTTCCACGGCCGCGGGCATGTCCAGCTTGTAGCTCCGAGCCTGAGTCAGTGTCAGAACCGTCAGCTGACTCGCTTGACGTGGAGTTCTCAGCATTGTCAAAATAAATTTCGTCTTCCGCATCGGAATTCATAGCTGCTAGTTCGGCATCCGAATTCTCTTCTTCGTCGGATGATGGCAAGTCAGACTCGCAACAGAACGGAAGTTACGATCTCTAGTAGTGCATCATGTGCTTACCCGTCGAATTCGACGGGTAAAAGCCCAAAGGCATTGAGGGCATTGCGTTGTGTGGATAGGAGTGGTTTGTCGTTTTGAATTTTGCACACATTGTCTGGTATTCTCGGACATGCTCTCTTAAATGTCTCTTTCCATGGCTATCGATGGGATAATGTGGTTTCGCTCACAGCAGGCAGGGTGCTACCTACCTACTGCCGTGGACATTGAAATCCGTTGAGAACTAAAGCGGCCACGGGGCGCTGGCCTTGCAGCCGCGAGCACTACTGGTTCGTTGTTGCAGTGTACGTGAACTAGAATGAGTGTACACACTACGAGACAGTAAGGGCGCCGGCATCGGTCATCCCACCGGATTTTTACGTCCACAACAGTAGTTAGTGTGTTGTTGCGTTATCATGTCGATGATGTCGTGTATCATGTCGATGATGTCGTGTATCATGTCGATTATGTCGTGTATCATGTTGATTATGTCGTGCACGTATTCTGTGTCTCATTCCTCTCTTATCTCACCGCGTGTCTCATTCCTCTCTTGTCTCACTGTGTGCCTCGTTCCTCTCTTATCTCACTGTGTTTTGCTCCTAGATCAACTGCAGTGCTGGTCATGGATCTCGGCCTACTGGAAATCTTTAGCAGCGCCGAGCGCAGTAGCCGGGCGCGCAAATCCATCAAAGATGAGAAGGTTTGTTTGACTAAGATGGGGCACTGGTCACAGATGAATGAATGGAGGCTTTAGAAAGAGCTGACTCTGACAGCAACTGGGAGATGCAATCATACTGCGTCATGCCACGTGGTATTCGGCTTCAGGTGTGGCTGTGACTTTTTATCAATGGCCACGTCACGGTGATATCATTGACTTTTTGGTTTTCCTTTGTTTGTAACCTTAGGAACTGCGGGAGGCGGACTTCTTCGATTACTTTCACGTCAATGTGCTTGACGTGCAGTCGTTCATTTCCAATGAGGGTGAGTGCATCCAGGGATGTTCCGCATGCTTCCACACAGTGTCCATCGAGCTTGAAATAGCATGATTCACGTGTACATGGCATGGCGGAGCTTAGCTGTGCATTCGTGCGCAGGAGAGCAGGCAGCAATGCTATATTGACCACTTGGATTGTGGCAGCCGTGTAGCACAGTTTAGCTCTGCTGTAGCCATGGTGTTATTCAGATACTTGAAATTGTTCTCTCTGTTGTCTTGGTGGCATCAGGTGAAAATTGGAGCAAGTCCAACCGTCGTCAGAACGCATGTCTCATGCCCAGTTTTGAGGTGAACATGCTGATTGGTCTACGACTCAAGGGCGGTCCACCACGCCTTCCACGGTTAGTCACTGTATCCCTAGACTGATTGGAGTTGCGGCGTAGATCTGAAGTTTAAAAAGACCTTGAATCACCGTGCTGTGATGTGGTCTTTGTTTTGCACTCCTGCGCTGGTGCCAGTGTGATTTGCATGAAGTCTCTTCCATTGTCATTCCTTTGTTTGTGATGGGGATTTGGACTAGGGAATGTGCGCTATTGTTTTGATAAAGATGTCTCCTCTCTGGCGATTGTAACGCTGTCTAAGCATGCATTTGGCTGTGTGTGTGTGTGTGTGTGTGTGTGTGTTGTTGTTGTTGTGTGTGTGTGTGTGTGTATGTGAGTGTGTGCGTGTGCGTGTGTTTATATTCCCATAAACACTACGACATCGGTGTTTATTCTATACGTATTGTGTTCTCTATTACAGAGTGAAGATCAACAGCAATGTCACTGATCTCTGCTTTGTCCTGTCCGAAGAGAGGATACAGCAACTCTTTGAGGTCAGTCAGTGTTCTTGATTCCTTTGCATTCTGTTCCTTACTGCATAGATGTATGTTTGCATGTGCACGTGTCCTGTTGTTGTTGTTGATTTTTATTTTACTTCGCAAGGCCAAACGGACAATGGTGCCCAATTCTATGGAAGCGAATTTCAAAAGGGAGAGAGCTACGGGGGGAGAGAAAGAGAGAGAGAGAGAGAGAGAGAGAGAGAGAGAGAGAGAGAGAGAGAGAGAGAGAGAGAGAGCCTCCTGAAAGGAAAGCTTGCAGCATCTTGAGGTGTTGTGACCAAGGGCACCGTGTGCTGTGATGATGGAGTGGCTTTTCTAATTTTCTAATATTGTGCATGACTCTGTATGCATTTCGCTCCCTTTTCTCGATGACTCCTGGGGTTTGCTGGTGGACTGTGCAAGGTTGATTAATAGCACTGTTTTCTTTCGATTGATGACACTGTTTTATTGCACCCAGGCGAAAATATATTTGCACTATAATGCATGTTCGGTGGCACGAATGTCCATGTGGAATGACACTTGGTGCTAATTTAGTACGTTGACATGGGGTTTCTGTCAGTATGCCATGTTCTTTGCATCTCTGTTTCCCTTATCTGTAGCTCTACTCCGGCTTGCCAAGTCCGTTTCCAGCCGTTGAAGTTGAATCCAGTCTGACGTCAGATGATCTTGTCGAGCTGGCTATGAGCCACGGCCTGCCCATCGCTATGGCAGTGTCGCGCACGCAGTGGTCCGGAGCTAGCTTTGCACGAGTACAGAGGCGTCTGAGCAGGGCCATTGAGGAGAAGCGGCGGTCGTATGCCGAAATGGTTAGTGTGTCAATGGCAATATCGATTTTTTCTTTTTTTCTTTTTTTTACAAAATAGCCACAAACCATCATGGTGCAAACACCGGCAAAAACGCACAGGGATACACATAGGGATGGCAGCCGAAGCAGTGGAAGCGGGGCAAGAGCAGCTCAACCGACCAAGGGTCTCGGTTTTAGCACTGCTCATGCGTGCCAAACAGAAAAAATACGAAGTGAGAAAAAATGAGCAGGAGCACAACAGAGCAAATTAGAAATAAATAATACCGGGTATGTAGGATATGTTTTTGTTTTGTTTTGGAGAGTTGTAGGGGTAATGAAGTTGAAGACATCACTGCAGCTGATGGTGGTGGTGGTGAGAAGGAGAGCTCTGTGCCAGAACTTTGCAGCCTAGAGAGCGTGTGTGGGCAGGCGTGTGTTTACCGCCATATTGCCAGGTGTGTCTTTACCACCATATTTATCAACGAGTTGTAGGGGTGATTCAGTTTTAGTCTACTTTCCGTAATTGAGAGTTTTGCTACTTGTGGAGCACTCACTGTACTGTTGTGTGTGGGACACTCATGTACTTGAGCAAGGAAATCAGAAATGTGCTGGCAGCCAATATACATGTGTATGTAATACTATGTATGAATGGATGGATGAGTCAGTGTGCCATCAGCATACTTCGATGGTGACAAAGATGATCGTGACATTGTCTACACATGTGTGTCCTTCTCTAATGCGCTGTTACACTTCTCTGGTGATCATGGTGTGCAGGAGCGTCCAGCCTCGCAATGCCTGTCCTCCGATGACATGCGCAACGTCGCACTGAGGCTGGCCAAAGAGGAGCAGGCGGAAGTGCCGCTCACAGCCGAGACCGATAGTGTCTTGATTTCAACTGACGGAAGCTTTCTACTGAGTGCGGGTGAGTGGTGTCCTGCATACTTTCTGTGCTTTCTGATCTGGCAGAATCTGCACAATAAAATGACCCAATTTATGAACGTCTTATTTACTTCGTTTTGTGCTGATGTGTGGTATGCTTTATTAGGTTCAGAAGAGGGCAGTGCCATTGTTGACGATGAAGAGATGTTCTTCGATGCTCTAGAAGAACCTGATCCACAGGCAGTGGAACGCCTGAGGTAAAGTAACTAAAACCCCAACTAATTACTTCTACCAGCAGAAGCTGAGCACAAGTATATTCACGTTTTTTAAAGTTTGAGTACCATCACTAGCAATCATGTCCTGTTACTATCTGTAGAGTTAGTTACCGGTAGCTCAGCCCTTCCCCATGTATATCACATAGCTAGGGATAAGTATTTGGTGTAGCTATGATTGATTAGCCTATTGGCAACAGATGCTGCTCATTGTGAATGCCTTCAAGAGCCTGGCTCGCATCCTCAATTTGCCCCAGCTAAGAGCCTCAGCCTTTTGTCCTCAGACACAGTCTATGGATAACTCGTAACTCACAATTTGTGAAGGTGTGGCCCATTTCCCAGAGTAGATGATCATGTGACCGGGTCATCGTGCAGCAAGACATACACAGGCACAGGCAGTGTACACACAATGCTTTTCGATCCCATCTAAAATGTACACAGCTGCTTTGGTCCAATGCAGAACTATAGCACTCAGATTAGGATAGTTGGATGGTCTCACTGACAAGACAGGATATTCAGGGGTGTTTGTTCATGGATACTAATGTGATGCAGTGTGCTGTTGAATAGTGGCAGTGCTGCCACTGGTGGGGCTTTACATGTTGGTATGGTTTATTGGTTTGCTCATCTTCCATGGAAAAATGTTGTGTGCAGGGAAGTTGTGGATGTTGCAGACATGGCGGTGACGTGCACTATTGATGAGGTATGTTTCCCGTCTGGAATACTACATTCGTTCATATTGAATCTTGCTGGCGCGTGTGTAGCCCGGCTTACAGTTTACTACAGTGTAGTGGTAGAATAAGGCGATCACACAAGGAAAATACATTAACCCTTTAGAGTCGCACTGATTTCCTGCAATAGACACATTTCCGTCAGTTCACATTGGACTAATCGTAACTCAGAAACCATTCACTTTGTCAAATAGCAACATATTATAATATATTCTATGTTTTCTGAAAGGTGAAACACCAAGGAATCCAAACAACACTTATATATTTCGAAACTAGCATGTAACATTTCACATGCCTGCCCGAAAGCAGCAATAGCAGCAGCAGTAAATTCAATCAAAAAAGGACTAAGCTTTTTTATGGCACTCTGGACTTGATCATCGTTGGTTGGGTGTAAATAAATGCCAGACGATGCATAATCTTGCTCGGCATTTGTCGAATCACCGCTTGGCAGTTCTTCGCTGAGCTGTCAGCTTGGACTGTATTTCAGGGGCCGACATGACGACGGACATGGAAAGAAAATGATGGGTTTTGGCACCTTTTGTGGTAATGGATAGCTTGAAGCATGTTCATCATACAGTAAAAACTTCACACTTCTTATGCCAACATATTTGTTACAATGCATAGTGCATGATCTACTATGTATGCTATCTGTTACCCGAATGCATCAGATCAAGGTGGTGATACTGCAGCAAGCTATGGCTGGCAGCGTCACCGAGAAGGAGTACCTGCGCTTTCAAGTGGACAACCTGTACTGCGAGCTGCTGCGAGCGCATCACACGGCGTTCTTCTACGACCAGCGGCAAGTGGTGTCTCCCTACCAAAGAGCCCATGCTCTGATCAGATCAGTACTGCTGGAGGATGTTACTAGCGACCGTGAGTGCATGTACAATGTGGGATACCTGGGCTCACTCTGGACACTGTGTGCTCTCTAGGAGAAGAAACGTGATCCATCGAAGAATGCGCCGCCTATTTGACTTGTTGACGTTGTTGTTGTTGTACCACTGCATTGGTGTCTTTCACAAAGCCTTACATGAGCCAACAGACTCCTGTGTTGCAGTCATGTTTGTGTTGCGTCGATGATGTATGTATGTTATAAACTTGGTGCCTCGATTGACGTGCCAGTCTGCCTCTGGACTATGGCTTTGCATTTCGCATTTCTCTCTATGCAGCGGCTGGTCCTGTAAAGCTACTGAACTCACCAGCCAGCCAGGCACACCTGATCAATCTCAACTTTCATCAGGTATACCTTGTTTGTGTCTACATGTATCTTGTATTCAACTTGAGCTGTTTTATTTAGTCTTTCCCTTGTTTCAAAGGCAAGTGATCGGCCTGCATTTACTGTGCTAGTAGAGGTTGGGTAAAACGGCATTGTTGTGTGCATTGACTACTCTACCGTGGGGGTATTACCGGGGGAGGGAGGCCAGCCACGTGTACTATGAAGGTATTGGAACACATGGCAAGCAGTCATTGAGATAGGACCTGCCTGTAGTAATGCCTGTTAACCGCATACTAGTAAACCTGTCGTGTTTATCCCTGCAAGTATGTTGCTTGAAGGGACTGTTATTTGCTGGAACTTGTTTAGCTAAAAAAAGTTGGCTACTTTCACTGCTTACACCTGCACAGGTGGATGAGTCTTCGCCAGTGCTATCCTCAGAGTTCAGCAATGCGCTGCAAGCTGTGCGTGTGACTGTTGCTGATCTTGCCCTGCTCGTGCACCGAGAAAGCATCTCTCAGCTCACCAACATGGGAGCAAGACTTCTTGTGCACTGGTATGTTCAACTTGCTACTTCACTGGTGTATGTAGTCACTATGTACGGCGTATGCCTGCCTATGCGTAACCTCAAGGGGGCAACTGGTTTGGGCAAACCATGCGCATTGTACAATGTGCCAAACTGTCTGAAGCACAGTTTAGGCATAACAAGTTCTGTGATTAAGCGTTTGACTACCAGTGAACGTTTGCAATGAGTACTGGACGGAACTGTTTGATACCTGCCATTAGCGTATAGCTTAGCTCAAGGTAATGTTCCATAGATGAAGAAGGCTGCTTTGATCAGATTTTTAAAGTTGGTTGTAGCAGTTCTTTGCTGGACTGTAGAAAAGACCAAAACACTACATGTCATGTTTTCGTGAACTGTAGGAACTCTATACCGGCTAGGAAGCAGGGAGACACTCGCATGACTCCTTCACCATCGTTCGACAGTGTGTCAAGTGCTACTTCAATGATGGGTGAGTTATCATTGCCATTGGGAGGCTTTACCCGCTCCCCTACACACTGACTGGATGCTAAGAACATGCTCTGTTACTTTTAAAACTCGGAATAACCGGAATACTAGTTTAGACAAGCACTTAACCGATGAACTGCTGTACTGCTGAAATGCTCTGAAATCGCTGACATTCACATGGATATTGTTTTGGCATCTGATGTGATTTCATGCAGATTTGCCTTCAGCATGCCAGTCAACATCCAATCCTGAACCCGCCGCCGCTGCCAGTACGGCTGCGAAGTATGTCATCAGCTCACAGCTGAATCGCATCACAGTGCAGTTGTGTGGTAACAACTTCAGACTGGTAGACGCCGGTGTGGAAAAGGTAGTGACGGCCGTGGAATGGCATGCTGCCCACATGCACTTCACCTGTCGGTAAGTTTATCTCGAGCAGAGTCCGAATCTGTAGTCCTCTTCAGTTTCCAGTACAGCCAGTTGATGTGTAAGGGTGTCAATATAGTCAGGTCAGTGTGATGTGGGAGAACGAATACAATCTGTACTGGACACAGCACAGCATGTACAGACATGTACTGCAACACATAGTGGTCTGTGTAGGAGGAAGTCCGTCTACTACATGTAAGACTTGATGGTATAGAGTGCACTGGATGAAAACGATGCGTGCACGGTGCGGAGTCGCGTTCGAGTGTTATTACAGGTGGTACAGGTGTGATCGCTGAATTTGAAAACAAGGGAGAGCAATCATTCAGGGGCGCGTGATGGGTAGGGGAGACTGGCTGCACATAACAGGAGGAGCAAACATGTGTCAAGCTGGCAGTGCATGTGAATCTGTGTCCTGGGATTTCTGACTTGGAACCATGCATTAGTTTGCATGAGATAGAGTTGAATCAATAACATACTAGTAAATAAATGCATTGTTTTTAAATGTTTCAGTCCGTTCAGCTATACATGTTGTGACTGAATTGTTGCTACAGGCTACAGTCACTGTACGTACAGCAGTCAGCACCGGATGCAGTGTATCCACAAGTAAGCCAATGCTATAATCCAACACCCTCTGGTTGCAGTACTCCAATGGCCCCTCACTAAGCACGGTGTGTGCCACTCTAGCTGATATTCACCTACAACACCGATCATGATTGCTTCATGGGATCCTCCGTTTATGCAAGCTGTGCTACCTTTCTTTGAACCGCTCCTTGTTTGTGGATTGTGAGCATATCATCTATCATGCGCTGTCCTCCGTGTATTGCTTTTCTGTAGATTTGCTCCATCATGCACAAGTCGGAGGACCTATTTGACTTGAGCGTAAGTTCTGTGTACATGTATTGTCGGTGAACTATCCCTACCCAGTTCATGTCGTGTAGCGGTGTGTGTGTTGGTATAAACAGTTTCAATGTGTCTGGTAGCCACTGTATATCAGTCCACTGAGAATGTTTGATGTTTCTTTACTCAACCTATATCTTGGGCTCTTGCTGGATATTTGCTCAAATCTGGAGTGACAGTGATATCAGCTTCCCCATGCTGTTGATCTGCTGGAAACACCCGTTGGCATGAGCTGTAGAATGCTAGTGAATGTCAGTAGAGCGGTGGAGTATGAGTACAGGGTCCAGACGAGGGCACGGTGTGCTTTCCGTGTGTACGAACATGCCGTGCGGTCTGCTGGTTTGATGTGCTCCGTACCCTGGAGCTATGCCATGCTCTACATGTCAGGGATGAATTTACTGTCATATTTTTGCATAGCAGTTTCTGCTACTGTAAATATACAAATTTTCGGCAGCTATTTAATTTCGGCTATATTCGGCACCGACCCAAAACGCCTAAATTAAAACGCCGATGAAATTTTTCACAGTATCTGTCGCACTATACCATGCCCTCTACCCCACGCCGAAAATAAATCACCGCCGAAATGTCAAAAATCGTGAAGGGCCGAAATTTTGCAGCGCCGAAATTTTGTATATTTACAGTATACGAAATCACAATTGTGTAGCAGTCTTTGATTTTGATAAGCATTTTTTCTTTGGAGGTAGGGTATTTACCACATTGTCCTTCTTGAGAGTGATGCCTGAAAGCCTAAAACGACTGAAGCATACATGTGCACGCAGATTGAGAGTGCCTGCACCACATACACTGCACTGTATGACTTGATAGCGCAGGCTAGGCATGGATAGTCTGTATGTATCGCAATTTTCTGCGAGTCACGGTGACTTTTGTGTAGCAGCAGATCGATTTTGCATCGCAAACTGCGATGCGATACAGGATAAATTCATCCCTGCATGTAGTGTTGAGCTGCCAGACTTTCCTACTCTTCGTGCTATTTCTATATGCTGAGCAGCTCCTGCTGGTTTTCCCCACACCTGTGCTTCTCTAGGTGACCGTGTATGATCGTAATGCTGCACCATCGGCTCAGCCTCAACGGTCTACGGACCTCGACTTCAATTTGAAACTGCGGCGTCTCCGTGTCACCTACTTGCATCACTTCACGTCCCGTTTGCAGGTCAGTTTTGTGTTCATAGCCAGTAATACAGTCGGACCTCGATTAACCGCACACATCCGTTTTCCACAAAAATATCCGGATAGGCGAGGGAACCGGATAATCGAACACACATACTGCATGCACGCATGGCATATGCTGCAAATCGGTAGCCAGCGATTTTCGTCCGGATGGCGAGGGATCCGGATAAAAGAGGACCGGGATAAGCGAGGTCTGACTATACTGGTATTTGTTCACAGTGATTGCTGTCAGTAGCGTAGTGCAGTGTTTCTCTCAGCCATTTATGTGAAGTGTCGAGTATCACAGTCTGTCCAACCTTGCCACCATTCCAAGGCAAGACATGCATATAATACTTCCTCCGCGTCATCAAAATTGTCGCAGTTTGGCTAGCGAATTGAAACTTGATATTACTCACGACAGAAGCTACAGAATCAGTAATTTATTACACAGGGTGATAGTCTGAAGTCTACAGTTACGTTCTAAGACAATGTTCCGTCGGATGGTGCGCATCACGCCGAGCTGGAGGCGTCGTCCTCGCTGATATCAGTCGACGAAACAATTTCGTTCTGTACAGAGTCCAGGGTGGCTGCAAATTGGTCACGTGTGGTCTCGCATGCTTTGAATTTCTCCAAAGGAAAGGACCTGTCATGCTTGTCACCTGCTCTGGATGACTTAGCATGAGCAGTACGGCTGCCTGTGTGATGGGAATAATTATTCCCACCATCGTCAGAAAGGATACCCTTGAAGGAAGCCCACAAAAGACGCCAAACTGAATCCATGCGCTCCGCTGGATACTCTTCCCATGCGCTCTTCACAGCTTCGACGAGGTCCTTCACGTTCTTCTTCTTCACCACCAACTCGGTGTCCGTCTGGAGGCTGGCGAAGAAGGCGAGATCGTTACAATTGAGGTCGGGTGATTGCGCAGGCTGCGTAACAACTTCGATTTTGAATCCACCTTTCTTCCCGTGACGAGCCCAATGACCTTCGTTGCCTTTCGCCGTGTGCGGGCGCGCTCCATCATGCTGATAGTACAGTGTATCACCAGCCTCAGGCTTGCCCGATCCGCGTTTGCCCGATCCGCGCTTGTACCACCACATCTTACTTCGCATCGCGTCCAGCACGCCGTCTTTTTTTAGCATCACTTTGCGATACTCCTCCGCATTCACGGTGACACTCTCGAGAATGTCAGTTTCACCAGCCACTGTGCCTGTACGTGCATCGCTGCGCTTCGCCTTGCGCTCCAGGGTGAAGGGCCAGATCCCGATCTTGCCATCGAATCCATACTCTGGTCGCGGGCGAGCTGTCGCAGCTAGAAACATGACTTTAGGCATACGTGATTTATGGTACACAGAGCCGTCTGCGGGCATTTGTACGGTACGCTCCACTTCGCCAGTCGATTCGTTCACAGTGAACTGAGGAAATACTCTGCACACAGCTCCGTCCTTCATTAGATAAAACCATTTTTCGTCCCCATGGACGATGTCTTAACAGTCCACGAATTTCCTCGACCGCTTGGTATACCTGTCCAGAACCCACGAGAGACGATTCAGACGATGGCGAGTGGAGAGCTTCGGTTTGATGTACCGCCTGCGTCGAACTGCACCAAGAACTTTACACCATCGTCTCACAGATGCAGGTGAACATGGATATCCCGCGGAGGCAAGCTCTCCTGCGAGCTTCTTGCAGGAATACTTTTCCCAGTTGGAGTCATTGATAGCAACGAGCTTTGTTGCCAGCTCAACAGTCAACTTCATATTTTGCCCACCGCAAAGACTGGCTCTGCGTCGTGTCATCCTCACGTTCCCTGCCAGTGATTCGTCAGCGACTTGGTCTTTGTACTTTTGGACTATCCGTTGGACCGTTCGGCTGGTAAGTTGAAGGTGAGGGAACCGCTTCTTCAACTTCCCCATCCCTCCATATGGCAGTTTATCAGCGCCCTTCGAAATCTCCAGATAGGTCGAAATGATTCGCCAGCGATCTGGCGTTTTCACATCTGCGCCTTTCAAGCGAGGCGTTTTCGGTTTGTCGCTCTTGGATGGAGTTTGTTCACCTCTCAAATTTCTTGCAACGCGCTCCAAGCGCTTAGGCTTCTTTGGCGAACTCATTCTCACTCCTGATCCAGCAAAAACAAAGATGAAGACGATTGAGCAAACGACTATTATACGATAGCTGTGTTCAGGCGGTTCCGCTCGACTTGTCACACCTCGCCCGCCTACAATTTCAGGGATGTCAGGGAGGACACGGCCTCTAGCTCGAAGCGATCACCTCCGATCGACAAAAAATAAAATTGTCCTGTCACTCTAGACATGAGACTATCATCCTGTCTCATTCCTTACCTGTAGCACCGCTTCTGTTGAGACAATACCCCATTTTTATATCACTGGTCAAACTGCGACAATTTCGATGACGCGGAGGAAGTATTAATATAATGTATACCAAGGCAATTGTCTCCCATGTAAATAGAGCAGGACGGTCCTGCTCAAATCAGGGTGGTTGGACAGTCCATTATCCATTCCCGCTCTCTTATGTGTTTAGGTCTATGTTATACCGTGGTAGATGCAATATGTTTATCTTGTTCTGTTTTGTGTTGTATTTGTCTGTTTAGAATTTCTTGTTGGATTTGCAAGTGATGGAGCAGATAGCCTGGGTTTCAGAGGAGTCATCACGACGTCTGGTCAGTTTCTGCCTTGGGCATGTACCTTCCTGCAGTGTCTGTTATAATTTCTCGTGGACGATTTTCAAATCTGCAGCACTCTGATGATTATTTTGTGCTTTTAGTGACCTGCAGCTTGTGTGTGTCTATCTCTCACCTGTAGGCCAAGGAGCTCTCTAAGCCGCGTGCCAGTCGAGTGAAGCTGCGTGCCTTGCTGCAGGCTCCCATTCTGCTGTTCCCACGCAACTCCTGCTCATCTGAAGTGCTGCTGATCCACTTGGGAAACGTGAAGGTGCGCAACGTGATCTACCTGACCACCGTCTTGCTTCCACGACCACCACCGCCGAAAACGGCTGCTGAAATACCTGGCGGTGGTGCCAGTGGCGGCAGTGGTGGTGATGGCGATGGTCATGGTACAGATGAAATGGACGGCGGTGCACAGCCACCGGAGCTTGTGCGTAGCTACGGTATAGATCACAGCGAGTCTGCTCAAAGTGCGCCCGAGAGCGTCATTCTACCGGTGGACAAGATCACGTTCACTCTCAAAGACTTTGTGCTGCTCAGGTAGGTCACACTGATGTCGATACGGTCTACTAGTACCGACTTGGATCTTGTTGCACAGAATCATGCCTGTTAAAAGCATCCATTCAAATGAAATTTTAATGAATGAATGGCTGAATGAATACATGGACGAACGAAGGAATGAACAAATGGACAAACTAACAGACGAACAAACAAATGAATGAATGCATAACTACCATTATGGCATATTGACATGACATTGTTCAGATATGTCTATTGGGCCAGAGAAAGAAAACAGAAAACTGTTTTCTGATGAGCACTTAGTGCGTGAAACTCGGAGTAAAAACTCTGTTTTTCATCCTCTTATTCTTGTTGAAACTAGCTCTGCCTTTCGGTATTGAGCACTCTATTGGACAGCCTGTATCCAATAGTGTGTTGCGTCCAGCGTACCTCTACTGCACTTTCCTGCGTCTCCTTTGTTGCTGTTCTCAGAATGATGCATAGTGTTCTGAGCCAGGATTCGCCGAGACACCTACTCATGGAGCCGATTAATCTGAGCATTCGCGTAGACCGCAGCCTGCAGCGCGACAGCACTGCAATGCCATTGCTCGACGTCAGCGCACACCTGGACATGGTCAAGGCAAGAGATGCCCCCCCCCCCATCATTTGTGTGGTATTTCTATCTTGCTTCATTCCAAGCAGCAACTACCCCAGAGCTCCGGAAAGCCCCGTAACCTGATGCCTACAGAATGTCAATGGTGTGTGTGTGTGCATGGGTACAGTGTCATTGATAGGAAACGGCATATGTAAATGGATAAGGGTACAAACAATGCAGGGTGGTTATATGTGTGTGCAACAGTCCATTATATGGGAACACTACATCCCTCCCACCGCAGACGGAATGTTCTATCGCTAAAGACTAGTAAAGAGAAGATCGCGGAATGGCAGTAAAAGCAAACAGTGAGGGAAAAGATTAAACCAGAAAAGCATGAAGGGCGTGGGAAAGGTAGAGCAAGCTAATCCAGCAGGGACTGTTCCTCTCCCCTTTTTGTTGTTATTTTTTATTTTGCCTCTCCGCGTTTGCATCAGGGTGTTTCTTCGATTAACTAGTTGTAATACATTATTGTGCAAAGATAAAACCAAACGTTTCAGCAAAAAAAACGTTTCGGCGACAGTTTCTTCTCCGAACTAACTGCAACTGTAGTACGGGACAAAACCAGATTGCCCCGATGACCCCTGTGCTCAGCTGCACTTTACGCATAACACACCGGTGTACAACTCCTGCTGGCCATTCAGATCAGCACAGTACATGCCGCATGGCAAACAGGGAAACCAACCGGAACCCAAACACACATGTAACTAGACAGCACAGCGCCCGCTTGACAGCTACAGCAGCAAGAACCTACGCTAAAACCAGACACAAAGGCTACGTCGACAGCGACACAAGTCAATGCGCATTACATGTGATCACTAGACTGAATAAGTCATGCCAAGTTCACACACGAACAGGGCCGGGTGTGCATCCGGCCACAATTTGGTCAGAAAAGGGCTACTTTCTGCTGGGCATCGTCGACGAGGCTGCAGGTTTTGCTGATGCCAGCAAACGAGCGTGGTATCGAATGTTTCTCCAGGCTGCTGGGTGACTTGACGGAAGTGGAAGCGGGCCGTGCTGGGGCTCTGCTTGGACTGGAAGTAGTCAGCGACAGCGGATAGGACTTGCTTTGGGAAGTCACTAGGCAGACCCACAATGAATTGTTCAATTACCATGGGGTCATCTTTGTCACCACTGTTCCCCGCAATCTTGGCAAGGCGTTGCAAATCGGCCGCAAATGCGTCTGCAGACTCATCCGTTCGTAATCTACGCTGCACGAACAGTCTGCAGGCTTCTGATTTTGACACACAGAACGCTTCCTCGAACTTCCCTTTTACGTCGGCAGGTTTCTGTTTACTAGAATCCTCCATTCCATCGTATACCAGAAAGGCATCGCCGGACAAGAACAGCGAAAAGTGTTTCATTTTGTCTGTGTCCGAGGTCCATCCCTGAACAGTGTGCATAATACTTTGAACTTTCCCCAAACTCAGGGAAGCTCTCTCCAGGTATGCCCTTGATGGCCCTCAGAAACGAATCAAACTTTACTGGCATTCTCCGAATCAAAATCCCGGGTTTCGGCACCAGATCGCTGTTGTAGATTATTCTCCACGTGCACAGGCTCCACGCAACATCAGACCACAGCAACTCCAGGAAATAAATAATCTACTATCACGGTATTAAGAATGTATAAAGGTACTAGTTGGAGACAAGGAAATAATCAGAACTTTCGGAAGACTCAAGGTTCAAGAACAACAACGAGCCAGACCCAAACCTCGCTGACTTCACTACTGCGGATGCGCGCGTTCGTGCATCAAAACAACAAAACTGAACTGTGACTGTCACCGACGTTACAGATTACACAGTGACAGGAATATGGTAACTAATCTGACAAGTCAAAGTCATAGAGAAGGAAGACATCAATGACAAAGAGAAGTGAAATGTAATCACAATGCACAAGATCAGTTACTTCACTTCAGGTACAATTTCATTACACCATCGAAGTCATTGCCAGTGTTGGCTAACGTAGGGACGAGCTGCTGGATGTCCTTGCCGGCCACATACTGGAAGGTGTCTCTCTGGCGAGTGGTGTCCGAGATGCCTACTGCTGCGACAAAGAGTCGGCAACTTCGTTCCCACGCAGGAAACGGGCGGCAGCGTCGTAAAGACTGCTGCAAATCGGGAATGGCTCCGGAGGCGGTAGTGGAAGCAGGGACATGGCAAGGATCAGGTGTTCGCTCGCAGTATTTCTAGCTCGCTTTAGGCAAGGATCAGGTGTTCGCTCGCAGTATTTCTAGCTCGCTTTATTCCAAACAACAAAACCCCCAGAGCTCCGGAAGGCCCCGTAACATGATGCCTACAGAATATCAATGGTGTGCGTGCATGCGTACAGTATCAGTTCGTACAGGACAGTGGTGGGGAGCAGCATATGTATATGGATAAGGATATTAACAGTGCAGGGTGCAAGTTATATGTGTGCAACAGTCCATGTATGTGGACACTACAATACATGTATGCGTTGTCGAGTTTTCGACCCTTATAGCATGCGTATGAAGTCTGCTGGAATACGGTTGTCTTAGCCATCCATTAAAAAAGAGTGTGTATTTGACTGCTACTTTAGGACTACAGTATAATGTTGTGTGCTCCGTATGTCATCCAGAGTACATGAGAAGCCCATTGAACCTTCGACTTTGCAAACCTGTAAGAAAGCACTACTCACCCCTACTCAATACATAGATGTGAAATCCCTGAAATGGGAAGTGATGCGTTTTTGCAGGTTTACCAAGTCGAAGGTTCAGTGAGCTTTTCGTGTGCTGGGGATGGCAGTTGAAAGTCACTCAATTGTCGAGTCAAGTCTTCGCATTGTTCTACAGTGTGTGCTGATATTTGGCACATCTGTCATGTCGAAATTAGCACCAATGTGAAAGCATTTCCCAACTAGGACTGTCACACAGAAGTCGCGCACCCTGTAAGAAGACCTTAGGGTCCGTTGGGAATGCCCAAGTAAAATAATAAAATACAATACAAAATACAATACGGAAGCTGCGCTCACATGTTCAATCTAGCAACTGTCTTGGTCGTTGTTCTATTCCGGCAGGTTCATCTAAATCGTCCTGACTACATGTTACTCTACGGTGTTTGGAATGAGAACTTGGCAGAGCGTCCCGCACCGTCAGCTCAGCCAACCAGTCCACTGGCAGAGGCGTCCGCTGTCCAATCACCGCGTCTCAGTTTGGCAACGGCTGGTGGTAGCGGAGGTGCGTTGTCTCCTGCACTTGTTAAGTAAAGTGTATTGTGACGCGTGGAGTGGCCGCGGTTCGTTCTGGGCATCGTGGACGGGATTTTGATTGTGTTCATGTGTGCGTGTGTGCATGTGCATGGACATGTGTGTGTGTGTGTGTGTGTGTGTGTGTGTGTGTGTGTGCATGTGCGTGTGTGTGCGTGTGTGTGCATGTGCGTGTGTGTGTGTGTGTGTGTGTGTATGTGTGTGCGCGCGCGTGTGTGTGTGTCCCATATGGTGAAGTGGTATATGCAGCGATTTCCAATCGATAGGTTGTGGGTTCGATTCCCGACGAGTATGGTCACACACGTCTTTCTTCTCTTTCTCAGACTCTTCCTGACTTTTCTTTCATTCTCCTGGGTGGTTACCAACAGCCAGTGTATGCCGGAGTATGTGGTGTGGTGTGTGTGTGTAGAAAAAAATGGAGAAATGAAAAATAGGGATTCACTGGCCAGAAAAAGTCACTTCAAACAGCTGTGTGGTGGATACCAGGCTAAAAATAGTGGCGGTCAATTCATCAGCCTTGCAAGCTGCTGAATGGTTTAATCCCAGCACAAGTTGCTATGTCTAACATAGCTGTTCGCTATCATCGCTTCCGCGATGGGCATGTCTGAGGTCTGAGGTGTGTGTGTGTGTGTGTGTGTGTGTGTGTGTGTGTGTGTGTATGTGTGTGTGTGTGTGTGTGTGTGTGTGTGTGTGTGTGTGTGTGTGTGTGTGTGTGTGTGTGTGTGTGTGTGTGTGTGTGTGTGTGTGTGTGTGTGTGTGTGTGTGTGTGTGTGTGTGTGTGTGTGTGTGTGTGTGTGTGTGTGTGTGTGTGTGTGTGTGTGTGTGTGTGTGTGTGTGTGTGTGTGTGTGTGTGTGTGTGTGTGTGTGTGTGTGTGTGTGTGTGTGTGTGTGTGTGTGTGTGTGTGTGTGTGTGTGTGTGTGTGTGTGTGTGTGTGTGTGTGTGTGTGTGTGTGTGTGTGTGTGTGTGTGTGTGTGTGTGTGTGTGTGTGTGTGTGTGTGTGTGTGTGTGTGTGTGTGTGTGTGTGTGTGTGTGTGTGTGTGTGTGTGTGTGTGTGTGTGTGTGTGTGTGTGTGTGTGTGTGTGTGTGTGTGTGTGTGTGTGTGTGTGTGTGTGTGTGTGTGTGTGTGTGTGTGTGTGTGTGTGTGTGTGTGTGTGTGTGTGTGTGTGTGTGTGTGTGTGTGTGTGTGTGTGTGTGTGTGTGTGTGTGTGTGTGTGTGTGTGTGTGTGTGTGTGTGTGTGTGTGTGTGTGTGTGTGTGTGTGTGTGTGTGTGTGTGTGTGTGTGTGTGTGTGTGTGTGTGTGTGTGTGTGTGTGTGTGTGTGTGTGTGTGTGTGTGTGTGTGTGTGTGTGTGTGTGTGTGTGTGTGTGTGTGTGTGTGTGTGTGTGTGTGTGTGTGTGTGTGTGTGTGTGTGTGTGTGTGTGTGTGTGTGTGTGTGTGTGTGTGTGTGTGTGTGTGTGTGTGTGTGTGTGTGTGTGTGTGTGTGTGTGTGTGTGTGTGTGTGTGTGTGTGTGTGTGTGTGTGTGTGTGTGTGTGTGTGTGTGTGTGTGTGTGTGTGTGTGTGTGTGTGTGTGTGTGTGTGTGTGTGTGTGTGTGTGTGTGTGTGTGTGTGTGTGTGTGTGTGTGTGTGTGTGTGTGTGTGTGTGTGTGTGTGTGTGTGTGTGTGTGTGTGTGTGTGTGTGTGTGTGTGTGTGTGTGTGTGTGTGTGTGTGTGTGTGTGTGTGTGTGTGTGTGTGTGTGTGTGTGTGTGTGTGTGTGTGTGTGTGTGTGTGTGTGTGTGTGTGTGTGTGTGTGTGTGTGTGTGTGTGTGTGTGTGTGTGTGTGTGTGTGTGTGTGTGTGTGTGTGTGTGTGTGTGTGTGTGTGTGTGTGTGTGTGTGTGTGTGTGTGTGTGTGTGTGTGTGTGTGTGTGTGTGTGTGTGTGTGTGTGTGTGTGTGTGTGTGTGTGTGTGTGTGTGTGTGTGTGTGTGTGTGTGTGTGTGTGTGTGTGTGTGTGTGTGTGTGTGTGTGTGTGTGTGTGTGTGTGTGTGTGTGTGTGTGTGTGTGTGTACTTGGGCATACATGTGTATGAATAGGGACAGAAGGCTTTAGGGTACAACTGTCCATGCCAAATCACCATGCTAGCGGTGCACTGTGTCACTTATGCCCTGCTATTCTGATATTCTGTATGTGCCACTGCTGCTCTTTATTCCGTTGTAGAGCTGTATGTGGTCAAGGAGGAACCAGAGGCTGCAGTTGAAGAGCTGTATGTGGTCAAGGAGGAAGCAGAGGCTGCAGCGCTGCCAGGTGAGAATTAGTTGTGTGGTCCCTTGTGCCTAAGGTAGCTTCACTGCTACAACTTTGAGTTTGGTGAGTATGTATCCATCTCCTGCATACCGTGTACATGTACGTGCACCCCTGAAGCTCTCTTTTCACCCATGCATGTGTGTGTGTGGCTGTGGATGCAGCATTATCTGGGACAAAGTCACATTCATCCGGCCAATCCAAGTCCACGTCATCATCGCTGTCATCGCCATCGCCCAGCCATTCTTCTCATAAGCAAGGGACTGACCCATGGGACACGTACCGTGTGACATTCGCCTTCGATGGCATTCACCTTTCTCTGTATATTGGAGAGAAGGCTCTGGTGGGTTGTAGTCAAAGGCATTATTTAATACGATACTTACCCATACCTACATCCTTTTACCATTATATCCACCAGCCCATGCATTCACCCATCCATCCACCCGTCCATCCAGCCATCCATCCAGCCATCCAGCCATCCATCCATCCATCCAGCCATCCATCCATCCATCCATCCATCCACCCATCCATCCACCCACCCATCCATCCACCCATTCATCCACCCATCGATCCATCCATCCACCTATTTATCCATCCATCCATCCACCCATCCACCCATCCATCCACCCATCCATCCACCCATCTATCCATCCACCCATCCATCCATCCACCCATCCATCCACCCATCCATCCACCCATCCATCCACCCATCCATCCACCCATCCACTCATCCACCCATCCACTCATCCACCCATCTACCCATCCATCCATCTACCCATCCATCCATCCACCCATCCACCCATCCATCCATCCACCCATCCATCCACCCATCCATCCACCCATCCATCCACCCATCCATCCATCCATCCATTCACTCATCCACCCATCCATCCACCCATCCATCCATCCATCCATCCATCCATCCATCTACTCATCCACCCATCCACCCATCCATCCACCCACCCATCCATCCACCCATCCACCCATCCATCCATCCATCTATCCATCCATCCATCCACCCACCCATCCACCCATCCATCCATCCGCCCATCCACCCATCCATCCATCCACCCATCCATCTATCCATCCATCCAGCCACCCATCCACCCATCTACCCATCTATCCATCCACCCACCCATCCACCCATCCACTCATCTACCCATCCACCCATCCACTCATCTACCCATCCACCCATCCACCCATCCATCCACTCATCCACCCATCCACCCATCCATCCACCCACCCATCCACCCATCCATCCATCCACCCATCCATCTATCCACCCACCCACCCACCCATCCATCCATCCATCCATCCACCCATCCGCCCATCTATCCACCCACCCATCCATCTGTCCACCCACCCATCCATCCATCCACCCATCCATCCACCCATCCTTCCACCCATCTATCCATCCATCCATCCACCCACCCATCCACCCATCTATCCATCCACCCATCCATACGCACATACTCACATAGATACATTCCAGTGGTCATATGCAGAAAGCTCGAAGCTATATACATGTATACCATCCATCCATCCACCATAGAGGCAGCTCCATTGCTCATAAGGCATGCTTCAAATTGCCAGCAGAACAATATTTCCGTTTCGCATGAGTGATGATTGGTCTTGAATTGAGTAACTTCTACAGCACATGTACAGTGATTTCACTTATGTCTGTACATGTATTCTCAGTCCAAAGCTCAGCGTGGTGAGATTGAACGTGAGGTCAGTCGGTGCATTGCGACTGCAGACCTCAGAGACGGCGACTTTGATGTGACCGTGCGGTCAACGAGCGAGCTGACCGCATCGTTTTCAGTGAGCGACCTGCGTGTGGTGGACATGCAGACGCAGCGCTGTGACAATGACATTGCCAGGTACACCAGCTCTAGTGTGTGGGACTGTGCGTGTGCAATGTAGATGATCATAGCAGGATCATCACAGGGATAATACGTGCTCACCACAACGCATATGCAGGACGATCACTATCAACTGAGCAAGGGCCTGCTATACCAGCCTGTGAGCTAGGTATCACCACTGCCCGTGCTCCTCTAGCCATTGTTCAACAGAGAGATGCATTATAGAATGGTGCAGATTCATTCATACCTTTTCCATTGTAAGCTCCTGGAACTAATGAGTCCTTTTTCTTCCTCTGCCATTTGTCTCTTACCTTGTTAGGATTGTAGATCGGAATATCAATCGTGTTTCTGACACTGATCAACAAGCCGACACTCTTCAGATGGTCTCACTCACACTGAACCGACCTACGGACAACTATTATACAGGTGAGTATAATGAGTACTTCCTCCGCGTCATCGAAATTGTCGCAGTTTGACTAGTGACTTGTCATTTGTTACTGACAACTCCATAAGCTAAACCATTCAAAACTTATTGCACAGTATGATAGTCTGGAGGCTAGAGTAACGTTCCAGGACAGTTGTACTGAGAGTTTTCACGCAGAGATGAAGGCCTCGTCGTCGCTGATGTCAATGGACGCAAACATATCGTTCCGAAATATTTCAAGAAAGGTTGAAGTTCGTCGCACCTCATCTCAAACGCTTTGACTTTCTCCACAGGACAAGAGCTGCAATGCTTGTCGTCTGCTAGCTCTGGATGATTTCTACTTCACCGCCAACGAAGTAAGAATACACGATCGTTGCGAGGTCGGTTGATTACCGTCGGCGGAATCACCCCGATCTTGAAATGAACTTTTTTTAGCTGTGGCATGCCCATTTATTTTAGCTGTGTGGTCAAAGCTCATGCATGCAGGTAAGTGTACTATCACGTCCAGCGCGCCGTCTTTTTCAGCATCACTGGTACGGCACCTGCGCGTGCATCACTAGCACTACGTGTAGAGTCTACACGGCTCTTGCAGGTACAATCATGTACTGAGTGTCTCAGCCAGAGCGACAAATTTTATCGCTGTTGCATGCATTTAGTTTGCTGACCCCTCGATGTTTCTCCAAGCGCTGCCACTTGTTCCACGAAGTCATTCTCACCCTAGCTAAGGTAAAACAGTGATGAGGCTTTGAGTGAATGGCCATAAGCACGAGAAATGTGCAGGCTGCAACGCCTGACTGATCTCAGCGAGTCGAAATTACCATCGCAGCGACATCAGCGAAGAAATTGCGTCTAGTTCGAAAATTTCAGCTTCCAATAACAGAAAATAGAACTTTGCCGTCACCCTATACTGATGACTATCGCCTGTGTCCGATTCCTTGCCTCTGGTACGAGTGCTGGTGAGTAAATACCCCGTTTTATATCAAAAGTCAAACTGCGACAATTTTGATGACACGGAGGAAGTATGAATGGGGGTTTCTAATACGTGTACTTGAAGTACATGAAATTCACTGCTTTCGCCTCAAATCATTATTCGTCGCTGATGCTAAGGCTGCTCTTTGCCAGGTCCCATCCAATATGGCATGGGGACAGGAGTAGTGAAATCTATCAAAGTGGTATACATTATGTTAACATACACGTAATGTCAAACTCGAAGTGTTGAGTCAGGCTTGCTCGTTCACAGATATTTAAATGCCGTGGGTTGACATCCTATGTCAGAATTTCGGAATGAGGGAAAATTCTGTTCCCTGCGCCAATGTTGAGTCTGGCTCGCTCGTTCATAGGCTGTTAGTCAACAAGTCAATTGACAGTCTTGTTCAGGGCCCTGTCTCTTACTTAGTACAGTCGTGACCAAAGAAATCCACCCCACGAGTCGAAAGTAGCGCCGCGTTCCGTTTCAATTGCATCATGCACATTCCTAAACCGATCCGGCAGCCGCAGGGGCTGCTTGACTCAATGAGCCTTAGCACTGCTTTCGGCACGTGGGTTGGATTTCTTTGGCCACGACTGTACATGATTCAGAAACATCACAAGCACCACCGAGTAGAACTACAAACAGCTCTGCATTCCAACTCATAACTCTCCTCACTGCTTCCGCTTCACATCCCCACTCATTTAGCTGGCTTCCCACCACACGCGAACATTCCGCGGAAGAAAACAATGAAGACAATGAAGACAATGAGCAGGTGACATCCAGATCGCATGTATCCAGTTTAACCTGGTACATGGATAGCATAGAGCAGTGTCTGCTCCAGCGCCGGGTGAGCCGGGTAATCCACCCGGTTGGGCGGCGCTTGGACCCGGTTGAAAATATAGTACCGGGTCACCTGTGACCCGGTTGGTACTTTAGTAACTTTACACTTTTGAACTTTGAAAGGACTGACTACATGGCTTGTGTGTGTCAGATACTTCTTCTTTCGTAATTTTCTAATTCCTGTCCTCTCTTTTCTAAATGCGGCTTATCCATTCGCCTTTATATCATTGGGCCTAGTTCCCGTTTACTGTCCGAATTAAAATAAACCAACCAACCAGTTAAAGCATGTGACTCGGCTGGTGAGACAGCGCCAGATACATGTGTACCCGGCTCCGACCCGGTTGAAATGGTTGCGCCAGGTACACGTGTACCCAGCTGTCCTACAATCCTAGAGCAGACACTGATAGAGTTCACTCCCAGTACATGTGTAGCTGCTGTAGGCAATGCAAGTTTATCATAAATGCCTACAAGCACATCAGGAGCAGTACCACAAGGTGCATGCATAGATTGACAGCAGTTCAGTCAGTTGAGGTCGAACCTCAGCACCCGGAACTGTCCAACGCCCATAGCCACACAACAGACACCTCAGGCTGGCATTCATTGTAACTTAGCCTGCTGGCATCAAGGCTTCTATACATGTATAGTATAATGACATCAAGGATGTAGCGGTGACAGCCAGATGTAAGTGATGTACTAGTTATCTACTTGTTGTGGACGATCTTGGGCATAAATCAACTGCCGGCAGGCCCGAGAAAGTCATGGGAAGACTCACACATGAGGATATCACAGAGCTCTTTGATAGAATTCTTATTCCAGTAAGTGTCTTTTGGCAGGCTGGTCTCTGGCTTTTCTGAGTTTGTCTACTTTTGTGCGTGCATGTGTGCACATGTGTGTGTACACATGTGTGTGCACGTGTTTGTGTGTGTGTGTGTGTGTGCATGTGTGTGCACATGTGTGTGTGTGTGTGTTTGTGTGCGTTTCCCGCAGTGAAAGCCTGCTTCAGCGCCATTCACTGCAAACTGAGTATCAAGTTCATCGCGGATGTTCTGAGTATCTTCAGAACTGCCGAAGCAGCAAACAACACACCGCCAGCTACTCCATCTCCAGAGTCGCCTGTACATGGTCTTGTGGAGAAGGATGGTGGTGGCACCGACAGCAGCATCAGCAGCAGCAATAGTCCTGTCAGTGCTTCGCGCTTCTCTGACCAGGGTAGAATCAGCTCCAGTAGCTGGTATGATGACCTGGATGAGGTCACGTACTGGTGCGAGGTGCTTGTCGTTGATCCTGATTTCTGGCTGGTGGAGAATCCGACAAGGGATGACTCGCCAGTGTTGTCTTTGCAGGTGAGGCTGGCCTGGAGTAGATCTAGTATGCACATACCGTACTTCCCCACATATGTGCGCATGCGCTTATAAGTGAAAATGTGTTGCAGAAAAGATGTTTTGCTGTGTAAACAAGTCCGGGAAAAGCACATGTACTAATATGACTGTGCAATAAAGGTTTGTCTGTGTCCAAAATAGTGGTGTTATCGCAATGCTTAGTAATAATATTCAGCTCCCAGGTGTTTTACCAATCATGTTCACATAAAGCACACGCGCTTATAATTGGGGGGGGGGGGGGGTGCGCTTATGTCCGGACATAAGCCCATGCGCTTATATGTGCGGAAGTACGGTATTGCTTGCTGCAGTTGGATGAGCAATCCCTTAACTTAAGTCCAGGACCCCGCATGAAATGCCAGCTATCAGGAGAACCAGTGCCTCGACTCTTTTAGTGTTCATGTACACCCACTCTCCATCTCCATCTCTCTCTCTCTCTCTCTCTCTCTCTCACACTCTCGCTCTATCTCGCTCTCGCTGTCACTCTCGCTCTTTCTCTCTCTCGCTCTTTCTCTTCTGTGTTTCTTTCACATAGTTTGAAGGGGAGTTCCTGCTGATCCAATCTGAGGAGACCAGTAAGATAGCTATCTTGCTTTCGAATCTCTTCATCGACTCGTTTCTCTGCGGCCACTGGGTGGATACGCATGTCATGGCAAGTGATTACATACTTATGAGAATTGATGACTTACAGTTCATACTCTGCCTATGTAGTGATGTCACTCATGCCAGGGTGTAATTTGGGCTAGTGTTTGCTCTGACGCACGCCTGTGAGTTCTGCACGCGATTTCTTTATGAATTTCACACTACTGTACAAGCAGAAATATTCGTCTGGAATTTAATTTCGTCTTTTTCGTCCAAGGAGCTTTTGGACTGAATTAAATGTAGGACGAGTATCGATTTGTCCAGCTTTTCTATACACTCTTAATGATCCATGGACGAAATTTTCAACCGGACGAACTCCTTTTCTTTGGAGTTGGACGAAATTATTGACCGACGAAATTTTCTACCTCTACAGTATAATCATACGTATAGAAGAGACCGATTGGGAGATCTATACAGGATCTCTAGACCGAGTAAATGGCCGAGGTCCCCCAAGGTCTGTTACGAGGTAACTGTACAGTCATATACTTCTTTTGTCACCAGTGGTGCACGTATAGTCCTTGCAAGTTACTAGTGGTGATGCTGGTTAGTTGGTGAGCCGCATTTGTGTTGTAATTGTATACTGCCGCCTTCAGGTGCTACGTCCCTGCTCCATTGATTTCTTTAGCATGCCTCGTAGCGTTGATTCGGCTAGCGGCCCCCAGCAGCAAGCACCCGAGGAAGACATTTTGAGTGGCTACGATATCATCGACACTGCCGATAGTGATGGACAGACTGTCGACAAACTGTGGGTCCGGGTGTCTCAAGTGTCGCTCAACATTTCCCCAGCGTTGATTATTACCATTCAGAACATCATCCTGAATGTCTGGGACTATCTGTGGCCTTCGGTGGTGAGTGAAAAGTAGAATTGCGCTGTAAGGTGCTTTTGGCTGCACTATCTGTACATATGATGAGTGTGCACAATGAGATGACTTCCACATCTCCGGGTGTCACTGGCTGGGCGGCTCGGGGTGCTTAACATAAAAATTAGGGATGAAACGATTACACCGATTACTCGGAACTTACTCGTTATCTCTGTGATCGCTACTCGTTATGCTGTCATCGAGTATGCAGTACTTGTACATGTGCAGTGTACATGTGCATAGTACTAGCTAAGTCGCACTGTCTGCATAGTCAACTCCAGCACGCGTCATCCAAGGTGACAAAATTCACACCTTTTTCTAGGCACCTTCGCACTTTTGGGATCCGGTGTGTCATGCACATATTCCCCGGAGACCAGTAAAATTTATTTGTCATACAAATTCAGCATACTCGTTTTATGATAACTCGATCGTTAATAATAAACGGTACTCGATAAGAAGAAATGGATGATCGTTTCATCCCTAATAAAAATACAAGGTTTCAGATTTCAGTGGTCAGTAGTGCAGTATACACACACTGTGATGTTGACGATGCCATTGTCTTGTCCCAGTGATGGCTAATGGTTGTCCTGGAGGGTTTGTGATATATCATTCACTGCCATGTGTATAACGGTGCGATTATGTGGTGTATGATATGTGTAGGAGTCGGAAGAGACTGTGTCAGAGAAACTGGTCGATGAAAGCATGTGGCAGCCGAAGAAGATGGACACCGAGAAATGGAAAGGTAGTATACCCACACTCGCAACCTACTCATTGTAACAATGCTCTGAACTTACTCATTGTAGATTGATGTAACAATGCTCTAGGTACTGGGTATTCGTGTTGCAGTCAATGTTGCTGCACAAGAGACGTATCAAAACAGTCACAACAGCGCACCGAGTAACAGGTTATCCATTACTTTACCATACTAGAGAACACTGAAGAGTCCGTAGACTCAACGAGGCATGTCTGAAAAAATGAAGTGAAAGCTCAGCTTATTTGCGCCAAAAGCTTTTCTAACACTTGGGGATTTCTCCGCTGGCAATGTGGATGACAGGATCTGGTTTGCTGATGTTGGAACGTTCTGTTGTCCCAATGTCACTCCGTGATGAACCCTAGTAGAAAGGTCGTCCTCTGCAAGACAGCTAGCAACAAGACCAGAATGGACATAGTATGGTGTGCGCGGCACACTGCTGCTACTTTTCTCTATGTTTAATTTGGCTACTGACTGATTTGCTATACTGTTACTTCTCCCTACTCTCTGGGTGCCAAGTATCTGACCATGTTCATGTGTGGATGTCCTTGCGTATGTGCACACTTGTACGCATGCGTGCGCTTGCGTACGTGCAAGTATGTGTGTGTGTGTGTGTGTGTGTGTGTGTGTGTGTGTGTGTGTGTGTGTGTGTGTGTGTGTGTGTGTGTGTGTGTGTGTGTGTGTGTGTGCATTGGGCATGTGTTTGTGTGTGTGTATTGTTTGGTGTACCTATATCTTGCTCAGCGGTGCGCGATGGTGATGTGACCAGTCCAGCACGTATCCTCGAGTCTCCGCGTGGAGAGAAGGTAAGGCGCTCCCAATGCTCCAATCGGGAGGGCAAGCAAGCATGCGCGTGTGTAGTAGGAGTAGTTTTCTGGTCTGTGTTCGAATCGGCATGCACCCATGCTAAATACGGGAACAGATTTACATTCATCCCGACCAGCCTCTATGGAGCTTCTCTGTGTGAGGGACAGTGCTCTTGGTCAAGTTTGACGTACCCTGCACACATGGCCTTGGTTTGTACCCTGCACACATGTTGTTGTGGACATCTTGCCTATGCACACATAAGTTAATGGGTAATAACAAGAGTGCATAAACAAGAGTATGCAATTGTGGTTATGGGCCAGTGCGCGGCGCACTGCCTTCATTACGTAACTTTCCTCCATCACGGTCTGAAAGCATGCACTCAAACCCACAATTTCTCGTACGAGCCCATCCGTTTTTGCTCGATTCATTCCAGTACCTACGCGATCTCTAAATATTGGCGCGTGAACTCCAGTTCCGTACGAAAATTCATTTCAAACCAGAGGGAAAGCGCGGTGTTTGATTTTCCGCAGTGCGCGGACTGCAGCTGAATGATGTAATGAAGGCAGCGCGCCGCGCATCTGGCCCATAGAAAAGAGATCACAGTTGCATACTCTTGTTTATGGGCTCTTGGTAATAATTTCTAATAATACCGATATGCATTCGCACTTGTGTTCCGTGGCATGCACAGTTGTTTGTTGATGTGGACGGTATGGACATCAAGTTTGACATCGTGCATGGCGACAGCACATACGTGCCGGTTCTGGCGTTGGGTGTGCATACGCACGACGTGGAAATCCGAGACTGGACAACTCAGGTAAGCTTGCTCAGCCTAGACATGGCTCAGTAGTACTTCCATACATACATACATACATACATACATACATACACAAGACAGTACAGTCGTCCCTCTCTAATCCGGCACCTTTTGCTACAGCGTTTTCTGCTGGATTAACGAGGGTGCTGGATTAACGAGGGTGCTGGATTAAGAAATCCTGCCCTCTGACCCGGTCCTACCCAATTGCATGCATGTATCATACGTCAAAACGCAGGGTTTTTCCGTGTCGACCCAAGTATTTGGTGCACGGCTTTATATTCTCAACTTTTCTCCAGGAATATACACAGTGATAAAGTGATAAAGTAAAACAGAGAACATGTTCACATGTACTCTTGCACACACACGTACACACATACACACCTGAAAATTGGCAGGACACTACAGTCAACTTCGCCAATAACGACTGCGGATATAACGACAATTCGCGAATAACGACAGAATTTCCATGCCCAGAGCAAAGTCCCATCCAATTGTAATACATATAATAAGACTTCGGGTATAACGACACTTCGCAAATAACGACACTTTTCTGATGCCCCGCCGAGTGTCGTTATACGCGAAGTTGACTGTACTCCTTGCTAAAATAAGAAAGTATGGTTGACTGCTTAGCGGTTGTCTCCTGGACAACATTGACCAGACTGGCCTAGCCTGGCCTGGCAAGGAGTGCACCTGTACGTTACGCGATTTACGACTGCCGGATTATGAAATCAAACTACGTGCAGTTTGAGCGATTCGTTTCAAAAAGTCACTGCCAGAGGCGGAATTCAAGTGCCGGATTAAGATGTAGGAATTGAACGAAAAAAATCGGTTTCGTCAGAAAGTGCGCCGGTTGGCAAGGGTTCCGGATAAACAAGTGCCGGATTAGAGAGGGACGACTGTACTTCCATACATACATACACAAGACAGTGTTTTGTTCCTTCAGCGCGCAAGGCTAACAGGTATTCCTCAGTATTATGACTTATTTTCCTTCGGAGCTCCACACTTTCCAAAGACTTTGTACGGTATCAACTGCTGTATGTTACGAGCTGAATAGAGATTGTCTTTGGTGTGCTATGGTGTGTAGTTGAGCGCTTCTCTGGTTCTCGCCTTGGAGATCACCTACTTCAATCGTAGCTCCGGCGTTTGGGAGCCTCTGCTGGAGCCGCTGGAGCAGAGTAATTCTGGCGTAGTGCGACCATGGAAGCTTAGTGTCCAGGTAAGTTCCTTCAAATCTACATATTAGAGAGGTTAAGATGCACGTTCTTTCCGACGTGCTCGCGTTTTTTGGCTCACGCGTCGAAAAACAACGCGAGTGACCTGCAGCTCCCGTCGAAATTTGGAGTTTTACGCCAAATTTGACGTGAAATTGCGTGTCACGTCGGAAATAACGTGCATCCTAACCTCTCTATTGCTGTAAGCCACTGCGGTCCACATGTTGGCTGCCTCTTCAGGCTTGGGTTGGTTGTACATGTACATGTAGTGGGACATGTTGGTGATAATAGACAGCAGACCTCTGGTAAGACTAGCCCCCATGCATGGGCAGCAGGAAACTGTACTTAGTATCCGAGGTACGTGATTGTACTTCTCATCCTAGCATACTTCTGCATGGATCACTACACCAATGCTCCGGGCAATGTCTGTGCTAAGCAAGAGTATGCTTTCTCAGAGTACGCCCTAAGTGAGTTCCACTTATGCTATGAGCTTTGAAATACTACTAGGTGTTGACTGTTTCCTGAATTAACCCTTTATTACCTGATTAAATATACAGTAAAAACAGGTCATTCAAGCGGCACCGTAACTCAAATTCAGTTCATTTTTGGTAGGTACACAAATGCTATTTCCAGAAAGTAAACGGAAAGACCTAACAAATAAAAAAATAAATAAAAAATGTAGAAATATTCACAGTATTTGAGAATAAGCAACTGTCAGGATTGGTAAACGGGTCGGGAAGAAGGATCAGTAGTATAACCAGGGAGAGAAAGGAGGGAACGTTCAGTTGATCATCAGGCTGTGAGCAGGGTTACAAATCAGCGTGAGAGAGTGGAACAGTGATGGACAGGAGACCAAGAGCCGATCGTGGGCAGATATCAGTTGCCCAAACCCAGTCTTCGCGTCGGAGGTGCTGGTAGGTCTTCAGTTTGAAGGTTTGGAGGCCACGGTGGCATGGAGCTTCGCTTAGAATAGCAGATAGCAGGGAATTCCAGGTAGGCACGAAGCCGTATGGGAAGGTTAGTAGTAAGGCATTGTTGAAGCGTGGACGGAGGGGGATGCTAAGCTGCTGGTTGTGGCCTTGCGACTGATGAAACTGCCGTATTGTGCGGGGTTCTCTGGCAGGTGCTGCCAGAAGAGGGAGCAGGGGCTCAAGAGATGGCAGGCGTGCGTCACACTTAAGCTTGTAGAGCGCACAGAGGCCACTAATCTAGCGGCGGAGCTCCATCGTGTCATGGGTTGCAGCTGGCATGTGGGTAGCCACTGGAGCTGCTGTGCTTACTTTTCCCTTCCTGCCGCTTGCAGCTAGCGGAGGCGGGTCACTGCCAGAAATGCCAGCAAGTTGGCGTCAAAGATTCTCCCGGAAACAAGCTTTCCAGTAGCCAGCGTTGTGCGAGGGAGCGTCAGGATGTTCCTCACGATACTCCTGCATCGAAATGAAGCTGTTGACAATTGCACATTCAATGAGATCACAGAACTGTGGCTTCCATGACTTCTTGGAACTTCGAAGCAAATGATAGCTTGTAGCCAAATGGTCAAAGCTGTCAACTCCTCTCTGAAAGATATAGTTTGAAACAATCGAGCTCATTCTCTGGAGTAAAATCTGCAGGTAATTGTTTGCCAGAATTTTTTTGGGTGTTAACCCTTTACCGGTCTACCATAAGCGTACCGATACTATAGTATCGGTACGTTTGGCCCTCATTTTTTGGGGTCTTGTTGCTAGGAGACAGCTAAAATGGCGCTCTAAGCGTAGCTGAGGTCCAAGGCTTTCTGACGATGTGCAAAGCAACCATGCTTAACATACAATTTTTTGCCGTATCGATCGACTGAAGTTTGTTGAAATTGGAAAAGACGACCATCCGCCATGCGCGCATTTCAAGAATGCGAGTGCCTCTCTTGGGGCCGTGTTTGACAAGCGGTCTGAGAGCAGTAACATCACCAGTCCAGGCTGGATCTCCCGGGAGGTTTTGCAGTGTAGTGTGTTGAGAAAAAGAGCTCCGTTGAGTCCTGCTAGTTCAAAAATATATCGTCCACGAATGAAGAAACAAAATTCTCCAAACAGAGAGGAAGGCTTCTTGCTGCCAACACGGCGACAGCGACTGTCACAAGGACTCGTCAGGTGCGATCAGCTGATTCGCCTGGCCGTAAGAATCACGGCATGCGTAAGCTCGCGACTGAGTACTCATCTGAGCGAGAGTGAATCTGACACGAGCAGCGCTGAGATGAACAAACCGAAACTGCGATATCGTGGAATGGGAATTTCTGCTGCTGGCGTATCGCTGATGGCGAGGTGTTGGTGTTCAATGGCGGTATTGTAGAGAGCCTACATTTCTTGTAAAGACGTAGCCCTTACCTGATTGTTTATCGTACGACTTCAGCTCCATCACGAACTTGGTATGCCCTTCGTGCTGTAATATTCGTGTATTTCATTCGCAATTGTATTTTCTCTCAGCTTGAAGGGCTACCATTGGCCCTATCCTTGCCTGGACCTAGTCATATTTGAATTTTCTGGAAGCGTTCAGGCATACAGATTTTGAAAATATTTGGTTTACCCATACCTACATCACATGGTTCTTGAGTTATTGCTGGTTGTGTGTACATGTATTTGCGTGACCACCCCTCACATACATTGAGTTAGACCGGCAAAGGGTTAACTGGAAATCTTGCACATCATAGTCGTCTGTAATATCCCATGTTCCAAAGTCACCTGCTACCTGCACACCAGCACCACGGCCTCTTTCACAGCCACCGCGCCCTCTCTGCCCTCATCCTCTCGTCCTCTCTGCCCTCGTCCTCTCACCCCCTTTGCCCTCGACCTTGACCTCGGCCATGTGGACCTCCACGTGCAGCATTTTCATATTGGTGATTCGTCGTCCGGTGAAGGCCACGACCTCTATTACGACCAAATGGGGCGTCCACGACCACGAGTTCCATGGCCACGGGCTCTGCCATTTCCACGTTCTCGCCATGCAGGTGGCACAGGGCCGGTTTCAACTTCTTCGTCGTCTGAAACTTCAACATTTTCGTCGTCCTCCTCATTCACATCCGAACTGGAGCTAGAATCCAGGGTGTCGTCTTCAGACGACGACAGTAGCTCAACAGGAGTCTCACCACCACTATCCCAGGTGTCAATTCTCTCAGCTACCTCTTCAGGATCAAATAGAGCTTGAAACCTGCTGCTCGCCATTGCCTCCAAAAAAAGAAACACAAGTACACCGACATGGTACACACTTTTCAGAACCCAGCATTTTCGCGCACACTTTGAGTAGGAGCCTACCTGGATTTTGTGTTCATCGGTAAGCCACACGTTTTTACTGTGGGTTTCTCGAAAGAACTACGTGAAGCGAGCTCGATCACTCGGAAAATCGGTGCCTGAAGTTTCGATCATGTACGATCGAAAGTGTGAGGGCCGGTAGCAAAGGGTTAGCAAACAGTATAATAAATAATCGTGTCTGAAAACTGAAACAGCAACAAAATTCTACACCAGGAGGAACTGTTCTAAGACAGTTTACGATACTGGAACTATAATAAGCAGGGAGTAGGCTCTGTGGCTCCACATGGAAAGCCAAACTAATTATGAAGAGACGTGCGATCAGAGCAATGCAGATGCGGGTTAGCAAATCATGTGACAAACAAGACTAACACGGTGTTGTACACACACGGCGTACCCATGTGGAGATTATCGTAAAGTTGAAAGAAGCTACAATGCAAGGCGAGACATTGTGTAGTACAGTTGTGGAAACATAGTAGATGCAAGACATAACAACAGAGCACATCGTTGCAGAGAAATAAGAATTGCGAGTAGGTTGACTTTGTGTGAATAGAGATAGTCTTGTGCACTCATGAACTCACACAAATGTCATATACCTGCACACATAACTAAATAAAGTAAATAAATACTCAATCTGCGGACAGAACTGTTTGTCCTTTGTGGACTCATCAGCGCAGCACAGAGGAAATGACGCCGAACCTGATAGCAATGGAAATAAAGATTTCCAATCAGGCCCGAACGTACCTTGCCAGAGTGCTCAAACTGACAAGTCAGTGAGCTCTGCATAAAGTAAATAAATAAATGGACTCGGATGGAGAGCGAAGGATAAATTTATAGAAAAGACAAAGGACCAAGGAACTACAAGTTACGCTATAATGTCCACTAACACCACCAGTTACTAAACAATCAGCTCATGCGATAACATTGCACGGCACTGACCGACGGTACTGACGTCCTGCAATGTTATCGCATGAGCTGATTGTTTAGTAACTGGTGGTGTTAGTGGACATTATAGCGTAACTTGTAGTTCCTTGGTCCTTTTTCTTTTCTATAAATACATAAATATGTGTACTTGTGAACAGACAATAATACAAAAAGTACAGACAAATGCTGGTCATGGAGCAGACGCTATGTAACAAAGTGAAGGCAATAGCTTATCACCTGTTCTCTTGGTAGATCTCTGATCAACTGTAGTGCAATGAGCAATGGATACTGGTATGGATACTGTTTTTCATGCCCACTGTGCTCTCCGGCTGTCTATGCGCACGTTGCACGGTTTGTGCCGCTTGCTTTCTGCTCAGTACCTGCAAGTTATGAACCTGTCCGTGTGGCAAGGCGAGCCTCGGCTTCACTCTGCCGCTCCAGCGCACAAGAGTGGTGATGCTCATGCTCGTGGCAATGCGGGTTCTGGAGATGAAGTGGATGCATTCCCATCGACAGGTACTGTTGCAACTTTTGATTCTATTTCAATACTTTGTATTTTCCCATCCACTGTTCTAGTACTGCACTGCTTTCTGTCCTCCACAAGTCCCAGTCTTTCTCCCCAGCATGTAGCTGTGATTGAAATTACAGTTACTAATATTCCCATTTCCCATGGTGACTTTTTTAAATTTGTAACTCACTCCGGAGCTTCTAAATAGCACCGCTCTACAGTCGACAATCGAATAACGGAATTAGGAGATAAGTAGTGCTCTCCAACTGCACACTGTACACTTGTGTGTGGCGCCACCAGCATGACACTGGACAGTGTTCTGGAGTAGTGTGAGTGTGAAGTGTAGAGCATGGGGGTAACATGGCCCAGTACCCACCCAGTGTCCACATGTGCGGGGGTAACATGGCCCAGTACCCACCCAGTGTCCACATGTGCGGGGGTAACATGGCCCAGTACCCACCCAGTGTCCACATGTGCGGGGGTAACATGGCCCAGTACCCACCCAGTGTCCACATGTGCGGGGGTAACATGGCCCAGTACCCACCCAGTGTCCACATGTGCGGGGGTAACATGGCCCAGTACCCACCCAGTGTCCACATGTGCGGGGGTAACATGGCCCAGTACCCACCCAGTGTCCACATGTGCGGGGGTAACATGGCCCAATACCCACCCAGTGTCCACATGTGCGGGGGTAACATGGCCCAGTACCCACCCAGTGTCCACATGTGCGGGGGTAACATGGCCCAGTACCCACCCAGTGTCCACATGTGCGGGGGTAACATGGCCCAGTACCCACCCAGTGTCCACATGTGCGGGGGTAACATGGCCCAGTACCCACCCAGTGTCCACATGTGCGGGGGTAACATGGCCCAGTACCCACCCAGTGTCCACATGTGCGGGGGTAACATGGCCCAGTACCCACCCAGTGTCCACATGTGCGGGGGTAACATGGCCCAGTACCCACCCAGTGTCCACATGTGCGGGGGTAACATGGCCCAGTACCCACCCAGTGTCCACATGTGCGGGGGTAACATGGCCCAGTACCCACCCAGTGTCTACATGTGCGAGTGGAGGTGTGCTACTACTCGTATGCGCATGTCTGATCTGTTACAGCGTGAGCACTTACTTGCTGTATCATGAGCACATTCTTACAGCAGTGTGAGTGCAACACTCTGCTGTTCTGCGTGTTGTGTACCAGTTTCTCTGATGCACACCGTGCTACTTCCCACTGTTGAGGTGGACGCTGCCAGAGAAAGTCCGGAGTATGCGGCTGGTGGCGGTGTGGATCAGCATCCGCAGAGTGCCTTGCTGGGTACACCCAGGGCGCATGCCGATGGCTCCACCACCTCCCTCCGCTCAGCTGTCCTTAGCAGTGGTGTTGGTGACCAGGTGGATACGGTCGGTGAAGTGGCCACCTGTCTTGTTCTGTCCTCATCCGATCTGCTCTCGGTGACGCTTTCCACAGTATCGCTGCAGCTGTTGACGGACGTTATGGAAGTAAGAATGCCGTTGCACTGTAGTTGGTAGTAGGAGCAGGCATTGTTGTCATTCATATCAACCCATTCTCATTGACTTGGCTTTGTAGCGCCATATGCTGATGCTCCCACACTCACTCTTTTCTAATGATTTTCCTTACAAATAATCTAATACTATACAGCTAGTATAAGCTTGTGCGAATCATGTTGGTATGCGTTACCGAATACTGGTAAATTATGTGGAAAGTGATGCCTTGCCATAGCGACTCACTTTGTGGTGCTCCAATGAGACTGGGGTAACGGGGCTGACATGCCAGCCCCATGCAATTCTCCTGTGTTCAATGCACTATGTTTCTGCTCACTCTTTGCAGGCCTACTTTGCCGAGGTGTCCACGCATAATGACACGGTGCGTGCTCAAGTCAGCTGCCTGGACGTCCCTGTGCTTGTTCGTAATGAGGTGAGAGGCGCTCTAGTGAGGTGAGAGGCGCTCTCGTGAGGTGAGAGGCGCTGTGAGTGATTCTAGGTAGGGCCTAGACTGTGTAGGGCATTCTCATTTTTATCATTCCACAATCACCCCATGACATAGTCCACAATCACCCCATGACATAGTGCCAATAAACAGGTGATGCGGGTGATTTTAACCAGCCATGGTGGGGAAAACTGAGAAAAGAAGGAGATAATACAATGAAAAAAAAGAAAACGGAAAAGAAAAAAGGAGTATTAAAGGAACCTGGAGAGAGCAGTATGAAGATTAGGCTAGCAACGAAAAGCAGCGAATTGTCAATTCAACTCAGGTAGGCGTGGGCGAAAGGATGGAACAAAAATGCAGCATAGGTATCACGAGACTTTAGCTCCTGCGGGAGCCGAGGCCAATGAGAATAGGCCAATGAGAATAGGCCTTGAATAGAGAGGATTTTAAAAAGTATCAATGATCTGACAAGTGGGAACTGGAGAAAACATCTAGTAAGCGAGCTATTATTGAAACTTAAATGCGCAAGTACATGCGGAGGAGCAGGTTTAACCCTTCACTATCCGATTAAATGTATAGAAGCCCACGCAATCACCAAATCTGAACTTAGAATTAGACGTAACTTTGGTTGAATTTGACAATTTCCACGATCTTGGGCATCCTGGAAAGGTCTTGACGTCTGATGCAGATACACGGCACCGTATAGGCGCTGCAGCACCATATCAACGCAGGCAATGGTCTTTGCTGCATGTCCTTTGATAGAGAGAAGGGACTCCTTACTCTCCCTGATGTTGTGCTGCTAACTGATTGTGTGCTGCTGTCCAGAATCGACTCAAGATTAAACCAATGTGTGTGTGCGTGCGTGCGTGCATGTGTGCGTGCATGTGTGCGTGCGTGCGTGCATGTGTGCGTGCATGCGTCTGTGTACTTGCGTGTATTTCTGTGCGTCTGTGTGTGTATACAGCTTGGTTTGAGCATGGATGTAGTATCTTACCAAGAGCTGTTGAGCAAGGTATGGTGGTTGTTAATAACAGGCTGTTTAGGTGCAGTGTGTGACTATAGTAGTATTCTGTGCTTTGTTCTTTGTACATCTGTATTACAGAATGTCTATGACTTTCCTCTCCTGTACTGTGGTTACACAAATGATGTGATCAGACTCAACATTTTAGTTTGTCTTTTGTTCTTCACTATGTTGTCGATCTCCAGCCTAATGAGAGTATAATCAAAACTCAGCACCTGAGCCCGCACAAGACAATGCGCTTGAGCTGGCCATCGCATCAGCCGGCGTTGGCGTCCTTCATGACGTCCGACGCTGCCACGGCTGCGCTGGAGTACGTACCCGCTCGGCGCCCGCCGCGCTTGCCAAGCAGTAACAAGTGGCATATGGAACGTGGCAATGAACAGTTGGACTGTGGTGAGCATGACGAAGACGATGACGACGACAATCTCGACGACCTGTTGCTTTTCTGCGATGACCCCGGTGACTGGCTGATGCAGGGAGTGAAGAAGCTCGTTGAGCACTGCTACAGCTCCGCTGGTGCTGCGGGCACAATGGGTATCGTGCGCAAAGATTCGGGCCTGTTCAGCAAAGCTCAGCTGCGCTCCGAGTCAACCGTCAGCGGTGGTGAGGGTGCATTCGCTGAGTGGCCATTGCTGCGCGCTCCGGACAATGTGAAGAGCCACACCATGCCAGCTGTTAATGAGGATGGTGCCTATAATGAAGCAGTTGTGGATGGTCGTGATGAGGTTGATGGTGGTGCTGGTGGTGCTGGTAATCGCCGACGAATTGTTCCACCGCCACCACAACCGAAAGTGTCTAGAAAGCCTCGTTTATCTGATGTAGGGCCGATGCTGTCGATGACGATTGATGTTGATGAGGATGAGACTGATGGTGGTGAGCGGTCGCAGAGCAGCAGCACTGAACCTGGTGATGATTGTGATGAGAATACAAGTCACTTGTGTAACCTCTGGTCTCATTTCTCGGGTAGTCATTCTGTCGATGAACAGGATCAACGTGCGAAAGCAGTTGATGCGGAGGATGCTCTCAGTGCTGATGGTGGAGGAGGGGATGAGACCGACTTTGCCGCGTACAGTCTTCACAAGGCACCCGCGCTGGGTGGTCTGCCGTCTCCTAGTCTCGACACGTCACAGTCGCCGCTCGACGCTTTCCTGCAGGCAGGGCGCTTGCTGGCATCCGTAGGCAGTACGGCCACCAGCACCACCGACAGTCCTGTCGTCAATCGTCAACAGCCACTGGCAGTGCAGGTAAGGGTACGATAAAGACTGTAGTGTAGACTCTTGGCTGGAGGGAAATAAACCAACACACGAAGCACGAAAACCGTATAGTTTTGACTAGGCCTTTCGTACCATTACTTTTCAAGTCGCATACTCCGGTGGTGATTGATGCCGTGGTGTGTATGTACATGTATGTACCCTGCTGTTGCCTTCGGAATGCTGTTGATTGAATTGAGTCCAACCTTACGCAATGCCCGCGTATCACAAGACAGATGGGCACATATCTACTGCCTTTTTTCTACTGCCACCGTGTGTTTGCATCAGTTGCTCTTGTGGAGTATACTGAGCATGCCTCTGCACCTTGCTTGCATACATGTACCGTATTTTCCGGAGTATAAGCCGCACTGTAAACACCAGTAAATTCACCCTGAAAAAGTCAGTGCAGCTTATGCTACGATGGTCAAATTAATGGTGATAAAGAGGGTCGATGTCTGTACTTTGTGACGAAAATCTGGGTGCGGATTATACTCTGCAAAATCTGGTATTGTGAACGGCTTTATTACAGGGTCTTGGTATGATCGTCTGTGATGCTGATCAACAGGTTTCTGTGGGCATTCCCCCATTCTCCTCTCTCCAATTGCAGTCGAGTGGAATGGATTTCTGCCATTTATCATGATTTGCTTCAGGTGGATGGGTTTGACGTGCTGCGGGCTGTGCCACTGAAACCAACCGGCACATATGTCCTGCGCATACGACCTACGACTCGCCATGCATGGTCGAAGGTAGGTCAGAGGACCGCTCGGTGTGGGGGTCTGTTGTTTTCCACATGAGGGTTTCACTCTTCATCTCTGAGTTTAGTAGTACATTCCATACAATGGTAGAATATGGAGTTTCACCATGCAGTGTTTGTTTCTGTCTCCCCCCCCCCCCCCCCCTCCCTCTCCCTTTCCCTCTCCCTTTCCCTCTCCCTTTCCCTTTCCCTCTCCCTCTCCCTCTCCCTCTCTTGTTGGAGCTTTTACAAGTATTCCCCCCCCCCCCTCCAACTGGAAAGTTCTAAGAATCTTGGTTGTCAGCCTGTTCTTGTGGCTTTGAAATGCGTGGATCTCTCTGAGCATGTGTTGTGTTTGTGCGGGCATTGTGTGTGCTGGCATTGTTTGTGTGTATGTAGAAACCAGGCTGCCTGGCGGTGGCATGTGAAGTGAAGACAACGGAAGGTCAGCGTGCAGTGACGTTCCACTCAGTCATGGAAGTAGGTACATGTAGCAAGAACTGCCAAGCTTGCCGGAAATATATGTGCTGCAATTTGTTTCCTTCTTTCGTGTGCCATATTACTGCATGCTTATGGTGTCTACTACTCACTTGCTTCAAAGTAGGCATCAAAGTGGACTTTGCATGTGCTGTGCTGTGCTGTGCTGTGCTGTGCTGTGCTGTGCTGTGCTGTGCTGTGCTGTGCTGTGCTGTGCTGTGCTGTGGTTTGAGTCAGTTCATGTTCCTGGGTAGTAGTACGACTCTGTGTAGTTACTTGAGTTAATTCTTACCCTTGTATACTTTTAAGTATACGTGCTCCATGTTCTCGATCCTCCGTTTGTCCCACCTGCGCAGATTAAGAATCATCTTTCCGTGGAGTTGAATGTGTACTGTCGGCCAGACATATCAACTGTTGATCTCGCCGCTGCGGAGCTAGAGCAGTGGATCTCCTCGGAGCTGAAAGGTCTGGAGAGCCACATTGAGACGTTTGAAGGCCAAAAGCTGCTGCAAATCGGCCGAGTGAAACCGGGCGACACGTTCTTTGTTCCCCTCTTCATTGTCTATGAGTGGGAGTTGTTTGTATCACCTGATAACACACTTGGGTAAGTAAGTAGGACAAAGCTACTAAAAAAGTGCAATTGTGCTCCGAGTTGTGTTTGAGAAAATGACCAAAGAAATGATGAACATCGTCAACAACGACATTTCCTCTGACATAGGAGTGCGGTACAAATTGTGGAGCCGTTGAGCTGTGCGAGTGTGTCCTCCACAGTTGGTAGTGCTCACGCTGGTGTTTGGACGCTTGACATCCCCATAATAGTTGTGCTCACTGAAATCCGACCTCAAGTGCGAAACTGGCACCCTGGACCAGTTCTGATCACATCCCTGTCCTTGTACATGTGTCCATCCAGCCGCATTCGTACCACTTCTGGGGTGTCCAGGGCCCTGTAGGTTGAGGGCGCCAACTATGCACTTTGGGTCGGATTTCACCGAGCGCAACTGTACTTTCACGTTGTAATTCGATTTGAGAACTGACATGAGCGGCAAGCACCAGTCAGTCGGCTGGTCGACTTTCGTAATGATACCTGCTGCCTCCATCCGCTCCAGATCTGTGTGGACAGATATGCATCGGGATGCAGCTAGCAGTGATGCAGTTGTATGGTTTACAGCCAGGCTTCAACTCAATTTCAACAGGTTTTATTGTTGAATTTTCAATTTTTGTCTGATATATATTTGCTGTCCATCAGGTTCGCACCATGTTTGCAAGGTTTTTCACTCGCTAACATATCATCAAAACAGCAAACCCTGCTGCAGTGCCCCTTACGTGGTGGCCCGGACGCTGGAGTGCCTCCGTTTTGCTTCAGGGTAAGACAGTATACACTGTACATGTGTTGTAGTACGTTATTTTGTGTACGTCGTTGGTGCATGCGCGTGTTGCTGTGGTGGAAAAAGCTGTCTTCGTCTTGAGTTCATCATGTCTTCATCTTGAGTTCATCATGATGTCTTCGTCTTGAGTTCGTCATGTCTAGTTGTGTTTCTTCGTCGTGTCAATAAACAGTCTTCTAAATGTAGTTATCGTCGTCCCTTTGTATAAGTGTGGAGATGGCACGGGACTGGGAGCAGGTAGAGAAAAGCGAGTTACAACACATGTACATTTGTAAGTACAGGCTATTGTTACTTATCCGTGGCCACTTCAGGAATGGGACCATCTTGAATAATTGAATGTGTTGCATGCTTGTGTGTGTGTGTGAGAGAGTGTATTGGTGTATTGATAATTTGATACAGTGAAACCTGTCTAAGACGACCGCTCAAGGGACCTTCAAAGTTTGGTCTCTGTGACCAGGCGGTCTCTTTATCCAGGGTCATTGGACTGGAAATAGCATCCCTTGGTCCTGGATGCAGTGGTCGTCTGGGACAGGTGGTCGTCTGGGACAGGTGGTCGTCTGGGACAGGTGGTCGCCTTATCCGAGTGGTCGCCTTTACAGATTTTACTGTACTTGCATATGTATGTAACGTATTTATGCTCGCTTATGTGCGTGTGTGTGTTCCTGCCATCAGCTTGCTGTGGAACTGGTGGAGGCACTTAGCACCTCATCGTCAACCGTGTCCGCCATTCTGTCACAGGCCTGCACTGTCCCCCGTCACATCCTCAACTTCCATCCGCCCGGAGTTCTGTACAACCTCCTGCCGTTCTGCATCCGCTACCTTGTCGAGGTGTGTGTGTGTGTGTGTTTGGTGTGTGTGTGTGTGTGTGTGTGTGTGTGTGTGTGTGTGTTTGGTGTGTGTGTGTGTGTGTGTGTGTGTGTGTGTTTGGTGTGTGTGTTGTGTGTGTGTGCGTGCGTGAACCCGTGCACGTGTGTGCTTGTGTTCATGTGTTCACATGCACTCTTGTTTGCATGTGACTTTTTCTGGCATTGTTGCTGTTGCTGTTGCTGCTGCTGCTGCTGCTGCTGCTGCTGTTGCTGTTGCTGCTGCTGCTGCTGCTGCTGCTGCTGCTGTTGCTGCTGTTGCTGCTGCTGCTGTTGCTGCTGTTGCTGCTGCTGTTGCTGTTGTCATCGTGTAGCACACACGCACCTGCATGTGATCTTGACAGCACTGATATACTTAGTGTGGTATGACTGTGTACTCTCCTGTGTTCATGCAGGGCGTGTCTGTGTCATGGGTTGAAATTGAACCCGGCCAACGAGACTGCCTGTACACAAACAGCCTGGAGCATTCTCAGACTCTACTGATCAAGGTAGGTGTTCCGTGTTCCGTGTTCGATGTTCTGTCATTGGCGTTGATGCTATTTCTGGAAGGCTAGTGATTCTGTCATTATCGGCATGGAGAGGATCTTTCACCCTTTATGATCCAGTCCATCGCTATTGATCTAGAGATCTACTGTGGTGCTCCTTCCCCCGTTGGCGTAAATGGTGTGCCTACGCTTCGGGGGAGAATTTTGGCTAATGGTAAGTCTGTGTGATGCTAATGGTAAGGCCCCACAAGCTGTGTTGAGTGGCATACTAGGTCACGCAGAGCAAAGGCCATGCTGGTAGCTGTGTTGTGTTCGGTACAAGTCGCTTCATCTTCGAACAACACCGTGACAGTGCTGGTTGTCTAGTTTTTTCAATTTGCAAAATCTAAAAACTGAGAATTCAGTACACGTGTGTGCAGTTAGCGATAATTGGACATAGCATGGTGCTCTGCCACAGATTTTGATCTCTCTGCACCTTGATCAGCTAGCAGACCAAGCCTGATGTGTAAGTCGAGTGTAACCCTCTTATCGTGTAGGTGAACTCTCACTAGCTCCTTTCTTATGTGTGGCAGTGGACTGTGTTGCATGAACTGTGTGTATTCTGTGTTTGACTAGCTACCGGATTACCGTGGGAGGCAGTGGGAGGGCAAGATCAATGTGCATCGCAATGCCGCTCCTGCCGTACATCCGCTGAGCCGCTCCAGCCTTTATCAGCCGGTGAAATTCAAGACCACCGACAAGGCAGAGAAAATGGTACAGGCTTGAGAAAGTGACTGATGTGTTTGCCTTGGTCCAGTCACATATGTGACTTAGCTTGTTGAACAGAGGGCTGCACTGCGATTCTTATTTTCACTCATCATTCCACCATCGTTTGCATTGGCTCTCCTGAATGGTGTCATGTTCTGAACTTTTCACTCATCGTTTGTGGTGACCCTTGTTGTCATAATTCTGTGTTCTTTGTTTAACCTTCCTCTGCAGTATTTGGCAGTGGCACTCTCTGCTGAAGAGTCTCTGCACGTCCGCTTCTTTGCACCCTACTGGCTAGTCAACAAGACCATGCTGCCACTGGAATGGAAGGGAGTGAAGGTATGGCGTTAAATCCACCGTCTCACAGATATCAGTTATGTACGCTACATGTAGCTATGTTGGTACCTGGGACTCTTACATGGCGTGTCCCATGGCCTAGCTCCATGGCGTGTCCCATGGTCTAGTTTCATGGCGTGTTCCATGACCTAGTTCCCGGTGCTGTGGTTGTAACAGTTAGCACAGGGACTGTACCAATGTCTGAATGATTTACTTTGCTTGTGTCTTTCCTCGTGATGCTCTCACAGCATGGTACCACGTTCCGCAGTGACGACATCCTTGTATCACAGCCTGGAGCTTCTGTCAGTTCCAAGATGCCAGGACTGACCAGTGAGTATGCTGCATCAAGTGCAGATGATGACACAGGATGTCCTGCTGACCCAGTGTTGTTCTCCTTCGGCAAGTCTCTGCACAAGGGAAAGGTGAGCAATGCATGCCCTGGCTTTTCCATGGCAACACTGGCATTACCATGGCAGCACTGGCAATATCATGGCAACACTGGCATTACCATGACAACCATGTCATTACCATGGCAGCCCTGATAGTGCTGGGTCCCTGAGTATGCTCTAAATCCTGGTGAAGCATTCTGGTGCTTGTAATGGAGAGGCTGGCCGCTGTACATGTACAATGGATGAGCTATGCAGTAGTGTTGTGAGAAGTAGTACGGTTACTGTCTCTCCGAATTTCCTTTGGAGGGACGGCATTGCCTTAACTTTTTTTTTCGCACGTGAAGCCTTGCTGCCTAGAGATGTGGGTAATCTAATCATGTGAGGGCTGTGCTTTGATCTCTTGCTCCACAAGTCCAGACGAAACCTGTTCACAGTCCCTACTACCACCTTTTAGTATGAGTGTTCTTCACTACACACTCACGCATGCACACATGCATGCACACACGCATGCACACACGCACACACACACACACACGCATGCACACACGCACACACACACACACACACACACATGCACACACGCACACACACACACACACACACACACACACACACATGCACGCAAACACGTGCACGTGCGCACAAGCACACACACACACCCACATACACACACACGCACGCATGCACGCGCGTGCGCGCGCACACACACATTAAGTGAAGCTTCGGTGTTCTGTATTATTCTGTGACTAGGTGTTTGTACGTGCTGATGTTGAGCAAAAGCACTGGCCCAAGAAGGGATTTTCCCTGGAGACGGTCGGTAGTGGCGACGTGGTAACTAGCCGGTCAGCAAGACTCTCTTATGAAGTGAGTATTGCATTCTCTCTTTCCGAGTGCTATTTCGTATAATTTGCCAAGTCAGTCAGGGCAGTACTTGTACTAGTATCCTACTTACCATTAGTTGGGTGCATGCATCTGCATCTGCATGAAGCTGAACCTCTTTCTCTTTGGCATTTCTGTGACTTTGGCTGTAAGCGCGAGCTTCAGCACAGGGAGTAGCCTGCTTGTTCTGGTTCTTTTCTTCAGTCAAGGAAAGCTCATTGTTGCATCATGCTATGTTGCTAGGATATCAGCAGGCCTGCTTTTTATTTTATTTTCTATTTTTATTTTTTGCTTGTTTTGTGCGGTCCAGTTCTGGCTTGCCATCAAGGCAAGTAGCTTTGGCCTGACCAAGATTGTTACCATATCTCCTCAGTTACTTGTCTTCAATCGAACCAAGGTAAGTAAGGCCCATATCCGTGCTACATTGACTATTCATTAATTAAGCAGTGCATACACTTCATTGCAGCCACGCAAGGTGTGCCAGGATTGTATTCTTACAAAAATAATGAAAAATTAGTTGATTGACAGTGCAGTAGTTACTTTGCTGTATTTCATTCCCATTTAGGCATTTATCCACTGATGAGAATGGGACGGAAAGCTTTTGGAACATGTTCTGGGCTGACTGAGTACTGTATAGCAGGAAATTTTCGGACGGAAATATTTTCGGACAAAGCCGATTTTTCGACCTTTCGTACGGATTATATTTTCGTACAGTGCTGCATGCTAAATGCACGTGTTCGCATGTATAGTGTACATAACTTCACAGGGACAAATTTTAGAACGGAATTAATTTTAGTACAAAAGAGGCTGTGTACGAAATCGTACGAAAATAAATTCCGTCCGAAAATTTCCTGCTATGCAGTAATTGACAACCTTGGTGCTTCATGTATGTGTGATTTGTTGTACATGTATTTGTCTTGTTGGGTCACGTGATTACGCTTCTAGGTGGACTTACAATGGGCCGATGAAGACGGCGCTGCTAAGAGTAACATGAGGAAAGACTGGAATAATATTGCAGCAGGAAAGGTTGGTGGCAAGTGTTTGTACCTTTCTTGTTTCGCTGGTCAGTCTTGACCGTCGTTCACACCGTGAAGGTTGTGTTCACCCCCGTGGCGCAATGGATTAGCGCATTGGACTTCTAATCGGGCTAGCTGCTTGACGGCATTCAAAGGTTGTGGGTTCGAATCCCACCGGGGGTGATTATTTTTTGTTCCTGTTTTTATATTGTTCATGGGGCACTGAATGTTTTCAATGTTTTTGAACCGTTCAGCCGAAAAAGACGCGGCTTACTTTTATGTGGTAACCATGGGAAATGGCTGAAAACCAACTTTTTATTTGTTGCCTCTCAGTCGTTGTGAGTAGGGACGTTACCCCATTTTCCTAACTTGCTCCAATTGTTTCGATTTGAAGCTGATAATATATATTAGGAATGAGAGAAATGCAGAAGTGCGGATTTCATACTGACCAACCCCCCAAATGACAATCCCTTGACAAGACATGCTAAATCCCTTGACAAGACATGCTAATTCCCTTGATTTCACCTAAAATCCCTGGATACACCAAAAAAAGCTGGAAAAAAAGGCGTTTGCCCTGATCGGATGTCTATGCTGATGCAGGACGCGTGGTTTTTCACATAAACCAGACCACGAACGAAGAAAAAAACCCCGCACACACACACAATAGGCTGACGCAATAAAGAGGAAAAAACACACAGATCAGGATTTACAGGAGTACATGCAAAAGCACATGTGGGGCCCGAACTCCCACCGGAAAGATAAAACAACGGCAGATATAGGCCACTGAAAGAGAATAGAAAAAAGAGAAAAACCCAAGCAGAGCTAAACCACAAAAAAGCAATTAGGCCAAACGGAATGTGGGGCCTGAAATCCCACTAGAAAACAACAGCAATACGAAAAGATCAGGACTTGAAAAGAAAAGAGTGCTGCAAAATCAACCTGGATGCGCACCAGTGATCTGGTGATCACACAAGGAAACAGAAAAGCATATGGGGCCTGAACTCCCACCACAAGAAAAAATCAATGTCAGGACTTAGAAGCAAAAGATACACAAATGGTCACAGCAGATCGGCAGAGGCTGCATCCTCATCAACAGCATTCACTGGCAACCTGGCCTCTGCGGGCTAAAGACTGGCCGTTGTGGCTTTCTTGGCACGACTTAGAAACTGGGGGCTCAACAGTGAGGCACTCTGATGGCAAGGGACCGGGTGGTTGTGCTTACAACTGTTGAGGTTGCTTGTGGTCTCTCGCTTCAGGTGGCTTCGTGGACTTGTCTCGATTTTTTCACCATACTGAATAAACGCTCCGGATCAGCATTTGAATGTGGCAGAACCAAAGCCACCTTCGCCAGCTTGCTCAGGTTTGCGAATCGACGCTGGGTGCTGTCTTCGGGACGAGTCAACTTACTCAAAGCAGACCAGAACTGATCGAGACTTTCTCCATGAGGTGGTAGCACATAATCTGGCAAAAGCTCTTAAAGTCGAGCAGCTCAGTAAGGATGGCATCAATGTCCTCGGGTGACTGCTCTTTCAGGGGCCTGCGGCACAGGTTGGTTACAGCAGCAGATGAAATTGACGAACGGCTAGTCGGGTTGAGGAATGAAAGAGCACGAATGGTAGCATCATTCAAAGGAAGCTTGTCAAGCATCTTCTTAATGATGCAGGCTTCATAGAAGCCCCTCACACCATCGTACAGTTTACGTTCGACGCTCGGATCCTGCTCATCTTCCGCCTCGATCAGTGCCAGCCTTGCATGGGTGCCAATACCGAGCTCTGAACCGGCGAGCTGGTGGCTGCGATTCGCATATTCGATCTTTGGCAGATCTTCACTGTGGCAATCTTGGATGATGCAGGAATCCACAAAGTTAGTGAGGTAAGACCGCAGCAGAGAGAGGAAGTCTGCCTGCATGGTACCGACCCGGCTAGCATTTGTCTGGAACAAAGTTGTGAATTTGTTCAGCGGCTCCAGAGCAAAGGGGACGAACTGGCACACAAGCTTACTTAGCGGTGAGTCCATCAGCTTGAGCACACGTTTGAGCCTATCGTTTCGCGGCTCAATGTCCCGCTGCTGGTCGAAGAAGGCATAGAGAGCATCCCATTGGTCGAGGAGGCACTTGAGGCAACGCTTCATGCTCAGCCAAAGGGCTGTCGAGTGTTTCAGGACACGAACTGGCTGCAGCTCACCCAAATCCCGCTGAATATCAGCAAACATCTCCCAACGCTTCATTGTTGCAAACAGGCATGGACAAAAATCGGGTGACGGCCTGCTCATACGCATCATCCCAGTAACGGACCATAATTCCGAAGTACTTCCTGTCCATGTCGTCATTGCCACCATCACACAGGATTGTGAACGGAGAGGTTCGACAGGCAGGAAAGACTACATCGATCAGCTCCGGAGCCATGGCGTTGTTGATAATTGCAGCCGTTTTTGTACGACTACACGCAAATGATGCAGCGATCTTGCTATCAGGAAACATCACTTTGACGAGCTTGCTGAAGTGCTCGGCAGATCTAAACGATAGATTGTGGTCCGCCACAAACTTGACGAAATACGCCTCCGCCGTTACCGATTTTTTCCGCCAGTGTCGTCTTCTCTTGGCCCGCCGACATGGCCTCGGAAATTCCAGGCTGGGTGGCCACATCTCGCAGTGCCTTGGAGTGCTTGTTGGTATCCATGTGGCGTTTGATCTCATGAACACCACCACCAGAAATGTTTACGTTAACTTGGCACACAGTGCAAAAGACGAAGTTCGGACCCTTTCTACTTTCCTTCATACGGAACTTCGTCCACGATGGTTGCCACTTACTGGCGACCTTTTTCTTATCCGAAATCTATCCCATACTTGCTGACAGATGAAACAAAATCTCTCAACCTACTACGACTACTTGTCAGGAAACGACAACACCTGGACAGGCCCGGACTAGAGAAGAGAGTAGCCAGTAATCTCTGCGAAAAATCAGTTAGAGGAGAGGTCAATAGGCCGCCCGATCCTCGATCAAATGCTGCGCACTTTGTTCAAAATCGATCAACAGTGCATGGACGTTTGGTCTCCGTGATCCGGGTCTACAACAGTGCAGGCCAGTCAATCAGTCAGTCAGGCCTTGATCTACCGTACATCGCGTACGGGCACGACCGCCCGTACCGCTTTTTGTCTTCGAAAAAACGGGACCTTCATGGTAGATCCCTGGACTTCGACAAAATGTCCTTTTACCGGGAGTTTGCATGAAATCCCCTGGACCATCCCGGGAAAACCGGGAGGGTTGGTCAGTATGGGATTTCCTGGAAATTACAGTGACGAACAAGTTCGAATACATTCCGAAAATTTCTGGTCTGAATTGCCAAACTCCTAAAGGTAGCTGCATGAAGTAATGAGGCACACATCACCCCAGCTTTTGTATACTATATCTGTTCTCTCCCGGGACACAGCGTATACAATATACCGAGCGACGTGGGCCTCACATTTTCCCGAGGATATACCCTGGGTAGGATCTAACTGTTTTATGTCGACAGTCAAAGTGACTGGCAGGCAGCATACTTTCTAGTTGGTACACACGTGGAAGGAGAGGGAGATAGATAGATAAATAGATACTGGTAGATAGACTTGTCAGTTTGAGCACTCGGGAAAGATACGGTCGGGCCTTGTTTAAATCAGTCTTGAACATGCTTTACGCTTCCAGGGCTGTGTTCACCCCCGTGGCGCAATGGATTAGCGCATTGGACTTCTAATCGGGCTAGCTGCTTGACGGCATTCAAAGGTTGTGGGTTCGAATCCCACCGGGGGTGATATATTTTTTATTTCCGTAATTTTTTAATCATATTTAACAATTTGTTCATGGGATCTTTGTTTTACTGTATTGTAATGGACAATGTTGACATTGTTTCTTTCTATTTCGCCCAGAATTGTCCAATATGGCCACTAAAGAGCAGTACAGGGCGTATGGTGATCAAACCTGCAAACGGTTACAACTCCTCGCTGCCGTTCGATTATCGCTCTCCGCGGCACTATGTGCTGAGAATGGACAGCAAGGTATGTCATTGTAGTTCTCTCTGCAATGTTTGGTGCACTATTAAATAGTTGTTATCCTGTTGGTGAGGATGTGGGAGCAGGGACGATCATACCGAGCCCTTACCGCGGCCATCCCACTTTTTGTCGCAGACACTCATCCGGTTTGCTCAAGACCGACCGGTGTAAGTGTTTTGGGAGAGCATGATTTGTTGCCATGCTGTCTCTATCACATGATGTTATACTTCTAGTAGTGTCGGAATGAAAGCGTTTTGCGCTTGAGCACTGCAGATATGAAAAACCCTACTCTCCTCAGGCTTTAGAAAATCTTTACGGCGTGGTTTGTAGTATGTTTGCGGATGTCTGTACCCCTGTCCAGGATCTAGCTGCCGTCTGTGTGGAAGTTCGCCATTGCAAGAGCTCATTGAGCGTGGTGATCAGCGACTACTACCAGGGTGCTGCGCCTGTGCGCCTGGAGAACTGGTGTGACTCTGCCATCATCTGCTTTGCTCAGAAGTAAGGTTACTGGTGTGACTCTGCCATCATCTGCTTTGCTCAGAAGTAAGACTTACACACTTGGGCCAGGATTCGGTTAACAATGTTGGCCAAGAGGGAAGGGAAGAGGTTTTGCACTTGAGTCTATACACATACAGAGAAGGGAAACAAAAGCTTTGTGTTCTGTTACCCAGAGTTTCACGCAGAAGCGATCCTCAGGCGGCACTGGAGTGTATATAATGTGGGCATTGTTTTGACCAGAGTGTGTGCTGCTTCTGGGTTTTGTGAGCTAGGAGCGCTACTGATTGTAAGTAACATCATGCATACCAATGTGTTGTACTTTTCAGAGGGCAAATTCAGCAGCAGTTTCTCTGGCCGGGAACGTCACTACTCTACACATGGCCAGATCCAAGTGGTGAGTGCTGTCTGAAATGGTGGTGTGGTGGCCAGCAAGCAGAAGATGAGTCCGATGGAGCTGCTCGCACAACGTATGAAGCCATCCTTCACCAGGTACCACCGTTAATAGCTTGTACTGTTGTTGAAATTTTAGGATTCGCAGATTGGCATGCTCGCGTCGACAGGCTGAGTCTGGCACATGGCAGCCACGTGCATGTTCATGCCACAGACCTAGTGTGGCACTCGGATCGCACATTTCCTCCGATATCACTCACTTTTGAGTTTTGACCTTCTTTGCTGAAATTATTTCTCCGAGCACCTGTAGCGATTTCTGTGTTCTACCAACTGTGTTTGTAACAAAACTTCAGGATGGAGATGGCAGCTTCACTTTCTTTGCAGCTCCGATCGACTCGCCAGTCAGTCCAACCCTGCTGGGCATGCCGATGAAGAAGGCCGCTCACACGTCCGTTTCTCCCTCCATACAGCGCGGCTTCTGGCTGTCCTATCTCGATGGCTTCCAGCGCGTGTTGCTGTTCACGGACAAGTCGGCCATGCGTGAAAATCTAAGAAGGGTGAGAGATGTTATAATTTTATTCTTCCCAATCTGCGAACAGAACTGTTTCGTCCTTTGTGGACTCATCAGCGCAGCACAGAGAAAATGAGGCCGAACCTGATAGCAATGAAAAATAAATTTTCCAAAGCCAGATTTAAACCAGGCCCGAACGTACCTTGCCATATACACGTACAGTGTACTTGTATTCTTCTGTGTTTTGTTGCTCGTGTTCCCACAAACACACTCACCTCCCGGTTTTGACCGTCGTTTACACTTTCAAGTTTGTGGTCACCCCCGTGGCGCAATGGATTAGCGCATTGGACTTCTAATCGGGCTAGCTGCTTGACGGCATTCAAAGGTTGTGGGTTCGAATCCCACCGGGGGTGATGTTACCTTTTTTTCTTCCAGTTTGATTTTTTTTAACTCCACAACACAGCTTGTTTTTTGCCCTCTTTCATGATCATGGCCTGTGTTTTGCTTGCGTTGATTGTAGATGATGGCCGTTCAGATGTCTAACTTGCAGCTCTACTTATCTCTAGACGCAGTCCAGGTCTCACTGGTTGATGAAAAGCCAAGAGAAGTGGCTTTCATATCTCTGGCTAGGTGAGGACAATGGACCTTATGCCATTTGTACAGATCCACGAAATCCCGTAGAATCCCGTAGACCCGGTAGGGTGTTGAATGTGCAGGACCCTATTGTGTTTTCTGCTATTTCCACTAAGAAATGGGGCCTGAAGGCATTTCATACGAAAACCTTTTTCTGGCAAAGATCTAGCTAGTCATTAGTTCTAACCAAAGTGAAGAAGCTGGAAAAGCGATTGCTGGTCATTGAATTATGACGCTAAAAAGATCAAATGCGCATGCATAGCACACAATGAACACCCTACCGGGTCTAAGGGATTCTACGGGATTTCGTGGATCTGTACAAATGGCATAAGGTCGATTGTCAGCTGTGCTAGATGGATGTACTGTAGTCAGGCATGCAACACACTATCTATCCAGGGGTGTCGGAAACATTACAGTCGCTACGATTTTGGTCGTACCACTTCTCGTTGCTTGTGCCTAGTTTCTAATGAAATGCAGTGATGTTTGGCTCTTTGTTATAGGGAGTGTCACAGAATGACACCTGCAGTACAGGCCGTCCGTACCATCCTGAAATACCTTCCAACGGCTCTGCTTTCTCTGCTATCATCGCTCTGCACATCAGAGTGTTTGCGTCACATGCTGCTCAGATCTCAGAGAGTCTCACTTCTGTTATTGCTGTTATTGCTGTGGGATGTGATTGCTTTCATGCAGCGGTTCTGCCAACTGGGAGGTCCAACCATCGGAACGCCGGCCATCCCCCTCGTCCACAGCACCACAATGGGAAGCGTTGCCTGTTGCTCAGTCCTGTGCTTTGGAGGCGGCGTTCCAATCACAGCTGCCCAGCGTGTCCGTCTCCTCTGCCGTGTGCAAGCTGGCAGCCAATTTGAAGCAGATGCAGATGACCGTACCGTGCTCAGGTCGACTGCGGCGTTGTGCAGCACCGGCCGTGTGGCTGCAGTATGCGCAGTCCGCTCAGGCGTTTGGCGTACGCGCCGTTCTACAGCGGTTACAGGTGAGGCGGTCTGTTTGCAGCTCAAATTATATTGTGTTGTTGAACTCGGATACTGAGCCAATATTAAATGTGGAGATAATAAAGGACACTTTCTGACTGCTTATTATCTTGTTACAATGGTGGACAGTTACTCATAACTCGTAACCCATGTGACTTTTCATATCATTACATCTATTATATTGTATTATTTTACTTGAGCATTCCCACCAGAGACTACGGTCTTCTTGCAGGGTGCTCAGGAATGTTTCTTGTGTAGCATGCAATGTGTGTACAGGCTACTCTGTGGCCTCTCCTTTGGAATGTAGTACCTCATCTAATGTGAGAAGAGCCTTCCACTGGCGCAGATTGTGAATAGCAATTGAATAGAGCGGTTGTCAGTTGACAAACCCCCTTTTCTTTATAATGCAGTTGTGTGACGTCCACAACTTTCTTAGTGTATAATATATGAGTGTATTGTATTGTGTTGTGAACTTATGATAGATAGATAGATGTATTGGTCATTTGTTTGTTTGCCCCTTGGTTGACAGGTGGATGATCAGCTACTCAATAGTCCTGCAATCAGTCCTATATCTGACGCAGCTTATTCAGGTACTGTCTCAAGTTTATCTCGGACTGTGCTTGCATGTACATTCACTTGCTCAGTTTAGGTGTCCTACTGGCATTCGAGTATGTCCTCCATGGTTCTTCAGTGTTGTGATAGAATGACACATGGCTTGTTTCATTGCCTGCACTCAAGGTAGAATGAATGGCTGTAATCTTAGAGTTCTCTTGCGTTTGTCCAATCAACATGGCTGTTCTTGCTTGGTCTGCCAGGAGTGCAACCATTCCTCGAGACACTGGTCAGTGTTCAGCAGGCATCATCACATGCTGTCCGACATGTCAAGTAAGCCATCTCCAGCTGATCCCTCTGGGAGAACTGTGTTTGTGTGTCCATCGCAGCCATTTTGCTTGCACTAGTGCCAGTCTGCTGTTCGTTTAGTGTGTTTGGATTTTCATTCATTCATTCATTGTGTTTGTGTTTGGAGTTGCATGATTTAATTAATCTTGTGTTTTGCTAGTGTCCTTCACAGACAGGTAGATGGATGGACCTTTGTGTAAATAAAACTGAAATGTTCACTCCCTGCAATGGACCAATGGGGCATTATTGAGAGGTACTAGCTTTGGAAAGGTCCCTCTTGGTAACATTAGCTCTCCTCCTATGCTTTGAAAGTGACACGTACACGTAATGATAGCCTGGAATGATTTGTTCAGGAAATACCGGGCGTTTGTATACATGCATACTTGAGACGTCCTCATGGCACAAGTGCTGAACACTCGGTTAGCTATTCGTTCTACTCTCTATACGTGTGTGTTGCTGTGTCGATTTAAATGCACCAGGTGTGCGGAGCTGCAGATTCGCGATGTTCGGATGAAGCTAGATCTCGACTTTGTCGTTGGAGTTCTGTTTGTACTATGGCCATCCTTCTTGACCGATGAGGTTAGTGATGCTGCCACTACTGCCCGCTGTGACTGCCGTAAAAATAGTAGCGCGCGCGTGTGTGTGAATGTGTGTGCGTACATGGGTGAGTGTGTATGGTGTCACGTCTTTATGTGTCTCTCTGTACATGCATGTTACTATGTTGTAATGGCTTGTGCTCAGGTCGTCAAGCAGCCTAGATCAGTAAGCATTGATGACTTCCCTACTGGCTGGTGGAAATAATGACAGCGCTAAGAATATTGCATTCTTTGCACATTGGCACTGCATATTGGTTTCATCTTTTGATTGTATGATGTTGTTTGTTTAGACATCTGTGAAGGCATTGGCATTCCAGGAGGACCAAGCCAAGATTCGTAGATCGCTGGATGACATGAGCAGTGAGATGGTAAGATCAACTTCAGTTCCGGCTCGGACATGAATTTTCTTTTCGCTCGACGTCTGAATTTGTTACTGTGACGTGGTTCGAGATTGCGTGACTCACTCAGTATATTGAGTGGTGTTCATCGGAACAGAGCCCCAGGTGTGTGTTGTATTATTATGTACGCTATCCTATATGCAACCAACGCTATCCTATATGCAACCACCCGCGTGCGTCTGTCTTATTGTACGCAGTTTACGTTAGCTTACGTCATGCATTGGTATTTGGCATGCACGCATGACTACACATTGAGCATGCTGATTCCGTTGTGCTGTTCTTTGTTTTGTTGTTCTTTTCCACTCGCTCCTCGATGGAGACTACTACAAAGTATTTATTAGAATAAACCAATACGTTTATCACATGGCGCAGTGAACTATTTTCTTACCTGTCGTAGTAGTATTGTAGGCGGTAGGTCAGATCACCCGTTGTGACCTGACAATCCCGGCCCGTCGTTTCAGTGGTGTGAACCTCGTGCGAGTGCTGTAAATTTGTTTCGATTCGTAATGTCCGACTCTGGTAGTGATGCTGTCCCTGGCGCAGCAGCCACGCCAAACTTACCTGTCAGCCCTGATGTTCAGGCTCTGTTGACCTTCATGCAGGCACAGATGACAGCCGCAGCGGACCGCGAGGCACGCCTGACTGCCCTGTTGAGTAGCTCCAATAGTGGCAATACATCCACATCGCAGCCCACGACGAAACAAATCTCGGTGGAACGGCCCATCCTGCTTTCCTCTGCCACGCTCGCGGACCTCAACGCATGGGAGGAGGCTTGGGAGGATTACGCGAGATGCCAGAAACTGTCCGTTCAGGACCGACTCACACGAGTGAGTGCTCTACGCCAGGCACTAGATGAAGACATAAAGCGTTATTTGCGCGAGGGGATCATCGCCGTGGCCACTAATGCCGATGCCTCGGACATAATCTGTGCTGTCAAAAAATATATCCGTCGGCAACGTAACCCGTTGCTGGATCGGATAGACTTCTATAACCGACGCCAGCAACGTGGTGAAACCTTTGATGCTTTTTACACCGGCTTAAAGGAGTCCTTTGCTGCCTGCGACTTCGCCGACTTGCAAGTCTGTTCCGCATGCTCTGCCCGCATGTGCAGCAGTTGCCCCAAGATGCTGGTGCAAGCACACGAGGAGATCCTCCGTGACCGGATTGTTGTGGGTGTGCACGATGACGACACTCGGCACAAATTGTTAGCCGAACAATCCCTGACACTAGCTAACGCCGCAAAGATTTGCCGTGCTGAGGAAGCAGCAAAGCAAACTGGGGATGGTATTCTGCCGTCAGCATCAATCAACGCCGCCCGTAGGTCACAGTACCAGCGTCAGAAACGCTTTGGTGACAAGCCGGCGCCGGACGCCACCTCTAAGGCAGCACCCCAGTCTGCTTATTCATCACCCAAGAAATGTCCCCAGTGTGGCCGCTCTACGCATACCAAGTCTGCCTGCCCCGCTGCTGGCAAAACTTGTAACGGCTGCAAAGCCACTGGACATTTTGAAAAAATGTGCCCGAAGAAATCCAAGCAGCCACGTGGTTCCAAGATCGGCCAGCTGAAGCTCCAGCAAGCATCATCCGGGCAACAAGGCACCGTGTCTGTGACGACTACGCTCAACACGGAGGAGACAGGTGCAGCCATTAACTGGATACCGGACACCGGCAGTGATGTCGACGCCATTGGTCTTCGTCATCTTGACCTTCTGGGTGGATTCCCAGAAAACCTGGCGGAGGACCCAGACGTTGTCACCGGTGTGAACGGTCAGCCTCTCGTATCCGTTGGCCAGATCAGCTCCAGTCTTGGGCTAGGCTCCAAGACTCACCGCACCACCATACACGTGTACTCCGAGCTGTCGGATGCCTTGCTCTCCCGGACATCCCTGTGTGCGCTCGGATTGCTGCCGCCCAACTGGCCTTCTGTTTGCCGAGTTGAGCGCAAACCAGCACCTGAGCCCACCGCCGACCAGATTCGCACTGAGCTGCTGGAGGAGTTTTCTGACGTGTTCGACTCTGACAGTCTGAAGCCCATGTCTGGTCCGTCAATGGACATTCAGCTCGAACCAGACGCTACACCTTCCTGTGTTCATCACGCTAGACCAGTGCCCTATGCGTTTCGGGACCAGATTAAGGAACAGCTTGACAACATGGTGAAGGATGGCATCATTGAGCCTGTCTCTGAACCCCGCGACTGGTGCCACCCTATTGTTATAGTCGACAAGAAGGGCACCACTGAGAAGCGTCTAACGGTGGACTTCAAGAAGCTGAACGATCAGATCCAACGTCCCACGCATCCGACACAGCCACCTCGTGATGTCGTCACCAGTGTCAGCGGTCGCTTCTTTACGAAGCTCGATGCTCGCCATGGCTACTGGCAAGTGCCACTCAGCGAAGCAGCGCGGCCATTGACAACGTTTATCACTCCATGGGGCCGGTATCAGTACTTGCGCAATCCGCAGGGCCTCATCTCGGCCGGAGACGAGTATAACCGCCGTATGAGCACGGCATTCGACAACATCACCAATTTCAAAAAGGTCGTCGACGACTGTCTCGTCTATGATGATGACCTTGGTGACCATGTGGCACGCGTCCGGCGCGTATTGTTGTGTGCGCGCGAGCACGGCGTAACCCTTAGCGCGAAGAAGTTTGTGTTCGCTGCTACCGAGATCGAGTTCTGCGGCTACATCCTGAATGCTGACGGTTGGACTGTCGATGACGCTAAGCTCTCCGCTATCCGCGACTTCTCCACCCCGACGAATCGGACCGACCTCCGATCGTTCATGGGCCTCGTAAATCAGCTTGCTGAGTTTACACCTGCTATCGCCGAGCTGGCGACACCGCTTCGTGGTCTGCTGAAGACGTCTGCTGTTTTCCAGTGGGAAACGCCACACACCGATGCGTTCAACCGTGTGAAGAATGCTCTGGTCGAACCCCCCATTCTGGCGTATTACCACCCTGGTCTGGAAACTCGTCTGGAAACAGATGCATCCCGCACGAAAGGTCTCGGCTATGCACTGTTCCAACTGCACCCGTCTGGCTGGCGCCTCGTCCAGTGTGGTAGCCGCTTTATCACCGACACTGAAAGCCGCTACGCTATGATTGAGCTTGAATGTCTTGCTGTGGTCTGGGCTGTGCGCAAGTGCCACCTGTACCTTGCCGGCAGCAGATTCGACCTCATCGTAGACCACCAGCCCCTGATTCCGATCTTCAACACGTATAGCCTGGATCAGGTCGAGAATCCTCGTTTGCAGCGTCTCTTGCTGAAGCTTCGGCCGTACCAATTTCATGCTTCCTGGAGACAAGGAAAGCTGCATTATGCTGCCGACGCTCTGTCTCGAGCACCCGTCTCCGACCCACAAGCATCTGACCTGCTTGGAGAAGACGACCTGCCATCTGGTTCTGCTATTCGTGCGTGCCTCCGTGCTGATGACTCTGGTTCGATGTCAGCATTACGCTATGCGAAGCTCCAAGATGCGTGCGCCTCGGACTCTGAGTATCAAGATCTCCTGCAGATGGTACTCACCGGCTTCCCACGCTCCTGTTCCGACCTTCCACGGCATCTGCAGCCCTATTGGAATGGACGCGAACACCTATCTGTCGACTCCGCCGTCGTACTGAAGGGCAATCGCATCGTAGTACCTGCTGCTCTACGTGCATCTGTGCTGCACGATCTACACGCTGCACACCAAGGAATTGACCGCACCAAGCGCCGTGCGCGTCAACTAGTGTACTGGCCTGGTTTGAACTCTGAGCTTGACCGCCTTGTCCGTGCATGTCAGCCCTGTCGTGAGTTCCAGCCATCTTTGCCGAGAGAACCGCTGCAGAGTGACCGTCAACCGTCAATGCCGTTCGAGAGTGTCAGCTCTGACCTCTTCCATTGCCAAGGTTGGGAATACCTTGTGTTGGTCGATCGACTCACCGGTTGGCCGTGTGTTGCAAAGATAGGCCGCACAGCCACATCTTCTGACGTGGTTCGTCAACTTCGTCACTGGTTTACAGATGTTGGCGAAGAAATTAATGTCCCTGCTCTTGATGATGATCTAGGTTGTTTGTTTTGACTCTGTGCTTCGTATCTCTCTGCAGTTTGATGAGGAGAGGGCATTGTTCTCACACTTGGCCATTGCTCCTTTCAAGGTAGGTTCATTACAATGTAAACATGTAGAATAGGTGACCATGGCAACCCCACCAAGCTACCTTCCACACAGGCATGTGCAATGCTACCACCTACTGTTGGTTACCATGGTTACAGTGTTTGTGTCTGCAGTTTGCTGATCCACTTGCAATAGCCAGGTTTCTGCACCAATACTCTACAGCTGCTGGTGTTACTGCCATTGCCCTTGCTGTCCTTGCTGCCATTGCTGCTGCTGCTGCTGCTGCTGCTGCTGCTGCCGCTGCTGCTACTGCTGCTGCCCTTGTTGCTGCTGCTGCTGTTGCTGCTGCTGCTGATGTTGCTGCTGCTGCTGCTGCTGCTGCTGCCATTGCCCTTGCTGCCATTGCTGCTGCTGCTGGCGCTGCTGCCGCCACCGTCATCACTGCTGGTATTGATTTCCTCTTGCTGCGGTATTGTCACTCGCAACACAGGTGCAGGTCAACTTGTCTCTGCGTGATCCTGATGGCGGCATGGTGGCCATGGAGAAGCTGCGGCTGAACACCTTGCAGAATGCTCTTCTCTCCATTGGAGGTTTGCTGCTGGATGACAAAACTGTCACATTGGGGTAAGCAAGCACAACATTCCCACAGCCAAACTATGATGCACACAAGTGTGTAAAGTTCCCACATCCCCCCCCCCCCCCCCCGTACTGAAGATAAAGCATAAACGTGGGCTGGTTTAGTCTTTTTTTCTTTTTGCACAGTGTGCCGGTAGTTTGTTCATGTGCCCACGAGGCCTGTACTAGGTAGTCTTCTTGTGAACTTTTGCCTGTGTGTCTGTGTCTGTATTGGCATGTGTGTACGTCTCTGTGTGTCTGTACGTGTGTGTGTGTGTGTGTGTGTGTGTGTATTGGTTGTGTTTGCACGATGACAGCATGGACAGCTACCGTGTGGAAGATTCACGGCTCAGTCCCAACCAGGTGTACGCCGAGATTGCAGACCACTACACTGCCCAGGTACTAATATTACCACTCCTCGCCTGAGCCTTGCCTGGGCCTCGCCTGGGCCTTGTACAGTCAGACCTCGTTTAACCGCACACATCTGTTTTCCACAAAAACATCCGGATAGGCGAGGTAACCGGATAACTGAACACACATACTGTTATGCATGTGGCATGTCAAGAGCAGTGACATCATACATACATGTAGACAGGTCCTATGCAGTACAACTAACGTGCCCAGTATGTAAAACAAGCGAGAAAAATGACAAGTGCATGCAACTGAGTGCCGCACACACCCAGCAGGTCAAGGACCTCATTTGCTTGTACAGCTCCTTGATACTAGCTTCTGCAAGCGCTAGCCAGCCACATGCAACCGGATACGACGAAGCATTTTGTACACATGTTAACCAGTTTGTACACAAAATCATGCACCGGTATGCGGATCGCGAGGTCCGGTTATGTTGTATGCATAACATATGCTGCACATCGGTAACCAGCGATTTTCTTCCGGATGGCGAGGGATCCGGATAAACGAGGACCGGATAAACGAGGTCTGACTGTATACCGAGATCAGGAGAGCATACAGTGCACGTGTGTCATGATATAGAGCAGATAGGCAATGTAATGTGGGAGGCACAGCACACATGACGTCAGATTGGAGGTATAGTGCCAAGAACATTGTCTCGCGGGAGATCTGAGTGAGCTGAGGGAAAGACATTGCTGTTTTGCCTTTGTTTTGCATATTTCCTGTAGAGTAGATCATTTGGGGTTGGCATGTGTGTGTGTGTGTGTGTGTGTGTTGTGTGTGTGTGTGTGTTGGATGGGTTTGAACTTGTTTTTATCTGCTGTGCCTGCTTTGTGTAGGGTCTCCGCCAGTGGTACAAGTTCTTTTTTGGACCGGATGTCCTGTCCAGACCACTGCACTTCATTCAGGAGTCGGTTAGCTCTGCGAACAGCGGCACACATGTAGGTGACTGTTCAGTATCTATAGCACCACTTGTGACTGTGCTCTTTCTGCAAACCCTCTGCAATGAGTGGTCGTGGTGTTCTCTTGGCAAGTATGCTAACACACTGTGACTTCCTGTCGATCACGATTGAGTTTGGTGTAATTCGTGAAATTCTACCTGAGTTCCTCTGAGCTCCTGTGGACAAATTATTGTGCTTGTTTGTGTGGCATTTCTACTTGATGCATTTCCCTCTGCAGCAAGCAGCTCACAGTTCGTCAGCAGCAGGAGGAAAACGCCACACAGTGGAAGCACTCGTACGCTCCATGCTCCATATTGATCATGGTATGTATTGGCAGTAACTGTTCTACTTCAGTGTCAAGGTATCCTGGAGGAACCGGGAATCTGGAGATGATTGCAGCTGTTCCAAACGCTATGCACGTATTCTCGCACGCGCACGCACGCGCACACACATGTATACACACATGCATGCATGCACTTGAGTCACCACTGGTTTAGTATTACAAAAATGCACTTTGTTACATGTCTTTCATGGCTCACTAGGTGATGCAGCCAAGCAGTCAAGAAAATCAGCAGGCCAGCAGCTTGTCTCACACGTCCAAGTAAGTGCTCAGGCTTGCCACTGACTTGCCACTGACTTGAGACTGGCTATTATTTTTCACATTGGATTGGTTAGTGTGTAGGGTGTAGTCGATGCATGGAGTGAATTCAGTCTGGCTAATTGTTACTAGGTGGGTTGCTTGATGATCTATCTTGGTACATGACTGTGTGACTTACAAATGTATGATCTACCCGATTAGCAATGTTTAACGGTTGCTGCTGGGCTGACAACTACACTATAGCTTAATGGTAGAGCATCGATGGTTCATAAGCCCTGGTTCAAGCCCCGGTGGTGACAGTCAATTTTTCGGACTTTCCCCATTTCAACTCCCTCACACTTTAATATGAATAATTGATTGGCCTTCGGGGTTTTTTTCTCTGCCTGCGTTGTAGGCACAGTCGAGCTGTGTTGATGCCCAATCACGGGCCATCTGCAGCAGACTACGCACTGGGGAAGTGGAACTGCTGGATGTAAGTGCGACTAAGAGGTTTCTCTTCTATGGAAATATGGACACCGCCATTGATGCCCACATATGTTCTCCTTTCCTGCCTGTAAATTGGAAACGAATGGCTGATTCTGCTGACTTAGTTCTTCATATGTCAAATTGAATATCGATGTCTCGCAATAGTGCTCAAGAGTTGTAGAGTTGTAGCTTATCGTTTGGTGCATTATCCTGGTGCAGTTGTACACACTGAGCGTCTTGTGGATTGCTTTCTGCTGGCTTTGTCACAGGTTCTCATTGATTATTATGCCAATCTCGCTGGCTGGAGTGGGAATGGGCGAGGTATGTGGTTATGTGGGTGCTTGGTTTGCTTTCAGTTTAGAGAGGGAGAGGGAGAGGGGGAGGGAGAGAGAGAGGGGGGGGGGGGGGGAGACAGAGACAGAGAGAAAGACAGACAGACAGACAGACAGACGGACAGGAGGGAGGAAGGGAGAGAGAGTTTGTGTAGTACATGTAATGTGATGGAAGATGGCGTCTCCTTGTAGTTGTTTGTGGCTAGAAGCTCTGTACAAGCACCAGTCTCCGCATGTGTATGGGTTGGATGCAATGTCCCCTTATACCTGTGTACATGATTGTATTTGTCTGTGCTCTGTAGGACTTCACTCATCATCCAGACTTGCCTTGTCAGAGATCAGTGATGGACTGTCGGCAACACTTTGCAAATATAGCGGATCAGTCGCCAATGTCCTCGGCATTACATTGATGTATCTCCTTCGGTAAATGCAATGACCCTTTTTTGAAGTTTTTCTATTGGACTTCTGTGTATTTGATTTTGATGTTACCTGTTTTAGTAATCATACTTTTCTGTTCTGTGTTCTGTGTTTGGTGAGTGTCAGTCTATTCCTTGGCATGCATTGAACTGCATGAGGGATCCATTGCAGTACGCTCCTAAACACAAGCTGCCTCCTGTACATTGGTTTGCTTCAGGGCGGTGGACAGGGGCCAGCTGCCAAGCTTTCCGCTGCGTCTTCCTCGCCATGTCAGCCTGGACGGGGTAAGTCAAACCACACTGTTTCTGCTCTTTAACTAGCCCTGGCCTATTTCACAATGGGCTTGCTCTTGGAAATCAGTCACAGAACACAAATTATTGTACCGACATGCTGCGTATGCACCGCACCTTTCCTCCAGTCCATTTGCACAAGATACTTTGTCCAGAAAAGAACAACGGTTCTTGTTTCTTTCATTTCACTCAGCCAGGGACACCTACCTCTAGTCAGAGTCTATTCTGAATCGATTTGCACACTTTTGCCTGTAAAATCAGTAACGCAATGGTCATCACGCAATTCAAACATGTGCATGTAATTGAGTGTGCATTCCACATCCTGCTCAATGTGTCTTCCTTCCCAGGTGCTAAACTTCTATCTGCATCATCCGTCGTATGGTCAAAGCCTTCTGCAGGTGAGTGGCATTGCTGCCTCTTTGTGTTACCCTGGCTTGTGCCTAGTAGCTAGTAAAATGCTGTATGTAGTGCATATACCATGTATGTACTTTTTTGCTGCAGCTGCCTCTACTTGCTACTGCGGCTGCTGCTGCTGCGGCTGCAGCTAAAGCAGGTACTTCTCATTTATGATGTAACTTCTCCTCAATGCTGCTGTCCCTCGGTGGAGGGACGTAGTCCAAGATTCTTTTGAAGTTGTTCCTGGCTCTAGGCTCTGCATGGCTTATACCAGCCCATATTATCTATTAGCAAAACACATAAAATTGGCAGGATTACTCAGTTTTGGGTCGTGCCATGAACAAGTCGATCTATGGCACTGATGATGCTGACGTTACTGCTTGATGCTGTAATCAAAGCGACACACATCAACAATCTGGTTCCTCAGTACTGAATCCTGGTTTGCACTTCATATCATGGTATTGCAGTGCTGCCAAATAATTTTCGCCCAAAATCGGACACCCTTCACTATGTTCACCGCCAAGGCTGTCCACATGGTGGGAATTTTTCTCCTCACCAATTTTTTCCAAAGAATTCAAAATAACGCCCAAAATACCATGAAAATTCGCTCCGTTGCCATGGTGACCGATATGGCACCCCCGAAGTTGCCCTGAATTTTGTAATGCATGAGTAAGCGCTAGCCTTTTTACTGTACAAGTATTGTGATTTGTGCCTTCGGTTGCGCTGAAAAGTGAAAATACAGCCTTACAGGACTTCTGCATAGGAAAGTACTAGTCCCTGACAGTTTTGGCTGCTTTTCGGACGTTTCCTTTTTCGGACTGGTTTTCGGAAGAGCCTTCAAAAATCGGACGGTTTGGCAGCACTGGTATTGTCTTGCAATGGACTGATTGTGTGTGTGTGTGTTCATGTGTGTGCAGGCCCTGAAGAAGTCCGGTGTCCTGTCGCAGCTGGCGGGCAGCAACGATCTGGTGTACATAACACACGGCTTGACTGATGAGAACTCCATTCTGCTCTTCACGCAAAGGTATGTATGTGCATTGTCGGAATTAGTCTTAGCAGTCAGTGCTAATTGTCTTCTTTCCCTATGAGTTCCCGGCGCTGCTCCCTACATGCATGCACAGGCCTTTAAGTTGAGCTACTGGGAAGTGATCAGGCTGAGTCCGGCTATATGCTGGCACTGCATTATTGGTTGGTGCAGATGGGCATGAGTCTGATCGGCTTGGTTAACCGTTGCTGGCGCATCTGACAAGGCGGTGTTACATAAATTGAGAAGCACAGAGCAAGAGGTGGGGGGGGGGGGGCACTTCAAATAATAGACTTTCATTGCAATTTGCAATGTTCTGTGTGTACCAGCACTGGAATAATCTCATTCCAAACAATGACCTCTGTTGTATTGTTTGCATTCAGTGTTGTCCTGTGGCTGAAGAAGCACGGCAGCCGCTCCGACTCTCACCTCGCCTCGCTCTCCTGGCATGATGTCAACGAATGCCTGCCACTGTCCGCTGTTGTCGGCGAGCCAAGAGTATCCAACACCAACGTCCGGTGTCATATCAAGGTAAGAATAAGTAAAACCTGTCAAGGTGACCACTCGGATATGGTGACCACTCGGATATGGTGACCACTCGGATATGGTGACCACTCGGATATGGTGACCACTCGGATATGGTGACCACTCGGATATGGTGACCACTCGGATATGGTGACCACTCGGATATGGTGACCACTCGGATATGGTGACCACTCGGATATGGTGACCACTCGGATATGGTGACCACTCGGATATGGTGACCACTCGGATATGGTGACCACTCGGATATGGTGACCACTCGGATATGGTGACCACTCGGATATGGTGACCACTCGGATATGGTGACCACTCGGATATGGTGACCACTCGGATATGGTGACCACTCGGATATGGTGACCACTCGGATATGGTGACCACTCGGATATGGTGACCACTCGGATATGGTGACCACTCGGATATGGTGACCACTCGGATATGGTGACCACTCGGATATGGTGACCACCTGCCGCAGAAGCCCACTGACACCAGCACCAGGACCAAGGGATGCTAGTTCCTGTCTATTGACCCTGGATATGGAGACCACCCTGTAATACACGTTTTGAAGGTCCCTTGAGCGGTCGTCTTCGATAGATTTCACTGTAACAGTTACCGGCGGTGCATGAAGTGAGCAGTGAGTGCTTCCTCTGTTCTGTTTAATTCTCACAGAGCCAATATGCTGTATGTTAATCCTACAGTAAAACACTGGCTAGATTAGGCATTACATTAGCTACGCACTACTCACTCAGCTGAACTCAGCCATGCATGTTTCCTATGGTTGTCTTGTGCTGCTACAGACGTCGCTGCTCCACGTGGCTGATGTCACGATCAGGGCACACAGCTCTCACCAAGCCAAGGTACAGTGTTCAGGGTTTTTTTTCAGATGCACGCAATCTGCGGACAACTTTCTGTTTCGGCCTTTGTGGCCTCATTGCAAGCTATCACTCTTCAGCTACTCATCTCCCCTTGAAACATGCCTCATTGCTCCTTTCCCTGTGAGATGCACATCACTGGGGAGCAGAGGGAAGAGGACAGACTATTTTGGTTGGTGCTGGTGGTTCAGTAGTATTACGTTGCAGTCGAACACAGTGGCAAGACATTTACCAACCCACACTGTGTGTGCGGCTTATACTCCGGTAAATATGGTACACGACCAGCAGCATTCATGCTACTTCCAGGGCGTCAAGGGCCATGCAAGCTGGGGGCAAATATGCACTTGGGGTTGGATTTTACCAACATGTAGCACAACTCCAGCTGAAAGTCGTACTCACTCACCGTTCTGTGTCTTGCTCTGCCCTGCAGCTGATCAGCAATAGCATCTGCACAGCGTTGCTCTACCACCAACTGACCGCAGCTCCTCAGTCATAGTGTGGTCCTTTAATTGACGGCCTTCGTGCCAACTGCTTCGTCCCTTCCTGCATGCGTTGCCTACATTGCGCTGCGTGCTCTATTTACCACAATTTCCTGCGTCTATTCTAAGCACACCTGCTCCTGCACATGATCACACTATCTGCTGGTTCAAGATTATTTTAGATTATGTTTATGATTATTACTTGGAAGTATGATGGATGCCAGATGGAATATGATCATAGTCTTTCTATAGATATGCCCATAGAATACAGCGATGTCACTATACATTAGCAATGTTTCTATAGCAATGTCGCTATAGCGACATCCCTTACTGTCAATGAGCAGATTTGGCAGCTCTGAAATGGATTTGAAGCAGGAATTTCTATAATCATTTTGCGACGGATGTTCTCTATTTTGACTGTCTATTTTTATATACTACAAGTATCTCTCTGTTGTCAAGTTGATCGCTTTTCTCCACTCCGTTTCTTGATGCGTATATTTGATCCGTTGTCATCAGATTGTTGCTGCTATGCCGGCTCTGAGCAGCTGTATCACCACTATTATTATTTAGCAAAGTCTACTGAGTACTATGTATTTATCCAAACGCTGTATACTGTAATTCACAAATTTTCGGTGTACTTCTATTTTCGGTACTTTCAGCAGGTGCATCTGCTTCATACCTAGATTTTCAATAAACCGAACAAACACTAACATACAAGTACATGCTAGTAATCCAATAGGGAAGTGCTTCGCTCTACCTAAAATATCTGTTCACCTAACCTGGCCTTTTGCCCTCATACCGAAAATATTGAGCACCTAAAATTTCTGAAATTGGAGTATTCACAGTACAGAGCAGCTATGATTTTTGTGTTGTCCAGATCATGGTTTTTCGTCCTTGCAATAATAATGGCAATTTCTATGGTTATTCCGTGTTGTCGGTGCTTACGTGACTTTGTCCCTGGCAGTGCAGTCATTACTGGGGCTGCAGACAACACTCACTGATCCTTATGCACAGATATACAGCATTCCCTCACTAGTGGGACCATTGTTATTAGGCTAGGGCCTGTTTTGGACTTCCCACTCTAAGGCCACCCTTTGTTAATTCATTGTTAAACGTCCTTTTTTTCGCGAAAAGGTACGCGGGAGGGCGGAAAAAAAACAAAAGCCCATTCCAAAAACTGGAAACCCCAATCAAACATTTTGACCAGTAAAGCATGTGATATATACAATATTTCTGGGTCTAACGGCACTTGCAGGCATAGAACAACACTCTTTGATGGTACATTGGAGCACATGCCTGATGAATCCAACAAAACAGGTACATAGCATGGCGTTAGCATGTCATGAATTCATTACATCTGGATTTTTACTACATAGGACACACACCGTACGATATTTAAAAAAGCCAACAAAAAAAGAAAAGAACACAAGACAAAGGCATGCCCGGGAGGCAAGATTATAAGTTTAAGGTCATGATCGGCACACTGTGAAACTACACAATCATGGATTTACAACTTCGCATATTATTGGTACTACTACTTTCTTGTTTTTTTTTCCGGTCGGAGGCAAAAAGGTACGCGGGCGCGGACGTTAAAGGGGGGAAGTTAAGGCAAAAATTAAAATTTCACCAGTTGTAGTCTTCGGGGTGCTGAGTCGAATGGTCGTGGTCCGAGGAAGCTGAGACGCTCCCTTCCTACTTGAATCCCAATCGAACTCGCGTACTTCCACCGAAACTGGGTGACTGCGCCCTACTAGATGGGGATTTGTATGCAACATGTCACTAAAAGCGCCATTTCGCTCTTATAAAAGCACGGATGACCGCGATTGGCCCATATGTTGTAGTCTTTTGGACGCTGAGTCGACTGGTTTTGGTCCGAAAAGGCTGCGATGCGCAGCGTTCCTCCTTTATTCCCAATCGAACATGGTTGAAGAAGCGGTCACGTGGTCCTGGGTGCCCAAATCACCTGGTCACCACGCCAGCAGGTGACAACTTTCACACCAAGGTTCAATTTGAGTTCCACTCGAGTGACAGGACTGCACCCAAAAAAGGTCAAACAGGCTAGTAAGTTGTACCCTGCAAGCACGGTGACCAGGTGACTGGTGTACGCAGGAGCACGTGACCGCTTCTTCAACCATGTTCGATTGGGAATAAAGTAGGAAGGGAGCGTCTCAGCTTCCTCGGACCACGACCATTCGACTCAGCACCCCGAAGACTACAACTGGTAAAATTTTAATTTTTGCCTTAACTTCCCCTTACTTGAATCCCAATCGAACTCGCGCACTTCCACCGAAACTGGGTGACTTCGCCCTACTAGATGGGGATTTGTATGCAAAATGTCACTAAAAGCGCCATTTCGTTCTTATAAAAGCACGGATGACCGCGATTGGCCCATATGTTGTAGTCTTTTGGACGCTGAGTCGACTGGTTTTGGTCCGAAAAGGCTGCGATGCGCAGCGTTCCTCCTTTATTCCCAATCGAACATGGTTGAAGAAGCGGTCACGTGGTCCTGGGTGCCCAAATCACCTGGTCACCACGCCAGCAGGTGACAACTTTCACACCAAGGTTCAATTTGAGTTCAACTCGAGTGACAGGACTGCACCCAAAAAAGGTCAAACAGGCTAGTAAGTTGTACCCTGCAAGCACGGTGACCAGGTGACTGGTGTACGCAGGAGCACGTGACCGCTTCTTCAACCATGTTCGATTGGGAATAAAGGAGGAACGCTGCATCGCAGCCTTTTCGGACCAAAACCAGTCGACTCAGCGTCCAAAAGACTACAACATATGGGCCAATCGCGGTCATCCGTGCTTTTATAAGAACGAAATGGCGCTTTTAGTGACATTTTGCATACAAATCCCCATCTAGTAGGGCGCAGTCACCCAGTTTCGGTGGAAGTGCGCGAGTTCGATTGGGATTCAAGTAGGAAGGGAGCGTCTCAGCTTCCTCGGACCAAGACCATTCGACTCAGCACCCCGAAGACTACAACTGGTGAAATTTTAATTTTTGCCTTAACTTCCCCTTTAAACAACGAAAAAAGAAAGGGTGGCCTAAATAAAGAATACAAACAACAACAAAACATAATCTCTCTAATTTAGTAATTGACCCAGGGTCCAGGGAGTACTTCAGTAGCAATTCAGCCTCGGGGGCGATTGGCAGCATGTAACTGTTACAAGGCGGAGGACGCACTGTACTAGCTGTGGGGAAAACAGTGCTCCTGACTACAACCATAAGCTGGTTGGCAGAGACCGAATATGGAGCCTATTTGCAGCACTGAGTTTTCGCTTTTGTTCTTTCCGCCCCAGCTATGCGTGTATAACATTTCCAAACTGTGGTTGTTATCATCGAGAAATGTCGGGTAACAATTTGTAACTCTAAGATTGCATCAATGATCATCCAAAGTAACTTAGTTGTACGACTCCCTGGTGCCATGGCCTGGTACATCATCATGATCATGGTACTAGTAGATCTTCATGGTGCCGCAGTAAGGTGAGAGAGTCACACCTACTGGTATTCTGTCCTTGACTTCGAAAGGTGCATTGAGCCTAACTGAGGCCTGACCATATTGACGGTGAAAACAGAACGCAGTGATTTACATCATGGTGACAGTCGACAATCGACACCGTCACTGGGTACACTCGTACCGGTAACTGGCTAGTTTGATGGAACCCCGTTACCCCGCCACAGCACTTCGACGGTGACAAAAGCAGAGACCGGTCGGTGTAGATCTACGTTCGCAACTGTAGCATTTCGCTATAAATTCCAGGATTGCATTGGCTTCACTTTCCTCCAGACGACTCAGCCTCAGCATCGCCCTCACGGGCCTCAGCCTGAGTGTGCGGTCTATTACAGCGTAGTCCATTGTTGGCTTATTCAAGTTATTGTTTAGACGAAGGACCACTGACTGGTAACTTGTACATGGTTGGTTGATGGTGCCACGCTGAATGATTATGTGACATGACGACAGGTCATGTTCGGTCTTAGGCCTAGGGGTTGTTCCTCTTTTCTGTCCGTGTTCAACCTCACAGCCAGACTTACTGTACATCCGTGCGGAGCGCAACAGCCGCAGTACCGTAGTGGGCCACCCTGTACCAAAGTATGCCGGTAGTGACGAGGTGTCGCGGCCCTTGACCTTGTCGGAGTTGTCCCTCTGCGTCAGCGAAGGTTTGCGCCGCCACCAACCTGACGGTTTCACTACATTCCGGCCAACGGTAACTATTAAATTGTGGCTTTTAGTGTCAATGGCTACAGTTACGACATAGACCTCTTCCGAGTCGGCCAACCGGCCAAGCCAAAGCAACGTGCAGGACACGTCTTACTGAGCACTGCAACGCAGTGGAACTACATGACTGTGCCTAAGTCATTTTCCAGGTAAGCTTGGGTCGCAACATGCAGTGGAACTCTGAAAAGACGTAGATCTACCTCCAGCTCCAGTCCTCGGGGACCAGAAAAGCGTAGATCTACACGTCGTACTTTTAAATATCCAAGGCATTTCTTATCCTTGTATCGTAAATGGAGGAATGGTCATGAGCTCCACAGAATGAGTCTGATTGACCAATGAGAATATACTGTATGGAGTGTGTCAATACACCACCACCACATTGCGCTCTTGGCCGATCCAAACTCTGCACTCACATCACCATCACCACAGCGAGGACAATGCCGGTATATAGATTGATATTGACAATGACCCTCCAGACAGCTGTTTCGCTCCTCCTAAGCTCATCAGTGGAGGCATATGAGGTTGAATGAAAGAATAATAAGAATAGACTGATCTTTATAGGGCTAAATTGGCGCAATTGCGCTCATTCTGCATAGAAACGTGGCATACCCTAAGTGACAAAAGTGATAACAAAGTCAGGTGATAACGACACGTGCTCATGGCTGAGACAGAATACTTTAAATTTAGTGATTATGAAGCTTGAAAGACTGAAAGTCATTGCTCCCTGATGCTGATACAGCCTGATGACATGGGCTACACATTCAGTCCCCTGCTGTTGCATGCAGGGGAAAAAAGCACTGGAAAGCTTCCTGAATGATAGTAGCATAATTGAGTGAGGGTTCAATGCATATGTGGTTGTCACGCTCCTAGATGTAGTTATGTTTTCATAGTGCATGGTGCATGCAGCAGCTGCATGCCTCACTTTGTTGCTTTAGCTATAACCCTGCATACCGTATTATCTCCCTTATAAACACGGTACTTATATTTTTTCAACCCACTTCGCACCCGTGGAGCACTTTGATGTGCGGACAGCTGCATTCCAGTATTATCACTGTGACTATGTTGGAGACTGTGCGTTTGTAATCTCAACAGCCCTCCGACCTGTGCTTATAATGGAGACTGTGCTTATAATGGAGACCTGTGTTTATAAGAGAGATAATACGGTACTCTTATGGAGGAAATGCTGTGCCTTGAAAGATGTCCATCCTCATATATTATGGAGGAAAATTTGTGTCTCAAAAGATGTCCTATTACTATACTCCTATGACTCCTATCCCTCTAGCGCTAACCTCTTTGGGGGCGAAAAAAGCAAAAAAAAACTTCTGTTCTAAGCTGTTCTGTGGAAACGTAGACGTCTAGACCCCAGCATTATCACTGATTATACTCTTATATATCTTGTTGTACTCAATCTGCGGACAGCATGCTGTTTCGTTCTTTTTGAACTCATCAGCGCAGCACAGAGAAAATGAGGCCGAACCTGATAGCAATGGAAATAAAAATTTCCAATCAGGCCCGAACGTACCTTGCCAGAGTGCTCAAACTGACAAGTCAGTGAGCTCTGCATAACGCAAACAGCAAAGGCACTACCCCACGCAAGAGTGCTCAACTGCTACAAGAGCAGGAGCGAAATACTCAATCTGTACTTATGGCGGCTTGCCAAGTATGAAAAACGCAGAGTAAGAAAAAACGCTGAGTACACTGAAGCCCCATGCAAGCAACAAAATTCTTAGTAGGTACTGTAGTAAGCAACTCACTTTGGGGCCTATGCATCCCAGATAATACGGAGGATTAGCAAGACGAAATTCGCGTTCGCGTTCGCAAACATTTTTCAGTTCGCGGATTGCCAACTTTAGCATTTTTCGTTCGGAAAAGTAGTCGGAACACGAATCGTGGATTCGTGTCAGGGCAGTTACTGTACTGCCTACGTCGTGTCAACATCATGCATGTGCGAATTCTGTTTGCTAATAGAGAGGTTACGTTTCACGTAAAAGTCTTACGTCCTTGAACTTTTACGTCAAAAAGTGAAAAAACTCACGTAAAATTAGACGTGTTTTACGTGAGTTGACTGTCCCGCACGTAAGTTCATGACGTGAGTTTTTGGAAGTTTCGCTTGGTTATTCCGACCGAATTTGTGTGAGTTTCCGGAATTTTATCGAGTTTAATAGAGTTTGTTGGAAGATTTGATATTTGTGCGAACCAAACCCGAATCCTGCCAGGCAAAAGTTCACGTCACGTCGCACGTGTAACTTAACCTCTAAAAATTACACGTAACGTGAGATTTGCACCGCGTTTTGAAAAAGGGCAAAGAACGTGTAACTTAACCTCTCTAATCCTTCTCATAACGCGAATTCCGTCACTGAGTTCGACTTTCTTTGGAGAGCGAACGCGAACGCGAATTTCGTCTTGCTTATCCTCCGTAGTAGCTTCGGGGATATTGATAATTACAGGACACAGTCATGCACGTTGAACCTGGTGTAAGTCTACTGCGGCCTGGGCATCGGTGTAGGGAGGGAGGTGGCTGCCTGCATCATGCAGGAATCACGGGAATGTACTTCAAGTACAAGAACTTTTAGGTGTGTGGGGATGCTGCGTTCTGATGTGGCTCTTCTTGAGGTGTACTGGGATTTCTGGTGACCGTGTGGCCTTTTTTCAAAATGCTTTTGTTCCGACAAGATGTGCCTTCTTGCACTCGCCATGTGAATTGATTTTCATGTTTCCAGTCCACCGGCAAGCTCTGGGAATAGTGTGCCTCGCTTCCTGGCAGTCACTGAGCCGTGCCCACAGTGTTACAGCCCATTCACAGTATTACTTTCTGCGATGCGACGTTCGACATACGACACTAGCGACAACAAAAATGCCTGTCGCAAGCAGCAGTCGCTGTAGCAGAAGTTGACCAAATTTCAACTTTTGCGACTCGCGACATACGCAAATGAAGTACAGTGTTCTACTCTGGGCGCACGTGCAGTGCACCTAACGTACATAGTGCATTCATTGCATAGGGATGTCGAAAAACCTAAAGGATAGTGAATTTAATTTAAATCACCTGTAAAAGTTGTTTCACCTATAAAATGGTCAGAGCTACCTTTACTTCTGCAATATCTGCTCCCTGTATGAGAAAAAATTGAAGCAATGTATTCATAAGCCCAATTTGTGTGTACAGAAAGATAGTATTATTACAACCATGTACTCTGAAATTGTTCAAATGATGTTCTTTGGTTTACTGTGGCAAGGTTGTTGCCATTTCTGTCAAGCCATGTGGTTTGTTACCCTTTTTCTTTATTCTCACATTGTTGTTGCTGATACGCACATGCAACACTTAGTTCTCACACCCTTGTTTTTGGGCACGCTTTCTTGAGAAATTACACCTCGATAATTGTGTCCTCCTTACCTTACCTTGCTTGCTATTACGAAGGATTAGCAAGACGAAATTCGCATTCGCGTTCGCTCTCCAAGGAAAGTCGAACTCAGTGACGGAATTCGCGTTATAAGAAGGATTAGCAAACAGAATTCGCACATGCATGACGTTGACACGACGTACATTGTGTACAGACAATACAGCGTGGTAAATTTATGACTGCCCTGACACGAATCCGCGATTCATGTTCCGACTACTTTTCCGAACAAAAAATGCGAAAGTTCGCAATCCAGTTCGCAAACTGAAAAATGTTTGCGAATCCGAACACGAATTTCGTCTTGCTAATCCTCCGTATTGTTATTTCATTTGCTCTTGATAACGGTATATACATTTCTTTCACAACACAAAAGAGAACAGCTTGCCTCCCAAGGATTTTGTTCTTCGCATGGTAAGGAGTAAAGTAAGAAGCTGGGAATACAACAGGTTCAACCTACAGCAGGATAAAGAATATGCCATGATCTAACAATGCACTCGGGATAACAAAGTAAGTACTGAAGTAGGTACATGAATTTCGTGCGGAGCAATTTATTTAAAGTGAGAATATAATCAGGTTGTTGTGAGACTTGAATTTAGGTTGCCTTCCACTGACCTACACAAACACTTGCAGAATTATTATTAGACAACGTATGTTTTCCAGTACATTCAGAAGTGCTATTATCAAGTTGAATTCAATTAGAAGTTTGTGCTGAAGTTTTCATGCGCTGTCTGGACTGGCCAGCAACTGAACCACACCGTACTTGCCATTGTGTAGCCAGTTTTCATCTTGCTCAGCCACCTTCTCTGCACAGCCCTCTGGCAGTCCGACCACCGTCTCGGCCTTCAGGGTGCGTAGCGTACACACTGCACTGGGCTCAAAGCCACTCAGACCCGTGCGGAAGCTCGTCGTGTGGGGCCATCGACGATCGGCAACCAGCTTGCGATAGTTGAGGTCACCCTTGAGAATAACCAGGTAAGACTTTTGCAACTCGGTGTAGAGGTCGGGACACACCCTGGTCATCTTACTGAACTCATACGGCAGCGTGTAGAATACATGGTCCGTGACTAGGATTCGTTTCTGATCAATGTGCTCGCGTAGAGCAGTGCCGAGCTGCGACAGGGCTGCCAGTGGGTGCTCCTGCAGACGATCCAGTGTCCAGAAGACATCCTTTTGAAGACTGTCCGAAACAAACCAGGGCATGACCTTGCAGTGCAGCTGTACACAGTCCACTGACTTACTGGCCAGCAAATAGTGCACCAAACACAGGTCTGTGAACAGCTCGAAACCAGAGTTGTCCAGGATGATGTCAAGACGCCGTTGCTGCTGGTCATCCTCTCTCCGAGCACGCTGCAGGTGTGCGATGACTTGATCAAGATCACACGCCAGTATCATGTGCTGCAGCTCGGCTATCTGATCCTGGGAAACTGTTTGAAGAGACGACACCTCATCGGCTGAGTTGGACGCTGCCTTGGAAAGGAGGCACAGGTCAACTCGGTTACCCCACAGTGATAGCTAGGCAGGTCAATAGTCAAACAAATATTGCAATATACCAGCTGTAAGCTCCAATACAATGAATATGTCTCTGTACATTTAGTAACGTTAAAAATACAGCTATAGATCGGCTAGAAGGTTGGCAGTTATAGCAATATACCGGCTATAATGTTATCAGCTTCAAAATTCAAAAGCAAAAGTATCTTTTCCACTCAAACTAGATTGGTTATAAGAGTAATCGGTTATACCAATATATCGCCTATTGTGATCAAATGCTCACTTTAAAACCACTCAATTGCACACATTTTGGATCGTTTATAGTACACAAAATCAATAGTACCTGCACGAAGATTGCGTAAATGCTGTCTGCAAGGCACAAGGGGTACATGGATGCAGCTAATGGGGTCGTTTTCGGCACTTGTGCCAGTGGTTGTGAGACTTATCCACTCACCCCCACCGTTAGGCGCTGCATCTGCCGCTAGGGTTTATCGGGTGTTAGCAGCCGCCGTGAGTTCCCTTCGGGAACGGACACAATAATTTACTTTTTTAATGTACTACCAGCAGTTTGGTCGGAGTAGACTTAGATCGATATTCTCCCAGGTAGAGGACTATCCTCTGGTTGTCTTCCCCAAGTGTCATTAGAATACGCGCGACGAGTCAGGAGCCTGTTTTCTCTTGATTTGGAAGACAAATGGTGTTGAGTGTAGAAGGCTGCTTCCTGCTGTAAATTGCTTAGTCGGCATGTGGGATATTGTAGAAGAAGACAGCAGCCGGCCAAGTGAGCTTGAAATTGTGATATCTACTCTATTGTGCATTGAACGATTACGACATGTCTAACTGGAATGTTGTACACACGAGCATGCCAAGCAGAGGCTGACAATCACTGGCGAGATCAATCTCCAGACTGCCAGGACAAGTTCGAGCAAGTTTGAAGAGGAAAGACAGCTAACTGGGCAGGCCAGGATGCCTTTCCACCCTCTTTCTCTCTCAAATTGCCGAAAAGTCGAGTATCTCGCTCGAGCGCTTTCAAAACTTTTCTCTTGGTTTCGCGTCCCAAATCGTGGAACCACGCGAGGATCGACACGAGTTTCTTCCAAAAACGCACACTCGTTGGGTCGTGGGTTCGAGCCATTGCCAGGCGCCAATGTTGCAAAAGAAGGATCCACGAGCGGGATTCGAACCCAGCACCCCTGTCTTTCCGGGACAGTGCCCTACCGATTAGGCTACCGGGATCACACACACTCATGGGTCCTTCTTGCTACACTACTACCCTGTCCAAACGCATGTAGTGATGATCGTCAATAGTGATCAAATAACACCTTTTCAAACAACAACGGTATACCTTCAAACAAACGACATGGAGTGCATGCTACTGTAGCAAAATTAACTTCACTGCTTTGGGAAATGTTTTTGTTCGGCACCAACACTTTTTGGAGCTTCAGCCTTTAGCAATGTTGACCCATGCTGTGTATAAACTAACTAACTGCACACTTACCAGAATCAAGTGGCGCAAGCTAGCAGCAATGCTACTGTCCCTCTCATCGCCATTTTCCCTGGTTTTGTCAAGGACCTGCAGCCGTGTTTGCAAGAACTGTGCTACTGACTCCATCCCTGGCAAGGCGGACTGAAACGCGGCTTCCTTTTCAACTTGAAATGGGTCAAATCCCTTGAGAGCAGGACTGTGCAAACAGGAAACACGAGAAAATCAACATTCCTTCTCAGCTCAGGCAAACACATACACACACACGCACGCGCGCACACACGCACTCATTCAAACACACACACACACACACGTGCAAGCACACACACACATGCTTGCACCCACACACACATGCAAGCACAAGCACACTGTTGTAGGTGGTATGTTATGATATTATTATACCGTAGCTGAAATCTTCCTACAAAAAAATCCTGCACAGTCCTCCTGTACAGTGAGTGCTAAAAGACCCACATTCGAAGTTGGAACACAATACAGGTTAGGATTCTCCCTTCATTCAGGATCAAGGATATACCTGTCATGTTGTATACCTTATTATCTCCAATAGAAGCCCCGCGCTTATATATTTTTCAACCAGTCCGGACCCGGGGCATATACTAGAGACTGGGCTTCTACTAGAGACTGGGCTTATAATTTTTCAACCATCTGGTACATGTACATAATACAGTACATTGCCTATTATTTAATTCATTTTTCATTATATCAGTAGCACAAAGTTTCCCAGCAGGTACCGGGACTGCAGTTATGCGCTTCCTGGTACACTGAGTCTGAAATGTAGATTTCGGGTTCACAGACGATTACCACAGCATGGACATGATCCATACAGTTCTCCATTATAAGCCAGGGTTCGCACCAAGTCATGAAAATATTATTCAAGGATTTTCAAGGGCCCCAAACCCCATTTTTTCAAGGACATTCAAGGACATTAGTTGGTGGGCTAACCGTTGGTTGGCCACTTTCATGTTGCAAAGTTCAAGGACACCCAAGGTTCGGTGGCACTACATGTTATTGCAGGTCCCGCAGTAGTACTACATGTACTACTAGCCGACGATGTCGACGTGGCGACTGGAACAGATGCTGCTATCGTTGCTGAGTAGCAACAGATGCTGCTATCGTTGCTGAGTCTGACGGAGACGGCTGGGTGGAAACGAAGAACTGGTTCACGGTGACCACGTTCTGCTCCGCCAGGTCTTTGTGCTTGCCGCCTTTCGCGTGGCTTCGAAGGGCTGACTCGCCCATCGCGGCAATATCGACCACCTTTTTGCACAGAGTGCATTTGGCTTGTCGCTTGTTGCCGGGGACAGACGCCAACCATCTACGAAACTCGGTCTTCTGTAGCCATTGCTCCTGAAAAACACACTTGCCACCTGGCATGATTGCAAAATGCTTCACTACGGCACTACTTACTATTATGACAGGCAAAACCATGCGCCCCACAAAGTCCTCCGAGAATGAAATGATGAAGAAGAAAGTGGCGATGATCGACGGTCAAAGTCCGACTCGACTCCCACTTTTGTAGCGAAAAGTTGGTTTAGTTCGCCGTTGCGACACACGTTCTCTGCACATGTACTAGCTGCTACTCAGTACTACCAAGAGTGGATCCACTCTTGGTACTAGATCTACGGACTACGGTACCGGTTACGGGTACCCAGCAGTGCGCGTAGACCTACTGCATGAACGCGAGTAGATCTACCGCATTCAAACCCAAATTCAAGGAAAAACACACTTTTTTCAAAAATTCAAGCACCCACACGAAAATTCAAGGATATTCAAGCACTTTCAAATCCGGCTTTGACATTCAAGGACTTTCAAGGAATTCAAGGAGTGGTGCGGACCCTGTAAGCGCTGCGCTTATATTGGAGACTGCGCTTGTAATAGAGATAATACGGTAAGCTAGACAGTCACCTCAATACCTAATGCTTGGTACAATAGTAACAGTGCCACAAATCAAATGCATGCACTAGATGCATGAACATGATAATTCGAAGTCAGCAAGGCATAAACCAAAGTTCACTGTACAGTACACTATACCAGTCACTTCTGAGTGTACCAGCGGACTGTACTGGCCAGTTCAGAATGAGAGGAATCTGCATGTGCTATACTGCTGCACATGGCAACTCTGTGAGCATTTTGAGTGACGTTTGGCATACCGTAAAGTCGCGGATAAAAGCCGGGTTTGCATACAAGCACATCGCGGATAGAAGTCTGAAAATCAAACGGGTCAAATGCATATAAGCCTGTCGCGCGTAGAAGCCTGGCTTCTATGCAAGCGCGAATCGGGTAGGTCAAGAGTGCATGCGCTATGTACGGTGCATAGAAAAACTGCCGCCATACCGGTAGTCAGTGGTAGATCTACGCGTGTCGCGCGTAGAAGCCTGGCTTCTATGTGCATACAAGCCTGGCAAAAATATCAGTGGTGCATATAAGCATGGTTTGCATACAAGCCTGGCTTGCATTAAAGCCTGATGCAGAAAGCGGCTTATAAGCCCGGCTTTTATCCGCGACTTTACGGTATGTAACGTGTTGTAGGTACAGTGTCGGATAATTAGAATGTCCGGATATTTTAATAAATTGGACTTTTCCCTGGCAATTTGGGGTTCAAATTATCAGGAATCTACGTGTACTGCAGTTCAGTGCTAGTGGTGGGGACATGCGCTTACAACAGAGAAGGCACAGTACCTGAGTTCAATAGCCGAGTGTATGGCACGGTACATGTAGCACTCCGAGTAGAGCCATGGCGCGGAGTGCCAGGTCAGGCCGGACATTCCACGCACAGCATCTCCCCACAGCTTGGCATCCGGCAAGTCGTCCTCGAATGCGGGCAGCTCCTTGTCCGTGACCAGGTCACGCTTCATCTTAGTAAGTCGACTCAGTGCGTCCTTCACAGCCGCACGCGCATCCTAGTATACAAAACAAAAATGGCAAACGGAATATCAGATCAGATCCATATAGCAGTGGAGAATGCATGCAAAAATAGCAGTGGCCATAGCTGCTTTAGCCACCACCAGCATTGCTCCACATTGCTACTGCTAGAACAAACTATTCGATCTGGTCTCTTCAAGGACATGATAGAAAATGAAATGCTGACACATGAGATGTAGAAGTGTAACCAGCAGAGTGCTAGTTGTGAACGGTGATTGTGAACAGGTCATGCTGAGACCTCACAGCAGACACTGCAAACAGGTCATGCTGAGATCTCACAGCAGACACTGCAAACAGGTCATGCTGGGACCTCACAGCAGACACTGCAAACAGGTCATGCTGAGACCTCACAGCAGACACTGCAAACAGGTCATGCTGGGACCTCACAGCAGACACTGCAAACAATACAAACTAGTTGGCAGAACAGTGTGAGAGTTATCACCGGATACAGTTTCAGGCCACAGGGGATCATGAGGCATACATGTAGTGCTACATACATGCATCTACGACGACAAAGGTGTGAGAGCAACCCAAACACAGGTGAGGGTAACACAAACACAGGTGAGAGCAACCCAAACACAGGTGAGAGCAACCCAAACACAGGTGAGAGCAACCCAAACACAGGTGAGAGCAACACAAACACAGGTGAGAGCAACCCAAACACAGGTGAGAGCAACCCAAACACAGGTGAGGGTAACACAAACACAGGTGAGAGCAACACAAACACAAGTGAGGGCAACCCAAACACAAGTGAGGGCAACCCAAACACAGGTGAGAGCAACCCAAACACAAGTGAGAGCAACACAAACACAGGTGAGGGTAACACAAACGTACCCCCAGCATGCACTGTGAGTCAAACAAAGTTATGAAACACACATGATGTGTGGAAATATCAGCATTGTTGCCGGTGTATTTCTCATCACTGCCATAACCTCATAGGGTAACCAGCAGCTTTCGGCCTGTTGATCAATAAAGTAATTCCACCTCCACCAAACGCGCTCTGTGGCCGACCTCACACCATAACCTGTGGTGTGTATACAAAGGCGCACGTTATATTCGGACACAAATACAGCACGTGTAGCGCTACTGAAGTAATGCATTGCCCTCTGAAATATATGTGCAACTTGTGAGCAAGGTACTCCTCCCCCCCCCCCCCCCCCCCTCCCTGTGTACCTCATCGAGTTCGTTCTACTGTGGTGGACATGGAAATCCGGTCCCACGTCTAGTGGCCCCAGGGCGCTGGCCATGCAGCCGTGGATAGCGGTACACACAGTCATGCATTTATGCACTGCATGTAATGCAGTGCTAGTGCAGCGCGCTGGGCGAATCGCTCTCTAGTCTGTACGCGCTGAGGGCGCCGGCCCCGGGCAATCGACTGGATTTCCATGTCCGCTACAGTATGTGGCAAGTGTGCACTGTACATATGTACACAACATGTCAGACTTTTCTATGACCTGAGAATGTGTGTTTCTCTTTCTATAATGAGCTTTAAAAAAATCTTTATTACCACATTTTCCGGAGTATACGCCGCACTTGAGTATAAGCTGCACCCCCCCCCCCCCCCCCCTTTTTCCCACAAATACAGACATCTATCCTGATCAGTCCCTGTATGGAAGCTCGCTCGGCGGAATTCCTTCATTGCGTCACTTTTGGTGCAGTGGGATGAGTCATGCCGATGAATTCTTCTAAAATTTGCAGTCAAACCGGGATGCTTCTTCAGGGTAAACTGCCTAAACTGCGATTCTGATCTGAGTCCCCAATTGGATCAAGAAGTAAAACAAAGCGCACGATCCTAAAGACAAAACTATGCCAATAGCGGTACACACAGTCATGCCAATAGTCAATGCCAATAGTCTGTCCCCTTGTCCGCGGCCGCGACAAATTCCGCGATTTTCGTGAGTTTCGGCGAATCCAGCATTTTCCGTGGAAAAGTGCAATTTTATTCATTTTGCCTCAATTTTCAGTGAATCCGTGAGCCCATGCCATGGCCCACCCTGTACAGACTTTCATGCATGGTGTGTTCTGTGCGCTTAGCTATGTGTACTTGGTGTATGCAGAGCGTGTGGCTGTGAACGTTTGTTCCCAGGGCCACATTTTGACATCGCACTGTTCTTCGCGCTTCGAAATTCCTTGCTAGATCCTCCGTTCACGTTTTTGTGGTCCATAACTATCGTTGCAAGATACTGCATTTTCCGCAAATTTACTATATCTGGCCCACATTTTTCACTCTTTTCGCCCGCAATTTCTTGCGCAAATTTCTGATTTTTCCCCCCGCGATTTTAAAGGGGACAGAATAGTGACTCTTCATCGCCTTCTTCTTTTGCCAATGCAGTCAGTCTTTTCAAAAACTATTTGTTCCCCGGGCCCTCGGCATATTTCCAGTGCTTTCCTCGAAGATTATTTCAAATGATTGAGGAATTGAGGATGCATTGAAGGAGCATTTCTCAGCTGAGTTGCACAGCTATCAGAATGTTTATCCTCGACGGTAATGCAATTTTTTGCCTCGCCAGTTGGCACAAGCTACACTTGTAGCGTCCTCACTTCTTCCTGTCGTCGATGTCCAAGGATTCTTGGAGAAAGAGTTTGTTTTTGAGAAAGTATGACTTGTACGTCCGAAATGTCTTCGGAAAAGCATCGAAATGTCGAGGCTACAGCCTTGAGTTAGGAGCGGTTCCGGGTATAGTTTCCAGAAATCGCAAGGAACCCAAATTTACCTCAGATGACACGTTGCGCATGACGTAATGTAGGAATTTCGCCGAGCGCTGGGTGAATGCCAGTTGCACACTCTTGGGGGTTATGAACTCTTGCAGTTAATTTGATCATCGAAATATAAGCCGCGTCCCCCTCTTTTTTGGGTGAATTTTTAGTGTTCAAAGTGCGGCTTATACACCTACTCCGGAAAATACGGTAAGAGTGCGCAAGCTGCACTGCAGCCACTTTAATGCGGAAAACCCACGCCATCACCAACGCAAGTGGTTTCTTTGAGGCAATATAACATACTTCAAGTAAATACTAATAGCTCGATCAAATTTTGCAGCAAAGAGACCACTTGTAGTTGCGTTGCGTTGGTGATGGTGTAGGTTTTCCGTGTTTTTAAAATTACATAAAAAAATAATTAAATAAATCCAGCTTCAAAGAGTAAGGAACATTACAACTGACCTGTCCCCTCGCTGCAACTAGGTCATTCAAAGATCTCGAGAGCTGATCAATAACTTTCGTGAGAATAACAGGCATTCGGTCCGTGAGAGTTTTGAATGTGAACGTCCTGCGATAGACGAGAGCAGCATTGAGGAAGAATGGGGAATGTTATCTGTTGAACGAGACAACCTCAAGAGCTTCCTTCCACTGTGAACCACACACTTACTCTGACCCATCCTTTCCTGTGCATCGCCTGGGAAGACTCATGATCAACTAGCAAATTTACTGGCTTGGCCTCCAACTACCTTTCTCTTCCAAGACAAACACCCGAAAACAAGTTTGAATTCATTACGAATCACGAAGTTGATTGTGAGGTGGATCTCTCCCCACTCTTCTGTTTGATTTGATCCCCGGAAGTCTTTGTCGAAGGCTCTTGACTTGGGGAACTCCCCCTTCGAGTTCGAGTGACGTAGTCGACGTTCAAAAGTCGTGAAACAAGTGAAGATGAAGATGTCAATGAAAAAAAAGCAAGAAAGAAGACTGTATGATTGTAAGAAATTTGAAACCTTGAAAGATAGGAGTGTTCTCGTTGCGAGATCAAAACGTGTAGTTCAACTGAACTTTGTCAATGGGACATATTCCCAACATTTAGATCAAAGCCCTTGAAGGCTACTTTAGTAAACTTATTGCTGCTCCAGCAAGCGTGCTGCATCGGAGCACGATGTCGCTGTGATGCCTTCACGACATTGGTGTAGGTTGAAAAAATATCCTGGCCCTGGCAAGTGTCACCTACTTGTAGTAAGCAGGCAAGGCAATCAGTGGAGGAATGGCGGCGGTGATGGCGGAGGACAGTAACGAAACGTCGGCGGTGCAGCAAATGTTGTCCCGTGTGGCACAATCCTGTGCTGTGATCCGCAGCCAGCAGCGTGGAGATCCTGAGCTGACCATGGAAGAGAAGTTGGAAGCACTGAATGATATTCTGGTGAAGAGCCATGCCTCCTTCCTGGCCAGATTCGGGCCATTCTTGGCTGAAGAGGATCTTGTCTGTTTTGATGAGAATGACTTTGAGCAAAAGTTTCACCTCAAGGAAATACGGCACAACTTCGACCCGGCTCACGTTCGTCGAGTTATCCGCAACAGGCGTGCTGAGTGCATGCGACGACTTCTAGAGGAAGGTGATTACTTTTCAGACCGGTCCATCAGCCTACGCAACCCCCTGCTGTTTGAGCAGTACGTGGGGCAGTTCATGAGCGAGGACGAACGCAGTGCCATGGATTTGGACGGACAGCAGCGCAGCGAATGTGCTCTGTCCGCTATGCTCATGTTTCAGATGCAGCAAGACCGGCGCAGTCGCTTGCTGGCCAAACAGAAAGAGCAGGAGTACGATGATGAGGTGATCAGCGGTATGCAAGACCTGTCCCTGCCGAAAAATGAGCCTCAACAACAGGTCTCAACAACAAGATCACCATCGACACAATCAGCATCGACACGAGATGGCGATGACGAAGACGACGATGATGCAGAGGCACATGCAAGTGCGGCTCCCTGGGGAGAGGTCACCGAGCCAAAACCTAGTGAAGACAAACAAACTGCTCAAGTCACCACCGGTCCCGAGTCTCAGGAGCTCGCCTTGTTGCGCCATGAGCTTTTGTCCATAGTGCAACAGTTGTTCCTGGACGGGGAGGACAAGGAGTTTGACTATTCCGCAGTGGATTCTAACACTGAGTATGACAATTTAGATGTCCGGCGACAGGACGAAGAGGAAGCGTATTTCGAAACCGAGGACCCCGAGGATTGCTTAGCCGACGAGGAAGATCTCGCTTGGCTTCGATCTCTTGCTGCCAAGCGTGCTGCACAACCACCGCCAGAATTTGAAGAAGAATTTGACGAAGATGACGATGAAGAAGAAGAAATGGACGCGGCATGATTTCGAATCGACTGGACAATGCTGATTTCGGCATGAAGCAGTGCTTGTTTGTACTAGCTGTGAGTACGCTGTTGCTGATTGTATGCCCTGTAAATAGTTCTGCTGTACAAAATACTGCTGCTGATTTCCCCCGCTTGATTTTTTAAGTACGATTTGAATTTGAAAGTTACAAAGAGCCGTTGAATAAGTTTATTACATGATACATGTACAATAAAGCCAATATGCTGTTTGGATTTTCAGAATGAGCAGCACAGCTACTGGGGGGGGGGGGAGAGAGAGGTCAGTGTGTGCAAAGCTGCACACTTAAAACAAAGGATCATGAATCGCTGGATGACGACAGGCTGTGAAGTGAAGTCGCTGTTAGTTGAAGCACAACATGCGTTATGGTAAGGTAAACGGTAAATAAATACAGCAAGGTAAATAGATGTGATAAACAGAGGAAATATAATAGGGGTATCATGATCGTCCAAAGACAATTGGATCCGACGCTTGGGTTGAATAAATAGTCGCTGACATCTAAATGGAATCATGACATGACAATGCAGGATGTGATTTTAGACCATGAGCACCAATGGCCAACCTGGGATGCATTAGTCTCCCGTTCCCGATACTGCAGCATCCTGTACTAATATGCTATTGTGTTTCTACATGATGATTGTATGGTAGGACCGAACAATAGTATTTTGGTGGCCATGAATCATAGGGACACATATACTTTATGTTCCATCCACATATCCACGCTAAGACATTGTACACATGAATGGAGCAGGAAAAGACAAAACAAAAAGGTGTCCGCAGCAAGTGCATGCAATCAGAGAATTGACCACCTTTGTGTCTGCCCTGCCGGCAGTAGCAAAGATCTGCACCGACGACTTAGCTTGGAAATGTCCTCGATAATCTGCATATTAGTTTTGCACGCGGAGTTGGTACCAGAGATTTACCAGTAGGAGAGATCTGGCTCAGAGCACCACAACTGCTTCTTTCATCTTGCCCAGCTCTGCCTTGAGGTCTTGCCGCAGAGTGTCACGACTCTTCTCCATCTCCGCCACCAGTCCGGCAAAGTGCTTCTCCAGCTCGTCGAGGCGCTTGATGAACGTTCGGTTCATGTCATCGGCATGCTTGCGCGCGTCAGCCATCTGTCCAATCTGTCCCGACAGCTGCTTGTCCAGATGACTGCGCCACGACTGCTCGTTCCGGACCTCCCCGATCATGGACTGGGCGGCCACCTCCAGCTTCTGCTCAACATCCTTGCGCCACGTCTCTTCCCTACCCTTGCAGGTCTTCAGCTTCTTTGTAACCTGAGCATTGCAGACACAACAAGAGTAACTTCTTTGTAACCTGAGCATTGCAGATACAACAAGAGTAACTTCTTTGTAACCTGAGCATTGCAGACACAACAAGAGTAACTTCTTTGTAACCTGAGCATTGCAGACACAACAAGAGTAACTTCTTTGTAACCTGAGCATTGCAGACACAACAAGAGTAACTTCTTTGTAACCTGAGCATTGCAGACACAACAAGAGTAACTTCTTTGTAACCTGAGCATTGCAGACACAACAAGAGTAACGCGTGCCAGACTACTGTAAAACATGTAATTTTCGGTGTAACTTTAATTTCGGTGGAAATACCAGGCACCAAACTTTAGTGAAGACCAAACTTTAAATTACACCTAAATGACACAAGAGTGTGTACTGTATGCGAGGAGAATGTTTGTCACCTAATTCTAAGTTACACCTGAAACCTGGCAGGTCCCTGGCACCGAAATGTTGATGCACCTAAAATGTCATGTTTTTATACAGTACTTTTAAACTAAAGTGGATCAATGTGCCTGTATTCATTTCATGGCCAGCCAGACATGTACTGCTAGTGCTAATGTTTGTGTGCGCATGTGTGTTTGTAAAACTTCACAGCATTTCTCTGGGATGTCATAGAAGACTTGATGGATCTGCATGACTGGCTACTCTGAAAATTGATAACACCATGCTTCATGGTGTCAAAAATTAAAAATCAAGCTCACCAGTTCCTCAAACTTCTGGTGCTCTGTGGCCTCATCTCTCCTCAACTTCTCCATGGACCTCTTTAGCTCTGCGTAGCTGGATGCAGTTTCCTCGTTGGCAATGCCGTTGATTTGCAGATCTTCGAGGATATCATCAAGCCTATCACGGTTGATAGCATCGTCTTTCTGCAGCTGTGCTAGTTGTCCAGTTACCTGTGTAATCTGCAACAAAAGAAACCGCATTATACGCTCAGTCTTTGGATAATGACAATGTCTACTTGTCAATGGATACGAATTCCCTCACCATACTTGGAACCTACTTTTGTAGCTTTAACTCAACACTCAATGAGCATCAGACCACCTTGAGTATGGCTATATTGTACTTCATGAGGGACAAATCGTTCCTATTCCTAACCCTAAGATGGGTGGTCAATCCCAGTCGTTCAAAACCAGAATGGCTAATGGAAGAGAGCATATACTCCAATACCATCACACTACCAGCGCATTGGTGATGGCTGTGCTTTCTTTTCTTTTTTCTTTTTTAAAGAAAGAAAGTCGTCGCCCAAGTACATCCCATCACTGCTTGCTGTATGCTAGACTAGCTTACCTGTTCGTTGAGTTCCTTTATGTTCTCCACCATGGCCTCAACTTCCTTCCTGCGGCCCACGTTCGCTTTCTCCGTCAGCTGAGCATGGCCCTTCTGATCGTCCTTCAACTGCCGAACGGAGCTCTCCAATCGGCCCAGCCGATCGTGGGATTCTTTCCTGAGGCTGTCAAGACCGTGGCTAGCCCTGGTCAAGGAATTCATTCCTCTTCGACCCTCATCCTGGAGTACGGTTAGACGCTGCCTGCAGCCAAGCACAGCAGTGAACCATAGAAAGCATGGCGTGCAACATGGGAAGACAAACCAGCTAGATGCAGTAGTTCAGTAGTAGGGCTGTTTGACGCATGATACATTCCAAATTCAAGCTGATTCCCCGGGGAATTTCCCCAACAGCTACTGTAAAAGCCATTATTCTAACGAGGCGCATATTATTATAACGATTTCCTAAATTTGATCAGTTTACGTGTACCAAAGGTAACGATTCTCATTCATTCTCAACGCTCGATAGCAACAATAATTATGTATCGATTTCTGTCTAACGTTTTCTATTTTAACGACGGATTTCTCCTCGTTAACTCATTAGAATTAGCACTTCGTTATATAAGGCTTTTACAGTATTCATTCTCTCAGGACATTCCACATCATATGCACAACAACATTTTAGTCTTTTTTGGGCCATTTTTTAGTTGAAAAGCCGATTTTTGTGACGCTAGGGCATGTCCGATTGGTAGGATCGGGATCCAGATCTCGGATCCGTCGAATCCTTCAGAGTCAACCGAACACTTTATTTTGGACCTTGACTGTTGCCATGTTGACGAAGTAATAAAATGGCACTCACAGGTCACCCATAAGGGTGACAGTCGTACTCATCGTGCGTGTCCTACGAAAAGTCAATAAGAGTATCTCGATCCACGTGTGTGCGTACGACAATGTGTACAAAATGATGGTTTTTACCCGCCAAATACGCACAAACATTCGGATCCCTTGCATCCGGTCAACCTTGCTCCCCGAGGTGGGATGACCGGATCCGAATCCAAGGGATCCGGATCCGGATTCGACCAATCGAAAAGGTGCGAATCGATCCGGATCCTACCAATCGAACATACCCTAGAGGGTTCAGAAAGGTGCCCGTTTTAATGTTTGAATGCCACACCGTTACCTTGAGTCGAAGCTTTCGCGTCTCAGATTCTCGACGAGCCGATCGACGTGCTTCACAGCGTCCACCAACTGCTTGCGTTCTCGCATCTCGCTCTGCGACAGCAGTGCCGCGTCCGCCCGGAACTTCTCCACCTGACCCGGTATTGTTGTCATGGTCAGTGCAAGCAATCTCTGTACAACCAGCCAATCAGTCACGTGCACACCACGCCACGCCGCACCATGCCGCACCACCGTTTTCAGCAGTATACACCAAAGTTAGAGGCTATCAGGTAAGGAGAATTGAAGCCGTGATCATCCACAGTTGACATTATGAATGCATTTAGGGAGTGGTGCCGTAGCCTCTCTAATCCTTGATTTGTTGCACTCGGAGTTAGTATATAACACATAGGAACATTGCTTCACTACAGCCTGGTGAATGGAGAGACACATGAACATGTCAATGTGCAGCAGGTACAATATGCTGCCATGTCGATCATCATACACATGATGCACTCTTCGCTGTTCACTTTACAGCTGGAAGTGGATTATGCGATACTTTAGAATCAGATGGCATGATAAGTAGATGACCTCGTCATGTTGATCTACATCTGACAATGAACATTGCATGAGCCATTGTAGTGAAACGCAACTCCGAACTCGTGAATATCACGGTACCAAGCAGGGACCTAGCACTACGCCTACTGGACTAAGCATTGAGAGCACTGGACTGTACAGTGAATACTGGACTGAGTAGTGAACACTGGACTGAGTAGTAAACACTGGACTGAGTAGTGAACACTGGACTGAGTAGTGAACACTGGACTGGGTAGTGAACACTGGACTGGGTAGTGAACACTGGACTGTACAGTCAACACTGGACTGAGCAGTATACACTGGGCTCTGCTTTTAAGGTAGTTCGGGACAGTTTCAGCCATTGCCACATATTTTCATGGTCACTTTTCACTAAATTTTTCTACAGTTAATAATTCGCTCATTTTTGGTGGGTGCGTAGAACTAGTCTTTAGAAAACATCTGGTGAAATAAAAAATGGGGGTCACCAGGTGTTTTACTAGTCTTCTGGTGGTCCAAAGGTCACAAATGTTGCTATTTTGCCCGAGATTCCAATGTTTGAGCATCAATTTCACTAGGAACGGATATGGTGACCCCCAAATTTTATTGCAGATTCTGAATCAGAACGCTTTTCTCTGTCAGCCCACCAAAAATGAGCAAATTATTAACTGTAGAAAATTTTGGTGAAAAGTGACCATGAAAATATGTGGCAATAGCTGAAACTGTACCGAACTACCTTAAGAGTTTGGAGGTCACTTGCCACAACCCCTCCCCCCCCCCCCCCCCCCCTCCACTGCACCATTACAGAAACACAAATCCTAGTTCACAGTGGGCAGAAGTTCAAGTAGCCCTTTAATTGCCCTAGTCAGTCTTTACATGCACTGATTGCTCCCTGTAGGATGATTATGGCAATATCAAATGCAAGCGACACCTGGCGTCGGCTCACCTGCCAAGTCAGCCTCCCCAGGTCAAAAAGGGAGTCAGAAATCTGGCGTGAATGATTCCCCGGCAGTGTGCACACAGTTCCAGGTAGGTAGTGACCGCCATGTTTTTAGGACAAACGAGAAGGTTGCAATTCATATCAATCAGCAGGGGGGGGGGGACATGGAATTCAGGGCTGCACGGGCAAAAAAGCAAATCGATTGAAGGTGCGTGCCAAAATTCTTTGTGGAAAGTGGAGTTAGAGAATATCGTCTGCATTGCACGGGTACCCAATCTCAGGGTACTAGCAAAATAGTTGTGCGATCAGAAACAATGTGGAAGTGCCGGGTGCGTTGGAGTCATCATATGATTTTTAAACCGTTCATACATGAATTGCAGCATTGCATATCGACAGTACTACTCTGTAACATTTCACTTATATAGTATACGGTAATAATCTCCCCATGCTCGGTTACTGACCGTGACCAGCCAACCACTGTAGTGCACACGGCTGCAAAGAAAGCTGCTTGCTTGAAGCTGGTCATTCCCAACTATGATATCCCTGGCTTCTTCCAGCGTACAATCCCGCATTCTTATTGAACATGGCCGACCTTGAATATTTGCTCTATTCAAAGTACTTCTCAGGAATCAGTCAGGATGGATCTACTTGAGTATATCGGCATGTGCTTCTGTTGCTGGATGATCTGGCAATAGGCTGTGCTCTATGAGTACACTAGCAAGTATGAACTGGATCTACTTCAGTAAAATTGTCAAAGCAGGGTTCTGGTATGCTGCATGAGCTGGAACTGCACCTATGGCATTGGACAGGAAATTTTCGAAACCCTACGAGTCCTACAGTCTGCTCTGTAGGGCACCGGCAATGATAAAATCTGGAACAGTTGGCCTCCATGCAGCATAGCCCTCAGTAGTAAGACCTGAAAAACTGCTGCCGGGCTCAGTGGTTTTTCTTCGGCGCTTCCTGATCCTCCCCACGTGTGCGCATTGCTTACCTGAGGCAGATTCAGTATGATCATTGGTCAGTACTGTGTTTGATACTTGTGATATTAGTAATCACCAGGGAGTAGTAAAATGCCGATGTTTTACTACTCCCTAACTATCACGATACTGATCGCCACTGTGGCGACTGGTGAGTGAAATCCATCCTCATGAGTCTACCCGTACCATGGCTATGCGGCCCTTGCACTGTGGACACACAGGGCGGCTGTGCAATGTGCACAATAATGCTTTTCCGTGAGATCGGATTTCATTTGCCGCCCGTGACTGCAGTCATGGTAGTACCAAGAGTAAACGAACGCCAAAGAGTGTGCAACTCTGGATATGGGCCATCCCGCGGTCAAAACGCATATCAAGTGTTGCAATCATGTGTCGTACTACATGTACCTACAACGAAGGCCAGTGTGTACGCAATACTGCAGTCCAGATATCCAGGGAGGGGAGGGGGGGGGGGGGGGGGGGGCAAGTGCTCGCATCAGGTTTTGCCATGATGGTGTAACTACTACTACTCACTCCGGGGGGTTTAATAATATGTAATTTTGGTAGCATCGATCCCCGAACACTTACAAAGTGTGGGCAGATCGAACGACTAATCTTTGTGTTTAACCATTTACAGCTTCCTCGATGATTGATTGATCGAGTCTCTCGCTCGCTTCCTTTTGGCTCGTGTAAACATATTCGATAGGAATGACAGTGACTGATGCTGCTTTGGTAGGAGGTGAGGCTGTGCTGTAGGCATTGCGTATGGGGATCAATCCTCGTCAAACGCCAATTCCTGACCTCTGTATTTTTTACACCAGTTTTGCACAAATCAAGTGGACCATCCCTGAGCTGGAGAAAGTTGTCCGGGCACGGCTGGCTGGACCAGCCGGACCGGTTCCGGCGGCCCTGCTGTTCTTAGGGAGCAGTGGAGTAGTAAAATTAACACTCGCTACTACTAGAACCCACTCGCCCGGCCTGTGCAATAAGATCATCATGGCATGGCAGATATCAGGGGCGGATCCAGGGCTGTAGCCTGAGGGTGATGAAAACAAAACAGTACGACAAATTGTCTTAAGAAAAATATTGATCCTAGTTTGCAACTCGACTATGGGTGCTGTCCCGACAGAATTTCAAGCTGACGTCATTTTGATGATGCAATGCACTGTACACGGATTATCAGCAATGCACTGTACATGGATTATCAGACGAATCCGGAACCTGTGGTTGCCCGAAGCCGATCTGATCCTGTACAAATTATTGCAAAGAAAAACATGTGATGCGTTGACACCCGTACACATGTTGTAAATCACTGGTGCAAGGAGCATTGCGTCATAAATAATGACGTCAACTTGAAATTCTGTCGGGACAGCAGGGTATGTGTGAGTTGCACACTCTGGGGGGTTATGTACTCTTGATGCTACCCATTTGGACCATAATAATATCTTATCACCGATACTGTGCGCCATTTTGTTGACTTATGTCAAGTAACAGTTGTGTTCCCTGACTAGGATCGCAAGAGATGCCCCAAATAAATTCACTTATCTTCACATAACCCCCCTCTGTGACTGTGGCGGCCGAACTACTCCCAAACTCATTCCTCCGGCCTTGAACAGGCAGGGAGCATACAACTCGAACACCACACCATGCGATGTGAGTTTTCGCCATTGGTGGACCCCATTGCAAGGATATCCACACTCTTGGGAGCTTATAATACTCTTCGTGGTATACGGTTGCCAGAGCCCCAGTGTTTATGAAAGACCATTTGAACCGTATGGGGCTCTGCCAGCCATGGAGGATGTAGTAAGGAGCACTGCTTTCAAGCACAGGGCGTAAATCTACTTCTACTCCGCCTTGTACATGTAACATGCTGTCAACCAAACAAGGTTTATCTAATACTAATAGGAACATGTACATGATGTATGTGTGTGAACAACAGTTACATTCCTGACCTGGATCATGTCTTGCATGGTAGAGCTCATTCGGCTACCCGACTGTGGGTCTTGATACAGCACCGTTGTCTCGCTCGCAAATAGACCGTCAGCAGCTGCCGGAGCCGGAGCCGGCCGTCTACGTTGCGAAGGATTGGGATGCCCGATCCTCGGTAGCTCCGACCGATCCGCAGCTGCATACTGGCCAACGTTGGGCGCGCGTGCTTGAAACTGCCCGTGATCGGACGCATTCTCCAGGCGCGTGTTGCGCGGAGGTCCCATCAGCGGCCGTTGTTCGTACTCGGCAGGATTGCGATTTTTTGCTTTGCGGTTCATGACGACGGCAGGAAGGTGCCTCACACACGTACACGATCATGAGCGAACAGAATTTAGCAAGCTCTTCGTGCCCTGCAGAGCAACAGGAGTGATCCCCGAGGAGAGCTGGTGATTGTGACGACCGCCTCTTGTCGTCCGCAACATTCGATTCAACGGCTAGTAGCGGCTCGTCGGTTGCAGCACGACTTGGGCCGACAGAGCGGACGAACAGCTAGTGTTGGTAAGGCTAGAACACTGTCACCGGTGCACCGTGGTCCGTGGCTGGTTACTGAGATCTGATGCGTTGCAAGAAAGAGGAGACACCAATGCCGGTAATAGCAAGAGTACGCAACCAGGTTATGTAGACTAGCTGTTGGTAATCGCTAGAAGCAGCAGAAGACAACCCGTAACGGTACGCAAAGATAATAGTTTACCTAAGAAAATACGGGTTCCTACTTGACTCCACGCTTGCAAGAAAGTTACTTACTAGCTTGATGCCTAGCACAGTAGCAGTGGCCGCGCTTGCACTTTTCTCCGTTACTTGTTAGTGTTACCAAAACCAAAGACGGCAGGAGTATTCTTGTAGTCTTGGTGTTACTTGTTGCCCACCACCTCGACCTCGGCCCCGGCCCCATCATCGTATCATGACTTACTGACTGTCTTTGTTGAGGTTATCTCACATACTAGTAATCATTCACAAGACACAACTTCTACTACTGTAGCACTGTAGCACCAAGAGTATTATTATACCCCCCCCCCCCCCAATACCGGTCTCTTGCTACAGACCAGTACCGTGTGATGTACATGTATCATCAGATTGTCAGGACTGGAGAATTCCAGGCCGGATGCAGTCTTTATCTAGTCTCTGAGTCGGTGCAGCGTAGACCATGTAATGCCGGTCATGATGTCTTGATGATGCGTTGATGCCAAGCAGTGATAATCAGGGACCAGAAACAAAACAAAAAGAGGCTGGCACTTGCACTGGCTCCAGCTTCGATCACCATGATCACGGATCAGCTTGGCCGTAGCTAACAAGACTTAGTAACAATGACCACATTGCCTAAAATACTAACACTAACAGCAAGAGTACATAACCCCAGGCAGCGAGGGGTTGCTCAGGCGAGTCAGGAGTTTATTGGAAAGGCTTCCTGTCTGAAGCCTTTCCATACTGGTACTCGATATGTTCCAGTTTTGTGACACGAGAATGGCACGAGAATTAGTGTACCGCTGAGTGTACCGCTATACACGTGGTCGACACGTAGTCGACACGTTGTTGATACTTTTTTGACACGTGACCCCGTTAACGGTCTGCTTTGTGCCAATGCCACTCGGTAAACGCCGATGTCGCGTACGACAAAGACCACTATCCCGTACGCGAAATAGTTGAGAACTGCATGACGTGGACCTGACGGCAAGGACAACTGCGAGGAGGCCCCTTTCGGTACCCCTGACGGGAAGGAGAACTGCAGAAGTCGACGAAGTCGAACGAGGAGGCCCCTTTTCCGTACCCCATACTGCAAAGTGCCATTGATGGATACCTTTTGCACCTGGAACGACCCCTTAAACGCTGTCGCGGCGACTATCCCGTACGCGAAATAGTTGAGAACTGCTGACGTGGACCTTTTGCACCTGGAACGGCCCCGTAAACGCTGTCGTGTCGCATGTCGGCGGAGTGAATGTGCAGGGTACTACACGTGTGGGGTGAAAAGAATTGCTGCAAAGACGTCCCCTCTACTAGGCTCTAGGCCTTTGCCTTTGGAGACATCGTCGGCGAACTGAATGCGCAGGGCGAAAAGAATTGCTGCAAAGACGTCCGCTCTAGGCCTTTGGAGACATCGTGGGAACTCCTTCCGGTACTATACAAACTGCTGACGTGGCCGTGGACATGTACATGGAGAGTCATGGTGGGACTTCATGTACATGGATACATGATGCGAATTCCTTCCGGCACCCTCGTACCGCAAAGCCAACGGTGGGGAAGGAGAAGTGCAGACGTGCAGGAAGACGAACGAGGAGGAACCAGGACGAGCGAGCAATGGCAGGACTAGCTGGACCGTAAGTAATAGCTGAATTGTGCATGACAACTTGACATCCATGCGGCACTTGCCACTTGCCACTGCATATTTCTTGTCCACTAACAATGTCAATGTCTCTCCTCTGCCCCCTGTGTGTCCACGGCCCCGTTTCTGAATTGGCCCGATGAATCGAATGTCTTCCGCAACTGGAACGGCCCCGTGAACGCTGTCGCGTCGGCGACTGAACGCGCAGGAGGGAAAATATTGCTGCGAAGACGTCTCCTCTAGACGACGGTAAGGCACCCCATTGATATGTTGCCAGTGTGTGCCAGGGTATCGCGCGATGGTGAATGAAGAATGATGAAGGGTACGGTGGGACTGTAGACCTGTTACCTTCTACTACTGTAACACGTTATCAGGTGGAGAGTGTCTTGTACTCACGTTATCAGGTCGAGAGCGTCTTGTACTCACGTTATCAGGTCGAGAGCGTATTGTAGTCACTCTCTCTATTCCTGTACTTCATTACGTTTAAGGTGTACGTATAACTTCTCAAAAAAAATTAATGGTCTACAGTCGTGTCGGAAGGGTACGGTGGGACTGTAGACATGTTACCTTCTAACACGTTATCAGGTGGAGAGTGTCTTGTACTCACGTTATCACTATTATCAGATCGAGAGCGTATTGTAGTCGCTCTCTCTATTCCTGTACTTCATTACGTTTCAGGTGTACGTATAACTTTTCCAAGAAATTTAAAATGGTTCACGTCTTCAGATAGAGAGCGTATTGCACCCACTGTCTAGTCTCTGTAGTGCATTGAGATTTTGTTGATCGAACATGAAATGGATACACAGACAAAGCCAGGCCAAGTACATGGCGAGATGTCGCCAGAAGAACGTCTTCAGGTAGAGAGCGTATTGCACCCACTGTCTAGTCGATTTTGTGGATCGCACATGAAATGGATACACAGACAAAGCAGGCCAAGTACATGAGAGAGTGGACGATGTGCAGATCGACACGGCCTGCGGGTACTTCATTAAAGTTACCCGTGACATAACTAGGATAAATGTTAATCACTGCAAAAACATTGCCAAGTATGTGAGCACTTTGGACTTGACAGAAGAGTGCATGGGCGACGTTGACAAAACATACAGTGGTGACTGTCGCTATCATGACAGCAGGGGCACATCGCACGCAGCATCGCAGATCGTGTCGAATTGCGCATCATAATATTGCAAAATTGCTCCTGTGCATGCAAGTGGATTTCATTGCACTTCTCAGTTTGGGAAATGCTCGATTATGACAATTCTCCGTGTGAGTGCACTAGCCCTGAACAGACATGTAGGTGAACCGTTTGTGGTGTCTCATAGCCTACCTCACGACCTTCTGCTTTCTTGCTTCATCACTTGTATCTTGCAGGTATATCATCCCGTGACGACCACATTGAAGTCTGAATTTGAAGTGTGAAGATGCTTCAGCAACCACATCGTACTTTTCCATTGCTTTCATTGTGCTTCTACTGTGCATGTGTGTAACTTGTGGGGTAAACATGTGATGACATTGTATGCTGGCGACACGGTCAGATGTTCATGCGTCTAACGTACACCTGCATGTTGTGCATTGAAAAGGGTTTGCCACTTGCGATCCTGGGACGAGTATCAGGTCCGCTTTGTCCTATGTGGGCTGTATCAGATTGCTGTTCACTTCTCTATCTGTTGGATATGTGACTTTCTGCAAGTTTCTGGTGTATGATGGCCACGTCCTTGCTTGTCACTTTGTATGATATTACATTCTGTATTCGCTGCTTCCATGGCATGGTCTGCAAACTGCAATCCTTGGGCAAATGTCATGTTTGCTATGTTGCGCTTTGGCGGTCAGCTTGTCTACGCGCTGTAGTTGAATTATTTTTGTTTCACAACTGACTTCCTCAAGTACGGTGGCCACTGCTTTGCATGGCATTATACATGAAGAATTTCCTGTTTGTGTCGTGTGCATGTGCGTATGTGTGCGTGGCCACGTGTGTGTGCCGTGTGCATACACATGTTTGTGTATCTGTGTGCGGGGTAGCGAGGCGGGGAGGGCTGGTATGTATCAGTGTGTTATTGCAGTCGCATGGCTACATACAGTACATCGCGCGCGTGGTCATCATGTTTACCTTCGGGGTTGGGGTGGGGAGGGAACGGAAAAAGAGCTGAAATTATCCATATAAAAATCGCTCTGTGAGCGGTTCTGAAAAACCTTTACTGGTACTGCCCCGTCGTAAAAGTAAGAAATTAGAACTGGCCCATTGTCCCCCCAAATGCGAACTGATCCACCTAAATCGCGAATGACGGGACCCGAACGCACCAGTAGCACGAGGTTCCTACCCGTGGATGCAGATGGGGACGTTGGTCTGGACCATAGGCCATGTACTGTACTAGCGGTAGGCTTCCCTATCAAAATAATAAATACTACTACTACTAGTGTTACCCTATGATCCTGTGCCCTCCCTCCCTCGTGCTACTGGTGCGTTCGGGTCCCGTCATTCGCGATTTAGGTGGATCAGTTCGCATTTGGGGGGACAATGGGCCAGTTCTAATTTCTTACTTTTACGACGGGGCAGTACCAGTAAAGGTTTTTCAGAACCGCTCACAGAGCGATTTTTATATGGATAATGATTGTACTCTTCCTATCTTGGTTGGTTCAGGGGTAGACATGCCATGGCACTTGGCATGGTTTGCTCCTTGCCACCTTGGATACAGCCTAAAGTAAGACTAAGGTCTAGGAAGGAGTAAGTGGGAGTGAAACTTCCAGTATTGAGGAAGTGTTTAAAAACACCTCAATACTGGACTGGTGTGCGAATGTGTGTGAACTAAATACTTACCGTATTTTCAGGAGTATCAGCCGCACTTTGAAGTTTGAACACTCAAAATTCACCCAAAAAAAGGGTGCGGCTTATACTTCGATGATAAAATAGATGTCTGTATTTCATGGCAAAGGGGGGGGGGGGGGGGGGGGGTGCGGCTAATACATGTACTCCGGAAAATACGGTACATGTACTTCACTCGCAATAAACTACATTGCAGCTGTACCGCTGTACTGCCGCAGCTTTTTCAGGACAGCACAACTAGAACCCTGCTCTCGTCAACATCAGGAGTGTTATGGGAGCGTAGCTACTCTATACATCAGGAGTGTTATGGGAGCATAGCTACCAGAATAGCTTCCTCTCGATATTGCAGTACCTAAATAAAACGAAAGAATAAATTGGAAGTTGTTTTCACCCCAAACACTGGAGCTCCATTTAGAATACATTAGGGTCACCCAACTCCAAACACAAACACTGTCTCTTTGCTGCATACGTCACTTGAAATGTTCACCAAATTTTCGGGCCTGGCCCATCATCAGGGTCAAACAGAAAAGAATAAAATAGAATAAAGTTCAATAAAATGCTAACCTTGGCCTAAAATCAGCTACAAATCTTACAAATCTATTAAGAAAAAAGCAGGGAAAGAAATGATTCGGAGGACCAAAGCAGATAGCAGTCACGAATATCATTTCAAGTACGGATCAACCATAGCTATTGAGGTGGATGAAGTTTGGGACAAGTAAGTAGATACATGTATACCATTTGCTAGAGTAGGATATTCCACCTGAATGGCTAAAGAAAAATAATTTCAAGATGTCTGAACCGAACGGGGTCAAGGGAAATTGCTGTGTACTTTGTGACATAAGGGAAGACTAGCACAGCCGATCAGTGCACTCCGGCACTGACCGCACCGGTCAACACTGTACCAAACGCAAAAACGCACAGCATCATAGAATGTGATGGCTCAGAAAAAAAGCGAAAGCTAAGATGGGAGAATGTAACCAGCACACACCCAGCCACAGCTTGCGGTAGCGAAATAAAACCCGCTGCCCAGCATGGGGTAACAGAAGACCCCGCGAAGAAGAAACCTATGAACCCTTGACGTTTCGGATAGCCGCTTCCATCAGATCCCACTGTTCATTCGTTACCTGTGACAAACAACGACATGTTACAAGACACGGGCAGTGAGTCTTGAATAAGGACTCAACCCCACAGAGCGGGCTCTGCAATGTACATGACTTGTACAGAATGTGCTACTGACAAGAACAAACAAGACACATTTCAGGATGTAACGTTACTGCATGAACACAACAGGCACCAGCTGGACTGTAGCTACACAATGCAATGGCACTAGTCCACTAGACTATGGGGTTACTAACAGCAGTGCGGGGGAAAAAGGACTCTGTACTTGTAAGCAGGTGCATGGCTGTCCCACTAATACGGGGATACGCGAGCCAATTCGTCTACTGCTTGTACCGGTGTAAGGCTTGTAGCGACCCATATTATGATCAACCCGCTCTTCCAAACAGGGAGAAACAATGAGGTTGAGAGCAGTACTGTTTGATGGGACGGCTGAAGATATCCACTACATGTACCAATACATTCCAGAAAGCAATCCTGGAAAACCTAGGGAAGGGATGTACTGGCAAACCTAGTTCACCGCCAGCACGGGTAATTCAGAGAAACTAACTCCAATGGGGAGCGGCCCAATGAGGCATTCAACAACACTTATGATGTATCAGTTATTATCCAATATTCACTACCGGTATTATTCATTGGGGAATTTCTCAATCGCAAAGGAGTCCTGCTTTACAGAAATGCAACTGTTCCCAGGCAATGTAGTTCGTACCTTGACTAATGGATTGAAAGCACCAGCCATGAATGGCAGCTCTCCACCATCAAAGTTGACCACCTGCACACACAGAAAGGATAACAAAGTCATGTCCCACTTTTAAAACCGACCGAGAACCACAGCACCGGCCGCATTGCTCGGGAGTGGCCATGAGCTGACCCACAGGAAGCAATGGAGGGTGCAGCAGTACTGGTTGGCAGCACAGCCAGGAAAGCAAGGCAAAGTCAAAGTCCACGGCAGCTAGTACACTAGTATCAGCACTGTGTGGTAAAATATCGATGTTTCGATGTGAACACAACTATGATTCATGCATTAACTTCTGATGTCAAAACAACACAAGAAGCGGCCAGGGCTGAGTTCTACCAGGAAAATCCCTTGGCATACTAGTAGGTATCCAATAGCCTTGTGGTCTTACCTCGCCAGTAACCCAGCTAGCATAGTCACTGAGCAAGTAGCATGCCAGGTTGGAAATCTCATTGATCTCTCCCAGGCGACCGGTGGGCAAGCGGTTGAGCATCAGCTTGCGAAACTCCCCTGTCGGGTCCAGCCGGCTAAATGCACCCTGCAAGCAAATAGTCGGTGAGAGAGATACTTAGTACTAACTCACAAGATCCTGATTATGGCAGATCTAAAAAGAAAAGCTTCAGGCCAAACACACTGCAAGTACTGGTCTCATGTCACGAAATAATGATAATACCCTTACACCAGCCTGGCCTGGCAAGTAGGGCTGCAACGGGTAGGGGTTTGGTCGGGTAACGGGTCCGGGTATTTTTATCCGGGTAGCACGAGTTTTTTGACACAGTTTGTACTGTGAGTGTGCACTTGCGCTACATAGTGCACAGTAGCACTAAGCCATGCTGTTTACATGCTCCGTTGCAAAAACACCCTACAGTCAGACCTCGCTTATCCAGTCCTCTTTTATCCGGGTCCCTCGCCATCCGGAAGAAGATCGTTGGTTACCGATTTACAGCATTTGCCATGCATACATACAGTATGTGTGTTCAATTATCCGGTTCCCTCGTCTATCCGGATATTTTTGTGGAAACAGATGTGTGCGGTTATGCGAGGTCTGACTGTATTCCAATTACCCTATCGGGTTCTCAGGAGCGAATTGCTACCCTACAACCCGATCAAATTACGGGTAGCACGGGTACCCTACTACTCGTTGACACCCCTACTGGCAAGGCAGAAGGTTGCTGTTTGCCTGCAGAGCTAACTAGAATGATCATCACTGTTGTCATGGCTAATGGTCGGCCACTTGACTGGAAAACAGACACACAACTGTGTGTATGACAACTTTAGGGGCCATCCGTAATTATCGATCTTTTTCACGAAACGAAAAAGTTTCGTTTATGGGTGGGTGGGTAGCGACCGGTTTCGTTTTGAAAAAACATCGAAAGCGGAAAAATCAACGCACACTGCATGCATTGATACATGCATACATTGTGTACATCGAAGTAGATCGACAGACCCAGTAGACTCTACGTCGCGCGGCCAAGCAGGTGCTGCATGGATGCACTGATAGTGATACCACTCTCAGACTCTGTACTCAGTGCAGTGAGTTCCTTTCGTCCTCGGATGACTTCTCCGACGAGGACCTAGCAGTCATCATGGTCATTCACTCTGGGACCGACGACAGATAGATAAATACTTCGTTCCAGCCGCCGATGCAAGAGAATTTCAAATTACGGAGCGGGGCGCATGCCAAGTAAATTCTCACGCAAATATAGGGAGCGCCAGCCGCTGAAGCCGATGTCGTCGTAATGTACCTGGAAGAATCTGATCGTGCTTATGGTGGGGAAGCCATGGAGAGTGATCCCTGTGTCGACAGTCTTCCAGAGACGGAAAATTAGGCCATCGACTTTCTACGTACCTGATTGACGGCAGCGCAGCGCGGCGTGCGTGCGACCTTACGGAGCTTTCAGACAGCGATTCTGGGGCGATGCTGCTCTCATTTGCGAGCGAAGCACGACCACTGAAGTCTGTGATAGCTATGGCGTTTGTTTCCGCTCCGAAGTCGACTTGTTTTGGCAGTATCATGTCAATGTCGGAACTCTGACAATTTTCAAGTGTACAATTCCCGTGTTTAGACGTAGAGGTGCCAGCAGCGTATGTGTGTGGTCGGTGAACATAAATGTTTCCATGGTCAAGAAGTAGTACCAGACTTCCAAGAAAACATAACTAACGCTGTTACTTACTTGCACAATCACACAAAATGTGGCCTCGCTGTGTTGTAACAGCCAATCAAGATCATTTTCTGCACAAAGTCTCAAGTCAATTAATTTTTTCGTTTCAGGGGGGTGGGTGGGTGGGGGTGGGTCATAACTAAACTTTTTCGTTTCGTGAAAAAGATCGATAATTACGAATGGCCCCTTAGATAGTAGGACCCAATGCTGGCAGTTAACACACCGAGGTGATCAGTAAAAGTGCTTACCTTGGTCTCGATCGGTCCTGGTGCTATGCAGTTGAAGCGCATTCCATAGCGGCCCCATTCTGCTGCCAAGGACCTGAAGAACACGAACACCATGGAACGCAGTAGGCACGACATACGAGGCAATTAGCACTCGCCGCTGCATGTACTTGCACATGCGCAATACATGCTCTGTCATGCCTGTTACGATAACTCACTTCGTCATTGCCTCCACGCCGGCTTTCGCTGCAGCGCTGGGTACAACAAAGGCAGAGCCGGTTTGAGCATAAGTGGTGGTGATGGCTAGGAAGTTACCACCTGCAAACCACCCAGCACAGCAGAGGGCATCGGCAGAGACACTACGTTGAGATACAGATACAGACATTGGCATCCCAGCATGCATGAGAGTGCCAGCAGAAACAAAACAAAGCAGGTAATGCCATGTACAGGCCAGTCAAAGACATGCACACCACCAGCCTGACCTTTCTCCTGGCCGATGAGGCGCTTGCCCACTTCTGATGTGACGTTGAAGCTGCCCACTAGAACAATGTCCATGATTGTCTTGAACGCATTTGATGACAGGCGCTCCGTGGGTGCCACAAAGTTACCGGCGGCATTGTTGATGACGATGGTGGGAAGGCCAAACACCTTCTCACACTCGTCAACAACAGCTGCAACGTCACCTGGCTTGCTGACGTTTCCTGCAAAGGGCAACACCTGTCCACAGCACAAACACACACGCAAAGAACAATTCAACGTGTAATACAGCCGCATCTTGCAGTCATCCTTCCATCTTGTAACATACGTTCTTTGCGAATTCAAGCCATCATTTTTTTGTCATTTTAGATCAGAGGCAGAGGAAAACAGCACAGGTAATCACTCTTCATGCCTCATTCCACAACTGACCTTTCGCCCAGTGACTTTCTGAATTTCTTCCGCAGTCTTCTCCAACACATCCGCCTTACTGAAAAAAGAGTGAAAATATTCAAAATAACAATAGAAAGGTGGGTGCGTGTGTGCGTGCAAGAGAGAGAGAGAGAGAGAGAGAGAGAGAGAGAGAGAGAGAGAGAGAGAGAGAGAGAGAGAGAGTGGAGAGCGAGAGAGAGCGAGCGAGGGAGAGCGAGAGAGAGAGCGAGAGAGAGAGCGAGAGAGAGAGAGAGAGAGAGAGAGAGAGAGAGAGAGAGAGAGAGAGAGAGAGAGAGAGAGAGAGAGAGAGAGAGCGAGAGAGGGAAAGAGAGAGAGAGCGAGCGAGAAAGAGAGAGAGAGAGAGAGAGAGAGAGCGAGAGAGAGAGAGAGAGAGAGAGAGAGAGAGAGTGGAGAGCAAGAGAGCAAGAGAGCGAGAGAGAGAGAGAGAGAGAGAGAGAGAGAGAGAGAGAGAGAGAGAGAGAGAGAGAGAGAGAGAGAAAGAGAGAGAGACAGAAGGAGAACAATGATCAACACATCTCACCACGTGGGTATCATCTACCAGTGAGTAACTCCTCACATTAGAGACAGCACTCCCACTCCCAGGTGACTCAGGTAAGCTTACTTTCACACATGTATGATAAGAAATATGATGCATACTAGTAGTAAGAGTTGAGGGTTGTGATCTTTCATGCGGTGAAGTAGGTCAGCCAACCACCACGAAAGAACAAAATTTCAAGATTTGACTGTATGTACCTGCTTGCAGGATGCCTGGATATGGGAGGTCCAGATATAAGATAGTTCTACAGTAGTACAGTATTTTCCCTTCATTTGCCATGATGCTGCTTATTGCTTGCTTAGCATGTTGGTGATCTGTACCAAGAGTCCTCAGATCCTAGAGTGTGCAAATGTGCAAGTGTCCATTGGGTTGTATTCCAAGCACACAATACTAGACAAGTAGCATAGACTTTACTTGGCTGGATCAAGCCTACGAGAAGGAGGTGAGCTGCTTGTTTATTCGGCATCGTCCTGCACGTTTCGCTGGCCTGACACTGTCATGGCGTGGTGGTGTTCTTCAATGCCTTGCCGGCATACTAGTACTAGTAGACAACAGTGACACCACTGTGACCCACGATGGCTCATGGCAGTCATTGCCAAATTCCACAACTCTCGACATGTGCTGCATCTTGCAAACTTTGTTACTCACAACTGAGTGGAAAGAGCGGATCACTTGTGGCCTATGATCTCTAAGCCGATAAGCCAATCGTTACGGGACAGCCAAAGCCACAAGTAAGAAAAGATCGTAATCGTTTCAGCGCTGATTCCTAGGCACCCTAATCAGCATCCATTGTGTTGTCTGATGACTGGCACTATTGGCATGAAACCCGGAGCAACAATAACACAAAGTTTCCTACCACTGTGAACTGGTGTACATGTACATGACTGATTGTATAAATTGTGTTTTAAATTAAATATTATTTCCAACAAAATACAGGCCAAACGTTACTCACCGACTGGAAATAACGACATCGGCACCGAGCAGTGACAACATAGTGGCCATTCCCATACCCAGGCCAGTCCCACCTCCGGTGACCAAAGCCACCTTTCCACTAAAGCTACCCTCTTTCAGCATCGGCTGCAAAACTGGTCGGAAGAAATGTGCTTGTGGCTTCGTGTTTCCATCACTGGCCACGGCTGCGCTCGAGGAAATCTGTCGAAAGGACTGCTTCCAGACGCTCGTACCCGACCGAGCGAAGCCACGACTAATCATCATTACTTATTGTATTACGGCGACCACAACCCTGCCTGAATGAAGCTCACACAAAACAATAAGCAGAGATAGAAATGACTTCAAATAAATGAGTGAAGATTGGATCCAGAAACATAACACTTGCGGCTGCAGTAGCAGCTTTTCGAATCATTTTTCGCTTTCTTTGGGCTCACGTGACAGATTTTGCACCTGCAGTCCTGCACATGTCATGATGTGCACACAAAATTTAATGATCATGTTCTCAGTGGCATTGCTTTGGTATGTTCAAATTTTGTTTCGTCAGGGGATCAGGACTAACCGAAGATGCTCCCGATTAGCCGAGTAAGCAGCAGAATTAGAAATGCATTTCAATCCACCGTCACTGTTCCTCTACGACAAAATTCTGATCGACCCCAGGGTCAGGGCCTGTTAGTGGATGAGAACGATGTGGTGGAATTGGAAGTGGACAACTTTGGCAGTTCGAAGCATCTGTAAGTGGGATACCTTTGTGTATTCACATCATGAAAACCTGTTTGCATTCTCTACTCTGAGCCATAGCAAAATTCACCTGGCCTTTACCTTCAATTTTAAAAAGATCTGCTGATCCACAATCACAACAGGTGACAAAATAATGGAACATCAATTTTGAATTTAGGAAAGGTGTTTGCTCCCCATACCGGAGATCGCGCTTTCCCACCGACTTGACACTATTCGTATCAATCTTGAATTTTCAAAAAAATTCAAGAACACCCTCCAGGACTTTCTTTTGCACAAACAAAAGCGTTTGAACCAATTAAAGGGGAAGTTAAGCCTATAATATAATTTTCACCAGTTGTAGTCTTCGGGGTGCTGAGTCGAATGGTCTTGGTCCGAGGAAGCTGAAACGCTCCCTTCCTCCTTTGTTCCCAATCGAACTCGCGCACTTCCACCGAAACTGGGTGACTGCGCCCTACTAGATGGGGATTTGTATGCAAAATGTCACTAAAAGTGCCATTTCGTTTTTATTAAAGCACGGATGACCGCGATTGGCCCATATGTTGTAGTCTTTTGGCCGCTGAGTCGACTGGTTTTGGTCCGAAAAGGCTGCGATGTAGCGTTCAGCCCTTATTCCCAATCGAACATGGTTGAACAAGCGGTCACGTGCTCCTGCGTACACCAGTCACCTGGTCACCACGCCAGCAGACGACAAATTTCACACCAAGGTTCAACTCAAAGGTGCAAAGGTTCAACTCGAGTGACAGAAACTCACTCAAACATGCTGTTAGTTGTAGCCTGCAGGCACGGCGACCAGGTGACTGGTGTACGCACGAGCACGTGACCGCTTGTCTAGCCATGTTCGATTGGGAATAAGGGCTGAACGCTACATCGAAGCCTTTTCGGACCAAAACCAGTCGATTCAACGTCCAAAAGACTACAACATATGGGCCAATCGCGGTCATCCTTGCTTCTATAAGAACGACATGGCGCTTTTAGTGAGATTTTGCATACAAATCCCCATCTAGTAGGGCGCAGTCACCCAGTTTCGGTGGAAGTGCACGAGTTCGATTGGGAATAAAGAAGGAAGGGAGCGTCTCAGCTTCCTCGGACCAAGACCATTCGACTCAGCACCCCGAACTACAGACTGCAACTGGTGAAAATGTTAATTAATAATAATAATAATAATAAAACAGGTCGCGTAATGAAGCAGCATAACGATAGATGTGCAAAGTCATGATGCCTGGTCCGCTTCTGTCCTGGGTTCACTACCCCGTGCGTTGCAGCCGCGAGCAAAACCAGCTCAGGCTGAGAGTTCCCTCCATGATTGCTTGTCCAAAGCGCGCATTCTGAGCCCACTCAGATCAGTCATGGTCTTCAGTGGCATGTCTCTGGCAGCTGTGCTTGCCTTGACTGCCGTGGCCAGGTTCGATTTCGGGCGTCCACGCACACCGGTGACATCTCGACGGAAGTAGTTGTCCATTGCCTGCTGTGGCGGGGCATCTGAGGGCATCCTCAGAACATGACCCAACATCCGGAAACGGCGGACAGCAACGGTGTGCGAAAGTGGCTGTGTGTGTGCTCTGGAATATAGGTCTTTGTTGGAAAAAAAATGTTAATTGCAATGAATAAAACAGTGCAGTCATAACACTGTATTGACTGCACTATTTGTTTTATTCATTGCCGTTTTACGCTTACTGTCTCCTCGACGATTGTTTAAATGTTCATTCTGTGTCAATTTTCGCAATAGCTGTCCCCAGAGTCTAGATCTGCATGGCATGTTCCTTCATTGCAATAACGTGTTGCAAGGTCTGGTCGGGTGGGAAGAGTCTTGGCTGTGTTGCGTTTTGTTCCCGTTCGCGGTGTTAGTTCTGCATCGTGGCCTTTCTTGAAATAGCGGAACATGAACACAAACAGTGCCGTGCTGCTTGCTTCACCGTGCAAGGCGTGCATACATTTGAAGTACAGGTACATACTGTAAGACCAGTAATGTGAACGAACATTTAATTCTAACGATTTAGCGAATTTAAAGAATTAGTTAACATTTGAAGTCGTTATGTAGAAAACGATATGTACCTGTACAGTCATTTGCCCGTTTTGAGACGGAATTCGTTAGAATGTCACCTCTCTAACCCACAAAAATCCGGAGATCATTAACTTTAATTGACGTTATAATATCTGGTCTTACAATATTATTTTATGCTGTTCTGAAAGGACAGAGTGCTCCGCTTTAATTATGTCAACAAGAGTCACGTTTCTGGCAAAAGACTGTCATCTGACAGCTTGGAGCAACTGTGATGTCCGAATGGACCTTTCTCCCATGTCGAAAGGCTTTGTTTGCATGCAAGGCGCTAGTCCAGCCATTGCCACCATCTGCTTTTGTGTATGACGTGTGTGTATGTGTGCACGTGTGTGTGTGTGTGTATGTGTGTGTGTGTGTGCGCGCGCGCGCGCGCGTGCACGTGTGTATGGGTGGTTGGGTGCATGTGTGTGTGTGTGTGTGTGTGTGTGTGTGTGTGTGTGTGTGTGTGTGGGTGTATGTCTGTGTGTTCTTGTAGGAAAAACTTCAAAGTCGCACCAATCGTGGCATTGAAACACCATGCGAAGTAAGGCATCACGTACCGTCTGTATCGGCTATAGAGTGACCGGATATAAGAATATATCGGCTACAGTGATATTGGTACGAAATATCAAAAGCGAAACGTATATTATCCAGTAAAAATATCACTATAACCAATACTATCGGATGTAATGATATATCGGATATTATGATGGTAACAAAGAATCAAAACATGCATAACACACTATATTATTATCGGCTATAGTGATAACTTTAAAATACATGTAGCAATAATATCAAAGGCCCTACTTTTTTACTTTCTTCACGTTGCTTATTTTTATAGTGATACATGTACATGTACATAACAGAATTTTTTTATGGAAATGCGGGCACTGTCAACTATGCAGCATGCTCATTTGTCAAAACGCCATGCTGGAAGTATTTCCTTGCCTTTCATGTGCCGATCGAAAAAAAGAAAGAAAAAAATCGATCGTATCGCATAATATTATAGTGATGATACGGAACTAAAGTGATCAAGGGAAAAACAAAATCCAAATTACCCGTCATGTGTCACACTTCTTTGGATTTTTAACCTTTATTATAGTGATGCATCGGTTATAGTGATAAAATCACAGAAATCAAAAGGGTACGCTATAGCCGATACAGACTGTGCTAGATATACTCTACGCAGGCTTTTACAGCATCCTACTTCTAACGACATGTATCTGGACATTCTAATTATCTTTACATATATCCACAGCACATTATGCGTGTCAACATGCTCGCATTGCCAGAGTTGAGCCAGAGCTTTTGCGGGCCCTGAACTGGCCAGTACAGCACCACCCATAGCTTGGAGATCAGAGTTGCATGGTATGCATACTGTTGGGGTTATGTACTCGTGATGGTGTGGATCAGCTGATGCCATGACATGGGGTTATGTACTTGTGATGGTGTGGATCAGCTGATGCCATGACATGGGGTTATGTACTGGTGATGGTGTGGATCAGCTGATGCCATGACATGGGGTTATGTACTGGTGATGGTGTGGATCAGCTGATGCCATGACATGGGGTTATGTACTTGTGATGGTGTGGATCAGCTGATGCCATGACAGTACTGTAATGCATGTACCACCAAGCAGCCACCGACAAGTGCAAAGTACTGTAAACCGCCCAATATTCACGTCACTAAATTTTCGCGATTTCTTATAACCAGCAAGTTTGCGATGGCAAAAGTTCGCGAAGCACCGGGGTCACCTACATACACCCACTGTTGCAGTTTGATTTCACGCTGGTTAATATTCGCGTTACGCTCGTCTCGCGAAAATAGCGAACATTAATCCGTCGCGAATATTAGGCAGTTTACAGTACATGATGTTGCAGTGTTATTGCATGGTATTTGCCTTTGGAGACAGAAGTGCTTTTGAGCGCTTCTGCGGCAGCTTGACAGGGAACCCGTGCAACACATACAGCCTCTCCATGACTGCAGCGAAGATATCGGCAGAGTTGATCAGTCTACCGGCTTGGCTGATGCTAGGGCAAGGGACTGGAAACAACAAGTCACTCAAAACAGTCTAAGATCTAATATCCTGTCACAGAGCAATAAAAGCAAAGGATGTACATGTAACTAGCACACATGGCATTTCTGCACCTATTGTTATATGTTTACAGACTCAACAAGCAGCCTGAGCCCCGCTACTCCTGGGTACGTACTTGTGAGAGTCCGGGTTCTGGTAACTTGTTTTCTTCATTGCAGCCTGATTTGTCTGTAATACTAACAGCTGCATACTGCTGTGCACACTCTGGCCTGTTGAAGCATGTTGCCTACAAGTCGCAAGCTGTGTGGCTCATACCAGAAATTGTCTGGGATGTGACTTTGCCCTCCCCGGAAACATACATTTGCACACGTGCTAAGCAAGCCGTGCATACTTTCTAAGGGTGTGCAATTTGAACTGGGTGTACTGTGTGCTAAGCTGACGGGGAACTACACGCTTGTGCAACAACCCAGTATAATTATGTATACTTCGAAGTATACTATTGGTGTGTGTGTGTGTGTGTGTTTGTGTGTGTGTGTGTGTGTGTGTGTGTGTGTGTGTGTGTGTGTGTGTGTGTGTGTGTGTGTGTGTGTGTGTGTGTGTGTGTGTGTGTGTGCAGGCGTGTGCCAGTAGTCACACAACAACAGCATGAGTGCAAGTTGTGCTTGGCCTCAGAACTCCACCGTTACTCTGATAGCAGATGTGCTCTTTCTTTTGCCTTTCATCCCGCTCTGACGTTGTGATCTTACAGAGACGTAGTTTCTATGGCCGTGGCATTGAAGTAGTCGTTGCTTACCAGGGTGTCAACTACCGGCTCGTCAGTCGGTAAGTAAACGCATGACTGTAAACTTGTGCCGTAGGGAGCAAGAATGGGTGCATGAATTGTAGTCACTGCTGCTGCCGCCACCACGTAAGATGTGTCCATAATACGTATATACTCTCCGATGAGAGCAAGAGTACGTAACCCCCAAGAGTGCGCAACTCCAGCTATGGGGTCTGTGACGGCAGAACTTCACATCGCTTGATGAACCCGTGCACATTTGTTGCACTCTGTGCATGAAAGATACAGGGTTGTACGCAATCCGGCTTTGGGTTCAACTCTCTTGTGGTCACTTTGCACTGTTTGCCAGCGTAAGCTTTGGAACCATGTCACGTGATGTGAAGTTCTGCCGTCGCAGCACTGGATAGAGGTTGTGCAGGCAGTTACACACTCTTGGGGTTATGTGGCCCGATATCTGAGACTTTCGACCTTCGGGGGCTACGCGTTTTTTTTAGAAAACACTAAAAACAAATTTAGAAAGGAAAAGGACATATGGAAACGAGTTAAGAGTAACTCTCCACCACTTTAACTAGATACTATATACAGTCAGAAAGTGCAACAACTAGGCACAAAACTGACAGAGTACTGAGACATTCGACGTCCTGACACCTAGCTTCAACACATCTCCGTAGCGCTAACCGACAGCCTTCCAACTTAGAAGGTTCAAGGTTATGGAAAGACCAAAGAGGGGAAGGTAAGCGCAACGAAAACGAGCACAAGCTACAGTCCCAACGGAACAAAGAATGTCGATTGTCACTGGACGATGACGAGACCAGTAGGAGATCAGTTGGGGAAGTGAACTGCCTGAAAAGAGAAAAAACCGCCAGACCCACCAGGACTCAAACCCGGGACCTTGGAGTGAAAAACTTGTCAGCGCCTTCTAGGTTCAGCCCGGTCCCATAGCTCAGTGGTTAGAGCATTGCTCATGACAAGCAAGGTCCCGGGTTCGAGTCCTGGTGGGTCTGGCGGTTTTTTCTCTTTTCAGGCAGTTCACTTCCCCAACTGATCCTTTGAATTTGAAGTTCTCCCAATCCTTTCAATAATAATAATAATAATAATGAACTCGGCTGGAGAGCCAAGGATTATTTATATAAAGTAAAAAGGACCAAGGAACTTTTACTTTTTATGAATAATAATAATAACTTGACACTAAGTTGACACTAAATTCAACGAGCCTGCCATCACGCACCCGTCTTCTAGTTCCCTACTACAAAGGAGAGAAGGAATAGCACGCGAGTAGCGTTTCTAGAGTTCATGGAGTTTTTTCTCGTCAACACGTTCATTTTCGTTCCTCCTTTTGAGATCCAACTCTTGCAGTAGTGTTTATGTGTGTGTGTGCACGTGTGTGCGCGCGCGTGTGTGTGGGGGGGGGGGGGGGGCGTGAGTGTGTATGTTTGTGTGCTTGGGGACACACCCACTTCTCTCTGTTATGCGTTATGCATATTCACGGTGTTTTTATGCAGGTTGAATCCCGATCATGACGAATCACTTATTAGGCACATGGCTGCACTTGGTGTCCTGCGGAAGCTGGGTGTTCAGGATTATATGTCAGACCGAATAAGACATGCCAATCTAGGGCACGCAAAGCACTTGGCTCGCATCACAGCTATGCACTTAGAGGAGGATCAAGAAGAGGACAATGAGCCAATCTTTGGTGCTGCACATACGGCGAGCAAAGCTACCGCACCGACATCATTCAACGTGGCATCACTGTTCCAGGCGGGCGCTTTTGACATGCCAGCACCATTGCCAAAGTCAAAGGACGCGTCTGCAAGTGCAACCCCGACTGCATCCTCTCAAGCTTCGCCATCATCCACGGCTGTACCCGTTTCTTCCTTAAACTCCGCCTCATCCAAGCCTAGGACAGATGTTGAGAACACATGACACGTTTTACAGCTTTTACACCCGCATTCATTGCTGCTCATCCCCCTAATGTCATGGCCAGGCTGGCTTCTAAGCTTTGAATCCGCCGCCTAAGAAGAAGTAAGGAACTGTTGTTTAGTTTTTTTTAAGATGGGCTTATGCGACTCGCTCACTGACAATGGTCAATGGCTAAGAAGATACGTCTTGGCTTTCACTCCTACTGTCTGTGTTGTTGTGTTGTCAAGCCGTGACTGAGTACCCCAGGCACAGGACGAATACCATGGCCGGGGCTCAGAGTTCTACAACGCCCTGATATAGCAGCATAGTACAGTCAGTATTGCCTATAGCGCTGGTCTTTGATTTTGAGCATTTTATCACGATAAGCGATATATTACTACTATACTGCATGTACTGTATGCGAGTGGGTTTCAAAAGACTCAGCACACTGCATAGTTGGTTGCAGCGTACGTCCTGTGACCCCTACTTTGAGACATGCACCCTATCATGCCTATGCAGCCAAGGCTCCTGGACACATAGCGTCAGCATATCCTCACAACGGAGGCATTTTGGCCAACTAATCTGCAAGTAGAACTCACAAAACAACACTGGGCAAATTGTTCACTAAGAAATAACATCTTGTTCCCCTCTGACACCACTTGATGTCACGTCAATTACTTTAACCGATGCAAAACTAATGTAGTAGAGGTCTTTTGAAAATTGAATTTGATCGCTGTAGGTGATAATTATAATCACTATAGGCGATATAATCACTATGGACGATTGTTACTAATATACGCGGTAACTGTGGATGCCTAGTTTAATATGGCATATGAAAATGAATATGAGAAGTTGATCACTATAGCCGCCAACCTTACAGGCGATACGTACTGTACACTCAAACGTATCTTATCCGGACGCCTCAGATACGGACACGTCTCTCTACCGGGCACCTTCAGATTGATGAGTTCCAGTGGCGAAAGTGCTTTGACTTTGGGGGTTTTGAACTCTTTTTTTTTTAAACATTAATTTGTAATGGACTCTTCTTTTTTTATCCTGAACGTGTGCCAAGTATAGTCTTCATCAAAAACTGCTAAGATACATGTACATGGTAGATGACCTGTCCCGAGATACGGGCAGTGCCCGGATAAGAGACGTTTGAGTGTAGTGGGTGGTTGTTGGGTGTGCTTGTGAGCCCGAATCGCAAGTTGACCGACACTGCACACATACCGGTACATGTAGAAGACTTGCACTCTGTAGTATAGTACCGTGAAGTACCGTTGATCCGCCCCCTGTCGATTCTCTACCTGTGAAGCGACTCCGGTGTATACAACCAGCTGGGAAGCGACATGGCGTGGGGGGGGGGGGTCAACGGTACTTTACGGCACATGCGATTTTCGTCGTCCGGCATAGCAAGCTGCGTTCATTCCAGAGGATGGGGAGGGGTCCGAATACGAAATGAACAGTCAGCGTTCGTTTTTCAGGGACAACAAATAAAAAAAACTTGCGACGACCCCTAACTGGAGTCCTTAACACTTTGCGTGACCAACCTAATCTAGCACCATTGTTCATTGAAGTGCTGAGCCGGCAATACAACAAATATACACAATGAGTAAACAAGAAGCCCACTAAAATACACTAATACGTACCGTTGAAGTACAACATTAGACACCCTTAGCAAACGACGGTAACGCTATTTTTTACGGTACTCGTACCTTGATCACCCAAATAGCGTTGAAGCTGCAGCGTATAAACGTTATGGGGGCTGATTTATCGTTGTGACCAACGGTACGTGTTTTTGCCAAATATTGCAAAGTCCGTACGCATTTCACCTTGTATCGCGTATATGGTGACAAAAATGGTTGAACCGCGCGAAATCAAAGCTATTCTCGTGGCAACAGCGTACTAAAAATAGCGTGCATCTTGCTAAAGGTCGAACCCAAATCACGCTATTTTTCCCCTTACGATAATACAGTTACAACATAACGTTTTTTGCTAAGGGTGTTTAATATTCCAATAACACTACAGGTGGCAAACAATCAGATGTGACTCAGAATACAGCGGTCGCCGTACCCTTACAGAGACCGGTGCTGTGGTATGGAGGGATAGCGGATATGATGACGAAGCAAACCATGCAGTGCACAAGTGAGCACTAAAAGTAGCTGCGCAGTTGTGAAACTAAAGCGCAGCTGATAGGGCTGCAGACCAGCAGACCAGCATTGATTGAGCTAACAGCAGGGTGTACAAGTGAGTGCTGGTAGCACTTTTCTACCAACGAAGCAGCATCAGCAGAATATAATAATTAATTTATTATATTCTGCTAAATGGCGAAGTTTGAAGAAATGTAATGATGTATTTAAAACCATAAAATTCAGCATTCAGCATGAACGTTGTGAGGTAAACTAGCCTAACGACCCCAATACAGACTCGGGGAGACGGTCACATACGAGGACCACGTCAGTGTGAGTAAACAGTACGCTGTCCGAGGCAAACTCAAGAAATGGTCGTGCACGACATTGCTCAACCTGGAAGAGCCATGGCACAGCAGCGGACGGGGAGACGCATCCTATCACTACACCTGTAGCAGCTGTTCAGCACGACAGGGCTTATACAAATCACCATCGGCAGCAGCACGTGCAGTAACACTGCAATGTAGTCCCGTGCGCACCGCTCCACACACAGACCCTCACGCGTACACGTACTGTAGTACTGTTGCATATACACGGAACAAATGGTCCACAACTGCGCTGGCTGCCAAGAGTAGTATCAGAGTGGAGGGTGGTAGGAATGAACAGGTAGTCTGTTGCTCTTCTATGCTCAAGAAGCGCATTGAATGGTGCCAAGGTGATTGGCACGGTATCTCCAGTAGTTCTTTCGGATTGTATCGTCCTGGGTTTCCAGAGAGCGGCAGAACTAGAGCACAAATGCGAGCAAACAGGCACACATTGGCGCGCACAAAAACAAACACACACACACACACACACACACACACACACACACACACACACACACACAAATTGATTGTCTTCCTTGCCGTGAACGGAAGTAACCAGGGTCAACGGTAAAATGCTATCCACATCTAGTAACGTTAGTGCCAGGTACTATGCACCCAGAGGTAGCCATATCCAACAAGGAAATACTAATGCAACAAACCTCTTTGGCCTTTTCCAAGCTCTGAGCATCGCCGTTTTCTGCTTCATCCTCCAGCAAGTCCACCAGAAAGGCTAGAAGGTATGGAGAGCGCACGCTGTTCTCCAGCATCTTCAAACACTCCTCTTTGAGGGTGGGGAAGTCGCGTAGGTTTCTTTGTGTGGTGACCCTGAAGCAGTACGAACCGAGGCAGTAAGCACAGCAACAAGAGAGCATAGGTTCTTAGTAGGGGTCACCAGTGACACGAGTACTCGCTCGGTTTTTCAAAAATGATGGTACTCGGAATAAATCAGAGTACTCGTTTATACACTGTACATGTATTTACCACAGAAATCTGCAGTTTCAGAGCAGCAGTCAGCAAATATTGATGTGCAGACTGGGTGGTGTACAATTGTACACAGGTAAAGAGAGCCCAAACGACCAACCAACCAATGGAGCTGAGAAAATGTACTTGAACTCAGGATCTCACAGTCAACTTTCACCCCCTAGTTTTTAGTCACAAGCAACACCTGTGCAATGTGCAGGAGATGGAGTTTGAGACGGCAAACTTTCAGGTTCATGTGGCAGGTACTTGCTTGGGCTTCATGTCTCCATGATGGTCTTCAGACTGACGAGAATGCGAAGCTCAGTGTGATGGAGCAGTGACTGAGAGCTCATGAATACTTCCAGAAATATCCCATTGTGTAAGCTGGTGATCACACGCACACTTCAGATGCATCCTCTCAGTGCTTACCAGCGTGCATGTAAGTAGTTCTGGTGTATGTGAAGCCATCAGACAGGCAACGAGGAAGACAAACTGATCAAGGGCAGGTGCACTTGGCAGTAGGGCTGGAGCCCCGTACTGGAGGCAGTAGTGACGGCAACTCACCCCTGAAGGTAGTTCCACGCACTCTCATTGTTCGGCGCGCGATGAATGAACTGCATTGCATATCTGCAAAATGACAGGATCACCACAAAAGAGCAATACTTAGAGTTGCTGGCTAAACTACCCCTCGTCGTCATTGAAACACAACAAAGGCGGACAGAGAACTAAGCAGTGACTGACCGTGGACCAGACACAGCGCAGTCCGCTAAACAGCACATGGCACTAGATCAGAAATACATACTTGACCTCGCGCACGATGATCTCATCCGTGAATCCCGTGGTGCACGTGACCGTGTAGTAACGCTCGTTCCACGCAGAGTTGTTGCGCAGGTCGTAGCGCAGGAGAGTGTCGACGAACTGCAGCTCGTTCTCCCAAAGGCTGAAATGACGCAGGACCCACTGCCGATGTTGCCATGCATGGTAATTCTTCGCGTCCAGATCAAGAATCTGGGCAGAAGAAATCATCCAACCAAGATATAGTACACAATAGTATGATTATACAAGCCTTGCTTGATAGTTTAACATCTTTTACGATGACAGCATGTTACAAGGGTCACAAGACTGACACTCTACCAACCGGTTTATGGTTGCAGTCAGGAACACTGTTTTCCATACAGGGGATCCTCTGCCTTGTAACATGCTGTCATCGTAAAACATGGTAGTATGATAGTACTGCAGTTGCCAACATGGAATCATCAAATTAGCTTGGGCTGGAGCAAAGGAGAAGATGAACCACATCACTACCCATTAATGATCAGCTACTTTGAATAGAAAACATGTGTTTGAGTCATGCGCGCAACAAACCTTTCTCGTGAAGCTCAGCTCATCTCCAGGCTCACCACACTTCTCCACAATAACCTGCCGATGGTGCCTACAACACCGGGAGGAAAAAAAGGGAGAACAGCACTGCTAAGTCGTCGTGCTCCTTGAGCAAAAACCAGGCTACATCCGCCAGAGAAATGACTATGTGCTGATAAACATTACTTCCTGATACATGTTTTTCGATTTTGACAGCATGTTACAAGGCGAGGACGCGTAGTGCTCCTGACTACAACCATAACCCGGTTGGCAGAGTCCCGGTCTTGCGACCATTTGAACCGTATTGGGAAAACCGCAAGACCGGGACTCTGCCAACCGGGTTATGGTTGTAGTCAGGAGCACTACGCGTCCTCGCCTTGTAACATGCTGTCAAAATCGAAAAACATGTTAAACTACCAAGCAAGGCTTCTGTATATACCATTCCTGATACATGTACTTCAGCACACGTACGGAGACAGGGAGAAGAAGACAAGATACATGATGGTACGAGTTCATGAACACTGAACAGTGATTGCAATAAGGCAAACTGCAGAGGTGCTAACAATCTTACCAAGCCTGGTAGTTCTTTGGTGTATCCAAGATGACCTCGCTGACAAACTCCAGCTCCTCCTTTAGATCCAGGCTGAGTGCATCAATCAATTTCCGCCGGTAATGCCTACGGTCACACAGCAAACAGGAACATGGTTTGGAAACATCATCACCAGCACATGTACTTCAACTGTCTTCAAAACCGTAGAGTCATAGTAAACTAGGGGCATGTACAAATAGTCAAATACGCACAGCACACACAGTACTTTCCATGCTCAAACTACATGAGTCAATGTAGCAGGGTCACCTCCAAGCCACTATTCGACTAAGAATCAGGACCAGGATGCCATGCTGACAAGCACAGCTGCTTGAATAACGCACCAGACAGTGTAGTTGGCGAGGTTGAACTTCAGTGCGTCCGACGTCAGCGCATAGGCACGCTTGCTCATCTCACTCTTCTTCAAGATGGCGCGGAAATAGTCATAGCAGTCCTTGACTGCAATGAGACAAAACAAAACAAAAACAAACAAAAAAACAGAGACGAGAATTAGACCGGAACAGCAGCACATGGCAAAGCACAGGGCAACGATATTGGTAGGTATGGAGAATTAGAGGTTTAGACTAGAACAAGAGCACAGGCAAAGGCAACAGGAATAGCAGCAACACTGCCAGGTACATGTACTGGTATAGCATACACTGACATCGCACACCGAAGAATGGGATCTCTGCCGCAGGCTAATTGTACAGTGTAGTTATGTTCTTATTTTTCGAGATTCCACCGTCTTTGTTCATACTGAGTATCCTGTACCTTGTACATTCACACAGTACAGACACACAGTACATTCACACAATACAGGCACACAGTACATTCACACAGTACAGGCACACAGTACAAGCACACAGTACATTCACACAGTACAGGCACACAGTACAGGCACACAGTACAGGCACACAGTACAGACACACAGTACATTCACACAATACAGGCACACAGTATATTCACACAGTACAGGCACACAGTACAAGCACACAGTACATTCACACAGTACAGGCACACAGTACAGGCACACAGTACAGGCACACAGTACAGGCACACAGTACAGGCACACAGTACAGGCACACAGTACAGGCACACAGTACAGGCACACAGTACAGGCACACAGTACAGGCACACAGTACAGGCACACAGTACATTCACACAGTACATTCACACAGTGCTTGCAGTGTTGCGTGAAGAACTGGCGTTCCTAAATCTCTGCTTCCAGCCCGGCGTGTTCTTAAAACGTTGGTGACTTTCTAGCTTGGGTTCTCTTTGGCTAACCATTCAGGTGCAGTTGCAATGTCACGTTGCGATGCATGATTTCAAGGCCGCCGCTGACTGGACAGCAGTAACAGCAAGAGTAAGACAGCTCTTGGGAGCTTATACTCTTGGTAACAGGCGTGGAAGTACTCGTACATGTAGTTTCATGATCCGCATTAAGATGTATCACGAAATGGTCATCACCGAAGAAACTTGCTGTCTCACGAACCACTGAAGAAACATAGAATCCACTCTCCATTGGGCAATCCCGCCGTAGCACTGGGCACATTCTGCACCACCTTGTAGTAGTTCTGAGAGTCTAATAGTCCTCAAACTGTATGCGTGTGATCTCCGCTGGTGTCGGGGTTGACCGGGAGCTGGCCCACCTTCGGCGCCTACCACTGCTACCAGTGTTGATTTGGCGTACGTGAACCGACCTTTGTTCTCTGTTATTTTCAGTGCTGCCAAACCGTCCGATTTTTCGGACAGTGTCTGATTTTTGAAGGCTCTTCCGAAAACCGGTCCGAAAAAGGAAACGTCCGAAAAGCAGCCAAAAATGCCAGGGATTACAGTGCATTTCAAAACTATAGACGCGTAGGGTTTTTGAAATATTTCAAATTTGGCTGGAACTTTTTGAGAATAGTTTTCGGAATATTGCTCAGGATCGCTCCACAATTACTCTCATATAGTTTCTAAAGGATTGGATAACAGACGCCCAATTTGGAAAAAATTATGCACAAAGTGATCACAGATTTTATGTGGTATAGATGCTGGCATAACGGTTTTTGCCTAGGTACGCGTCTATAGTTTTGAAATGGACTGTAGTACATTCCTATGCAGAAGTCCTGTAAGGCTGTATTTTCACTTCTCAGCGCAACTGAAGGCACAAATCACAGTACTTGTACAGTAAAAAGGCTAGCGCTTACTCATGCATTACAAAATTCATGACAACTTCGAGGGGGGGGGGGGCCATATCGGTCACCATGGCAACGGAGCGAATTTTCATGGTATTTGGGCGTTATTTTGAATTCTTTGGAAAAAAATTGCTGAGGAGAAAAATCCGCACCATGTGGCCAGTCTTGGCGGTGAACATGGTGAAGAGTGTCCGATTTTGGGCGAAAATTATTTGGCAGCACTGTATTTTGCCTTTGTGTGGTACGCTTACTATTTGGCATGGACCCTGGACACTTTGTCTACTTTTGTTATTATGTGAACAGTGCAAATAGCCGTGACTATCTTTTGTCACACTCAATGAACAAAACATTGGTGAACATTTCGTATTCTATTGATTTTGTGTTTCGTTTCAAGCCACTTTCTAACCAGGCCATACGCTGGACCCAACGTGAATTTCAGAAAGGGTAATACGTACAGCAATAAAACCCGACCCAGGAATTGTTTGCAAGTACATCCAGTACAGCAGGTACTCACATTCGGTTGAATATGCAATCTGCACCACCGGGAAGGGACCATCATCTTGAGCAACGGGCTCGATGTCTTTCCATTCTTCTCGATCACGATACAATACATAAGAGTCTTCGTCATCCATGGCAGACACTTTCCGCAGTGGTCTCTCTACCAGTGTTCTCTCTTCAGAATCTACTCTAGAATATCTAACAACCGAAGTTTTGACTGTTGCAAGTACGAGATGTAAATTTCAGATGTCACATTATCGTTCACTGTTTTCATGAAGTTTTTGCAAAACAAAAACATTTCGTTGTCATACGTCATGACTGTCATTTTTTACTGCAGGAGCGGGCGCCGTATGCGATCGTGCACGCTGTACTCGCACTGCTTTGCGGGGAGCCTGCGCATCCCACTATCCGGTCCACCGACTGTGGAACTCGACAAGCTGCATATGGCTACAGCATACAGCCCACATCGTTACACGACTCATGAGATCTACGATTCGTAGGGAAATGAACCATTCACAAGACCAGACTATAGAGTCTTAGCCTTCTTAGTCTTACTTCTTAGTTGACTTCCAGACCCCCACTGGCCCAGTTTAGGCCACACGTTTTTATTAATTTCTATGTTTCTCGTCACCTAAAAATCTACAAACGTATGTGAGAGGTGGAAAAAATAAAAAAAATAACCGAAAAATAAAAAAAAGTTCATTAGACCTTTGTTCACACTAAAATCCACCAATACACCATGCAAAATAGCATCCATAGTTAGCAACTAGTATGTGGTAGGAGCTTCTGCCACAATCTGTGCATGTGCAGCTAGATTGCGAACAAAAAATGCCGACCTCGCATCATGTATCGCGCAGGCCAGGCCACATTATGTACACGTGCATGAGTGTGCTGGTCCCCACATGCATAGTCAGTGCAGCACAGTTTTTTTTGTTTGTCTCTTTCCCTCAAACCAGTTAATAGTTTTTTTTTCTTTTTTTCCTCCAGACTCCTGAATCGTATGCGCGCGGGTGACGAGAAACATAGGAATAAAAACGTGTGGCCTTACCTCACGGCAACTTTTGGTAGGGCAAATGCGCATAACCGGGGGAGAGTATCAAGGTACGAGTAATACTTTGATTGAGGAACTTGGTCTTGCAGACTGATTACTGGCACCATGGATTTCATTAATTTTGATGCACACAAGTACATACCGGTAATACGCTTTCAGCACCTTTTGCACTGCCAATGCGCATACCGCATACCCGCGTATGCATCGCGCCACGTTTTTGCAGAATTCTGACGCAAATATCTGAAAGCCATTCACAGCGATTAATGTGTGTTTACAGCTCAAGGTGTTCCCCATGTAATCCCTTGCATAATATAACACGTATTGCTTTCTGATTCACTGAAAATTGCCTTTCTCAAACTCCTCTCCAGTAGGATACAAACTGACCACATGCACATGTATGTACACATGTGGGCACTCCTCCCCTCGATCACACATGCACACACGCATGCACATACACACACACGCGCCCATGCATGCACGCCCATACACACGCATGCACATGTGAACCATTTATTTATCCCGCATCTTACCTACCAGAAAGTCCCATGGTTTGGGTGCTACAGCTGCCACGGTCTCAGGGTCTGTGCTCTCCAGACAGTCCCACGCAATGCATGTCTCGGCAGGCTACCACGTAACAGTTTTGCCCTGTCGAATTTATCATAGTCACGATAATGTAACAATTTACACATTCTAGAATATGTCAAGTTCGCACGCATTCACATATCCAGTCGAGAAGACACAGCCATTCCCTGTATAATCCTGAAGAGAAAGGAATGAAAACGTTTGATAATTGATGTGCAGTGTCTTCTGGACTGGATGCGTTAATGGCGTGGATGCATGCGAACTTGACATGTTCCAGATTTTTATTGCCTCTGACCTCCGTTGTACAATTATAACGTTATTAGTACAAGTACAGTCAGACCTCGCTTAACCGCACACATCCGTTTTCCACAAAAATGTCCGGATAGGCGAGGGAACCGGATAACCGAACACCGGTTATGTAGGATGCATTGCGTATGCTGTAGATCTGTAACCAGCTATTTTCTTCCGGATGGCGAGGGATCCGGATAAAAGAGGACCGGATAAGTGAGGTCTGACTGTATAATTTTAAAATACATAAAACTCTCCTCCTTCATGCACTCTAAAGCCAAGTGTTTTACCCGTGTACTTCGAAGTACTACATTGGAAATCCATACGAAATTCTACGCACTTCAGTCAAATCAACAGTTGAAGAAGCCATCATGCTACATGAAACTAAAAATCAACTGCATGTATGATCATCAACTGCATGTATGATGCTGTCAATGTGTATGCACGGTGCACTAACATTTCCTATCATAATTATGATTACATAATGATTACATAATGCTAACATTGTTATGTTCATATGGCACTTAGCACTAGCAATAGTAACGGTTGATGATTACTTGTACCACTAATTTCAAGATGTTGGATTTTACAAGGTGTATTACTAATAATTAGACTACAATCATGCAGTTACATATTACATGTAAAAGTAATTATTACTTATATACATGTAATACGTATTACTACATGAAGTCCAGCAAGTAATCAGGTGATGCTTGCCGAATATGTACAATGAAATTGCTCAGTGCATACTGAGAGAACTTGCCTCTTCATGCTGGCGTGATCGGGACATGGCACTAGGGAGGTTTCGCTCTACGTAATTACGTATGAAAATCCGTATGTCGTACACGCCGGGGAGCGAGGGCAACTTTCATACGTAAAACTTTCTACGGATATCCGTAGGAAAGCTATTTCCTACGTTGGGGTCTCCGTAGGACTTTTTGAAATATTTTTCACATTTTCAGGGTTTATCCATGGCAAAGTTCAAGCCGCGCGAAATACAAGGTACACACACCGTACACCACGTGCAAAATACGATGGAAAACGCGGTTTCGGTTCGTGGTGCATGCGGTGGGCGCATGCAGCCAACGCGTCTCCAAAGCAACAAGGCATGTTTAGCAGTCGTGGAGAAATCACGTAGAGCGAAACCCAACAGCTCTGATTTTTACGTATGAAAATTACGTGCAGTTCCTACGTTATTTTCATACGTAATTCCGTAGAGCGAAACCTCCCTACTGTCAGCTCACACGGAAAACACTGATGGTAGCATTGCCGGGCAGTGCGAGCAACTCTGTCTATCCTCTTTTTAAATGATGACTGGTCATGGCTGCAGTTGATCAGCGATTCAAGCAGTCGAGTGAATGGTGCTCCACAAGCTGGGCACTAGATCGCACCCTTTGATTCTTCCAGAGCTTGTTTCGCCTCCCATCTCAGTAGTAAGCTGAAGAACTTCAGTATCATACGCTGGTCTTGCTTATACAGTGCTAGATAGTTCCAAACAATAAGAAGCAGCAAGCGATGACACATACTCTGAACATGTGCTGAAGAGAAACACCACACAGGACTGGAGGATATCTACTTGTAGTACTTGAAGCAAGGAAGGCCGCAGTAGCTCTACTTGGACTGTTATTGAGGTTACGCCATCATAATAGCTGCTATGTTGCCAGTGCACATGACTAGATGCACATGACTAGACAAAGACAGTTTGTGAAGTGTCATCACACCGAAACTCGGATACTCGTACCGGACGATTCGAATCGTTACATCCGTTGAAGGCCAGACAGACCAGCCAACCCATTCGGAAATAACGAATAAAAAAACAAAAGCTGAGCTGATGAAACCCGTTCCAGGTCTGTAAAATTGCGAGTACGTGTAGGTGTTGTCATGGATAAGCAGCCACCCCGGCTAATCAGTTTCCTGACCGGTTGATTGAGGTCCGGCATTTCTAATGTGGAAATGTTGAGCACATGGCATATGTGGGTAATAACTAGTGACTTTATGGTAAAAAAAAGAGAGTAAATCATCGTGTCCGTTCCTGAAGGGAACTCACGACGGCCGCTAACACCCGGTAAACCCTATAAACCCTTTATGGTGGAGTGTACAAATCAGCAGAGTCTCAACGTCAATTCTCCACTGCTTATCCCAATCAGAAATCTCACCGTCTGCATCCAGCTTGGTGGTTGGTACGCTGGCTCGCTTCATGAACTTGATGAGCGCGTGCCAGTTGTCCTGCATCTGCACCTCCGTTGTCGGGTTCTCCTTGTACCTTGGTTTGCTAACGCCAGTCAGGATCTAGACCGGGACACAGCACACAGAGTAAGCCATACACGTACATGCACAGAGCCGTCGGAACCGGTCCGGTTGGTCCGGTGACAGACAACCGGACCGACTCTGCCTCAGGTCACCCCCTAAGATTTGTCTAAAACCGGGGAGGAAAAATTCTGGGTACATACTTTGTCATGTACATCATGTATTATCGATCATGCATACATACATGTACATGTATGTACATTCACCCCATAGTGGGTCATACATTTGTACATTGCTATCCATGCAAAAATTATTCCCTGTAGTTGGCTCTGAAAACTTGTGAAAGGGCCAAATTCTGCTATTTCGGACCGGATTTTCAAGAAATGTCCGCGGGACATCCCCCGGACCCCCCTCAAACCGGACCAACTTCGCCCACCTTCCGACGGGCCTGATGTACCGGGATGGTGCTGTGAAGGTGATGCATGTGAGCGCAGTGCTCACTGGATGTGCGAACAGTCAGCATCGGCTGGCAGCATGCATGAACTTTTTGAATGCAACCCATCTAGTGATGAGAACGGCTCGATGGCTTCGCTGCAAGTCAAGGGCAACTCGCATTTGATGGATTGTCTGCGCATAAAAAGCAGCAGCTACCAAGTACAAGACTACCTTGTGTTTAGTGCGACTCGGAACCACTTCCCAGATGCAAGAGATCATTTTGCGAATGTTTCCTCAGCTAGTCACTTTTAGCAAGTGCACAAGAAAATGGAACCTCTGCAGCCAGAGTCGTCTTTCAGGGGGGGATTGCATTGACGTTGCACTGTAAACTTGACCACCCGGAGCATGCAGGCAATGTGTGCGGCCGGTAGTTGCTCTTACGTGGACCACTTGAATCGGTATCTCAGCCGTGCGCAGGTCACTGAAGAGATTGGTGACCTGAATGCTGATCCCCGCTGACGTCAGCTTCTTGTTCAACCATGACAAATAAACCTAATGCAAATGGAACATCATCAGACTTTAAAGTTAAAACTCATACGCATAGTGTTCACAGACATGTCAGTGGCTTGTATAAGCAGGCTCCCTGAGTAGAGAGATAGTGATCAGTGCCCGGCTAAGGCAACGGTGTGGTCAGACTACTGAAATGGGGGTTCATGATTAGTCACGTTCACAATTGCTACTTGTTCCCCAGTCTTGTAAATGCCAAACAAACAGTCAAATCATGTGCTGGCAAACGGGGGGGGGGGGGGGGGGGGGGGGTATTCCCTTATATCATGTAAGGAACCTGATGAGAAACCCTGGATACCATGGTAACAACAGCATCTTCAGTACATAGCTTGGTCCCTTACACAGTGAGAGTTGCCACACCTGTTACGGACTAAAGTACTATTCTAGTGGCATGGTCTATGTTGTGGAATGCAATAGGGGTTGCTTGAACATACAGAGCATGGTAACTTTGGTAAGCCATCTGTAGCTGGCCACACAATGATGGTACTGTCACTATCATGTAGTCGCACTTGATGGAACTCGAGTTCTACAACCAAACCTCACTGGAGGCAGAGCCCTGTTTATGAAATGTGCATCATGCAACTCTATGTGGTGCCAACTCACCTTTGACTCGATAACAGTGCTCTGCTTGATGGTACGGTGATGGAAGTCGCCGCGTTGAGTCTTCGGATTAACCGGCTTGTCCGCCTGTGGTGGCAACGCATTGGGAATACCAGCAGCTTATCATATCAGAGCGAGAGTGTGAGCAGTAGCCACTAGCATGGAGTTGTGAAGACACCAATGCACTACCACGCTTTTAAAAACTGTTAAAGACGTCGTAGTTAATGAAGCAAAAACATACCGGGTGTTCGACTTGCTGGGGGCTGATACCCCTAGATTAGTTTCAACTATGCATCCCTAAAAAAGACCAGGTATTACAAATAATTATACAATAGAATATTCTTGCACAGTAGAGCATCTTTCTTACACTCCTCTTACCTCCAGTTCTTCCGGCCTTATCGACTGCATTAGCTCGTCACGCGTAGCATTCCAGCTGATTTTCTTCGCTGCTTGAATTGCACGAGCTATTTACACAGTGCGAAGGAAGAATGAGCAACTGAAAGCTAAGAAGGAGTCAACGTACGAGCTGAGGCAATTGAGAACATTAGCCAGGGTAAGCAACTGGATTATAGCGCTTCTATTGGGCTACTTTGAAGTTTGAACAAAGCCCTCACTGCTATACTATGCACATCTTCGTGACCAATACAATTATGCACTATCTCATTCAGGTTATCGGACACTGCATGCAGGGCACTGCTCAAGACCACTAACCTGCGGCGATGAACTTGTTTTTCGCTGCACCTGCTTGCCTGCGGACACGCAGAATCATGGCATACAGACAAGGTGATCAGAATTAGCAATAGGCGAATCACAAAACATCACGAAAATGCTTGCACAAAGCACAATGTGACACTATACAGTGGTAAAGACACACCTGGCAATATACAGTCGTATTATTTATGGCTTGCATATTTGTTCAGTCCGATGCTGAACCGTGTAGATGCTAGTAATGTTACAGTGTAATACCACTTCTATCTGCAAGGGTGTGCATATCAAGAACCCAAATACAGCAGGATACTGTACTGTACTAGAATCAGCCTGTAAGTAGGTCGGCATGTGGTGCTACCGTCGGAATCGCAATGGACCATGTCAACGGCAGCGCTGACTCACGGTTTTGCGGGCGATCTCATGCTTGGCTTGACTGTGTCGTAAATCGCCTGTGCAAACTCTCCCTCCACTATTGCTTGTGCTTGGTCTTGGTCCTTACCTGCCGACATCCATGCCTTGTAACACCAACACAAAACATGATGCATAACGCATTAGGAGGAGCACTGGGAAGGCAACTGAAGGGGTGGGTTGTGAATGTCCTCTGTATCGGCTCTTCTCACTCAATCGGAAACAACTGTCGGTAGCCGTATCGGCTCTTCTCACTCAGTCGGAAACAGCTGCCGCATTCCTTTGCTGAAACTATTTTGCATGGAGACACATGTCACTGGCAGCCCATGCCAAAGTCTCACACGAATTCACGGTGGTTGACTTTGGGAGCTATCCGCGGCAAAATGCCAGGGCATATCACACAATGTTACACATCTATGCCATCAAGCATTTTTCAATGAAATTCGTGACAGTGCTGAATTGCTGATGTAGATGCCGGTATATACGTACATGCAGGGGCGTCGGAAAGTATTCGACATTGGTGCGGCCATGAATGGGTGAAGGGTCCAGGGGAAATGTTAGAGAAATTGGGCTCAACTAGCCCATATTCCATTGCTTCAAAAATCACAAGATGAAATTCTTGGTGCGGCTTTGGGCGCACCTGCCGCACCGGTTCCGACACCCCTGACATGTATGAACTGGCTTGTACATTCTAAGATTGCTTACCACACCGTATCGGCCAAACATTACATGCGGAGCTGACACTGATCGGTTTGGGCAGTGAGATGACAACTGCAAGGTGGCACGGGATGTCAGAAAAGGAGCAATCAGATCATAGTGTCAGTGATGTATGATAAGTTGAGATTGTCATCACAGCCAAACACCACTGCTGTGTTACAAAGATTGCAAAAATCATGTTTTCACTAAAAAAAATCATGGCAATGGAGAATATGCACTAACCAGTCAGACAAATCTATGAACAAGCACACAGCGGGCTCAAGGAAGCGACGGTGAGAGTAGATAAAGGCAGAAGAGCAAGCTATTCTTAGCCTTACCAATCGAACACAGTGGAGCATGTCTGAATTGAAATGACTGTATCTATGGTGCAAAATAAGTGTGTGTGTGTGTGTGTGTGTGTGTGTGCATGTGTATGTTGTATTTACCTTGATTGGTAATGGGTCTGTCGATGAACGGTAAAAGCTTATCAAACCGGGCACTGAAGGGAATCGAGGACCGTCGTCAATGCTGAAGCATGAAACACTGCTGGACCTAGTGTGCTAAAACAAGCCAAAGAAAAAGCCCAACACCAAAGAAGAGCTGGCCGGCATTGAGTATATCTTCATGATTTTGCTGGTAGCAAACACAAACTTAGTGTTCAATGCTTTGGCAAAGTACATTATGCAAAGCCATTCCACCAAGTAGAGAGAAGTAAAAAATGTAATTTTTCTAACTAAACTTTAGTTTCCTAGGCTCTGCTATCATCGGACGGAGATTATTTTCTGAGCAGTGGAACACCAAATGTTGACTCACACCACACATAGCAAAACACTGTCATGTGTCCTTGATGCACTTCTGTTTAGGCTGTACATAAATACACATGCAACCTAAGTGCTGCCCATTGGAGTCCACACTCATAAGCCAGCTAGCATCTGGCGTTCTGGAGCCTTACATATGCATGCATCACCGATGTCCTATGGTTACAGTCTTCCTGGACGAGATGTACAGTCAACTTCGCTAATAACGACTGCGGATATGACGACAATTCGCGAATAACGACAGAATTTCCATGCCCAGAGCAAAGTCCCATCCCACTGTAATGCATATAATGAGACTTCGGGTATAACGACACTTCGCGAATAAGGACACCTTTTTGATGCTCCGCCGAGTGTCGTTATAAGCGAAGTTGACCGTAGCTCAGCAATGGCGATATAATCAAACAGAATATATCCCCGGTGCAGAACAACAAGCCGAGACTATGCTTTCCTTACCTCTTGGATCACATAGTGCCTAATTCCGCCGCTCTCCGCAACACTGAGGATGACTCCTGCCCTACCTCGCCTCACCAGGAAGTAGCCTGCCCGCCGCATCGACCCAGTGCCCATCAGCCGCGACGCCGTCTCCTCTCTGCTCAGCTCACCGTGATACCAAATCTTGGATTCGAGCGCACCCACGGCTATGCAAAATGCAGGAACAGGACAAGACAATGAAGAGCAGCATGTCTGCAAGGCAAGCTAAAGCTAGATTCAGGTCACGTCCGTCGTTACACTGGTGTCCTGGTGCTATTCCTGCTATATGTAGTTAACCCTGCTGCCTGTACAGTGCTGGCCAAAGAAATCCAAATTCATGAATAAATTAGCGCCGGGCGCTACGCAGCCCTAGGACTACACACACTGGTCTGTGCACTCGAAAGCGGCGTCACTCTATTCCTAAGCCTAAGGTCAGATTTCTTCGGCCAGCACTGTAATTAGTTGCACTGCCTAGTCACAGGAGTTGTTGTAATTATACATGCCCTCCACAAGTCATCATGGACATGCCATATATTCCGGCAAACGGTGCATTGGCTGGTGTGGACGGTATCCAGTGCATAGTGCTCGTGGAATACCGTCGCTTCACCTAGCTAGTGCATGCACACGAGCACTGAGGTATCGCATGCAGCAAACAACACCTACAGACACTGGGTGATTTTCATGCATGCTGGGCCAATAGTCCTTGGGAGGTGTGTGCAATGTACAGTCCCACCTCGGTTACCCAAACAATTTGGACCACCTGCAGGCGCGTAGCACCACCGTTGGAGGTGGTTCGGCTTGAGGGGGTGGTCGGGGGATCTCCCCCCCCCGGAAAAAATGAAAATAGGGTGCAAAATGCTGCATTCTGGGCACTTTGGGCATTGTGTTAAAAAAAGTGGTCCGGTCAAAGCCGGACCGGCCCGACCGACTGCTACGCCCCTGACCTGTTTACTTCAGTAGAACTGAAGGGTTGTGTGTGGTAATCCATAGTAGGACCATGCCGTTCTAATGATACAAATCACCTTTATCCGTACACCGTGATGCCCACGTTGTTCTCCTCTCAACGTATATTCACATTGCTTACAAGTGGTAATGTGCATGCGAGTAGGCCAGCCTCTCAGGAATCAATGGTAAACCCAACACGACCGCAATTGTTGACGAGACATCAATCTTGCATGATGCACAGAACGCAGTGACTTGTATACAATCATGTATAAATGGATAATCGAGGTGCCGTACAGTTAGACAGGACAGCGTGGCTTCTTACCAGAATGAAGATCGTCGTAAGCGCCAACATCCTGCACGCCCAGCGTTTGTTGCTGCCTTCTGCTCAAAGTGCTGACCTGGTCATTGGGAGACAGGGAGCCAGTACCGAACCCAGCGGAGGCCAGCTCTGCGCCCAGCTGCAGCGAGGAGGCAGACCCTCGTGGCGACCTCGAATGCCGCATCGGTATGGGCACCTTCTGCTGGTTTGCCATTGCGCCGCTAACGGCAAGGCAAAGTGCCGGCGGACCTGTTTTACGCCGGACCAGTTGTTTGACCCTGCACTCTGCTGACCAATCTCACCCTCCGATGATGAACTTCTGTGACTCCGCAAATGCAGTGCCTGCAGCCCTCAAACACTAATGAAATCCAAAAGTGTCGAGGAGTCACTGAACACGACGCCCCCGAATGCTGAAGCGGCTTGCTGGAAGGTCCACGTCCAACAAACTCACAGAGTTACTTCGTTCCACAATGATTACCGAAGTGAAAAATATGAACGGCTTCACACCCGTCCGGGAGTGACGAAGTGACTCCGTGCCTGGCCTGTGGCAGCGAGTCGCTGTCTCCAATGCATTCAACTCACGTGCTTCTTTGACAACGACGGACGTAGTGATAGCCGCACGGATACGACGGGTAGACGGCAGATAAACTGGTGACAAGTCAGGTGTACCATGGTGTACAGTACAGACTGTCACTGTAGTCACTTCTTTGCTGGTTCGCCTCGGACAAATGTACAGAAAAGGCCTGTCTCCTAGTCCTGGGTCAATAATCAGAATCTACACTTGTAATTCAGTGTATACCGGTGTGTACGTCCAGCGTCCAAAGGAAAGTCTTCCTCACTCTAGACTATTTCAATCCCTAAGTATTAGTTAGCTAGTCTTCGCGGTTGTCGGCATAATTATGATTTTAAAGCTTCCAAGGAGACAAGAAATGAGCAAATAAAAAAGGGCTTCCGCCGGTTCATCCAGCGACGGTAGATACAAGAATGTACTCTTCAAGTGTAGCAAGCATACCCAGATTTATCTACTACATGTACTATAAATATTGTTAGATTGACAGCATGAAAGAGTAAAGGGAAAGGACCAATAAGTTACGAGTTATGACTAACAGTTCACAAAGGTAACGGGATAATAATACAGTCAGATAGTGCGACAACAAGGCACAGAACTGATAAAGAATACTGAGACATTCAACGACCTGACACCAAGTTCCACCATATCTACGGGTCGAAGCGCAAACCAAGCACCTTCCAACTTGGAAGGCTCAGGTGCGGAAGCCGAAAGTTTCAATGAGGGGAAGGGATGCCGCACCACGAAGATGTGCACGAGCCATTTCCCTCGGCAACAAAGAATGTCGAACGTTTACAGGATGATAATGACGAGACTAGTAAGACCATTGGACAAACCGGTCTAACTACAACTCCACGACACAAGGCGGATCAAGCGATCCTGTCATATCAGGACAGTTTCCTCTGCATCAATACAAGGGCGTCCGGTTGGGGCAGGTTTATTTTCCTGTGACTGTACTTTCAACCACTGCATCATCATGATCATCGTGGCTCAAGCAGCCCACACTCTCAAAGAGTCACAGCATGCCACGCATGCTTTACAATACGTCAATAGGGGGCACAAGTACCGACTCCCTGCTAGTGCTTGCCTGGCTGTTTGCTGATACGATACTACTGTGCTGGCAACTGAAATCCGACCCCCTAAGCGGTGCGCTCACATCGCAAAGAATGTGAACCCACCGCTCAGGGGGTCGGATTTCAGTTGCCAGCACTGTATTATGGCAGTACAATAACAATATGTGCATGCAGATATTGAGATAATGCAGTGTCCTTTCCTAATCATGTGCTCGTCTCGTGAGTGTACAGACATTCCTGACACAAGTGCGCCACGGCGAGCGCTCGCCAGAGATTTTACAGTATTCTCAAATGTCTGACAACCGATGGCATAACTGCAGCACCATCTCACTAGCATTCCATTACCCACATAGTCAGCAGATCAACAATGCAATGTACAAGTACATGTAGTAACAATCTGCACTATAGCCAAGGCCAGTTAGCCAGGCATGCAGCACGAGTCGCTGAAATTATCACATATACTCTTTAGTTTTTGAGACAAAAATTTGAAACAGAAGTAGCGTCACGGTTGAGTGCTGCATCATTAATTCGAGGCAGTGCCCGCGCACAAAAATAAACCGGCTCAATCAACAACCATAAAACAAATAACCAGTGGTGTAGCATCATCGTCCTGCAAAAATATACTATCAGAAGTGGGTGGATGAAAATGATATGTGGGTCAGTCATTACGACCTAGTGTCCAGTCTGTATGTCACAGAGCCGTTCTTCATCAGACTTGCTGCCGGGAGCTGATTCGGAGCAAAGCCAGGTTAGCTATCCCGCGTGTGCATACGATGATCGACATCATTCGCATATCCACCGGCCAAACCAATGTCTGCTGTAGCATAGTCACTCGCTACCTCGCCAAGCATATGCTGGGAAGCGTCCACTGACATGTGTAACGGCGACGGTGACAAGGCATTTCGACCAGCAGGTTGTGCCGAGAGGTACTTATCCAGGCGGCGGCTCAGCTTGCGCCGTTCATGCATCAGCTCACACTGTTTCTGAAGCAAGCCCTGTACCTGTAAAAACAGCATAGACCATGACAACGTGAACAAGAGGATTATATGTCGATTGGCAACTCATCAATATCATCATGGTTACATCGACGTTTCTGCTCACCTGCGTTTTCCAGTGAGCACTTTCCTGCTCGGTCTGTGTCAGAGAGTCCTGCAGTTTACGGCACAACTTCCTCTGCTTCTTCAGCTCAGCTTCAAGCATAGCAGCATCCCTTGCCATTGCATCACGTTCGTCAGCAAGTGCCGCAGCCGCTGCTTTGTTTGAAGCTGACCTTGACCTGAAGGTGGCAAAGGGAGAACATTTCTCATCTTCGGAGACATAGCAGCTGGTTATGCTTGTCCAGCTGTGGTCAGGTCACTTTTCACCTTTTTAAAAGTGTGGTGTGTGCGCATGCATGTGTGTGTATGTGCATGTGTGTGTGTGTGTATGTGCATGTGTGTGTGTAGGTGCACATGTGTGTGTGGAGTGCAATGCACAGTCACATAAGGCAGAGACCATGTGTAAAGGAGTTCCAGTGTTACACATGAATCACAGCGTCGGTAGATCAGTTGCCAATCACCGATATGCAGCCTGTCCATAAAAAAACACTAAATGACTGGAAGTTTTTACCTGAACTTGTCTATGTCTACTCTCATGGCATCAGTTACTTCGCGGCACTGGTTTTTCCAGTGCTGACATATACTCCTCTCCTCTTCAAGCTTCTGTTGAAGATCTCGCTCCGCAGCACCTAGAGCATCACCAATAAGGATAATATGTTCGCAATGAACACCTCACAGCCCTGACGCAAAAACAAGTACATATGCATAGCAAGGTTTCCCCGCAGTTAATTCCACAAAGTCATTGGCATACACCAGACAAGGAGCTAACAGAGTGCTTTCCGAGGATGCTATTTTCAGTGCAGCAAGAGCCAGAGAAGCTCTACCCGCTCGCAGTGTAGAAAGCATGGAAACTAAGGGTGCGTTCTTAAATTCTCTAGCTTCTAGGAGAAGAAGAAAAGATAAGTCGAAGAAACTGGGATACTCAGTCAAGAACGGGTCTCGAAGAATTCGGATATATTTTGCAGATGTCAAGCAAAATGAAGCACCAAAGGGGCCGCGATCTTGAGTGCCACGAATATAGTATGCGCTGTGCATATGCGATAAGGGAAATGCGTACACTCATCATCGACACGTGGCTTTTAGCCTAGTTCGCATGCGCTGATCCCAAACCGCGGGAATCTCCAAGTTTCAACCACCTCTGAAGCTTGGAGAGCTTGGAGAGCTTTGGAGAGCCTCCTAAATTCGGAGAGGATATAAGAACAGCTCTCGAAGTTTTCGGAGAGTCTCCAACTTTTCCGAGAGGATTTAAGAACATACCCTAAATGACAATATTATTGTTAGACTTCCATTGGGTTGTGAAGGACGGCATTTTTTTTCCTGCAAGCGAGTCAATCGATCACATTCCGTCCCACAGTCTTCTCAAACTAGCTTACTTACCGTGCTGTTTTACGGCATACGAATATTTCAGGTTGGCATCGTCGAGTTGGCGTTGCCATTCAGCTTGCTGGTGTGCAAACTCTGTTTCCCTCATCTGCGCATCATGCTTGTGCTTCAGCTGCGCGCCAAGAAGTTCCTGTTTGCATTTCGTGTGCATTGTCTCCAGCTGGGTGCAGCGATTTTGGCTTTCTTGCAGAGTTTCCTCCATCGACTCCAACTCTGTATTGCACGAGGCAGTGTGGATCTTTAGCTCAGCTAGCTCCTGAATGCAGCCACCAAATTCAGAAGCCAGGGAGAGTTTGCTTTAGTGGACACACTTAGAGTCCCCGAACATAAAGCTGTTTTAAATACTGACGGTGATGCAATAGTTCATGCTGGACACTCCTCCTTATGAGAACAAGAATGGTACAACCCAGTTCTTTTAGATTATCATTAGTTGCTGTGAGCGAGTACACGAGTGCAGGCTGTGTGACCAAAGAGGCTTCAATGCTGTCATCACCTGCCTAGCACCATTCAGCCACTCTTACCCTTCTCAGGCGCTCATTGCCAGCCACCAATTGCTTGCTCACGGTGTCGCGCTCTGACATTTGCTTGCGGTGCACAGCACCCTGTTCCTTCTGGTCTGTTTCCAGTTGAGTAACTCTCTGTACAACAAACAATCAAGCATGCAGGTGGAAAAGCATGGAGCATAAATGCATACCAATCTTGATATTTAAAAGAAAAGGACCAAAATTATGTTATCCGTAGTTTGTGTCCAACACTAACAGTTATAAGCAAGATCAGTGTTGTGTAGTCAGAAGGTCCTTTCTTTTAAATTTAATCCTTGGATCTCCATCGAAATATTGATATTGTTTAGAACATACCAATGATGCCGTGTGGAAGAAGGGGACATCTCTTGGGCGGTCATCTGGAGGTACACATCTTAAACCTCCGATATGCGGGCACAATCACATGCTTTTGCCTCCGATATGAGGACACCTTTGATACGAAGCTAGTCCCTTATGTCAGGTTCCACCTTCTAATGCAGCCTGTTTGAAACACACTGTATCACTATTGGTGATGATTCTGGTTTACATGCGTTACGTTTGTTGACGCCTGGTCTTCCAGGGCTGGATGGTTGGATAGGAAATAATAATGATGTCAATGCATGCCAGACCTGCATCATAGTGTACAAATTACACGTAACAGTATACTAGCAAGAGTACATTTGAGTTAGCTAGCGGTGCTATAACTTATAAGACACTACAGCCAAACATCGTGAATGACTGTTGAATTCAACTCGGACATTTTGTCCTTCTCCTTTTTCACCATAATGACTGTTGAACAAACCTTTTCCCAGTGCTGCGTGTCCATAGCATGATGCTGTTGTAGAGAGTTTAGCTCAGATTCGAGACGGTCCTGGACATCACAAAAAAAACGCATTGACCTCCATGCAGCTGAAGATGTCGCTTTGCCACCAGCAGTTACTGTCGTACAAATTTGAGGACTGTGCACCAAGACAATACAAGTCATGTACTTCAGTATGACTGTACAGGTAAGATTGGAGACAAGCCTGCAGACTCAGTGTATCACATGATTCAAATCACGGTTGCGACGTGTTGAATGCTTACCTTTTCTCTGCGCAAGCTGATCATGTCCTCCTTTGATCTCATGATTGTATGTCTACTCTGTTGTGCCTGTGTCGGAATTTGTTCATTCATACATAGTATGCAAAAAGCAGACACATACACACGCATAGACACGTACACACACAGATACAAAAACATACATATACAAACACAAACACACACACACAGCACCGACAGACACCGACAGACACAGACAGACCAACAGACAAACAGACACACGTACACATACACACACACATACACACACACACACACACACACACCACAAGCATGACACACGTGTGTGCAGATATGCGCAGTGATTACCAAATCAAGTACTGTATGGACGTGAGTCTCAAGATCGCCTGCTATAGGACTTCGCACTCTCCCCTTATAACCCTCATAGATAATCTTCTTCTAGTAGGCAGACTTAACCCAGTGGAAACCACGATGTATGGCCAGCATCTAAAGCTCTCCCATTACACTAGATAGCAGGGGATTTTAGGGAAATTGGGCCCAAATAGCCCATATTACATTGCTTCAAAAGTCACAAGATGAAACTATTGGTGCAGCTTTGGCCAGACCTGCCGCACCGGTTCCGACGTCCCTGTATAGTATCTGCACACCTCTTTCCGGACAATCAGTGACCAACTACTACAGAAACTAGTGATGCATAACTGCCAGTGTCCTCTTCTGTTATTGTTAAGTCTTCGCCCTGCTGGCTGCCAGACTAACAATACACTCGAAGTTACAGAGCATACAGTAGTTATCAGTTCCAATATCTTTTATCCGGAAAGACGTCCATCATCCTCGTCCATCATACTCTCTCCCCTCCTTCAACGCATGCGCGTTCCATACATATCATGATACGGGAATATGACGTCAGAGACATACCGGTATCAGTTATTCATTCTTGGAAGTAGTTCAGTAGGTACTGCTACAGCTACTACACTCTGTTCTCACATAATATATGTACGTCCTTTGCCTTCGGTTTCTGATCTACTTTCGAATACTTCTCTTTTACTTCGGCATACACATCCCAGCATGGTCCCCCAAAGGCCCGGAACAAGCAGCAATGCGGACATTTTGGCACATACCGTATTATCTCTAATATAAGCACAGTCTCCAATAATAGCACGTCTCCAATAATAGAACACCTTGGGGCGGCATTCAAAAAATAAAGTGCTCAGTCTCCATTATAAGCACACTGTGTAAATTCATTATCTGTACCGGCGAAAAAACCCTGAAATGTGTGTGTTTGGCATGAATTTGGCATGGCAACATGCCTCTGAAATGAGGTTGAAATAATAATGGAACAGTCTCCAATAAAGGAACGTCTCCAATAATAGCACGCGGCGGAGGTAGATTGAAAAAATAAAGGACCGTGCTTATATTAGAGATAATACGGTAAGCTGTACATAGGGGTGAAACGATTAGTTCGAATATTCGAGTATTCGTTCGAAAATTTCAAACGAGCGAGTATTCGAAATTTTGCACTCGATCGTTTTTTTGTTTTTTGTTTTTTTTTTTTTTTTTTTAGAATGGGCATTTCATTTTTCAAAAACTTCTGTTGTACCGCTCATCGACTGGTATGCATGCGTGTTGCATGCCTTTGAGTCAGTATTTAATGACTTCGACGATGCGATCACCACGGCAAGTAACGTTAGTTTGTTATGAGATAATGAAAGTACTGGTGAAAATCGTTACTCTACACTCTGTACAAGACGCTGGCGACTTTTGTTCTATGTTCACAGATAATTTCTTCCGAATTGGTCGAGAACTCACAAATCTAGCGCTTTCGAATTTTGATAAAATACTCGAAATAATCGGATACTCGATCGAACATTATGAATGAGTGATCGGTTGGTCAAAATAGATACTCGTTTCACCCCTAGCTGTACAGTTAACTGGGAAACCTTTGCGATCCGGAATCCTTCGCGGTTTGTACGATGGGTGTGAAATCGCAAAAGTAAGCGGGCACGAAACGCAGAACTGTAGTAAAGAAACAGAGTAACTCCAATCGCAAACATCTCAAGGTACGACATGTATCTGTGCTCGCAAATCACGAACTAAAACGGGCGCAAATGTTTCCGGGTTTACGGTATCCATTCACGTGACAAGGCATGTCCAACATGAGACTTGGCGAGTCATGTACATTGAACATGATGAGACTTGGCGAGTCATGTACATTGTACATGTAGTTACAAATCATGTGTCAGCTCACCTCTCCCGCCAATTGACCTCTCTCGGCTTCCCAGTCAGCTTGGAGACTCTTTGCCAGCGAGCTATGCTCATTGTTCAGCTTCTCCAGCTGTGCAGCACTGTTTGTTTCGGCATTGCGCAGAAGAGTCCTCAATTGGGAGACCTCCCGCTTCAACTATACGCAGGGGACAAAACACAGTAATTAATTATACTTTGAAGTACGGTACACAGTACTGGCTCATAGAGTAGGGTAAGCTATAATAATATAACCCTCCTATAACCTAGGCACTTTCCACTGGTATCATCATTGTTTTCTGAGGATTGGTAGATGACCAAGAAATTCGGAGTAACACCATATTTCAATCCAGGCCCGTAGCAGCCCCATTTTGGTTGGTCCGGCAAGATCCGACCTCGATGCCCCCCCCCCCCCCCCCCCAAGCCCACACTCCTAGTAGTGCTACCGTGACATATGCCGGTACATGTACAGGTACAACATGACTGTACATGATTCTACGTGTATGTACATGCATGTCATCGTGACCATGCAGAGTGACCGTGGGCGAGAAAAGGAAGAAGCATGTGCTGCATGAGTCAGGAAAAAGGGCATCAGCATGTTGTGTCCGTCCAAACAGAACTTGTTGAAGCCTATGAAGGCATAGCAACAGTATCTTAACGCATGTGATAAACGAACCAAAAATGGACCTTTGGTCCCTTGGATCAGAGGAGGAGAAAAGACATTGCAATGGAGGAATGGCAGGAGGTCATAAAGTACAGGACAACACCCACATGGATCTATGTACATGGTATTCGCAACAACATGTACATGACATGTACTTGAGTATACTACTAGAGTTCAAACTTCAAAGTATATACTCTTGCTATCACCATGTACTACCTCTACTTATATTATACCTCACTACGGCTCTACTTATTGCACACATCATGCCATGGGTGGACATCCCGAGCTGCTTACATGTGTGAGCTCTTGCTTTTTTTTTGGCCGAATATTGGTCCGGCAGCTGCCGGACCTGCCGGACCGCCTGCTACGGCCCTGCAATCTCGTTCCAATGCTAACTTGTGGAACAATTACATCAATTAATGTAGGCAAATTCTAGGTACAAGCTAGGTTTAAGGGAGCGTGTGACTGTTGGTAGTTTCGCCTCGGGTGCAGGTAACATGTAGATGCACAGATGTACGAGTAACTGTCACAGGGCAAGTGAGAAGGAAATAGCAGCACCTCACTACATCACAATATGCGAATGCAATACACAAAATAATAGAAAAGCTGACAGGGTCGTTTTTCTAAATACCTGCTGGTTTTCCTCTGTAAAGACCTTGACGTGGCCGGTGAGACTCTGAATATGCTGATCTGTGCTAAGCTCTTTCTCCCTGCGCTCGGCAAGACGCTCTCTCAAGCTACTCAGCCAGGCAAGAGCCTCATCCCTCTCCCTGCACCGAACACAAACAGCAGGGACGTACACTAAGCACATGGCGGCTGTAATCCACCACCCACCATCAAACAATCCATATGAGCTGCTCCTCGATGCAACAATGCAAACCCGTACAGTTCTGCCCGATGCTAGGACATGTACCTCTCAAGCCCATGAATCGTTGTCTTGTCTTCTGCGCTGAGTGGCTGAGGAAGCAAGGCCTTACGATGGCCGCAGGACACGCACAGCTCTGGAATATCTGCCTGTTTTGCAACAAGAGAGAGAACAGGCCCAGCAATAACAAATCAAACCCCACTCTAATAATCAGTCCACGCCCCTCGATGTTACCATAGACACATCATGTTGGTCAAGGGAATTCAAACTTCTGACAAACCAGAACCAAACGCCAAACACTCAGATTTTAATAACCGTCTTGGAGAAGTTCTAATCCTAGTAAACTCATGTCATTACAATAACCAGCAATCCAGAGAAATGTGCACAAACACAGGCTATGCTGGCCATGTGTCTTATTAGAAGGAACTGCAATGGATTTGTGCAGTGGGGCACTAAATCAACGGAAAATATGTCTATCTCCCACAATCCAATATCCCACCCAGCAGTTGCCGGACAGCGTGCGTGACTCACTTTGATCTCGGCCTCGCGCTTCTTGTTATTCTCATCTTGGACACTGAGAAACGCAACAACAAACAAAGAAGACACCTTGACCCTAAACTGCACGTGTGAGTTCCTTTTAATTTAATTAAGAGCAAGTCACTAGTTCACTTCGATCTCGGAGCGTAGAAAACTCCTACTTGTATGTGGGTGTTGAAACTCTTACAAACAATGCCTAACTTCATGTCGCCACTCCCACAGCACACGCCTAGTCGGTGTCAAAGTGTACTCTGATGAGCACGAGAGTAGGGACCGTAATACACAGGGGCGCGGTTGGTGGCCAGTTTAAGGGAGGGGGGGGGGGGGGGTGTGCAAGGCCTCATATGTGTGGAATGGCAGGTGCATGTCTTTCATGGTCATTATGTGCATGCTGAACCTAGGTCGAAATTTTTACGGGGTGCACACGTGCCCCATGCGGGCTAGGCGCCTGGTATATCTGACCTCAGCCTTGTCTCCAGCTGTAGAACGTCCTTCAAGCGACATGTCAGTTGGTAGCTGTCAGCATGACGAGAATCGCAAACAAACCAAATGCATGGCAGTAAGTGCATAGTAGCTGAATCCTGGCACCGAACCTAAACCATGTCTGGATTTGTTCCCCTCTAGCACTTAAACACATGTGACACATTTGTGTTGTCTGCTTTCTAGTGAACTGTGGCAGCCATTCAACTCATGATTGTGTACAACCACGCCATGTACAGTTCGACAGCAGTCACAGTCTCGACCAAGTTCGGACATACCCAGTGTGTATACGACTGATCTGGCAAGAACAATCAAAATATGTGAAGAAGTGCTCGGTGGAAAAGATATGGATACAGTCCACACCATCTTACTGTTTGTCATATAGTCTTACTTTGTGCAACGCCACCTTACTTTGTGTCGTCTAGGTTCTGTTCCAAACGCTCCTTTTCCTTGCGACAACGTGCCTGGATACATGCACAGAGCGGCATAACACGAGCGTGCGACTGAGAACACACTAGTGGTATCAGGGGCGTCGGAAGGCATTATAGTGTGGTACGGTCAGCCATCTGAAGTATACGTTACTCGTGGGAAGGGGTTGCTGAGCCGGCGGCATCTTTGGAAATTTAGATCCCAGATCAGTATATGTTATTGATGTACAGGGTTCCTGGGGCAAAGAGTAGTACGGTCAATACTGTAGTCACCGTACCGTGTCCGACACCCCTGTATATTCATTGGCCCTGAGGTCACATTCATCCAGCTTACGCAGCACAATTACATCATGTACACAGTAGTATGTCTGCATGTGGCTCAAACTGAGAACCAACAACACTTTAAAAAAGGAATGATGACCTTGCAGGTAGCGGTGCGTGTGTGTGTGTGTGTGTGTCTGTGTGCCTGTGCATGTGTGTATGTGGCCTGTGCATGTGTGTATGTGGCCTGTGTACTTCCCAGCATACTCACCAGTTCCAATTCTAAGTAGGCCATTCTCTGTCCACCGCCCTGTGCATTGAGCAAAGCCCAGCCAACAAGGGGCAACAATATGAATCCAAAGATCTGCGGTATTCAAATCGTCTTGTCTCAGCTACCAGCATTTTCTCCAGCATACATAAGTACACATTCCACGGGTAGATATTCATGATGGCGCTTAGGCACCCAGACGTACACAGTTTAGGTTTAGGTGGGTGAAACCTTGGTATGGGTGGGAATATAGTGCATACGCTAGTTGGTTCGGCTACTCATGTCTTTTAACACAATGCTGACAGGTGAACTTCTGAGTTGTTCCCTACCCATACAGGTACAATAGCAGATACTCACTATCAACTACTACTGGCATGGACGTGGAAATCCGATCGCACGTCTAGCGGCCCCAGGGCGCTGACCATTCAGCCGTCGGTAAGCGGTACACACCTGCAGTTATGCGCTGAAGCGTGCTTGTCGCATCGGATCAACATGTGTGCTGCGTGCAACGTTCTGTACGCGCTGAGGGCGCCGGCCCCGGTCATTCGACTGGATTTCCATGTCCACGACAGTAGTATTGTGTTGATATGTGCCTAAACATTTGCAGTCTCATTGTGAGTATAAAAGGAGAAAAAGGATTGTGGCAATGACAGTGCACGTATACCAACGTACTTGACGTTGCCCTGGTGATGGAGTTGCGGCCAGTGATGACTGCAGCTCCGTGCACTCCAAGGAACCGTCTTCATCTTCGTTGATATTAGGCCTTGCTGCTGGCTGTGCACGTCTGCTAGCTGGGGACCTCTGTTCCTGGGCTGTACTCACAGCAGCACCTTCAAACCTTCTTGCCCTCTGCAGTGTCGGTGATGTAGTTGGTGAAGCCAGCTGCGCAAGCCTGTGATCAGTGGGTATAGCATGAGCACTGGCATCCGGAAATACCTCCCGAGGAGAGGTTTTCGCCTTGACTTCAGTTCCTGGTCTACGGCTTGACCTGAGAGCGGTCTTGCTTGATGCAGCACCACTGCCAAACACACCGCCGGTGAAGCGTGTGCTGTCAGATCTTGTCGTGGCCGAGATGGACCGGTAGTTTGCGACCTCCTCCCGCAGGCTGGCATTCTCATGGACGATGCCGCTAGCACGCTCTTGCAGCGACGCCATTTCTTTCTGAGAACGCAAAAACCAACACAATTTTGGACTTCATCCGTTCATTGTCATCACACTTTGCATGTACCTTATTGTGACCTGTATTCTTTTTAAAGAGTCGGCGTGGAGAAAGCAATTTTATTAGTGCAATTAGGAGTATAATCGATGCAGACATGGCCAGACAACAACGAGTTCATGGAATTTTTAAGGATTTTTATGTTATTCAAAATCGATTTTCGTGTTCCGCTCATCAGTGAATAGTATCGGAACTGAGGGTACTGTGTACAAAAATAGAACATTTTATAACAGCATAATTAATTAAAAGTGTGAACAACACAGGAAGTGGTACAGCATTACATAATAGGTGTCAAACATAGTGCTAACGTATATAACTGAGTGCAGCCACAAAGCAGTTGAAGGTTCTGGAAGCTGTATGTATTCGTGTGCATAATCCTGTTCTTTGTAAACAAAAGAAGCATGTAGTCGCGCTAAAGTTGTTCTCGTAGCTGGTTATCACATGTTAATGTTGTGTCATGTTGCACTGTATCACCTCTTGCTTTGTGGCTGCACTCAGTTATATACGTTAGCACTATGTTTGACACCTATTATGTAATGCTGTACCACTTCCTGTGTTGTTCACACTTTTAATTAATTATGCTGTTATAAAATGTTCTATTTTTGTACACAGTACCCTCAGTTCCGATACTATTCACTGATGAGCGGAACACGAAAATCGATTTTGAATAACATAAAAATCCTTAAAAATTCCATGAACTCGTTGTTGTCTGGCCATGTCTGCATCGATTGTATTCTTTTTCTTTCTTTCTTTCTTTTTTTTTACAGAATGCACCTCCTACTGATAGACCATAACAAAGAGAGGAGAAGAAGAAGACAAAAGAAAATAATGATCGAGACAACAAAGGAGAAAGACAGACAATGTACTAGTAGGGTATATGCATGTTATTGCAGGAAGGCACACAGCACTTTCTTTCAATGCTCATTGTGCACACATATCCATACCCTGTACTGTGCCAGTTGGGCACCAAGCTGCTGCTGCAGCATGTCGTCCTCCGAGTGATCCAGCCTGCCCAGCGATATGCCACTGGCGCTGTGACTGCCACCACCACCACCGCCGCTGCCACGCAGTGACCATGACCCGGCGGCCAGCGAACTGGGACTGTGAAAAGACGACATTGGGGCAGGATGCGCTTCCTGCACGTACGCACCCCAGCACTGTCTTCAGTGAGACAAGGCAGAGTAGTGACCCGACAGTGTCCTAGCAACCGTGTGCCAGCAGGGCCAGGAAGTGGAATCAATACACTTTCAGCTGTCGAGTTATGATCAGGTGATGTAAATCTTGAAAAAAAAGAAGGAGCAGAAATCACAAGCTGGGAAAATAATCGCAAAATCAGTACCCACCGTTGTGTGTTTGTGCCACCCAATCCCGATGTGCACATGGATGAAGCCAGAGGTCTGAAATGTGAACAAACATGTCCGTCAGCAATCGTATCCCGGCACAACATTCCGAAATGTACCGTGGCATGTACCCGGGTGTTGTACACTGAACGATGCAACACTACAGCGCACTCACAGTGCACTGCATGATCCAGGCTACTCTAGCTCTGAATAGAGCCATGCGGTGCAATAGCATCCACGGATCTACATAAGTCATTGTACTGCCACAAGAGGTAAGAAGACTAAGAGCAAGAGTCATGGGGCTATGAACTCTTGCTAGGAGCACCGCTTCACTTTTAGGCGGGAGAGATAAAGAGGATAAGTCTCGTGAAGTAGGTTTCTTCAACTGGCCCTCCCGCAGACTGCAGTGCTTGTCTGTAGGTACTAGTACTACATGAACCGGTATGTCTTACCTTTTCGTCTTGCTGGTCTTCAACGACCCGGCCCGGACTGAAACATCCTTCCCACTCAAGTTTCATCGAATCCTCGCGCTAGTGCTAGTAGTGGGCGACAACACTGCATGCAGGTCGCAGGGAAGTGATTTACCACGATGTGTTTCGCTGCAGTAGCGACAAGGACGACTCGAAGTAGCTGGACTCCTGACTTGGCAACTCTTTCTGACTTCAGAACCATTCAAATGTCCTCTTTCGAAACATGGCTGCTTTTTTGCTATCATACTGGGCGTTTGAGTTTCCCGGGCCTGATTGATCACTGACGTTTTGTTTGCGGCATCAGATTCGGAGACGCGTCGACGCAGCTCATCACGAACTACAAAATCAGTCTGATATCATGTAGATCAGGGAGTCTATACGACTCCCTGATGCAGATCTACCTGTAATGCTGTATCATGTATGACTAGTACATAATCATTGACTACATGACGTATACAGCAGGTGAACAAGGTTGTTTATTACTAGTATTAGTTGTAGCATAATAAATGTAGGTGTATCTTGTTTCACGCCTGGTAGATTGTGATACCATGGCAATGGATACCAGAGAGTACAAAACCCTCGCTCGCATGTCTGTTGGTCGCATCCTGACACTTCTGGCAAGCTCTGGTCACAAAGACTGCGGATTCTCTCTGCGGTTTGACTCCCTTCGCGACGCATGCAAAGTGATTCCGCATTGTGCATCGTCAAACGAATCGAGGCAAAGGAAAAAAGGATGGTTGGCTTCATCCATCCTGATTGTTTGGTAGAAGAGAGCTTGGATGGGGAAAAGTGAAAAGAAAGAAAAGAGAAAAAAAGAAGATTAGTTCTGGGTGGCCAAAGGAACTCGGAAAGAAAAAAAGAAGAAAAAAAGAAGTGGGTCGTGTTATATTGGTCGGGCTACTGTGTGCCGTCTATTCACAAGCGCTATCCCGCTACTGTTCCATGCGGCAGGTTTTGCCTGCTATGTTTCCATCCTGGGCCAGTTCCCTGCTCTTCAAAGACCTAGACACCACTGGGTCACCAGTGTTGCCCATATCCACACCGAACTTAGCGCGGACGCCTGATCGACACAGGCCGACAGACAGCAGGATTCCCGACCTCAAACTATCCCAACACTCCCAACCTCGCCAGTCGCAGCGATTACAGGTGAGCGCCACTTCACCCGGTGATTAGGAGTCCACAGAAAGTGGGTTTTGACAAATTAATGCCCACACGCATGACAACAGTTGAGTCATCATCAGTCTTCTTTTTTTCAGAGCAAAAGCAACCCACACAATTCTTCTTTCGACTTCAAAATCTCACTCAGCGTTCAAGACAAGAAAAACGAATCGAGGCAAAAGGGAAAGGAAAAAGGATGGTTGACTTCATCGATCCCGATTGTTTGGTAGAAGAGAGCTAGCTGATGCCATGCCCATGGTGCACGGCATCAGCTTGGATGGGGAAAAGTGAAGGAAGAAAAGAGAAAAAAAGAAGACAAAAGTTCTGGGTGGCCCCGATCGAGGGGACTCGGACTCGGAAGGGAACTCGAAAAGGAAAAAGAAAAGAAAAAAAGAAGTGGGTCGTGTTATCTTGGTCGGGCTACTGTGTGCCGTCTATAGGCCTTGACGGATTATGCTAATATTTTCGTGAAATTATGCTTTTCGCATTGCTGAAAAAATTGCAGAATTATGCTATTTTTATGCTAAAAGTTATCATATTATGCCGCATTATGCTCACATATGCTGCTAATGTACATGTATAATGATGGTTCTGTGCAAAATAACAGGGATTTTTTGTATAGGGCGTTGTACTGTAGTATCAAAAGTTCAACGGGGTCTATGCACCGTCCGACCTACAATTGTAGCTACGACCGTCACTGATTGTAGTGGACTGGACATGTTATCAAGGGAGTCGTAAGCCTACATGTATGACTTCCTGGTGCATCTACTTGTACTTGTACTTGTAGAACATGTACAACTCTATGGAATTTGATGCAAACAGGCGGATTATTCCATTATTTATGCAATTTAGGTAAACAGTTTCCTCTGAGACAAAAATGCGATAATACTCATAAAAAGGACACACTTCAGGCTCATTACAAACATCTTGAAAGTTTTCGTTTTCACAAGTATACTTTCAAGCCTTCTCATCAGGTGAAATACAGGCAAGGGAAAAGGAACAGGAACAGTGGATTAAATACAGTAAGAAGGTGGTAAAACAGCGCAAAAAGAAAGAAAGAAAGAAAGAAGATAGCTAAAGTAAACAGCGAAAATTGCAATAATGACACAAAGGTGCAAATGCGAGAAAACTCAATAAGCGCGACATGTAGTGCGACAACAAGAGACAACCACTGGACATACATGTAACTAACGAGGTTTTGACGACCTACCTAACAGCCTAAGTGTGAATTTGATTTGTTTCTGCTTGCAAAGGTTGGGTTTCCTTGTGTGGATGTATACAGCTTCCAAAACATTCAGCAATCTAGCACTGCGTACACGTGACACAATCGAAAAACAATCATCCGAATACACAGCACGACAATCAGGATGCTCAAACAAATGACTAGCAATGGACGACTCATACTTATCAGAACTAACATCAGAACAATCAGCATGTGCGGTGGACACATCCGATTTCACATGGCTGGTCGAGTGGACCCTAGCCGTTGCCTCTGTCTGTGCTTTAGTCGCTGCCATCGCCGCCGTTGCCGATCTTGTTATTCTTCTGGTTGATGCGGTTCCTGTCACTGCCACGCACGTAGGTGTCTTGTCCGGTTGTTTTTCTGGTGGTCTAGTTAATTGTGAGGTGACGTTCCTTGGTGTTGATGCCGCTGCGTTGGACCATCTTGTACCAGGATGATTCTTTGCTGGACGTCCCCTCCGTGGTCGAGTGGATCGTGCGTGTTGTGGAATAAGGTGTAGCGGTGCGTGTTGTCGGATGCGTGCGTCCAGATGTTGAAGAGTCCTACCTACATATCGGCTCTCACATTGCCGACACTCGAAGTGATAAATCAACTTGGATAATTGGCCTGTAGGTAGGACGTCCTTCCTCACCGTGAACGCACGCACCGTGGAGTAGATGAAGCGAATATGAACATTATGGTAATTAGACTCCACGGCAGACTTAACCCGACGCTGAACCATACGTGATACTGACTCAAATTCACACTTAGGCTGTTAGGTAGCTGTTAGGTAGGTCGTCAAAACCTCGTTAGTTACATGTATGTCCAGTGGTTGTCTCTTGTTGTCGCACTACATGTCGCGCTTATTGAGTTTTCTCGCATTTGCACCTTTGTGTCATTATTGCAATTTTCGCTGTTTACTTTAGCTATCTTCTTTCTTTCTTTCTTTCTTTTTGCGCTGTTTTACCACCTTCTTACTGTATTTAATCCACTGTTCCTGTTCCTTTTCCCTTGCCTGTATTTCACCTGATGAGAAGGCTTGAAAGTATACTTGTGAAAACGAAAACTTTCAAGATGTTTGTAATGAGCCTGAAGTGTGTCCTTTTTATGAGTTTTATGCAATTTGTATGCAATTTGCCTCGAATTATGCGATTATTCGATTTTGGTAGGAATTATGCGAAAAATTATGCTAGCATAATCCGTCAAGGCCTAGCCGTCTATTCACAAGCGCTATCCCGCTACTGTTCCATGCGGCAGGTTTTGCCTGCTATGTTTCCATCCTGGGCCAGTTCCCTGCTCTTCAAAGACCTAGACACCACTGGGTCACCAGTGTTGCCCATATCCACACCGAACTTAGCGCGGACGCCTGATCGACACAGGCCGACAGACAGCAGGATTCCCGACCTCAAACTATCCCAACACTCCCAACCTCGCCAGTCGCAGCGATTACAGGTGAGCGCCACTTCACCCGGTGATTAGGAGTCCACAGAAAGTGGGTTTTGACAAATTAATGCCCACACGCATGACAACAGTTGAGTCATCATCAGTCTTCTTTTTTTTCAGAGCAAAAGCAACCCACACAATTCTTCTTTCGACTTCAAAATCTCACTCAGCGTTCAAGACAAGAAAAACGAATCGAGGCAAAGGGGAAAGGAAAAAGGATGGTTGACTTCATCGATCCTGATTGTTTGGTAGAAGAGAGCTAGCTGATGCCATGCCCATGGTGCACGGCATCAGCTTGGATGGGGAAAAGTGAAGAAAGAAAAGAGAAAAAAAGAAGACCGTTGAAAAGTTCTGGGTGGCCCCGATCGAGGGGACTCGGACTCGGAAGGGAACTCGAAAAGGAAAAAGAAAAGAAAAAAAGAAGTGGGTCGTGTTATCTTGGTCGGGCTACTGTGTGCCGTCTATTCACAAGCGCTATCCCGCTACTGTTCCATGCGGCAGGTTTTGCCTGCTATGTTTCCATCCTGGGCCAGTTCCCTGCTCTTCAAAGACCTAGACACCACTGGGTCACCAGTGTTGCCCATATCCACACCGAACTTAGCGCGGACGCCTGATCGACACAGGCCGACAGACAGCAGGATTCCCGACCTCAAACTATCCCAACACTCCCAACCTCGCCAGTCGCAGCGATTACAGGTGAGCGCCACTTCACCCGGTGATTAGGAGTCCACAGAAAGTGGGTTTTGACAAATTAATGCCCACACGCATGACAACAGTTGAGTCATCATCAGTCTTCTTTTTTTTCAGAGCAAAAGCAACCCACACAATTCTTCTTTCGACTTCAAAATCTCACTCAGCGTTCAAGACAAGAAAAAGTTCTGAGATGAGTCTGTGGTGACTGTTAACTTTTGTTTTCCTCGATTATCACTATCTGAGGCCAGCTGTTTGTCGAGAAGCGAAATGCTGACAATGGATGTTACCAGTCTGTTTGCACGTTTTCGCTTTTTCTGGGTGCGTGACTGGTGGCCCGAATTCCTCAAGTTCTCCGGCCTATTTCCGAGTGCTTTCGGAGCCACGTGCTGACACTACAAATAATTACGGGGTCATCGATCAACGGCGCATGCAGTCAGTCTGTTTGAGGGAATCAACGTTCTGCTTGCGATGAGGTGAGGCTTCATAATCATAGACTAAACTGTCATGATATGGGCCATAATTTGAACGGGCTCTTACGGTATGTGAGTTTGAAATCATTTTCAAGTGCTGGAATGAGATCAAGAGTTGAGGACTCTTGCTGAGCTAATTGTAGCGGTACATATACATGTACGCGTGGGAGCATTATCTGTTGCTTGGGTGAGAGTCCATGTGCAAGACTCAATACCACAAACTCCTGAAGCCGATAACATGAGTCTGTGTCAATGCTAGGCTCCGGCGGATTATGCTCGCGAAATCATGGAATTATGCTTTCATGGATTCTCGCATTATGCTCGCAAAATCCTCATATTATGCTTTGGCATGTAGCCCTTTCCCAAAGGTGCTTTTTTAATTCGCACTTTATAGTGCTTTTCGCGTCCCTCAGAATATGCTGAAAAAATGCTCTTTTTTCAGTGAAAACAGGGAAAAAGTGCTCTTTTTCTGTGAAGCATAGCCATGATACATGTCCAGATATGAACCCAAGCTGAGAAATGAATACGCACTCTTCCATTTATTGGTCCACGAAAGGCAAAACAGGAAGTAAAGTAAAAAAAACCACTTTTTACAGCATTGTGTACAAGCTTCACCAACTTGTTGCCCCCAAAAAAGCGGCTTGCCGACTTCCAAGGCCCAACGAGCACTCGGAAATTGTGATCGCATGCACGAGCAAACAGATTTTAGCACTTTTTTAAGCTCAAAAAGGGCGATATTCACCAAAAACGCAATAAAGGCCGAAAGAAACGGGCTTTTCCAAAAAGGGACAAAAAGGGCGAACACCTTTGGGAAAGGGCTATTGGCACGTGGGGATACATATTCACTTTGTTGTACTTATGGAGCCCCAAAGTTCGGAAAATTGTGCCTTTTTCGTACAGCTCTTAAACACCACCCCCGGCACCAGTCCCGATTACCTTCGACGTTCCTTCCCGTACTGTTTCCTTGAATTGTGGAACAGCCTCCCCGAGGACGTCTTTCCCCGTCTGGCCAATCACTCTCCACTCACAGCTTTTAAAAAAGGTGTCAACAAACACATTTCAGACCAGCCATGGTCTTGGGACGTGCTTTGAAGCCCATCATGTTGATCGTCTCACTGTTCTTTCCAGATCGCACCTCTCAGTTTGGGGATGTGCATTGAAGCACCCCATACTAACGGTCTATACTGTCCTCTCTTGGTCACCACTCTCCCTATTACCTATATTGTAATTACCATTCATGTATTGCCCTTCAGATTTTCTTCCGTTTTTGTCTCTTGGTGCGTTACCGGCATGGCGATACTGAGACCTGATGGTCAGTGGAGTGCCTGTAGCCTCACCAGCACTGCTACTATCTGTGACTGTGGCGACCACCATTCAATGTCTAGTCCTCCCCTAACCGTACCCCAACTCTCTCTCTCAGCTCTCTTTTTATCTGTCTTTTCTTACTCTTTTTTCTTTGTCAGCTTTCCTGGTGGTTATGTGCTTTTTCAAGTAAATAAAAAAAACTTGCCATGTTACACGAGTATCCCTACACCAAGGTGTCCATGCATGCTAGTGATTATCATGGAAAAGGGAAAACATTACTTCTATAAATTCATTGTAGAAAGGAAGAGGACATATGGATACGAGTTAAGAGTAACTCTCCATCACTGTAACCAGATACTATATACAGTCAGAAAGTGCAACAACTGGGCAAAAAGGCACAAAGCTGATATGACAAGTAAAAAAAGTCAGAAATTATCATGTTCAACTGTCTTCGTAAACGTCATACTTGTCCAACCGATATGTCACCCTTACTCTGTGAATGTAATCAGCTCATCTCTTCCGTAGCTCCACCTCACCTTCCATCATGACCGAACACCAACTATACCTCTTTTTATTTTATTATAGCAATGTCCGAAGCCTGCACAGATATGGCTGCTAAAATCCAGAGGTCATGACTTCGTATCATGAATAATGTACATGTACGCAGAGTCAGTTTGCGGACTACCCGTCACTATCTCGTCCGCCCCAGGATAAAGGCTGATTCACTCGCATCTTCTACTACATGTACTGTATCAGTCTGCGAAAGAACTTTGAAGAAGACGAGTTCGACCATACAATAATGTATTGCCATGATTTCTACCCTCCTTTTCATTGAAAACACTATCTGCAGTGTATGGCCTCCAACTTCAAGCCCTTTACCATGCAGACCACCAGGACTAATCAGGTGTATTGTACACAATTGTGTAGCCTGCATACTAGAACTGCGGTACAATCATGTAGTTATGTTCCTACATGTACCTCCGAAAGGATGCCAAATTATGCTCCAAATTTTCAACCACCAAATTATGCCAATAATTATGCCAGCATAATCCGCCGGTGCCTAGTCAATGTTCTCATTTCAAGGCTTCATGACGTCCCAGATCACGTCAGGTGTACGAAAAGCAGGCCCTGGCTTTCTGAATTTCAGTCAGTCAGAGAGAGGGGGGGGGGGGGGGGGGGGGCGTTCTGCCCCATGTACTGTTCATGTGACTTACTAGCTTACATGCTGAGCTAAGGTCAAGGACAGGTGTTTAGTCTGTAGTGCAAACTGTACTGATGCAGCTGATCATAGACGTACACGTAGATCTACCAAGCCTACTCAATCTGCGAACAGAACTGTTTCGTCCTTTGTTTACTCATCAGCGCAGCACAGAGAAAATGAGGCTGAACCTGATAGCAATGAAAAATAAAATTTCCAAAGCCAGAATAATGATTGAAACTGGAACGTACCTTGCCAGAGTGCTCAAACTGACAAGTCAGTGAGCTCTTTGCTGTTTGTAGCCACTCCTGAGTACTACCTAGTAGGTATTTCTAATTATTATTATTTTGCGTAGTGTAGGCAGAAGTGACTGGGGTCTGTGTCCCATCATGGCATGGTGTCACAACTCATGTAACTGTTATGGCACCAGCTGATGGGATGAGTGCATGCAGTCCATCACTATGGTCAGTAAGACCATGACGTGCACGTGCGTGCATGGGCAGATCCCCATCTGCGCACAATGCCAGTAGTAGTAGTAAGCAGCTGCATCCAGGAATGTGACCCGGGTACCCGTAGATCTACGCGGCGTAGTCGACCTACTGCCAGTACTAGTACCCGGTAAGTAGTAGTAGATCTACTGGCAGTAGTACTGGCTACTGCCCTAGATCTACGTGACTGACCTCCACCCAGGTCATCACGACACAACTTCACAAGGCCAAGGACAGGTGACATGTCACTACGACACTAGCTGTCATAACCATGATGCCAGTATGCTGTATCTAGAATATTCTACTTCTGAACTGTGGGCCGGCCGTGCCCTTTGACATAATTATGACATGTTTGCGGGTCACACAGCTAGCTAGCATTCAGTCCCTTCACTGTCCAGAGCTGAGCTAATCCACACACAGTACTAGATCATGGTAGATCTACATGTACCTGCACGACAGACTCAGTAGAGAGATCAGTCTGCAACATGGTCTGAGAGTGAGAGTGAGAGAGAGGCCATAATTTATTATTTGCACTGGATAATGGGTATGGAAGGAAGTCAAAAAGGTGTCATGTTGCCTTCCCGCAACAACAACACAAGTCACGATCACGCTAGCCATATCCACGCGCCGTAGACATTGCACTGCACGGGCATGCGGGCATGGTAGAATCTACGCGCTACCCACGGCCACGTGTGTTCCGTGCTTGCGAACTGGGGAACACGATGATTGCAAACCTCGTGAGAATGGCACATTCAAGGCTTCAAAAAGAATGGCTTCAGCCTTCATGCACTACAATCTACATTGTAGAGAGGCTACGTAGAAAGAGAGAGACTACAGAAGAGGGGCCTAAGCTAAGGCCAGGGACCGTCCGATCGTGCCCGTGGATGTGCACCTTCACAAGTCGATCGCGTGATGAGACCACTTTCTCCAAAGCATTTGGGCAGCATCCTTGCCATGCCCGAACCATATTCGCTACACCCCCTGCTGAAATAGCGATGAATGATTCTATTCATTGAAGCTGAGTAGATCTGCGCGTCGCTGCTGTGAGTCTTTCCATCATCATGATCATACATGTACCACCGGGCACCAGCTTTTCCACCCCACATAATCATTCCCAGCAGCGGATGTGGATCAGTTGGGCTTGAAAGACGTAACGCCTTTAGTCTGTACGGTGCCAAACACTCTTGGTACAAGTGGCCGTGGGGTCTCCATTCCGAAAAATCCTGTCTCTAGTCTAGAGCTCCGCTCTGACTCCGTAGTCGTCCAAACTAGTAGTACCGAGTTGCCCATTTCCTTTCACAGTCGTGCTAGTGCCGTAGCGGACACAGCCGAGTGCACCGGGTCGTGTTCCGCCCCTGCTGGTTTTGCTCGTTCCGCACTTGTGTCGTTGTGACACTCGACTCGCCAGGTGGAGTTAGCCACTATTAGCGTCAATTCAACTATTAAAATAATTTTATCAATAGCATAGAGATTGTTACAAGGAAAGGATTTGTAGTCTATTCCGACGCAATGGATCTCGTCCTGGACTTCATGGATCCGCACTTGTTCACTCCATATGTGTATCCGGAGAGCTGGCCAGAGAATTACTGGCCAAGACAGTTGCTTAGTTTGTTTGCAATCGCATTGATTGGTGGACTAGCACTATACCTAGGCACGGCTGCACTTGCTTATCACTTTCTGTTCGACAAACGTGTTATGGATCATCCGCTATTCTTACGCAATCAGATACGACTGGAGATTGCGACCAGTATGATGTCCGCGCCGCTAATGGTTCTCCCCACCGCTCTGATGTTTTTGCTGGAAGTACGTGGCCTAAGTCGGCTGTACGATGGCTTTCCCTCGGGCCCGTCTATGGTGCTCACTCTTGGACGGGATCTTTTCGGCTTTCTGTTCTTCACGGATATGATGATCTATTGGATTCACCGCCTGCTGCATCACCGGCTTGTTTACAAATACCTGCACAAGCTGCACCACAAGTGGAAGATACCAACGCCGTTCGCCAGCCATGCATTCCACCCGGTGGATGGTTTCCTGCAGAGCCTGCCGTATCACCTCTATCCGTTCCTGTTTCCGCTCAACAAGGTCGTCTACTTGACGTTCTTTGTGTTTGTCAACATGTGGACAGTGTCAATTCACGATGGATACTACTCCGTACCGGACAACCTGAAATACTTCGTAAACGGTTCAGCACACCATACTGATCACCACCTCTACTATGATTACAATTACGGCCAATACTTTACACTCTGGGATCGACTGTGCTCGTCCTTCAAGGATCCGTCGGCGTTTAATGGCCGGTCTCTAGTCGTGGAGGCAGAAAACAAGAAAAAATAGAAGGAATCAATGTTGAGAGCTTGGTGCCCATTTGTTTCGTTTGTACAATCAACGCATTCTCCGAGGGCCCACTGTCAAAGTCCCTATCACTATCAAACCAGTATCGTTATCAAAGCCAATGGCTGCTATATGGCTTGTCGGGATGGAATTGCTGGCTCCCATAAATACTATGATCCCGTCGGGTCTCGACCAAACTCTGGAATCAATTTATTAGTCAGTTCTTTTGCACTGGCGTTGACGCTGTTTTTACTAAGCACAATGTGCACTATGCTGCAACTTCTAGCAATGTCTGCCAGCATCCTTCGAGGTGAGCTGCTGCAATAATGCTAGGTGCAAGACTAGCTGTTATGTCTGGTTGGCTGCGTATCTCGTATTGTCCAGTATTTTACTAGGTTCGGCTACAACCCACATTCTGCTTACTTCCTTTATCCTACCTGTGCTGTTGCTGCTGCTACTGCTACCAGGCTAATGGCTGAGTAATGCCATTGCTGCTGATGCTACTTCTATGCGCAAGAGATCTTGACCATTGGTTAGAAATATTAATTACACTTGACATCTCCGTTGCAGCGCTACGTTCACGTGACCAATCATGTGATAAGTCGGGTGATCAGTAATGTGATCCCTGAGTCTTGTGATTTCCAAGTATTCCGGGGGGGGGGGGGGGGGGGGGACTTCATGCAGTGTGGCGTTATGTTTCGAGGCGACTTGTGCGCAACTGCAGAGTGCCACGGATGAGTGTGAATGTGCGAGAGGAGATGTAAAATTTCGATTGTCGATGCACACACTGCAGCCAAGCAACACCTACGGCAATCAAAGGCAACTCCCCAATTATTGGGTGCTTGCTAGCGTGAAATCTTGACTAATGTACACTCAATTGCTGTGCCAAATCGGTAATAAAAATGATCAAAAGCTGTTCATGTACATGTAGGTGGACATCAGGGATCGAGTCGTCAGTGACTTGCTGGCTTGACACTGATGATCACGGATGTTCACCATCCCGCAGGGTACACCTGTGGTTGGTAGAAGTTTCTATTAATCTTATCTTTCGAGTCACAGTGCCTCGACCAAGCTTTAGTCCACAATGTAGATTCCAGGATGACCTTGTTTTTGAGAGCAACATATATTATGTAAAGAAGAGGTACATGCAGGCGTAGCACCGCTGTTGGAGCTGGTCCGGCAGGATGGGGGGGGGGCCCCCCCCCCCCATCCTGCCGGACCAGCTCCAACAGCGGTGCTACGCCTGCATGTACCTCTTCTTTACATAATATATGTTGCTCTCAAAAACAAGGTCTGGGGATGTCTGGGGATGTCCACGCGGGAAAAATTTGAAATTCGGGTGCAAAATCCTGCATTCTGGGCACTTTTTTGTGGTCGGGCTTTGGCCGGACCGGCTGATAGCTGCTATGCCCCTGACATGTCGCATGAATTTGTACTCCGGCATAAGTAAAAGCTTAGGACATTTTATGTACAGTCTTGGGCACGCGCACATGCATTATATTATACAGGTTAGTTGCGGCAACATTAATTTTGTAGTATAAATCAGTAAAGGCTATGCCAGCATTTCATTGCCAGTTTCACATGTTACATGTTGCATTCACTATTTTCACTCACGTCATTTCCGTAATACCAAGAGGCAAGAGTATTGTTATTATAATATAACCGTTATACTCTTGGTACTCTTGATACCAAGAGGTAATACGCTGAAGACCTTTACTTCAGTAAATCTGGCACCTGCACTGCTCCATGGCATGGGGTTATGGACTCTTGGACTAAGTGGAGAATCATGTAGTAGATCTACGAGTACACACAGAGATTGCACAGTCTAGTCTAGTACTGTAGTACTACTACTAGTACTACTAGTAGTAGTACTAGTACTTAGTAGTAACTGTTGCTACTTGATCAGTCTTTTTCAGTGTATCTTGCTGAATTTATTTGGAGAAATCACACGACTAACCAATAAACATTGTGGAGAGATTTATTTCACCAAGCAACCCTCGCACTGTAATAGTGGCTAGTTCGATATACACGTAGAGCAGAACACCCGACACCCTGGTGTCACGGGACTCGTACTGACTGGACATCGATTCTCAGTGGTACGAATCGTAGTGTTCTCCTAAAGTTGGGAACTTCCAGTGGTGAACTGCATGAAATGGCCGCGCCGCTGGTGAGCGATGGGTCAGCAGCACCAGTGGCAGCAGACCACATGGCCGGCATTGGCCAAAGCACATGCAAGTCATCCACGAGCTGGAAACAAGAGGTAAGGGAAACGTGATCATCACGATGAACTCCACCCTGCCCTGGACTTGAATTTTGAATGCATGAAGTTTGATAATGTACAACTTTGAAATTGTAGATAAGTTTATAAGAAAAAAGAGGACTATTAAAAAGAGCTATGTGTTACGCTATATTATCCACTAACACCACCAGTTACTTTACAATCAGCTCATGCGATAACATTGCACTACACTGACCAACGGTACTGACGTTCTACACCTAACTGGCAATCAGCTCTAGCATATCTTGGATGCGCACTCCAACAGCTTGGAAGGTTCTAAGTTATAGAAATAACACAAGGAGGGGAAGGTGAGCGCAACCAAGACAAGCACGAGCTGAACGTCTCAGCTGTGGAGGACGCTGGCGGATGTACATGTATGTCGAGGACGATACTGGTAAGGCCATCAGACACAACGGTCAAAGCACAATTCAAAGACGCATAGCAACATACCACACAACTTGTGTTGCTCTAAAGATTCGAAGATCGATTGGAGGGAAACTAAGCAAACATGAATCGTGAAGAACCGAACGTCTCAGTGCTACAGTACAGTACTTCGACCAAGACATATAGATGGAAAAATAAGCAGCAGTAACAAGCAGCAGTTTCACCCGACAATCGTTTCGCCGTATATTTAAGGACGTATGTTTTTCTATAACTTAGAGCCTTCCAAGCTGGAAGGTTGTTTGAGTGCGCATCGAAGATATGCTAGAGCTGATTGCCAGTATTAAAGTTGTAGAACATCAGTACCGTTGGTCAGTGTTGTGCAATGTTATCGCATGAGCTGATTGTAAAGCAACTGGTGGTGTTAGTGGATAATATAGCATAACTTGTAGTTCTTTGGTCCTCTTTTCTTCGTGTAAATTAATCCTTGGCTCTCCACCCGAGTTTAATTGTAGATTAGTCTTTTTGTCATTATTGTAGATATGGGTACTAGTAGCTAGATATTGTTTAGATATTGTAGTAGTAGACACTACAGTACGGATACGAGAAGATGAATACTCTAATTTCAGAAATTTTCGGTGCTCAATATTTTCGGTATGAGGGCAACATGCTAGGTTAGGTGAACAGAAATTTTCGGTACAGAGAAGCAGTTCCCTATTGGATTATGTGTGTTAGTGTTTGTTCGGTGTATCGAAATTTTAGGTGTAAAATAGGCGCACCGAAAGTACCGAAAATAAAAGTACACCGAAAATTTGTGAAATTACAGTACATTGCACTACCTGGTATTACTTCATGCATGTTATTATTATGGTTCTCGAAATAATTTGAAAATTTCATTTAATGTCAAAATATTCAATTTGAGATGTAATAATAGTAATGGAGAGAGGTTCTTCTCTATGTTACGGGAACGGGACGCGGAGAATCCCTTGTCAATCTTCGTATTCCCTTAGCATGTACTAGGAATTTCTCGTTCCAAATTTGGCAGTTTTCTCCCCAATTTCAGAGGTGCAGATTACGCAGTATATCCACACGGATTTTCTTTGCGTGTGCCACAACGTAGAGCTCATCTCCGCATAGAAATCTGGACCCAAAACATGCAAAGCCCTGCAACTCCAACCCAGACACCTGTTCTTCGCCTGATTGCTGTATGTCAAAATGGAGTAGCATCAGCTGGAGAAACAGTGCTTGATTCGGTGAACTCAGATTATTGTTCTTGTCTACCTGTATTTCATTTTGCCTTGCCCTTCATTCATCAAGTTTCATACCGTAGTTCTTTTGTTGGTGTATTGTTTGGCAGATGTACGGGATTTGGGGAATGCATGTGGAGAGCGGAGCACCATTACGGGTAAGTGAGTGTGTGTGTGTGTTTGTGTGTGTTTGTTTGGTGTAGACCAGGTTGAATAGTGGCAGTAAATTCTTCAGCCTTGCAAGCTGTTGAATGCTGCAATGCCAGCAAAAGTTGCTATGGCTTCTGCTGTAGCATCGCTATCATTGCCTCTGGCAATGGGTGTCAAAGGCGTGTGCGTGCGTGTTCATACGTGTGTGTGTGTGTGTGTGTGTGTGTGTGTGTGTGTGTGTATGTGTATGTGTATGTGTATGTGTGTGTGTGTGTGTGTGCATGAGTGTGCATGTGTGCGAGTGTGCATGTCATGAGTGTGAGTACAGGCGGGGCATGCGCATGCATGCATCCGTATGAAACATGTCCGTTGAACGCTTGGTTTTAAAAAATGTACTCTTTTTCTTTTTGTGCAAACATTGCCATTTGCTGCAGTCTGACTGTGTACATCGGATACGGCATGGTACATGCAGCTGCTGTCATGTATATCAGTGGAAAAGTACATGAAAGTTTACTTGTGCTTGTTGAAATCACTTACTTGTAGTTTGTTCACAAGTCGGCCAGGACTTGGGCCAGCTTTGGTGGCTGTGCGACCGTTATGTCTGCAGATGAAGATCAGATTAGAATGTTTGATGTCTTGACTTTTCTTGTCTTTGTACAGATTGGACTCTTCTTTGCTGTTGTGAACGTCTTACTCCGGCTTCTTGTTATGGTGTGTCTCCGTTTTTTTGTTTGTTTGACGATATGTTTTGACAGGAGATGATATTTGAGAATTTGAATTCTCTCTATTTTCTACTCTTCTTTTGTGCCAGTCGTTTGTGACTGGCCTTATGTACTTGTGTGTGTGTGTGTGTGTGCGTGTGTGTACGCGTGTGTATGTGTATGTGTATGAGTGCATGTGCGCGCGCGCGTGTGCGTGAATGAATGGTATGCACGAGCAAGAAAGTGTACAAACTTGTACTTTTGGAAAGATGCCCACTCTCGCGATTTTTTACCAACTTGTATAATATGTGTGTATGTGTGTCCGTCCTCTTTGCCTCAGTATTTTGGGTACTACCTGATCACTGCCGACTGGCTATACCGCGGCTGTGTTGGTGATGTAGCTGTGGAGGACTGTGATCCAGCGTGCATGCTTCTCTCCATCAACAATACACGGGTGGACTGCACGGCAATGTCCACGATAAGCCAGTCGGTCTTTGCTGTGTGCGCGTGTTTGCTGGTGTTCGACGTCTACATTCTGCTGAGAGTGCCGATCACTAACACGAAGCGTCTGAAGTGGATGCAGCGCCGGTACAAGCTCAGCCTTGCCTTCCTGCTGTGTGAGGCGGCCTGTGCGGTGCTGTTCCTCTTTCTGCTGCTCGTGTCTCTATTCATCTCGATGAACTTCAAGGCCAACGACGTTCAGAGCGTTCCGCCATTCTCCCACGGCCTGAGGTACAATATTGCCATTGCCTGCCTTTCGGTGAGTATTGCGCCAGCTCTCTATGTCTGTCTGCCTGTCTGTCTCCCTCTCTCCATTTCTCTATCTACCAGTGTGTGTGTCTCTCTCTCTCTCTCTCCCTCCCTCCCTTTCTCTCTCTCTCTCTCCCTCCCTCCCTCCCTTCTCTCTCTCTCTCTCTCTCTCTCTCTCTCTCTCTCTCTCTCTCTCTCTCTCTCTCTCTCTCTCTCTCTCTCTCTCCATGGGTGGGCAGAAAGTACTTTCATCTGTTATCTGAGACTGTCTTTCTGCATGGATATGAGTCATGGACAGGATCAGGGTCTTATGCTCTAACATGACTGTAGGGAGGGACTGAGCCTTTGCTCCTTTTAAAATAACACGCATCTCGTTATAATGAAAAGCCAAGTCAGTGGTCTCGCATCAATGTTTGTAGGTGGCAGGCATGTTGAAAAACGCTGTGAGTTTTTCTTGCAATTGCGACTTTCGCAACAGAGTTTGCTTTGACAGTTTGCCTGTAATAATATTATGCATGTGTGTGTTTGTGTGTGTTTCGGTTCTCTTCAGATGCTCAATGTATTCATCTACATGTTTGTCGACTGGTGCTCCGTGTGCGACTTACCGCCATTTAAGGTGGCGAGCAAGTCTCAGTAAAGTTGAGTAAACCGTACGTTTGATTCCAGGGAGTGACAGCCCTGCCTGCTGTCTTTAGCGGTTACTATCACAAAATTGAGTTGCCATTGGTAACACTGTGGGGGAGTGTGGGTGTTTGTATCAGTACTAGCACCTTTTTTATTGCGTTACATAATCATTGCATGCAGCAGGACTGCGTGCATTTTTACTTCAATCTAGTCGAACAGGTTTATAAGAGATTGACACATATTTTGGACTTTCCTTGCATTTTCATTAAATTTGATGGGTGCAGAAAAACAGGTTTCATTGATTCTGATAGGTGTGTGCAGTCTCCATATCGGTCTCCTTTTTTAATTGATTTTTCAATTTCGCATCACGTGAAAGCAACTCACTCACTATGTTTCTGTACCATCATCATTCCCTTTGTGTGTGGCATGCTGACTGCCTATTACTAACAGTAGCACAGGGCGTACACCAATACTGTATGGCATGCCTGGGAATGATGTGGTTATGCAAACATCTGTGCTTTCAAAAGTGAACACCGGTACTGCAAGGAACAGGCGCTGAGCAAGTTTGCGGTCTAGAAAGCACTGGGAAAGCTTCCTACGCTTCTCTCGTTTTGATAAATAGCCGGTACCAGGTGCTGGTGGGTGGTTTCATACTGTAGTTTCAAACTTTTAGAAAAAATGAAACCACTTGGTGCCAACTACACAGGCCTGTCCCCGGGGAAAATTGCGATTCCGCGGCCGCGTTTTTTTCCGCGTTTTTTGCGATTTTTTAAAAGACCGCGTTTTCCGCGATTTTCCCGCGTTTTTTGAACTTTTTTGTTGCACTTCACGTACACACAGTGCACTGTTTGGTCAGCAACGTCTCATCGTGGCGGCTTTTTACTCAAATATGACGAGTGCTTACACCAGAGACTTGTAACTGATTGATTTCACTACATACTCACTGAAAATTGCCGCACATCAATATTATTCACCGCATATTTACCGCGTATTTACCGCAAATTCAGCGCAAATTATGCCATATTATGCTGCGTTTTTCTCCGCGTTTTTTGCGATTTTTTCCGCAATTTTCCCCGGGGACAGACAGGCCAATGTGCCCCCCCCCCTCCGATTCTTCACTCCGTGTTCAATATCCAGTATCCATAATCAGTGTCAGGTACTGTGCAATGTGTTGCTGCTGGCGTGATTTGTACACACTCGATTTAGCTCAGGTCACTTTCTCAGATCAAAAGACCCGGTACTGGTACACTGTAGCAAGCATAGTCTTGCTCGTAGCTATCATAGACTGGGCAGCCACAGACCTGAAAGTTTGGAATTCGAACGGCTTTTTTTTAATGGCTGCGGTTTCCAATGGGGATACTTTCCAAAAGTAGAACCAGGTAGGAGCTGTCTCGTAGACTTACATACTTAGAAGAATGCGTGTGTGTTACTTTGACATGAAAAAAAGAGAAAAGAAATATTCTGTCACCACTTTGTCTAATTTGTTAGATGAAAATAATAATAACATAAGCAAAGACAAGTACTTGCAGCAGCACCATGTATTGCATATTATGGTTATGTCAGCCTGTTTCAAGTTCACAATGCTTTGGGTTGTAAGGATCACGCATGGAAAAGTAATAGTTACATAAAGAATCTGTATACATGTATGTACATGTAGAAGGCGAGGTTTCTGGTTAACACAGCGCAGCGGCACATATTGTAGTTCTTCTCTAGCTCTCTCTCTCTTGTGCGCACACATGCACACACGCACACACACACACACACACACACACACACACACACACACACACACACACACACACACGCCTGCACACCTACATGTATCAGACGTCCGACTTCACTCGCTCAAACATTACATCTGTGCGCAGAATGTACTTTGTACCGGATGTCAACTCTGTTCCGCAGTGCAAACAGTCACTATCCATCTGTTTGAAGACAACGCACAGGCCAGTGCTGGGCACAAGTCGGTACTGAACACCTCTATCGATTGTGTTCTCAATGAAGTCGGTTGTTCCTCCGTTGAAGTCCACGCCGTTTCCTTCGTTTAGATAAAACATGCACGTCAGAAAGCTACGGTGATCTTCATCATAGGCAAACGTGCCGTCAGAATGGATGCCAAAGTGTCCCCCGCTGTAGTAGCGGCAGATGCGGAAGCGGGCGTTCAGCTTGTACGCCCTCCACAAGTGCCGGCCGTCAAACGTCAGCACTTCCGGGATGCACGGCGCCACGCGCTCCCACAGGTAGGCGGCAAGGTCCTTGTCGTCGCACATCATACGGTCGTTGTTGCGGCGTGCGTACATGAAGCAGAACTCCTCGGCTGGCTGATAGCCGCTCGCCTCACTGGCCGCAATCAGCGACGAACACTCGCTTGCCGACAGCGAGTTACGAATTATCCAACCCTTCTTCTCCGCCGCAGGATTGCGTTTGGTGAGGAAATCCATCACTTCGACTTTTGGTTCTGTTTTCACGTCATTGCTGCTGTTGCCACTATCACCTTCACTGCACTTCCTGTCCAATATGGTACTGAAGTTGTTAAAGATTGGGTCTCGCATGCCACCTTCCATGGCATTGTCAACTGTGCTCGCCATCGCATGCACAAGCAGGAGCTGTATGCCCGAGAGCAGTGCCTGACGTCAATGAGTACAGTCACGTGACACTGGATTGATTCAATGTCTTATGAACACTGAACAGTGATTCAAGTCCACCACTCAAGACAGGGCTAGGGGGGCTCGCTCCAGCTCCAACCGCTAACGTTAGTCGTTACGGTTGCCGGTTCGCCACAATCCACAGACGGCTATGATGGAAGCCTCTCCGCTGCACTACATGTAGCTAGACGCGCCTGTTGAGAGAAACTGCTATTATTATTGTAGGACTAACTGACTTGTCTTGCCTGAACTCAACTGTTACACACTGAGAGGTCAAATTATTCTGGAATAGTGTTCGTGGACAAATGGGCCACCACCAATGCCGGACTACAACGCACCTAATCGCGTCCGCATGTACCGGTACATGTAGGGATTGAAAATCACCAAACACAGACAGTGTGCTGCAGAAACTGAGGCGGAAATCGCCGACGCAACATTCACTCGTAGTACTACACGCCACTCCTGCCCTGGATCCAAGCAAGTCGTCGTTGCTACAAGAAATAAAGGCTGCTGTACCAACTACCGTCTTTTATCCTGAAGAAATTGCTGACATGAACAGTTACAATTACCGGTGCGCAGTCGGCTCGGGACGTAGATCGTAGAGTTTACATCGCAAGTATTTTTGGTAACGACACATCGATCTGAGCTGATGACATGACAGTCTACAACTAACTTACTTACAAGTACAAGACGAAGAGAGAGAAGAGATGCATCGATGATGATGAGGGGATTGAGGGCCGCCACGTGGCGCTATAAAAATAATGAGTCATCCATGACGTAAGTTAGTTCTACACAATCTGCCATGTACATAATGACTATGTATGGCATGCAGCATTGCAGATGCAGCCTGCATAGCAGCAGCGCTGCACGCTTCTATCTGTATGCATAATAATATTATCATGCATTACAATGGCATGTACATGACACATGTATGCACTAAATCGTGCAGTGGCCTTGATGCCGTCATTACTTCGCCAAGTTTTGGGTTACTAATACTAGTATCCAGGGTATCCGTATATTTATTATGTTTGTACAACATCGATGGAACTATCGCCGCATAACACATACAATGTACATGTACCTATGAAAGTTATTCACTTGTAATTTTGCGCCTCGTCTTTAAAATTCTCTGAAAGCGAAACTCCGAAAGTAAAGACTACTACAATCTGTACACACCTGACTCAGTTCGCACTTTGCAGTCTCCACTACATGTAGGGAGGGCCAGAATATGCTTGCGCATATTTTCGCATATTTTGGTCCTTTTGACACAAGGTCGCATAAACTTACATGTATAGTAGCAAATCTAGCATATGATTGTACCAAACCATATGTAGCATATTTTGCTACAAGGAGCAAAGAATTCGCATAATTATAGAGCAGATTGCGGAAATGGACAAGGAAACTTACCACGGCACGCTCGGTCAGGGAACACTTCCAAACTTAGCCCGGAAGGAAAATGCTCATTCAAACACGGGCGAAAATTTGACCCGAGAAGAGAGTGTCCGCGACTCAAGGTCGCATAAAGTAGCAAATCTAGTATATTGTACCAAATGTAGCATATTTTGCTACAATGAGCAAAGAATTCGCATAATTATCACTGATATCAGTTCATATTTCGAGCATATTTGGAGCATATTTTTCTGCTTTTGTGTGATTTCGAAGCGTATTTTGAAGCAATTGGCCAATATGCGAAAAGCATAATATGCGAAATTTTTGAGCATATTTGGGCCCTCCCTACTCCACTTCGCACACATCTGCCACTGCTTGTAAGTTGTAGGTAGAACCTTTTTTTGTGCAGCATTCCAGATTACGGGTACTACTACTAGTACACTCTTCACTACATCGAAGGACTACTAGTACAGTGCACGGGTCAGGGAGCAAGCACTTTTCTTGTTGCGTGGTCCCGGGCCTCTCTCTCTCTCTCTCACACACACACACACACGCACGCACGCACGCACGCACGCACGCACGCACGCACGCACGTACGCACGCACGCACGCACGCACGCACCCACACACACACACACACACACACACACACACACACACGCTACGCTCGCGCCAGTCCCTCCGGTCCTGAGCAGGGTGGTACCATTGCGCCTCCGGGATACCGGTCGCACGCAGGTCTGAAGCTGCCACATCTCTCCAACGACGCTTGGGTCCATGGCGGGCCGCGTGTTAGTGCCCTCCGCAAACAGGATCTGCTTTGGCAACCTGGTGTCGTCCATCCTTGCGAGGTGACCAAGCCATCCCAGGCGATTCGCACCAGGGAGTCGTAGGGTCTATACGACTCCCTGATTCGCACGAATGGCCTCCTCCAGCGAGGTTGGCATGCCGCTGCGCTTCACTTGACAGGTGTTCCTGCTACTGCTGGTCTCGGGTAACACTCAGGATCGTGCGAACACACTGTCGATGGAACGACGTGTCCAACCTGCGCAGGAGGGGTGCCTTCAGCGTCCATGTCTCAGAACCATACAGCAGCACTGTAAGGACCACGGCCTGGTAGACCTGACGTCGGATTCCAAGCGAGAGACCCGAGTTCCGGAAAATTGGTTGGAGGAGGCTACCAAACGCCCTCGATGCCTTGGCGAGACGAGTTGTGACTTTGGCATCCAGCTCTCCATCGTCGCTGATCGTACTGCCGAGGTAGGTAAAATCGCTGACCACGCCGATCACGTCACCAGCACTCCCAGGCACCACAATATCAGCACGGATGACACTCGGACACACACACACACGTGCACGGCTACATCGTAGTGCCAACAATGTCGCCAATTTCATTACACAGTCACCTAATAATAATAATTATTATATTTGCGGGATCCGCGTCGGCATCGCTTGAATGTTCAGAAACACACAAACTAGCCTTCACATCCGCAAGGCCACCACTATGCCTGACAGGCTGTTTACCTTAGTGGCGAATGCAGACCTCACAAATGAGTCAGGGGAGAGGAGGTTAGTCTCTCAACCAATCACCTGCCAACCCATTTTCCGACAGGTTTTCGACCCAGTGCAGTATCATCAGTGCCACTGTGGTGTGGATACATGGAAGTGAAGACACTGAAGTGAAGAAAGCCAGAAGACTCAGAACCATCCAGTTTTTGCAATAGAAAGGCTCGCATTAAATCAGATCTAGCGCTAACGATAGATGCACAATCACACAACGTAAGTTGATAACCAGTCACCTACATTTGTATCTTACATAAGGAAGTATGAAGGAGAGAGAAATGACACCACTTGGTACTGTAGTCATAATAATATTATTATCATTAGCAACTAAAGTAACTTCAGGTACTAGTAGGTGAAGCAGTTGACGTGCTGCTTCACTACACGCATGGCACTGGTCTTGGACTACGGCTGTTACATGATACTGCAACGCCTCCATGACTAGGGTCCAGCGGATAATTCCTCGAAAAAGTTCGTATAATGCTAACCACAATGCTCCAAAATGCACCACGTAGCGCTGATTATAATGTTTCAACAAGGATTATAATTCTCTTAGTTCCGGCCAAAAGGAAGAACGGCTGAAGGAAGGTATTGTTGCCAAAAAGCTGGGATTCCCGATATTATCCACTATAAAACTCCTAATGTGAAGAAGAGGTTGGTGCGACTTCGGCGATAATTGGGGAATTGTGTGTTGCTCCCTACGTGGGAGCTTGCGCTATCCCTGCCAACTTGAATTCTCACTCAGTGACTGACTCACGACTGCCATTCAGAGCGCACGAGATGCCCATTGAACCTTCCACTCGGCAAACCTTCAAGAAAGCACCACTCCCTGCTCAATACACGGTGTTTCGGGGAATTCACCCCTCATCAGTTGAGCTTGAGTAGGCTGAGGAAGATTTTGCCTAAAGAGCACCACTTTAATATGTAGTGCTCTCCAGGCACAAACATCACCAGGGATACAAACTTACAGAGACGCTCCGTTTCCAGCGCGACAAACACCTCGTGAACACCAGATAGCAGCGTGAGTCAGTGTCGCTCATGGAGGTGCTGACCAAACGCTGAGGACCGTTGGCCATTCACAACGTTGTTGCCTCCTAACCATCTAATTCGCAAGCCCGCGCCGGGGACAACAATGTGAAGAAGAGGTTGGTGCGACTTCGGCGATACATGTAATTGGCGAATTGTGTGTTGCTCCCTACGTGGGAGCTTGCGCTGTTCCTGCCGACTTGAATTCTCACTTGACTGACTCACGACTGCCATCCAGAGCGCACGAGAAGTCCATCGAACCTTCCACTCGGCAAACCTGCAAGAAAGCACCACTGCCTGCTCAATACACGGGGGAATTAGATGGTTTGGAGCCAACAACGTTGTGAACGACCAACGGTCCTCAACGTTTGTTCAGCACCTCCATGAGCGACACTGGCTCACGTTGCTATCTGGTGTTCACGAGGTGTTTGCCGCGCTGGAAATGGAGCGTCTCTGTAAGTTTGTATCCCTGGTGATGGTTTGGCCTGGAGAGCACTATATACATATAAGTGGTGCTCTTCAGGCATAATCTTCCTCAGCCTACTCAAGCTCAACTGATGAGGGGTGAATTCCCCCAAACACCGTGTATTGAGCTGGGATTGGTGCTTTCTTGCAGGTTTGCCGAGTGGAAGGTTACTTGTTACCGTAGTCAACTCGTCCACAATAGTGTCATGCATGAGGACTCAGGAGTACGTTAGATATTGGCGTCCGGTTTTGTCCAATTCGTTTTCGCAAAGCTTCCCCTTTCTTTATCTCTGATATTGCTGACCCACCAAAGTTGGGTGGTGTGTTGCTCTGCTGCTTCGAATCATGTGTAGTTAGACCGCATTGTCCTGTGACGGTCGGCATTCTTTGTTGCCGTAGGACTTAGCTTGTGCACATTTTCGCTGCGCTCATTTTCCCCTCATTGGTCCTACCATAACCTTGAACCTTCCAAGCTGGAAGGCTGTTGGTTTGGTCACTGAAGATGTGTTAGAGCTAGGTCTCAGGTTGTTTAATGTCTCAGTAGCCTCTCAGTTCGGTGCCCTGTTATCGCACTTTCTGACCGCTTATTATCTTGTTACAGTCGTGGATAGTTGCTTCATAACTCGCTTCCATGTGATTTCTTCTATTGTTTATATAATATTTACTGGCTCAGTATCCATGGTATCCCCTTCAAAATTTGAAGTACGGAGGTTGAAGTTATAGCTGTTTGTACAGTGGTCTATGCTCGTTTCTATATGCTCCGTGTGCGTGACGAGGTATCTCGTCTTTGGCCATTAGGGTGGTTTTTTCAGGACGAGTTATCTCGTCCTTTGCCATTCAGGGTGGTTGTTTCAGGACGAGTTATCTCGTCCTTGGCATTGAAAGGGTTACTCACACATTGTTTTTCTTTTGGGTTACATATATTTCCTTTTCTGGTTTTCTGGGTTTGCATTTGTATTGCATTTTCATGCATTGTGTTTCGTTTTGAGGAAGATGTTGGTGCGACTTCGGCGATATTTGGGGTCCTTGCTCCCTACGTGGGAGCTTGCGCTATTCCTGCCGACTTGAAGTCTCACTTGACTGCCTCACAACTGCCATCCATATCCAGAGCACACGAGAAGTCTATCGAACCTTCCACTTGGCAAACCTGCAAGAAAGCACCAATCCCTGCTCAATACACAGTGT